TCAATTATGAATAAAAAATCCAAATCGAGCCCGAAGGTTTGCGAGTTGGGCCTAAGCCCAAAATATATCATCAGAAGTTTCGATTTTGAAAAAACATTAAAATTTTCAAGTAATATGAAACTCCAGCAATTTAAAATCTATTAATGTGAATATATTATTAAATTAATTAACCCCAAATCAAAATATTCATTAACTATTAATATTTTTTAAATTTTTATTGAAGTAATAAGTGGAGAAAAAGTTAAGGAACCTAAGTAAAAATAGATTAAAAATAAATCGATAGCGGACCCAGAAATCAAATTAATTTTCGAAACCAACTACGAATAACTAAAAACCAAGAAAAAAAAAAAAAAAAAAAACCAGATAACAAAACAAATCGAGCTAAAATCGTCTGAAATTGTAAAATCAAACCGGTTCGAAATCGAACCGAAAAAGACCCAGATTCTTCTAAGAATCGCCTTTCTTTCTCTTTTCTTTCTTCTTCCACTTCTTCTTCATGGCACGCGCGACAGCCCCTCCTCTCCCCTTTCCTTTTCGCTTTCCGGCCACCGTTCGACAAGAAGAAAGTGGCGAAATCGATTCCTTTGGCGATACTGGGCACGATTCCAGTCTTCCCTCGCCTCCGATGCGAAACCTTCAGCTGGCCGCGGATATGGCTTCCCTCAAACTTCTTCCCGACGCGCTGCAACTTCCGGCGAGATCGAGCGGATTCCCGCGACGGAAGCTTCAAGGTGAGCTCCGATCGACTCCGTCCATCCTGTTGAACGTTGTTCCATCCAAGAAGCGACGTGTTTTAGTGGAAGAAAATCGAAAACATACCAGGCCGCGGCAAGAGGGACTGTCGGGGCTTGTTTCGCCAAACGAGCCACTATTCAACAAACCGATTGTAAAGATTTGGCAATCCTCACAAAAAAATTGGAGTCGGTGGTTGTAACCCCTGCAACTTTCTGGACACTCCGCGACTTTTCGCACAACCCAGTGCAAACGGCGGCGGGCGGCGTGCGGTCCCGGTGATACCGGCCGGCGACACTCCGGCGAGGCCCGAGAGACAGAATGATCCTCTCTTCACGCTGATCACGGAATCGTTGCCCGATTCTCAATTGGTACGTCCTAAGATTTCAACTCTAATTTTTGTATATAAAGAATTAATTGCAGTAACGAAATTTAATTGAGTTATTAAATAATTGAAATTGAATAATAAAAGTTAGGTTATTGGAATAGTTTTAAATATATATAGACATGTTATGGTCTTTTGTAAATATAATTAGGTTGGAAAGCTTTTGAATTTAAGTTGGGGGATTTATAGGAGAAATTCGAACTTAGGATTCACTTTGTTTAGAAATTGTGATTATAATTTAGGTTGAGTATATAATTAAAAAATTCACTATTCAAACCTAGCTAAATATATTTAATGTTGAAAATCTAGGACATAAGTCATTTTGAAGAATAAATTGTCCATAATCGAAACGTTGAAGGCGACGAATCGGAAACCTAATTAGTTAGAATTAATTAGATGATCGAATCTAAAATAAATAGTAGTTAACTGGCTAAAGAAGCTAATTATATTGAGGTGAAGTGAGAATGTCTGATAATGCGCTTGGATCAATGAAGATTATTTCAATTTATATGTTGAGAGTTGATTGTAATATTGATTTTGTTATTTGGAATGGAGGACGGGAAATTTAACTGTTTGATCGCCCGACGGATGGGCTGTGTGTGCTGATTGATAAATATATATAATATTGTGATATCTGAGCAGGTAGATAGTCCAATTTTTAGGGGAGGTGCTGCCAAAATTTCAATAGAACATAATAAATAAGCTTATTTAGATAAATTCTATAATTCGATACATAATAAATAAAGTGCTCTAATTATTTATTTATTTAAGGGCTCTTGATGTAGTTATTTGTCCTTATATTATTCATTAATCATTCACATCTTTATTTATTTTCTCATTATTATTGTTATTATTGTTATTCTTATATTAATTATTGTTGTTTAATTGTTAATGCATTTTATTTATTTATTTAATTTATTTGCATTAATTTTGCGATTTTATATTGTGCATCGCATTACGGATTCTAATTGATTAATATGTCTGGCATTTAATTGAATGTTTGATTACTTGTGTATGAATATACTATGGCCATTGTTTTGTGTGGAATTGGGATGAAGTGGACCATCCATGGTGTTTGTGAGGAACGGTCTGTGATAATGGATCCTGATTAATGATATGATATTTGACCGTCGGCCGGGAAAATGGGAGATCCGGCGCCCCCGTGTGCACCTGAATGATATGGGTATTAGACCAGACAGGATGGCCTCTTGTTGTTGCGCACCGATAATCCTAGATTTGATTGTAGCCCGCAGGCGTGGCTCCGCCTGTTGGTTGAGACTTGAATGATCTTAGATTGGAAATGGAGGACCACCGGGTTTTGCCCTCCTGTTGGTATGGAAAAAGAAAAAGAGAGAAAATGGAAAATACCATGAGAGGACTAGGTCAGTGAGGATTAGACAGTTGGCCCCGTATGGGGGAGTCGGCTCCCTGGTGCTAACATGTAATGAGAGGGCGAGCCATTGTGAGGACGGCTCGTTGGGGTTTCATCAGGTTGGCGCCACTGACTAATTTCCACGTGTTCCACGTGATGTGATTATATGAAGATGTTTATGATTGTGAGTGCTGGTGATATGCCATTTGTGTGACTGGCTGCGTGAGCATATAACTAGTCGGGTGACTAGATTAATATGTGTACACATTTGTGTGACTGTGTGTGTTGTGCAATAATTATTACTCCTTAGAAAACTCACACGTCTTGTTTGATTTTTCAGGAAGTAAGTTTTTCTTTAATCCGGTTTAGACTATGTTTCTTCGGCGCAGAGCAATAGAGAAATTTTCCTAGTTCTATAATTATTTCACTATGTAATTATGTGTATAAAAAGCTATGTATACTAAAGAGTTAAGGATTTGTAATACTTTTTAATCGTTTTAATTATTATAAATGTGATGCATTGTTAATTGGGTCCGATCTGGGAAAGTTGTAAACTGAATAAATTTGGGCCGAAATTTAAATAGAATCTTGAGATTTATTTTTCTATAAATAATAGGCTGAATGTTTTAAAAATATATATTGAAATCATATAGATATTAGTGATTTAGGCTTACTACGGGCCTCGGGGGCCTTAAGCTTACCTGGGCCCTAGTGCCGGTCTGGCCCATAGAGACGGGTCGTGACATAAAATTAACAATTCCTTACGATTTTCGTCTATTATTCCCTTTCGTCCAATATTTTCATTTCCCTCCTTTCTGAGTAAAGGGCTAGTATTGATGAGCTAATCCGGTTTGGTCTAATTGATTTTCTCAATTATATAAGGAATGAACTGTCTCGTGTAATTTGATGGGTCCAAAAAACATTACCTCTATTATATAGCCCGCAGTTATTTTAGTCCATCAAGCCTCTCAGTGAATTAAAAAACAAAAGTTAGTACTAACAATTAATTCTTAACATTAATGGGTTTTCCCTTTCAAAAAAAAAAAAAAAAAAAAACAAAAAAGGTTTTCCCTTAAAAAAAAAAAAAAAAAAAAAAATCTTAACATTAAGACAAAATTAGTCTTGATTCCTTGCTTCTTACCTTATAGAATTTATTAAAGATAAAAAAAGACATCAATAAATTTCGGTTACTTTAACTTGATAAAAAGAAGATATTTGTCAAATGAAGTGATTGAAAGCTGCAACCATGCTTTAAAAATCCATAAAAAAAGAACTGTTTATGACCTAATTTTCAATAATTAGATATAGAAGGATCCCTTTTGTCACTACCAGAACCTCCATGAAAAAGGAAGGTACATGTACTCTTGTTGCCTTTGTCTTTGCTATTAAAAATAGTAACACCCATGTTTCTTTCTAACATGAAACGATTTGCTTTTGCTTTTAGTAAGAAAAATGATTTCTCTTCTTACCCAAAAAAAAAAAAAAAAAATAAATATGATTTTCTTCTTCTTAACCTCAAAAAAAAAAAAAAGCTTTCCTAGATTGCTTGTTACTAAAGATAATATAAACTAACTCTTTACGTTAATGATTTTTGGACAATCACAAATCTCTAATTTGATTTAATTTTTTTTAAGTATATAAAGATTATTTAAATAATCTAAATCTCCTCTAAAGCAATTTAAACTTTCAGAAATAGTCGACCCAAAGGCTAATGAGCAATAGCATTATTCTCACCATAAAATTTTTTTAGGATTTAATATTATATTGTGCTTTGTCTATTATTAAAATAACCACTTACCCTTCACAAATGTAATAATCCAATATATTGTACGTTTGTATGGCTTATATTATTTGTGAATATGTTCACCAAAAAAAAAAAAAAAAAGCTTTCTCAGTTGCTTGTTACTGATAATATACTAACTCTTTACGTATGTTTGGACAATCAATCTCTAATTTAATATATAAAGTTATTTAATAATTATACTTTAAAGCAATTTAAATTCAAATAGTCGAAAGGCTAATGCAAGCAATATTTAAAAAATTTTTAGATTAATATTATGTGCTTGTCATAAAAAAATTACTTCAAATGTAATTCCTTATTTACGTTGAGGCTAATAATTAATTTTTTATTTTGTGCGAATTAGTGCTGTTTTATCTTGAATAAATGATTTTTGAAAAAATTATTTAAAAATAAAGTTCATTTTCATCGATATAACTTTTTTATGGTAATAAAATATTTATTGATTTACCAACATAAAACACCATAATATCTAAAAAAAAACTCCATAAGATAATGAAAATTAAATTTCAATAATGATCATAAATATTTTTCTTATATCATGTAAAAAAAAAAAAAATTTTCTTATTAAATACACAAATAATTATTTTTCACCAAACAACCAACGCAGCAACTATTGCCCGGTTGGCAGTCAAAAAAGTTAAATTTGCACAGAAGAAAAAACTCAAGGAACAAAAGGTGTCGTGTGATTCACGCGCATGCCAGACAAGAAGAGGAATGGAAAGAGAGAGGCGGGGAGTTTCATATTCAAACAGACAGCGAAAGACCTCGGATACGCAAACTAGCCCCCACCAGACACCACCCATTGTCTCAATACCCAAACACAACAGACATCAGAACCTCCTCTTCTTCCCTGTCTCGGCTTTCGTGCCAATTTTTAAGCCCCCTGCCCCACTCTATCTGCAGTCTGCACAAAAACCACCTTCACTTTCCTTAAACCCAAAACACATTATTAAGCTAAAGTTTGAAACTTTCTTTGTTTCTCCCTATAAAACTAGGGTTTATAGAGATTTAAAGATGTGCCCTTTACTTCTCCTTCTAGGTTCTGCTTCTCATGGTCTTTCTCCCTTGCTACTGCAGTTCCATGGGAACTGGTTTCTCCCCAAAAGGTACTTTTTTCTTCTCCTTCTTCTTTGCGCTTTCATGTTTTATTAGACATGATTATGTTTGTAGCATTTTTGTTAGAATTTTGGAAGTGTACAATTTTTTTTTTTCTTTTGAACTTTTCTTGTTTTGGTTGTTTGACTTTTGTTTTATTTTGTGTTTGACCCACTTGTGTTTCTATTCTATATGATTTATTATCAAATGTGTATTTTTGGGGTTTGTTTATAACTTATTAAAAAAATAATTTATTGATGTTTATTTTGTTTTTCATCTTTCTCTTGTTTGGTGACTCTTGAAAAGAAATTCTATCCCCTTGTGGCTCCAACATTTTTTAATTTGGCTAAATTTTTTTTTCCCTTTTTTATTATGGTAAAACTTTGAGCTGTATTATAGGAAGAAAGGGAGGTTATTTTCGCTTGCCTTACATTTAGAAGAGAAGGGAACGTTTAGCCTGATAATTGAGAAATTACCTCTACAGATTGCATATTCGTGCCCCTGTGAGTTTTAGGGGTCTTATATATATGTTTTGCCTATTGGGTGACAAGATAGTGTATAAGTTAAAAGACCTTGTTAATCTGCACGTCGTTGCTCTGTTGTGAACCTGATGAGGAACTCTGTAACAAGTTCTTATATTTAATTGAACAACGAGGAATAACCTTGTACAATTAAGATTAAACTTTGTCCCTATAGAGAAGGTCATCGACTTGGGCACACGATAATTCACTTTTTAGGCAATTTTCAATAGTCAATATTCAGGTTTCTGTAATGGAAAAGCAGTACAGATGTTGACAATCTAATTATGTTCAAGCTTTTTAAGACAGCATGAAGGAGCTTGCTGTGCAATTAATTGATAAGCGACTGTTAGAGCAGTATGTTTAATATTCAGGAGAGTGGGGCACAAAATGGAGCATCTCAGTGGAAAAGGTGGGTATCATGTGTGTTTAGTCGTGGATTGCCACTAGCATCAAAACAACTTTTTGGAAGTGGAATGCTGGTGTTATTCTTAAGTGGGTTATGAGCAAGTGTTAGTTTGTAGAAATGAGGCCCTGGATATATACCGCTATAGTGTTGCAGTTTTGCCTTGAAACTACTTAAATTGTTTCTTATAAGCTGCAATTTTAAATGGTTCCTCTGATTTAGAGATGGTGGGAATTGGGATAACGTAGAGTCACTGATTTTTTGTTTCTTTACTTCATTTATGGTTAAATCGGTCTTCTCGTTAGGCATCATCTATGTGATCAAAACTTTATGCAGTTTTTGTTTTTGCATTTTTTGCATGGATGAGTTAATTTCTTCAAATGAGCAATTGGTGCAATGGGCTTACCAATTAGGCAAACACTAACACCCATCTGAAAAGAAACTAATTGAGGACCACATAAAGTACCAAAAGGTTCAAACTGGATTTTGCAATAGCACCTTACACTTTGGGGCAACTGTAAAATTAGTGCCCATATGCAGCCCCAGCCAAGTGCTGGCAGATCATTCAAGGAACCTGGTCTAGGCATTCAGTCTCTTTATATGAGTCTAAACCTATCAAGAAGATGATGCCTTTCATTATTAGAAATATTATTAAATCCCTGAAATGTAGCTAGACATAGTTATTATAGAAAGAGGTGAACAAGATTTGCTCATCATGGGGTTTTCCTTAAGATTCCTGAACAAATGGATTCTTACTTTTTGACAAATTTCCGATGAAATGGATTATTTGCTTGCGGCCGTCTATAGTGCAGCTTACTCTAAATAATCAGGTCCTTTCGCCTTGTCTTGAGTTTCCGATGTACTGAATAAACTACAGGAGCTAAGTAGTTGAAAGGAGCATACTGTCTATCACCCAAAAATTATATGCAGTTGCTTCCCCTTGTCAATACAAGTAATTCATTTTTTCTTTTGTGGGAGGGTTGGACTCTCTAACTAGTTAGGCCAGGGTGTGTGGGGAAAGAGGGTTCTTTGAAATTATGGGGTTGGGGGAGTTCTTGTTTATGTAACATTTGTTTCCTTGTGATAGTGTTCTTGTATTTTATATTTGTAATTCTTTATATCTGAAATCTTGCATCGTAACTCTTCTGTTTCATATTTTTTAGGTTCAAAGACAATGGTAATGCAGTTGAAGATTGTCATCCCTTTGAACATTGAACAACAAATATTACTTACTTTAAGGTACTGCAGAATTTATGAACTGATATAATTAGACATGAAGTAGGGAATGAAGCCATCGGTCCGTGTAGCATAGGGTAAATGTATAATATTTTACAGTTCTTGTAAAATTGTAGTGTGTTCTAAAATTCTTTTAGCTGTTAGAAACAATGTTTGCAATTTCTAGTTTTATTCGCACATTTTTTTCGCGCTATTATCTATTAAATTCACACTCCTCTGTCTATGAGCTGAGTGCATGATTCAAAGCTGAATTATTTTGTAATATTCTATTTTCTAACCGAATGATTCTTAGAATCTTCTTCAAAATTGCTACATTTTGATTATGCAATGGCCCAATTCATATCTGTTTGTGGACATTTGATGCAAAATAATTGCTACAGTATGCATTTGTCTTTGTCTGCTATCTTTTTCTTTCCTTATCTTCCTGCTATTATTGTGTTTATCCATTTGCTAATTGCTAGCCATAGATAGATAGGAGAGATGGGTTTCTATAATTTTATAAAAGAAAGAAGGAATTTCTTGTGCTGTTACTGTTAGAGGGAGACAGTAATTAATTAATTATCATGAAAATTGTTTAATATGCTCAATTATGTAAACTTGATGTAGCGGGTGAGACTAATAGCAGGAGGAAGGAGACAAAGTAGCAGTACCTTTCAGGTGTCTTGTCAAGGAGATTCTGATAAATCTTTGGCTGTTCATTTTGATCCTTTTTTTTCTCTGTTGATAGAACCAAATAAAGATATGAAATCGAAATTTCAATTCCATATTGCATATCAAACGTAATTCCCATTTTCGTGTACTCTTAGTGTTGTACACAATTAGAAGTGTTTTTTTTTTTTTTTTTTTTTTTTTTTTCCTAATCCTCCCGACATGACATTCTCATAGAATCATTCTTCCAAATTGACACTTCACATTTTGATATATGCAATGAAGCACCAATAATCAATATTCTGTTTTTGTGTGGACATTGGTGGAGTGCAAAATGAATTGGCTACAGGTATGCAATTTGTTCTTTCTCCTGCTATCGTTTCTCTTCTCTTTAAATTCTTCTCCCTGTTCTATTTATTTGTTTTATCTCATTTTGGGCTTAATTGCTTTAGCCATATGATAGAATTATTGGAGAGATTGCGGTTTCTGATAGAAATTTATATAAAGAAAGAAGGAAAATATTCTATGGGTGCTGGCTGGTATACTGTTAGAGGGAGACAGTTAAATTAATTTAATTGTATCGGAGGTGGAAAATATAAGTTTTAAATTATGCTCATTATAGTTAAACTTGATGTAGCACGGTGTATGAGAAGCACTAATATGCATGTTGAGGAAGGAGAACAATAGAAAGCAGTTACTTTTATCAGAGGTGGTCCCATTGTCAAGAGATTCTGATAAATCTATTTGAGCTGATTACATATTATAGATCCTTATATTATTCTTCTGTTAGATAGAACTCATAAATAAAGATGATGAGAGAACAGAATTTTCAATTCATATATGCAATTATCAAAACGTAATTCAATTAATTCGTTGTAACTCTTATGTAGATTGTTACTCAACAATTAGGAATGAAATAGAATTTTTGTGTGTTGTTTTTTTTTTTTCCTTAATTAGAATTTAATGTTTTTTACTTTAAATTACGGTTTTTATTTTTTCTGTCACGGTAAATTCTTAATTCTTATCTCATACACCGTTCTAATTGATGGTCCGTGCAACATCTGTCACCCGCCAACTCAATTCAGCTTTCATTACGCTTCTTACTTTCTTCCTTTTTTTCTTTATAGTATTGATTAATCCCTGATAACGATCCTTCGACAACTGCCAACCATCCTGTTTTTCCACCCTCTATTTATTGTGTCTGGTTGATTTCGTGTAGACATCTATCACGATTCAGATGCGTCAAATAAAAACTAATTTCTTCTCTATTAAAATCGCCCTTTTTTTTTTTTTTTTTTTTCTTAATTAAGATTTTATGTTTTTACTTTAATTACGGTTTTATTTTTTCTTTACGTAAATATCTTAATTCTTATCTCATACACCGTTCCTAATTAGGGTGCACATTGTACGCCAACTCATTCAGCTTCAGTTACGTTATTTTTCCTTTTTTCTTATAGATTGATAATTGATAACGATTTGAAACTGACCTGTTCCACCTATTATTGTGTGGTTGATTTGTTAGAATCTATCCACGATCATCCAAATAAAAATAATTTTTTTATTAAAATGAGAATATTTCTGAACACTTATTAAAAAAAAAAAAAAAATTTTTTTATTAAAATGAGAATATTTCTGACCACTTATTAGAAAAGAAAAAAAATAAAGATGAAACAATTTTTAAAAATTTTTTATTTTTATTTGGGCTTAGAAAGTTTAAGCTGCTTTTTTTTATAGTTCTTAGCTGTTTTTTCAGTATGGTTAATGTGTTAGCTGTTTTAATAACTTTAATCTCTAAAAGCTAATTATGTTATCAGACACTGTAAACGAAATATTTAATTTGTTCTCTTAATTTAGAGAAAATTTCCATTTAGAGTGTTTGTTTTATGTACAGAATTTTACTCTAAATGATGACAAAAAAGAAAGTCTAATGTCCTTAATTAACTTCTGTTGTTGCCTCTTTCTTTTTTACTCAATTAATAAGCATAGTAGCAGACAAAATGTGGGTTGACAATTAATGATTTTATGTTTCCAAAATATAGGTAACAACTTGTGAGTGATTTGGTAGAAATGTGGTTAATTTTATGAATACTGAGTACTTTGAATAAAAGTTTATATTGGCCGGGTTTTATAATATGATCACACTTATTAATTGTTGCATTCTAACAAACTTAATTGTAATGCTTTGTTGACTAAATTTGTACTTTATTTTTCAAGAAACGTGCATTAATCTACGCATGAAACACAAATATGACTAAAATACACCTAACTTTTGAAAAATTGTCTTCACGTGATTATTAACCCTTACTAACATATGCACAAATTTTAATTTTATGTTCCTATATTCAATGATTTTGAGAACAATTCTGATCTCATTGGTGTTCTATTTGTGAAAACGATGTAAATCTTTTCAATTATTTCAATTTTAGCTAATAAATGCATTTTTGGAATCTTCAATTAGTGAGATGACTTATTCACCATCAATTATATATTTAAGACTAATTAAAGATATTATAAATAAAAAATGGGCAAAAGTTTTTGTTTAACTATTTCTTAATTCTAAAAATTTTCTATCTAAGAGAATAGAAAGAGTAGCTTTTAGTCTTTCAATTAATCAAGATGTTAAAAATTATTTGAAAAAAAAAAAGCGCCGTGGAAGCCTCAAGCTATGCCTATAAGTTCTATCACAAGAATTCACAATAAGGAATAAAATAGCAATACCTGGCAATTATTACCGCAGTATTTATTTATTTACTACATACGAGGAAGCAGAAGGACCTGACATTTCTTACCTCAATTCGGCTGAAAAAAAAAAAAAAAAAACAAGCAATTTTCCTTACCTTCAATTTCGGCTTGAAAAAAAAAAAATAAAATAAGCAGGTCAGAACATTTAAAATATGGCTCAAACACAAGTCGACAATCAGTTAAGTTTTATTAGCTTAACTTCAATTTTGAATCTCATTGACATCAAAGGTTAATGATTTTTTCCAAAAAACGAGTTCTCATTGAAAAAATATCTCTCCTTGAAGTAATATTCTGCAACAAACCAACTATTTCCTGAATAAAGCAGGATACTCATCTTCAGTAACAAATGTGCTTTTGGTGCTGGTATCTCCTCATTTCTTCTCTATTTTATATTGTTTCGGACTATAAATGTAGCTATGGATATAGACACCTGCTCTATTTAACTGAGTTTCTAGGCAGAATTATGCTAAAACTAAATGCTCCAAAGCACACTAATTCTGTTTAAAATTCCATAGTCTCACTAATTCTGCAGAGAAACTGGTAGGCAAAAAAAAAAAAAAAAAAACAGGCAGACATAAAATAGGCACCAATCCAATCAGTTGTTTTTAGCTTCTTCATTTTGAATCCTCATGACATCAAGGTATGATTTTCCAACGAGTTCTCTTGAAAAATATCCCTTGAAGAAATCTGCAACACCAATTTTCCTGAATAAAGCAGGTCTCTCTTCAGTAACAAGGCTTGGTGCTGGACCCATTTCTCCATTTAGTTTCGGACTATAAAAAGTAGCTATGGAAAGCCTCTCTTTAACTGAGTTCACAGTTGCTCTATGCTCAATGCTTCTGTAAATTCCATTAGTCACAATCTGCAGAGAAACGGAAAAAACTTGATTAAGCCAAAATCAATTTTCTTTCTTTCTTTCTTTTTTATTTTTTTTTTACCATTTTTGTAGTCGTTTTGTTTATTATTTTACCTCTAAAATGTCACCAACATTGACAATAAATGCATTTGGGAGTGGTTTAACAGGAACCCACTTGCCATTTTTCTTTATCTGTAACCCTTCCACTTCATTAACTTGGAGGAGGATGGTAAGGCCAACTGCATCTGAGTGTGAGTTGAGACCCATAACTAGCTCTGGCTGTGGGCATGGAGGATAGTAATTCATTCTCACTTTCTGGCATCCTTCTTCAAATTGTTGTTTCATTTCTTCAGGTTCCATTCCCAGAGCTCTTGCCATGAATTTCAGGATTGTCATGGCAAGATCTTTTATTTCTCTTGAATAAGCTTCCAAGGTGTCTCTGCATGCAAACACAGATCTATATTGAAACTGGCCAAGATATCTCAGATTTTCCTTTTCATTAATTAAGCTTTGAGTTTCAATCTCACAGCTAGCTTTTACATATTTCAGATTTATTTTGTTAAAAAGTACTTGCAATCTGAAACTCTTAAGACAGTCAATATTAGGTACTTCAGATTTTGAGAGAGAGAGAGAGAGAGAGAGAGCACCTGAATGGAAGAGGGAGCTGTGGGAACAAATGAGGTCTCCTCAAATTCGGTGGGAGAGTGATCATATAGAAGATATCTCCCCAGTCAAGCTTTTGCTCCTCAGACACAACAAAAGCCTGTCCAAATCCTTCCATTTCTCCTGGTCTTTGCCAATATTTTTTCTTCTCATCCACTGGGAGATTAAAGAATTCTTGAATTTCCACCTTCACGTTTTCCACTAATGAACTGCTCACTCCATGATTTATCAACTGCAACACATATATACATGCTCATCGATTGTCTTTCTCATAGTAATTTAGAAACTAACCATAATATAATATAATGGCTGATTACCTGGAAGAAACCCCACTCTTTGCATGCACGGTCGAGCCTATCCAGCTCAAAATCCATGGATTCTTGTGAAAATAACTTGGACATGTCAATGATAGGAACTTGGGGTAGATAAGCAGAGTTAGATACGATTGGAGAATCTTGATCAAGTCGCAAATACCGTGGCGGGACATTTGTCAACGGTTCTTTTGCTAGCTCCTGCACACAAGGCACTAGGAGAGAGGTTCCAAGCTTAGTGAGTTCTGGTTCCATTTCCATGGCTATTGCGTCTGATCAGCGTTTTTATTTTTTCCTTGTGTTCTGCTCTTTCAAGAATAACTAGGCAGTTATTTATAGGCCCATTTTCTTCCTCTATTACTCACTCCTCTCATCAAAGTAGGCTCCCGGCCAATTGTAATCTTCTTTTCTTTTCTAGAAAAAGATAATATTTGCAGTTTTACGTTTATTCTTGTTCATTATGATTACGTATCTATCTTAGTCAATATATTACTACCATTAATCAACTATTAAGAGAGAAAAAAAATATTGTTGCCAACTATAATATCTAACTTTTGAATTTTGATTATATTTTAATTAATTTTAATTGTAATTTAATATGAATTGTTTAATTTGAATACAACAACATGAATCTTTTTTCTTTTTAAATTACATGGATAATATTAATACAAGAATATAATAAAAGAGTGATGAACGACACATGAACTTGTTTTATTTTAATCTTCTCAAAAAATAAAAATAAACTTGTCTTAGTTTAGAAATAAAACAATTTTTTTCGTTTTTCTCCGTTCTCTAGTCTTCTTCTCCGTCTACACTTCCTTCCAAACTGCATTAATGGATTTTGGATTTTTCAGCTCGAAACAATAATTCACGTTCATTTTTAACTAACGCATTCAATTTCGTGTTCTTTGAGCAAACTCCACCTTCTTTTTATATCTGTATATTTATCTCGCATTTTCATTACAAAAAATCGACCTACACATGGACATGCCAAAGCACTGTTTTATTCTTCTTTACAATATTATTACAATTGCTATTTACTTCCCACATAGGAGGGAGTAATTCGAACCAATTATATGGGATGTTTGCATTTGAGTTTTGGAATTTAGATAGGATCATACAATATTCTGAAAGAAAAATCTCCCAAGAAATATGAATCTAACCTAATTATTATTGATTGATTGAGATGGATTAATACTTAAATTACGTGTTCAGAAGATGGGTAATTATTGGTTTAACTTAAATTCAACAATTGTCTGAAGTCATCTCTGGCTGTTTGCCATTTGATTTTTGACTTTTACCAATTCGTTGTAAAGTCAATGCTGTCTCCTTTTCTATGCTTTTCTTGGGCACATTTCCTACCAAGAATCCGGACACTTTGTTACCTCAGGGCAGCACTCTTTCCCTGCCAAGTATTTAACGCTACTGTATTTCTAAGCTCTCGAACTCGAGAGCTATGGTTAAGATAGAATTGTTGTGGGTTCCCTCCGACGTGTGGGACCCACACACATTTGAAAATAAAAAAAATATAAAACACGTTTTTTATTTTGGTGGCAGTCAAAGAGAGGCTGTCGAACAAATAAGAAAAAAAAAGCACGTTTATTTTGTTATTTAAAGGACGGTGCCAAAGAAAGAAAGAAAAAAAAAAGCAAAAGTGGACGCGTGATTAACGCATCCACTGCGTCCCCTTCTCCTATAAAAAGGAGAAGGTTTTCCTTCATTAATGCGTATAAAAACAAAAACAAAAAAAAAACGAAGATTATAATTTTAGGACCTAAAATTGAAAAGAGAGAAATAAAGTGAGGATTTGTATTTTTGGGGTGTTTTGGGAAAACACTTAGAGTGCCAATTTTTTTTTGTAATCTCTTTGTACCTACTATTTTAGTACTATTTTTAGTAGAAGAATTATTCGGAGTTTTTGTCCCGTGGACGTAGCCCATAACAGTTGAAGGGTGAACCACGTAAATCTCGGTATTCTTATTCTTTCATCTGGCATTTACGGTAATTATTTAATTTTTATCGTGATTATTATTTCTGGTGTATTCGATCGTCAATATCCAATACGAAATTATTAAAGGTATATGTGGTAATAGTAATTTTATTTTATTTTATTTTTATCACATGTATTTTTTTACGGACCCCACTCGAAATAAGTTATAATCCCAATAAGTATGAGTTCAATCTTTGTGAGCACCGTGACGCTTGTCCAACTCAGAATCCGAAAATTCTTCAGAAAGCAGATGGGACGAGTATCAGATGTAGTTGGAATTGGAGGGTCTTGATCAACTCTCACATATCTCGATGAGACTGCGGTTAGTTGCATCATGACTATCTCTTCAACAGAAGCTACCCCCCATTATTGGAGCTTCGATTTCATTTCCCTGTGCCCGATCTGCTTCCTCCATAAATTTATTTTAATATAAAGATGACAACTTTATAATAGAATTTCATTATTATTATATAAAGAAAAATAATAGCTCAATAGATAAATTTGACCTGAACAACCTTAGCCGATTATTCCTGTTATCTCTTGAATTGTATAGGAATTTAATCAATGATACAATATTTTTACATTTTAATAATAATAATGTCTTTCGCTAAAATCTTACAAGATTAAAAAAATGTTGCAATAAAGAGTCTCTCTTTTACTGAATTAATAGATGATTTGTGCTCCACGCTTTTATAAATTCCATTTGTCACAATTTAGCAAATAGACAAATTACAGAAATATCTATTAGTGTATTGCTATTAATCATTTATGCAATATATAATGTTATATGTGGTTTACCTCCAAAACATCTACAATGTTGATCATGAAAGCATTGGGGAGGGATTTAACAGGAACCCACTTGCCATCTTTCTTTATTTGAAGTCCTTCTGTTTCATTGAGTTGGAGGAGAATAGTGAGTCCAGCACCGTCTGAGTGTGGGTTGAGGCCCATTACAAGCTCCGGTTGTGCACATGGAGGATAATAGTTCATTCTCATGCTTAGCAGTCCTTCTTCAAATAGTTGTGTTATATAACTAGCTTCCATTCTTAAAGCTTTTGCCAACAACCTTAATATTTTCTTGGCTAGATTTTCCATTTCTGCGGAATATGCTTCTAGTGTATCCCTGCATGAAAAGAAAATTGACAGACACACGCACACACATACACACAGAGGGGGAGAGAGAGAGAGAGAGAGAGAGAGAGAGAGAGGACCTTAACGGCAGAGGCAGCTAAGGGAACAAATGAGGCTTCCTCAAATCAGTAGGGAGTGTGACCATGTACAACATATCTGCCCAATCAAGCTTCTGTTCCTCAGACACAACAAATGCTTGTCCAAACCCTTCAATATCTCCTCCTTTTTGACAGCATTTCTTCTTCTCATCCATTGGTAGATTAAAGAAATCTTGAATCTCTAATTTCACCTTTTCCACCAACGAAAGGCTCACTCCATGATTTATTAACTGCATATCAAAATTATTTTATATTAGTTCCTAATCCTAAGTAGTACCAATTATTAATTAGTAATTACCTGGAAGAAACCAAAGTCTCTGCAAGCTGTATGAAGCTTTTCCAACTCAGAATCCGAAAATTCTTGAGAAAGCAGCTTGAGCATGTCAATTACAGGGACTTGAGGTGGTGGACAAGCATCGGATGTGGTTGGAATTTGAGGGTCTTGATCGATTCTTACATATCTTGATGGGACTGTGGCTGCTTGGCTATCTCTTGAACAAAAGGTACCTGCAGAGACCTTCCAAGTATTGGCGCCTCCGTCTCCATTCGTGGCTAGATCTAATTCCTCTGTTACATTACAGTATTATTACTGGTATACATCTTTTCTTGGTTTTGTCCTGTCTTCTATGTCATTTTCATGGATGGTCTGAGGATTTTAAATAATGGTATTAGGTATGAAATGTCAGCCAGTCTGCTCAGGGGATTTAATTTTGCCCGGTTAGATGGTTTGAACCGAAATTATTGGTAGCTCCGATCAATTTTATAAAAACTAATCAATTAGAATTAAAACCAATCTGATATGATAAAAAAAAATAAAAGACTAATTCAGTTTGAATCGATTCGATTTTTAGTATATAACGATGTCTTTGTCTTTGAAATTATTGTTTAAAAATATGGAGATTAAAAATTTATTAAATTTTATTATTGAAATAAATTTCATTTAAGTAAAATATGTTGTCTTAAAACAATATTACTGTAACACAAATAGATTGCAAATAGGATTATTTTGGCATACTCGAGATCCCTAATAACTGAGTAACCCATGGAAGAGAGGTTCAGTATAATTTAATTTTACAATTGGTTAACTGCTTTAATTTTAAAAAAAATTGAACCGTATAAAATATATTTTACTATTTCGGTTTTTTTTTTTTCTACTATTTTGATTTTAGTTTGTACCAATAGCCATATCTAGAAACTACACCGAACCAAATTGAAAAATCAATGTATAAATACATAATTTTTTTTTCATTTATTAAATATATTATATAATCTACTGCAACCATTATATGAAAACTCATCGTTAATTAGTTTTGTATGTGAGTGGTCTTATACATTAAATGTAGGTAAATTATATCCCGTATCAAAAATATCGTATAAAAAAAATAAATTATTACTAAGATGTTATCAGCTTAACTTCTGTTGTATCAGTGTGTATTCAGCCAGTCTCAACGTCATCTTATATTGAAAATTTTGTTTTATAAAGAATATTACATTTTAAGGCATGAAAATTAATTATCTTATTGAAAAAGAAAAATGATTTTCTATGAAAGTGCAACGTAAAGGGAAAGATGGAGAAAAACTTAAACGATGACTACATAGTATTCTACCTATGACGGGTGATGGTTTAATTTCAGGTGTCACCATGTTGAATAAATAGAGATATTTTTTGAAAATATTAAGCATTTTTACATATAAGGCAAAATATTATATATGTGGTCATCATTTTGAAAAATAAGACTATAATTTCCTAAAAATATATATATTATTTGGAAGATAATGTAAAATTTTTACTCCTGCATTTGTTGATTAGCTCTTACTGCCATTCGCAAATTTTATAATCGAAGCCATGAATAATTTCATTAAATTAATTTAATATAAAGTGAGAAAAATAATTCATAATATCAATTTAATGCAGAAGCATAAATATATAATTGCAACCACATATTTCTTACTGAGTTAGGAAGGTACAACCTTGATATTAAGAGACATATATGGGAAACAGAGAATTTGAAATCCTACACCAATATCTGGTGCATTTTATTATTTTTGCACTAATTGTGCAATTACACCCTATATAACTATATATTTGATGATCAAACCTTTAATTATTGCGAGAAAATACATATTGGTTCAGTTGTTTTTGATTTGATCATTTTGAATCCTCAAGAACTCAATGAATGACTTTCCATCGAGTTCACGAGAAAGATAGCCTTTAAAATAATCAGAAACGCTCATTCTCTTAAAAGCTTGTGGGGTTTGTGGAGTAACAAGACTTGAAGCAGCAACCAACTCTGCGTCAAACTTTGGGTTGTGAAAGGTAGCAATTGAAAGCCTCTCTTTGTTGGAACTTATAGTTGCTCGATGTTCTATGCTGCGGTAAATTCCATTTGTCACAATCTCCAACATGTCTCCAATGTTTATGATAAAGGCATTAGGAATGGGCTTGACAGGAATCCATAGCCCATCTTTCTTTATCTGAAGTCCCACTATGTCGTTTAGCTGGAAGAGGATGGTGAGGCCAGTTGCATCAGAATGAGGCTTCAGGCCAATCACAAGGTCTGGTTGTGGACATGAAGGATAGTAATTCATTCTCATTGCTTGCCATCCTTCTTCAAATAACTCTCTTATGTAATCAACTTCCATTATTCCAAGAGCTTTTATTACCAGCTTAAAGATTTTATTGGCAACGCCTTGCAGTTCTTCTGAGTAAGCTTCAATGGTATCCCTGCACACCAAATCAAATCTAATTTTGTAAGAGCTCGTATCCTTTGTTTGCGCTTTCAGGTTTCATTATAAGATATGTTGGGTGTATACACGAGTGTAGATAAGTCTTTTTTATTATTATTATATAATGATAGAAAACAAATAATTAAGCTGAAATGCGAGAGAAAACCTGAAGGAGGGAGGGAAATTGTCGAATAGATGAGGTTTTCTGGAACGTGGTGGAAGAGTAACAACGTAAAAGAGGTCAGCCCATTCAAGCTTCTGCTCCTCAGAATTAACAAAATGCTGTCCAAATCCTTCAATTTCTCCTGCTTTTTGCCAAAGTTTCTCCTTCTTTTCCATTGGAAGATTGAAGAATTTTTCAGTCTCTACCTTCACTTTCTCCAACAGTTCTGTGCTCACTCCATGATTCACTAACTGCATGCAACAAATTGATTTTTTAAATTGTATAATAGTTTATCTCCACACACTTGTCTTTATCAAATCTTTTGAAATAATTAAAAATATTATACTTCATAAATTAATATAAATATATGTACCTGGAAGAAACCCCAGTCTCTGCAAGCATGGTGGAATTTTTGGAGCTCAGAATCCATAAATTCTTGAGAAAGTAACTTAGCCATGTCAATGACAGGAATTTGGGGTAAAGAATTGGTGTCGATGACAGTAGAGGGAGGTTGCTGATCATGGTGAACATATCTTGGTGGTATGGAAATAAATTGCTCCTTCGCTAATTCCTTGACAGAAGGCACCAAAACAGTGCTTCCTAGCCTTGATTTTGCCTCCATTAATGCTGCTTCCGACATTTTCAAGAAACTTTTCACTTATTTCTCTCTGCAAAAGAAACCAAAATATAAATATTCTTAAATTTTCATCATAAGATTACAGAATACATGGGTTTGTGTGAAGCTCCGAAATCGAATTAACATGAACTGAAGCATCTATTGTGTTTGTGTATATACAAAAAGAAAACCAATCTTACCTTAATTAACAAGCTCTGAACTCTTCTTTCCCTCTTTTAGCTACCTCAGCTTAATCTCTTGTAGAAGTGTATATTCAGCCAACCTCACCATCACCTTATATAGAAAATCCATTTGGACTTTCAATCCATTTGTTTTGCAGAAAATATTTTTTAACTATATGATAATAATAATTAATTTTTAATTAAAGCAATAATAGACAGTAACCACATAGTATTTTTTATTTCTATCTACCATCAACATCATTTAAGTTCAATGTCATAGTGTTGAAATAAATAAAGATAAGTTGGAAAAAATAATTAGAAAGTTCATGTCAAATCTTTTTACGCTTTTCACGCCATACAAAATTATATATGGTACGATAATATATATATTGATTCAAGATTTAATAAGTAAGAATGAAAGATCTGACCATAAAAATACGTGTATAAATAAAAAATATATATATAAAATAGTGGAAAAGGGAGGAAAGATGATGGGAATAGAAAGTTACTATCATTGAAATAATGAAATTGCAGTATAGGTGGATTGTTGTTATTGTTGAATCTGAAATAGATGAACTCATCTTGTTGGTGGTGCGTTTAGCATTTTCCTCATCAGTATTTGTAGGCAATATTGACTCGCCACTGTTTTCTTCAAGTAATTTTTTACGGGCCAATTATTATATCTATCTAATTTAAAATTTTACTTTTAATGTAAAATAATTATTTATAAAAATTGGAAATCAAATTTCAATGATTTGAAAAATGGGTTTCATAATACTCAATTGTGTGGTCAGGAATTTAATGATAGAACCTTCCTTCTATTATGTTTATTAATTTTTCATGTTGGAATTATTTTCTGTGTTTGAATAACCTCTTCTTTTTTTTAACGAGAATGTATATAAATATATTTCAGTCTAATACGGTATAAAATGAATTTATAATTATGAATCGACTCAATTATCAGATTATAAATTATATGTTCATAACCCTAATTCATTTCATTTTGAGCGAAATAAATTTATTAATTTTTTTATTCTAATTAGTAAGAGGGATTTTGGACTAAGAAATAGATAGAAGAAGCTAAAAATGGGTATCTTAAGTAATTTCAATAATAAGGTTCATTGACATTTTCACTATAATAGATGCTATACATATACATATACGGTAGTTTAGCATTGAACAAGGGACATTAAAGTGTCCAACTACTCAAATTAGGAGTACAAGATTCGTGAAAAAGCTCATGAGATTTTATTTTATTTTGCTAAGTACTTGGAATTATTTTATTTTATATTTTTAATAAAATTTGATTTTAATATATTCAAATTCATAAGATTGAATTTCTAAAATTTAATTTTTCATTTTTTTTATATCAAGATATAAAAATTTAGATTAATAAATAAATTGAACAAAATTTTATAGAATTTATTTAACAACAAGGAAAAGTGATAAACTATGACTTAAGAATTTGCACAAAATGTATGGCGATGTGTACACTAATTTTACAGTTTACATGATATAATAATATTTTGATAAAATTTTTATTTTTTTTTTCATATATGAAAAATCTAATGAACCGAAATAATATTATAAATTCGAATTCGAAAAAGACTTAATTATAATTAAACCACGACTGAATAGGTATAATAGGTATATTCTCCGTCACGTTAGATTATTTCAAACTTCATTAATTTTACACCTACCTTCCATTTCAACAAATTTCCAAGAACATTGTATGGTTAACACGTGTAAGGCTCTCCCTCTTTTTTCTCTGTGACTCATCCCTTGTGATTTTTCGTCTTAGGAAATACTTCCAAAGTTGAATCAAACTTTTTTTTTCTTTGTATACTTCATGCATTGAATAATTGCATTGCAATAACTAATTTAAATTTGGGTGCCAATGTTTCACAGTGATGGGGCTTAACGTTTCAAACTATTTTTTTTTTTTTTTTTTTTTTTTTTGGGGCTTAACGTTTCAAACTATTTTTTTTTTTTTTTTTTATTTTTTTTTTTTTTTTTTTTTATATTTTGAATACAAAAGGGGATTACACAATGGAGGGAGAGAGAGTTCACTCAAAAATAATAATATAACAATCAATTTTAAACTTATAATAATAAAATATAATGATAATATTTAAGATATGAATGAATATTATTCATGTTTCTTCTCTCTGAACTTAACCTCAAATTAGTGGATTTTACATATTAAGATTTTTTTTTTTTTTTTTTTTTTTTTATATTTTGAATACAAAGATTACACAATACATTATTGAACAAGTTCACTTCAAAAATATAATATAACAATCAATTTAACTTATAATATAAAATATAATATAATTTAAGATATGAATGATATTTTCTGTTTCTCTGAATTAACTCATTAGTGATTTTACAATTAAGATGTGAATTATATTTGTTCTGGAGAAGGACAGTGAGGCCAACTGCATCTGAATGGGCATTGAGGCCAATGGCAAGCTCAGGGTGTGAACGTGTGGACGATAATAGTTCATCCTCATTGCATGATGCCCTCCTTCATATAATTACTTTCTATTTTCAAGATTTTAGCAACAAGGAATTTTCGTAGCAAGCTTTAATTTTCTAGTTGCTTTATTTAATTTGCATTTTCAATTCAACCTCGAAGTAAGATATTCAATTCTTCTCATATCAGGAAAATAACTTTCTTGGCAAGTGTTAGAGAAGTCGTAATTTTACAGATAAATATAATGAGTTTACTGATTTATTTTATTGTCTAAATACTATAAATTTATATTACGAAAACAGCCTTCATTTTACCTTTTCTTGTTTTTATAAATAAAAATAAATGCAGACAAGATTTTGTAAACAATAAAGAAAATTACTGTGTAATAACTAGAAGGATACAAAAATATAATTTATTTTACATAAATAAACATCATATGAACTAGAGTAGAAAAATGAAATTGAACAACAAGAATCTAGCTAGAACCACGGCGGCACTCAAGCGGGCGGCCTTGAGGAAATCGCCTGTAATCGGTGCAATAGTTGTAAATCATATGATACCTTTGAACCCATCTAAGCAACCGACGGCCATAGGCGTCGAGCCCTTGAGTTTGCCATACAATATTTTTGCTTTTGATTGAGCTAGCAGAAGGACTACTAGTCTTTGTGCTTGTAGTGGCCTTGAAGTTTCTGTAGTAAGCAGTGAAAGGAGCCTTAGACCAATCTGTTTTTATAAGCCCACCTCTTGTTGCCCATTGATCAGCATCCCACAGGCTTGAGTACACCTTCATTGGTTGATTCTTTGGGAAGGGAACTCCAATTGATTCTTTATTTTGGTATATTCTTATTGGGATATTGTCTACTAAGAATCTGAACACATATAAAAGGAAAGGAGATTGTTACAAAACTTGAACATGATCAAGTTACCCCTAAACTAAGAGGCAGGCACTTGATTCTCTGGAAGGTATAATTAAGAAGGAACAATATGACGTAAGAGAAAGCAGTGTCTTACATGATTCTCTGGGGATCCCATACAATAGAATAGAGATGAAAATTTTTTGTTGGGTCGAACCAAAGCTGAAACTGCTGCTCTCTATTTCCTTGCCCTTGTGTATACACATTGGTATGGACAGTATAGGGGTCTCCACTAAGATTCCCCAAAAACTCAAAATCAATTTCATCATGGTAAGGCCCTTGAGATGATAACTGCAACAAAATAACAACGTTAGTTCCTGCACAAGCTAGTCTTAGGGTGCTCCTGACGGTCGTAGAAAATTTGAAAAAAAAAAAAAAGTATAGGAGGGGACTGACATAGTAACAAGTGACAGTTCCAGCGGAATTGCCTGCAACAAGCTTGATTTCCATGTCCAACCTTGCAAAAAGATACTCTGCCTTAGACTTGAACCCAGAGCCAGAAGCTTTGTCAAGAGTAAGAGAGAGAACATTCCCTGCATCGTCTATCCTAGCACGATCGCCACCCCATGTCAGGTCTACTTCTTCGTGGAAATTACCAGCAGAAGCCACCATGAAAGTACCCGTAGAGGAAACAAAGAAGAACACTAGCATTGAGAGTCTGCAAGAAGTTGCCATCTTGAAAAAGAAAATAGAATTAGTTGATTAATTTGATGGGTATGAACTAGTTTTCTAGAAAGCCCTTTATATACGTAAATCGTAATGACCTAACAGGAAGAACAATAATTAGTCGATGATGAGAAAATACGAGGATAGGGATAAAGGATCATAATTTGGACAGGTTGCTTGAGGTAGACACTACACTAAATTTTACAGAGGAATTCAAGCTGGAAATGGAAGAGCACTAGCTAATAAGTTTTGTCTGGAAGTTAACTGATTTGGCGTTTAATTAGGGTAGCAACCACCATGCGGAATAAATAATAATAATAATAATAAATATATAAATTTTTGAAAGCTTAAACTTAGATAACGTATTTATGTGCTTATAGTTCTGGTATTTTTTCTTTTGTCTTTATTGTAACAGAAAATATATAGAATTAATACACATACATGGAAAATAGTTGAATTCCCAAATGGAACATACAATTTATAATTGAATATATTCCAAAATGATTATTATTATTATTATTATTAAGGCTATGCTCAGCAACAGATTCTTAAGTAATTTTTAGTGTTTTGACTAAATGTTATTTATTTTTATAGTTTTTGATAACATAATGCTTGAACTAATTTTTAAAATATTAAAGTAGCGTTTTGTGAAAAGTTAATTTATGTAACGTTTAACTTTTAGCGTTTTATGAAAAACGATTAAAACAACTAACAGTCAAACGCTACTAAAACAGTTAAAAACAAGTTAATTTTACCGAACATGACCCTAAATAAGATTTTCATACAGTTGATGTATTAATCCACTTACAGTGTTAACCAATAACTGCTATTTAAGACTTATGCATGCAGAAGCGTCCTGTATGTTAGAAGGGTCAATGCCACCAAATTAATAAAAAATAAATTTCTTATTAAAACTTCACTTTTTTACTCAAAGTATAAAAGGTTATAAATTACCCCTCAAAATTTTTAAAAATTTCATTTTTCCTTTCAAAATTTTTTTTTAGTATAAACCATTAGATATCCGAATCCTATTACTAGAGACTGCCTAATCCGGTTTAGGCATATTCACAGTTAAGGCTCTTACATCTCTTACAGGTGAGTTTAGTGAGGATCGGATCCAAAAACTCTTTACACGTGTCCGGACTTAGGTTTTAAATTTTATTCTTAGTTCAACTTCTAGATGTACATATCCAGACTTTAAGGCCAGTCTATTAGAGGATCAAAAATAATTTTCAAAAATTAAGATGCCAAACGAAAAAATTCCACAATCTAGGGTGAGCTATTGAGTCCGTGAGTTTAAGGATAAGGTGCATGTACATATGTATGTATGCCAAATCCAATTAGTCAAATTAACATAGTAAATTAAGAACGCATCTGATATTAGGTAAGCAGGCTTTCACCAGAACGAACTAACTGAGGTCCACCAATATATTAAAATAATATATTATTAATTATTATATTATAGATAATGCATAGATTATTTCATAGATAATTAGATAATTGTTATCCTTATTAATAATCTCCTAATTAGTTCATTAAAATTAATACATTTAGTCTAATATGAAAAGAACGTTTACACTTTATTGACTTCATTCTTTTTGTAGTTTTATGAATGTTACAAGTTATTCTTCACAGTGCTGATCATACTTTATTGAAAAGTTGAAAAGTTTTTTTCTATACATATATGTAATCAGCTGATGACATGAGATAATTTTTCCATGGGCCAAATTTGACATTTTGAATGTCTCCTATCTCATGCATAGACTAGAAAATTATCCTCTTCTAAAATAAGAATTTGAAACAAGTGAAAATGAAAATTGATACTATTTTATGGAAATGAGGGAGTATACAATTTTTTTTTTTTTTAGAAAAAGTTTTGATTTATGTTTTTTTATATTAATATATAAATAAAAGAAAAAGAAAGGCTTAACAAATAGGTAAAGGAGATTATTTATGTTTATTATACGTTTCTTTGTAAAATTTATGCAGTCGGCAGATGTTTTTGTCATGGCAGAAAACTTCATGGTTGGAAACGGAATCTTTTCCGTTTCGATAAATAACGTATTGGCCAAACTCAAGGCAGAAAGGTAAAGAAGACGTCGCTTCCTATTCTTAAAATCTATGTGCTGTAGAGCTTCAGTTCTGCTTCCTCTTCTTATAAGCCAATTTATATTTCATCATCTTCCACAATATGACAAAAACTTTAGCTTTCAGAAGTTTTTCTCTGTCACCCACTAACAAAAAAACAAACTAGGATTTCTGAGGAAAGTGTATAATACCTATTCTGCAATAGACTCTCTGAAGCTTACTGTCAGTTATTTATTTCTACATATGCTCTAGCCCACAGATTACAAAATCCAGCTAGAATTAACAATTGAACAAAAAATTTTAATTGTTACACCACATTAAAAAAAAAAAAAAAAAGTAGAATTTGTTATAGTGTTCATGTACTGCCAAAAACTGTTTACTCATAACTCTGCCAAAGTAGAATTTCACAAGAAAGCTACAGTGTCACCTTACTCATAACTCTGCAAATCAAATCTTTTCGTCAATGAGAGGAAACATTCCCTGTCGTTCAAAAACAGGGAAAAGTTTCCCTCTCCTGTAAGGAAAATATTCCTGAACGTTTTAACATGGATTCCCTCTTATCTTAGTGTCCATGCATGTCTGTTATTGTAATGGACATATTCTAAAATAATCAACCAAACATGCATAGTTAAATTCATCTTCAAAGTTATTCAGCTGTAAATCTCTCATTAAAGGCAGTAACTTTTTTAGGTTACAATAAAAGATAATAATTTAGTAGAATACAAACTGAATCGAAACATCTTGGTGGAACTTTTCAATCCTCTTATTTCATAATACTGTTTATATGATAACAATATAGATTTTAGTATTTTACAGATTTTAAAAGAACCTAATGCATATATGGTTCTGAAAACTAGTCTTGCATATTGGCATTCCAGGACCTAGCTAGCTCATCAATTTATTGATTCAAATTCTGTTTTCTTCATCTTCTATATTCTCATGCACTCAAGGAAGGACTTGCCATCCAATTTTCGAGTAAAATATCCCTTTAGGTACTTCTCCACCTGAATTTGATCAAAGATTGCCGGATTATGAGGACCAATAAGACTGGCTGCAGGGCCTAAAATACCGTCTAGATTTGCAGTGTAGAATGTTGCAACAGAGATTCTCTCCTTTGTTGAATTCACAGTTGCCCTGTGTTCAATGCTCCGGTATACACCATTGCTCACAATCTACAAACAAAAGGTTGAAGCATGACAGTGGCAACATATGCAACTCCAAATTTTTCAGAGAACTGTGCAGAACAAGATTAAAATTTTTGTTACCTCCAACAAGTCTCCTATGTTGACAACAAAAGCATTTGGAAGCGGTTTAACAGGGATCCATTTTCCTTCCTTTCTAACCTGTAGCCCTTCAGTTTCATCGAGTTGAAGCACAATTGTTAAAATAGCAGCGTCAGAATGAGGAGTAAGACCGATGGCCTTTTCTGGTTCAGGGCATGTAGGATAGTAATTCATTCTGATTACTTGTAAACCATAATTGGTTAACCCTTTCATTTCTTCGCTATCCATCTTTAAACCTTTTGCCATCAGGCCTAACATTTTTATGGCAAGATTTTTCATTTCACTAGCATAAGTTTCCAAAATCTCTCTGTAAAAAAGGAAAAAAAAAAATTTAATCCGTATCTCGATAGTACTGCAATTGAATAAAAATAACTCTTGGGATGTGTTTGAAACCTGAGGGTTGGAGGGATTTTGTTGAAAAGATCATTGTTCCTGGCAGTGAGAGGAAGGGTGTTAATAGCAAACCTGTCAGACCAGTCTAGCTTTTGTTCTTCTGATACTACAGAGGTCTGTCCAAACCCTTGAAAATTGTCAGGTTGCTGCCACAGCTTTTTCTTGTCTTCAAATGGAAGTTTGAATAAATTCTTCACTTCTAGCTTGAAACCTTCTATCAAATCAGTGCTCACTCCATGATTTACAATCTAGTTTTATCAAAGTTCAATGGATCAATAAAAATAGATGATAAAAAAAAAGGGTCGGAAATCAAGTTATATTATAGTACCTGAAAGAAACCCCACTCTTTGCAAGCAGCATCCAACCTCTCCAATTCAGAATCCATGGAATCTCCGGCAACCAATTTTTCAAGATCGATAACCGGAACCGATAAAAGCAAAGACCCATCGCCAGAAACAGTTGGAAAGTCCTGATCAAGTATTGCATATCGAGGTGGTATCTTGAATAGAGATCCCTCTTCCACCAGCTTTTGGACGCTAGGCACTATTATAGATTTTCCTAAGTTAACTGCTTCTAGTTTTGGTGACTCCATTACCAACCTTTTCTGCTGTAGGAGCTAATCATTGCGTTCTTGTCATTTAGAAAAGCATAGAGCTGAAGGAGCATTAATAAAACGACAAAGAAAGTTTTTTTCTTTTCCTTTTTTGAGGAAAAATACAAAGAAAGTCAATTTGTATGAAATTTCAAAATATAATAATGACCCATTCGATTAATATATTTATGAATATATCATTCCAAATCTTATATCCACTACGAAAAGGTTACCATTCAATATATTAAACCTAATATATCAAAATACTCTCAACTTTACACAAGTTTACAATTTCACCATATTTTAATCTTCGTTTCAATTTTATTTCAATTTAATATTTTTAAACAATAGAATCATCTATTACAATTAAAGACGTAATTACAAACAAAAAAAAATTCATCATCTTCAAATACTTTGATAAAAATTTAAAAACAATTCTATTAATCTAAAAAAATAATGTTGCACATATTAAATTTTAATTTTTAAATAAATATGCGTATTAATAATTTAATAATATAAATTTCTATTACTTAGTAAAAAATCTCCAAGCATGGAATAAAATTTTAAATTATTAGTTACAAATTTCTATATTAGCTATATTTTAAGCATGAAAAATCTAAATTGCAGTAATTTTTTGAATTCATAATATAGTCAAATTATTATTAATTTTTAAAAAATGAATAAATTTTTAATTTTTTTTGTCTCAAATATCATATTTCTAAATCTATAAATGTGTCACCCACTAGATGTGAATAAATTTGATATTCAAAGGATATTTAAATTAAAAGGATATAAATACTTTTTTTATCTGTAATTTCATTATCAGTTGCGATTGAGGATGCTGTTAATACAAAATGTTGAAATTATGATAAAACTGACAGGTTGATAAAAATACAGTGAAATTGCAAAACCTTACAAAGTTGGGAATGTTTTGATACGTTGGGCAATGTTATTATTAGCTAATCACGGTCCACGACAGGTACTGGCTTCTGTGGGTCTTGGCCCAACTCTTCATAAGACCGAACTAGCTGAGGTCCACAGGGCCAAGTTCAGCCCATAAACGTATGGGTCAGACCTAAGAAATTGGAAATCCACCTAACAATCTGATCTGAAAAACGTATAGTTTTCTTTTCTTCTTTTTTTTTTTTCCAATTGCTATAATCAATATTTCTAAAATCTATAAAACTGTGTCCACCTCACTAGATCTGAATAAATTTTGATATTCAAAGGATATTTACAATTAAAAAAGGAATATAAAATCACTTTTTTTATCTGTAATTTCATTATCAGTTGCGATTGAAGGATGCCTGGTTAATACAAAAATGTGAAATTATGATAAAAAACTGACAGGTTGAATAAAAATACAGTGAAATTGCAAAACCTTAACAAAGTTGGAATAGTTTTTGATAACGTTTGGGGCAATGTTATTATTAGCTAATCACGGTCCAACGACAGGTACTAGGGCTTCTGTGGTCTTGGCCCAACTCTTCATGAAGACAGAACTGCTAGAGGTCCACAGGGCCAAGTTCGCCACATAAACGTAATGGGTCAAGACCTAAGAAATTGGGAAATCCACCTAACAAGTTCTGATCTGAAAAAACGGTATAGTTTCCACTTTTCTTCTTTTTTTTTTTTCCAAATTGCTATATATATACTATATGATAAATATATATATATATTCGGTATTCCATTGTGATTCATATGCTTCATTAGTCACAAGTCTGTTTCGTTTAAAAAATTAATAATTAATTATGGAAAATAGTGAAATAATATTTAGACTATAAATTCTCTTTTAAAAACTCCTCAGAAAATTATATATATATATATATATATATATATATTCGGTATTCCATGTGATTTCATATGCTTCATTAGTCAACAAGTCTGTTTCGTTTAAAAATTAATAATTAATTATGAATAGTGAAATAAATATTTAACTATAAATTCTCTTTTTAAAACTCCTCAAGAAATTACTATTATGGATGATAAGATAAACAAGATTTAGAATTAAGGAGTATATATATCAGATGACACTGTTTATATACTAATAATAATAATAATAATAATAATATAGATTTTAATATGTTACAGTTTCGAAAAGAACCTAATGCATATGGGTATCGAAAACTAGTCTTGCATTGGATTCCCAGAACCGAGTTCAACCATTTTTTGATTCAAATTCTGTTTTCTTCATCTTCTATTCTCATGCACTCAAGGTAGGACTTGCCCTCCAATTTTCGTGCAAAAAATTCCTTTAGGTACTTACCCACCTGAACTTGCCTAAAGATTGCTGGATTATGAGCACCAATTAGACTGGCTGCAGGGCCTAAAACACCGTCTAGCTTTGGAGTGTAGAATGTTGCAGCAGAGATCCTCTCCTTTGTTGAATTCACAGTTGCCCTGTGTTCAATGCTCCGATATACACCATTGCTCACGATCTACAAACAAAAGTTTGAAAGGCAACTATAAATTTTACAGATAACTTTGCAGAACAATGTAAAGATGTTTTTTTACGTACCTCCATCATGTCCCCTATGTTGACAACAAAAGCATTTGGAAGCGGTTTAACAGGGATCCATTTTCCTTCTTTTCTAACCTGTAACCCTTCAATTTCATTGAGTTGAAGCAGAATTGTTAAAATATCAGCATCAGAATGAGGAGTAAGACCTATGGCCTTTTCTGGTTCAGGGCATGGAGGATAGTAATTCATTCTCATTGATTGGTAACCATCATTAGTTAACTCTTTCATTTCTTCGGTATCCATCTTTAAAGCTTTCGCTATCTGGCCTAAAATTTTTATGGCAAGCTTTTTCATTTCAGTAGCATAAGTTTCCAAAGTCTCTCTGCCACAAAAATACAGAAAAAAAAAAAAAATCATCTTTATCTCAATGGTATTGCAATTGAATCAAATAACTTTTGGGATGTGTTAGAAACCTGAGGATTGGAGGGATTTTGTTGAAAAAATCATTGTTCCTGACATTGAGAGGAAGGGTGTGGAGACCAAACATGTCTGACCAGTCTAGCTTTTGCTCTTCTGATACCACAAAGAGCTGCCCAAACCCTTCAAAATTGTCGGGTTGCTGCCACAGCTTTTTCTTGTCTTCAAAAGGAAGTTTGAATAAATTCTTCACTTCTAGCTTGAAGCTTTCTATCAAATCAGTGCCCACTCCATGATTCACAATCTAGTTTTGTCAAAGTTTAATGAATCAATAAAAATAGATGATAAAATAAAAGAGTCGGAAGTCAAATTATATTATAGTACCTGAAAAAAACCCCACTCTTTGCAAGCAGCATCCAGCCTCTCCAATTCAGAATCCATGGAATCTCCGGCTACCAATTTTCCAAGATCGATGACCGGAACCGATAAAAGCAAAGACCCATCGCCGAAAACAGTTGGAGAGTCCTGATCAAGTATTGCATATCGAGGTGGTATCTTGAGGAGAGATCCTTCTTCTACCAGCTTTTGAACGCTAGGTACTATAATTGACTTCCCTAAGTTAACTGTTCCTAGTGTTGATGAATCCATTACCAACCTTATCTGCTACAGCATCTGAATACTATGTTCTTGTTACTTGCATGAGGATAAATAGAGCTCAATGAGCATTAACAATACGACAACGAAACCTAATTTTGTCCTTTTACGAAATCCCAAAACATATAATAATAACCCATTTGATTAATAAATGAATATCTTAATTCCAGATCTGCTTTTCTCAAGAAGTCGAGTTACATGACTTGCGATCTTCTTCTGATTAATTTAGAATTTTATTTATTCTTCAAAGCAAATTTATAAATGGATGAGCTTCAACAATATGACAAAATAATCAGCTGTTGTATTTTTTTTTTTTTCTTTTATATGTTGCTGGCTGCTGGCACTAATAAAAGAACAATTTAAAGATCAATGGCTTGTTATCATTAAACAGCCAAAAATTTATGCTTTAAACAAGGAAAGAGAGATGAGTTTGATTCCTCTTTCAGCTTCACAAAAAGTAGTAAAAGCCAAGTGATATGCAGCTGCTGCAACTTTTAATCTTTTCAAGAATATGAATGCATGCAATTCAACATCAATATCAGATCAAAACCCCTTACTGAAATTAACTTTATTTAATTAAGCTTTGTATCGGAAATTTAATTTGGAATTCTAAAATTAGTCTGGTCGGCATCATTTTTAATTTTTTATCGTACATCAAACACCTCCTTCCGTGAAATCTAGCATTTCTGGTTCACCAAGTATGCTTGTTCGTAAACGAAAGAAACATCTATTTTTTAAAAACGCTAATCTTAGCTAAATGATGTCGTTTTAGAGGTATCTGTCTGATTGCGCGTTGTCCTGAAAAAGCACCACGTCACCCCACTCACATGGACATCCGTAAAAACAAGGTAACCTCCGAAAACGTCACCCATATAATTACACGTCATATATAACATAACCATGTCAACCTTAGGTTTTAGCCACGTGCTGCTTTCAGCCACGTCAGTGTCGTCCATGTCATCTGACAGGCCACGTGGCACGAAGAACGCCAGCTGGCTTTTGAATGCCACGTCATCCTTTAACCTTGGCCACATCAGCCACCAGATCATCGTTTATGCAACAACGTGGCCTACTGATAGCGAGCTGGCCTACTATTGCCAGGTCCTGGACTGGAAGGATGATGAAGGCAATACTGTTTTGCATCTTGCAATCTCAAACAGGCAGCATCAGGCAATTGGACTGCCTCATTGAAAAACAATCCTTCTGTAATCCTTTAGTCCCTATTTATAATTAATTCCACATAGTATGAATGCAACAACAACAGCTAAAAATTCAACTTCTTTTCATATTATGAATACATATTTATTGACCTTGTATCCTCATGAAGTCAAGATATGACTTGCCATTCAATTTTCGAGCAAAAAATTCCTTAAAATACTTCTCCACTGGTACTTGTCGAAACACTGCTGGATTATGTGGACCAATGAGACTGGTTGCAGGGCCTAAAACAGAGTCCAGCTTTGAACTATAAAATGTTGCAACAGAGAGCCTCTCCTTTGCTGAATTTACTGTTGCCCTGTGCTCAATGCTCCGGTAAACACAATTACTCACAATCTGCGCAGGAATATCAAAGATTCAAACATCAATAACAGCACAATTTTCCTTTCTCTATTATGATGTCTTTATTATATGTTTCATATATCAATATAAAACAAACTGAAAATTTTATCACCTGCATAATGTCTCCAATGTTGACAACAAAAGCATTAGGAAGTGGTTTAACAGGAATCCATTTCCCGTCTTTTCGAATTTGTAATCCTTCTGTTTCATTAAGCTGAAGCAAAATTGTTAAAGCATCAGCATCAGAATGAGGAGTGAAACCAATAGCCTTTTCTGGTTCAGGACATGGCGGATAGTAATTCATTCTCATTGATTGAACACCATCACTGAATAATTCTTTCATTTCCTCAACATCCATCTTTAGAGCTTTTGCCATGTGACATAATATTGCCATGGCTAATTTTCTCATTTCACTACCATAAGTCTCCAAACTCTCCCTGCACATAAAACTTAATTTGCTCATATTAAATTCCATAAAATCGAATTAATATCACTAAAATGAGCATTTGTATTTATATTGAGTATGAAAATAAATGAGACAGAAACCTGAGGCTTAGAGGGAGTTTGTCAAAGAGGTCAACTTTTCTTAGATGTTGAGGAAGAGTGGTAACATAAAACATGTCTGACCAGTCTAGTTTTTGCTCTTCTGATACTACAAAGAGCTGCCCGAAACCTTCATGATTGTCTGGTTGCTGCCACAGCTTCTTCTTCTCTTCATAAGGAAGTTTAAAGAAATTCTTAGTTTCTAACTTGAAGTCCTCCAACAAATTAGTGTCGACTCCATGGTTTACAATCTGTTCTTAATCAAAATTTTGTCAAGTAATAAAAGAATAGAATAATGCTGACTGAATTAGATACCAAAATTTGTAGCAAGAAATTGGGTACCTGGAAAAATCCCCATTCTCGGCAGGCAGCATCCAATCTTTTCGATTCGGAATCTATAGAATCTCCAGCAACCAATTTTTGAAGATCGATGACCGGAACTGATGAAGTCAACGACCCATCACTGGAAATAATTGGGCAATCCTGCTCGGATCTTGCATACCGAGGTGGGATCTTAACAAGGGACTCTTTTTCTACCAGGTTTTGAACACTAGGTACTATTATAGATCTTCCAAAGTTAACTGCTTCTAAAGAAGATGATTCCATTATCAGCTGTGTTGGATACGGCAGCTCTGTTTTCCTTTCCTTTCAAAGCTGAATGTTCAAGCTTTTTAGTTCAAGAAAACAAGAAAAAGAGAGAGAGAAACTCATCTTCTTCGATGAGAGTGAAAACTATATAATACTGATTTTGGCAGTTGTTCGGGGGAATCCATGAAATTAACAGATCCTGGCCTTCAATTTATTATAGACTATTCCAAGTTGCCATTCAAATTGGTCTTTCTCAAAACTTGAGGGTCTTTTTGCAATTAAAACAGAAAATAGATCATCCGACAATGATCCAAAGCGGCCCAGAATCTTAAATTCAGGAATAAAGGCCCATGATAGGATATATTGCTTTTATACCTATCTGGGCCCTGTCAGATCCATTTTCAGATCCATTTAATTTTCAACCTCAGGCCACTTTCGGTCCAACTTCGTCCAAACATAGCCGGTTAATTACCACAAAAATACTTCACTAATTTCTTTTGGTTGCTTTCATCAAGGGTGTGCAAATGGGTGGTTCGATTCCTAATCAAACTATAAAACTGAAAATTAAAAATGATTTTCTTTTAAATCAAATTAAACCAAAATAATTTTAAAAATCGAACTAAATTGGTTAGTTCGGTTTCTTAAATAATGGTTTGGTCAAATAGTTTAATTTTACTTAGAAAATAAATATTTTGGAATAACCGATCCAAAGACCAAAAACAAAAAAAATGAAAATTTTTAACCAAAACCGAATCTAAAGACTGAATAAACGAATCAAAAACTGAAAATAATTTTGTTTGATTCGCTTTTTGATTTTTTCCAAAGTTTGCTCACCCCTATTTCCATCCACGGCATATTCGGGTCAATTTACATATTAACATGGTACTTTATAATAATTAGTACTAAAACCTGCGCAACCTACGCGATGTGCGGAGCAATATTAAAAGATAAAATAATATTTTATAACATGATTCAAAACTAGTAAAATCACATAATAAAATGATAATTTGTATCTCATTGAGATGTGCTGAAAAGTTACAATACTGGAATATGTCTTCTTAAGTATCTTGCGAAACATTTTATAAGATATGCAATAGGAAAAGTCATACATGATATGAACTATATTAAAAAATGCATACATATTATTGATATATTTTTCAATAGTGATAATAATTTTGAGAATTTAACTAATTATATTGAAATAAGAAATTAAGTATTTTTATTTTATGTTAATGATTTATTATATTTATTTGAAATATTAATTTATTACTTATTTAGTGTAGTGTGTCTTAAGTTAGATATTCTACCTTTTTTAACAATTGTTGTATCATGTATATTCTCATATCTCGTGTCTCGTGTTCGTGCAATCTAACTCTTGGTATAGGAGACTACTATATACACCAAGCTAATTAATTAAGATTTTTTCTTATCACCAATAAAAAATGAAGTGTTTTTTTTTTTTTTTTTTTTTTTATGTTCATGATTTATTATATTTATTTGAAATTACTATTTAATTACTTATTTAAGTGTAGTGTGTGTCTTAAGTTAGATTTCAGTACCTTTTTTAACAATTGTTTGAATCATGTATAGCTTCTCATATCTCTTGTCTCGTGTTTCGTTGGCAATCTAACTCTTGGTATAGGAGACTTACTAATTATACAACCAAGGCCTAATTAATGTAAGATTTTTTCTTATCACCAATCAAAAATGAGTGTTTTTTTTTTTTTTTTTTTTAAGTTGTGTCATTAAAAGAAAGAAATAAAGTATATTTTTTTTTTTTTTTTTTTTTTTTTTGTGTCATTAAAAGAAAGAAATCAAGTATATTTCATTTTCATGATTTATTATAAATGATTGTTTATTTATTTGAAATATTAATGTATTACTTATTTAGTGTAGTGTGATCTAAGAGTGTGGATATCTTACCTTTTAAAAAATTATCATATCTTGTATGTTTCTGTATCTCGTGTCTCATATCCGTAAAACCTAACTCCTGGTATATGAGACTACTCTATACACCAAGCTAATCAACCAGTGTTTTTTTTTAAGTGTGTTTTTGTATCGTTGAATTAAGAAGTTAGGTATTTTTTGTTTTAGGTTTATGATTTATTATAAATGATTCTTTATTTGTCTGAAATATTAATATATTGCTTATTTAATGTATTATGTCCTAAGCATGTGAATGTCTTATCTTTTTTAAAAATTATCGCATCTCTTACATTCCTCTGTCTCGAGTCTCATGTCCATACAATCTAGCTCCTGATATACGAGACTACTCGATACACCAAACTAATTAACCAAGGTTATAAAATGAAGTTTTTTTATTTATTTTTTTGTCATTGAAATAAGAAATTTAGTGTTGTTTATTTTATGTTTATGATTTGTTTTAAAACATTGTTTATTTATTTAAAATAATAGTGTATTATTTATTTAGTATATTACGTCCTAAGCGTGTGGATGTTCTACATTTCTTATAAATTATCGTATCTCGTACGCACCTGTATCTCATATCCCGTATCCGTGCAATCTATCTTCTTGTATATGAGAGCACTCAATATATTAAACTAATCAACCAAGGTTTTTTTATTACCAATAAAAATGAAGTGTTTTTTTTTTAATTTGTTTCTGTGTCATTGAAATAAGAAATTTAGTGTTTTTGCTTTTTTTTTTAATTTGTTTCTGTGATCATTGAAATAAGAAATTTAGTGTTTTTTATTTCATCTTTATGAATTTATTATAAATATAATGCTGTTATTACTTATTTAGTATTATTGCTTTACTAAATGTGTGAATGTCCTGCCTTTTAAAAATTGTCGTATCTCACATGTTTTTGTAATCTACTAACGTGCTCTCATGTCCGTGCAAACTAGGCTCCTGCTTATATGCAGCCACAAAACCAAGGTTTTTTTATTACCAATAAAAATGAAGTGTTTTTTTTTTAATTTGTTTCTGTGTCATTGAAATAAGAAATTTAGTGTTTTTTATTTCATCTTTATGATTTATTATAAATATTAATGTAGTATTACTTATTTAGTATATTGTTTACTAAATGTGTGAATGTCCTGCCTTTTTTAAAAATTGTCGTATCTCACATGTTTTTGTATCTCGTGTCTCATGTCCGTGCAAACTAGCTCCTGTTATATGAGCACAATACACCAGACTAATCAATCATGTTTTTTTTTATTACCAATAAAAAATGAAGTGTTATTTTTGAAATTTTGGTTTTGTGTCATTGAAATAAGAAATCAATTTTTTTTCTTTTATATTTATTATTTATTATAAATAATTATTTATTATTTAAAATATTAATGTATTATTTATTTAGTGTATTGTATCTTAAACGCGTGAATGTCCTACTTTTTAAAAATGGTTATATCTGTATTTTTCCGTATAAAAAGAAAGTTGGAGAAATGTTAAAAAATGAAAAATAAAGAAAATAAAAAGCTGTAAGTATATATTAGTGTTGGTACCTACTATAGAAATATAAAGATCTAGTTTGATTGATTTTGTAAAAAATATTTGTGATAATTAATTGTTAGTCAAAATTTAATTGCTGGTTCTACTATTTCTATTTTTTGTTTTTTAATTTTTAATAATTAGTCAAACTTATTGGTCTCTACTGTTCCTCCTCACAATTGGTAATTTTAGAAGTTTACACTTTTGACTTTCATATAATGTAAACTGCTTTGCTTTTATATATTATATAGATATTCAAAACTTAAAATTAAAAAATTTGTAATTCTATTTAACTTTAAAATATTTGATAAAACATATTTCCACTTAAAAATTTCAATCAAATTAAAATTTCCTCGAAGGATAAAGTTAACAATTATATAAAATATAATAACTTGGTTTTCAAGTAATTTTTTAATTTAGAAATTTCAATATTTATTATTGAGCACTTAAAATTTTAAATCTTAAATTTTAAACAGTAACTATTGGTTTTCAATACTTAATCTATACGTTTAAACTAATTGTTTAAAACTCTTTGCACACTCAAGTCTCGTTGAGGCAGCGCAGAAGAAAAAACTGCAAAAATGCAATTGCATACCTACGAGTTGCGGGCCGCAACATAATACGGCTAATTTTGCTCTTTTAACGAACTATAAACATTATTGAATATTTTATAAAATAAAATTAATGATCTTTTACTAAAATAAAATTATTTTAATCATCCAATAAAATAAAAAAAAGGCACTAACTAGTGGACACGTTTGAGCCACGTTCCATGTACTGTCCATTTTCATTATTTAATTATAGTATTTCTTTATGATATTCTGATTTAAAAAATTATTATGTGTGGTCTAATCCTGTTTTGTTTGCTGCGGTCTTGTCGACATGTTTATATGTTTTTTCCAAAAACTTTTTAATTTTCTCTTGGAGAGATTCTCAATCAGAAGGGAATTAATAATAATAATAATCATGATTATTATCGGTAAGAAATTGAAAAGATCTCCATCCAACGTGGTATTTTTATGTAGAATTTGATAATTAAATAATGAAAATTTTATCTTTAAAGTTAAGGGTTTAAAATTTAATTATAAAAGTTTTATATAAATATCATATTTAAATGTATGTGGATCCAAAATTCTTTTTTCTTTCATCATATTCACCGGTTATCATACTACCTTTAATCTATTTCCATTTATTATTTTTAGGATTTCAATATCACCGTCGCTATTTTTGATATGGACATCTAATTAGGGTGACATATTAAAAATGAAATGTCATATATAAAATATTAAAAATCGAATAAAAGTCAATGCATGTGATAAGAAAAATGACAGAATTGTCTTATATATAATTTTCGATATCTATTGTGCATCTACCGAGCATGCTTTTTTTTTATTTCGATATCACAAAAAAATGAAAAGTGTAAATTTAAATTTTTAATTAAACACATTATTTATTACGAGATAAGTAGCTAATTGCAATACATAAAGCATTACATTACCTACAAGATTTCAAATTAATGATAATGTCCAACCTTTGAAATCACTTGTTTAAGTATTTTATTAATAATCTCATTCATTAATTGATGTTCCTAAACCTTTTTTTTTATTATTATAAAAGAATATCCTCCATCAATTTAGGCAAAATTTTCGTTTAAATTCTATGAGACTTGAATTTTTTTTTGCTTTTGAGAATGATCTTTAGCTTGAATTATGAAATGCAATTTTCAAATTTGCATTGCATTGGGTTGAATTCCGCGGAACAATTTATATTATTACACCATAAATAATTTATTTTGAATACTCAAAACTAAAATAATATTTCATTTTAAAATATTTTTAATGCCGAATAGTATAAATATAAGCAAATTTAAAATATGAAGGATCATAATTTTGAATTTGAAAAAAAATAATAAGGAAGCGATCGAGGACCTAAGTGACCAGACCAATAATTCAAGGAAAAAACATTATTTTATGAGAGTAAATGTAAACAAAATTGTACTACAATAAACTGCATGTTCTGGTCGTTAGTTCTAGAAGAAGTTTATCTTAATCTCAATTTTTTTTACTTAAATAATATATTAATATTTTTTATTTAATCTAATTACAGTCTTTATCCTAATTTAACGGGTAAAAAGTTTGTTTAGAAAGTCAATATCTGTATCTTAACCATCCATTTGGCCAAGAGATTGATTATGGAAATTCTCGTCATCCATGACGAGTTGACAATGAGGTTTTTTGAACAATTCAGACCGATTTGTACTGCAAAGTCTTTATTCTAAACGTGTTTTGGCTGTTAAATAAGGAATTTCAAACCATATGCTTCTAATCTAACCTTAAACGTCATTACAAATGACTAGAAACTAGTAATTAAGCACGTGTTCGCTAATAGTGGTCTTAGGAAACGCCTTAGTTCACACGTAATCTTAGGTTTAAAAAAGCAACTCTTATGCAATGGTGACGTGTGCAAATAGATAACGCAGGAAACATTTATATAGCAACTCTAATTTTCTTTAGAAATTTAGATATTTCACACTTTATCTAAATTGTACGTCATCTAAAATATCTTTAAAACATTTTAGTTAATCAAAACGTTAACCAAAAGATCAATTTTAGTTTTTTTTTTTTTTAAATAAATTGATCAACATGCGTGAAAAATAAATAATAATAAAAAAAAATTAGTGATGTGATTTTCTTTCCGTAAAAATATATTAATCATTCTCGTCTAATAACTTGATTAACACACTTGTGATATTTAAAAATTTGGTCCAATTAATTTTTGGGTAAAAATTCCAATTAAAATATATTTAAAAATTTAATTTGAGATTAACTATATATACGTTGTAATAAAGCTAATGGGATTATTCCTTCTATTTTTTGTTTTATTTTCTTGGAGTTGGTATTATGTTAGCTCGTGGTCCAACACAAGAAGAACAATTGCCAATAAAAAAATAGTCATTGGCTTTACCGTTATCTATCTAAAATAGTAATATTAATAAAATTCAAATCTATATATGTTAATAAAATAGTCATTGGAAGAGCTTTGCGGGTTGCAGCTGAATTTTTTTTTTATCAATTAGCAATTTGGTATATTTATTTTTTCACATGTATGGTACTACTAATTATTTCTTCTTAATTGTTTTGTTATTTAAAATTTAAATTAAATTTGGAAATTAGATTATAATCATGACTTAAAAGTTAAATTAGCACGTTATTATTGCGGAATACACCAAATGAACAGGTTTTAACTTGGTGCGTTACGGAGATATAACTCCAAACACATGAAAAAACATATAATGCCATTAAGAGTAAGAGTGGACTCAAATCAAATTATTATATTTAGCTCACGTTTATCTTGCTAAAGCTAGAATGAGGACAGCTTTATTTGTTCTTCTTTCATCCCTATTCTACTTATTACTATATTTAATTCTTCAAAAATTTTTATGTTATAAAGAAAACTATAAATTGATTAATCATTTTAAAATGCAAAAACATTAGGGCAAAATTAGAAGTTGAAATTTGGGAAAAGAGACATTCGCATTAATGGAAACATTTTAATAAATTAGACTCTCTTGTCTCATCTTTAATTCATTTTAGTTTCTGCCATAATAGGAGAAATAAGAATTGAGGCAGTAGATGATTTAAATTTTGGTTTGGATTTCTTTTTGTTCATGTACTCTCTTTTCCTAACCCAAGACAAGGAGTTATTCTTGTTTGTTCTATTTTGATCTTTTTGGGTTTCGGGTTGTTTTACTTAACATTTTTAGGTTAGATTTGGGTGTAGAGAGAAGTCTGATGTCTTGGATTTAGTTACCTTGTGTTAATAAAAAAAATTAATTTACTGATAAAAAAAATTCTTAAATTTTTTGGGGCACAATGTAATTTTATGCTAAGGAAATAATTATTTTTTGATCTTTTGGGAGAGTGGCCCCTAATTCTAATGCAGTTTTCCTTTGAAAAATATCATATACTTGGGTGTTGTTATAATTTTACCATATTTTTATCATAAGATGTAATTAATAATTTTAAGATGATGCAATTGATAAACAAATGGTGCAATTTTAATAACTCGCAACTTTATTTATTTATTATTATTTTTTTTTTTTTGAAGAAGCAAAGTTCGAAGATACTATTTTTTGTTAGACCCTTTGATTATAAATATAAAAATAAATAATAAATAAATAAATGGCTAGCTAGCTAGTTTCTGAACATGTGCCGTCCCCTTCTACTAAGTTTAGTTAATTGAATGTTCGAGTTGCTACAACAACAATGTCAACTACAGCCTATCCCTTCCTTAAATGACATTAATTTGCTCTACCATTCTATCCATTGAATTCAGTTCATAATACAAATTATGTATAATTTAAATAGAAAACTTTGAAGTTTCTATAGGTTTAAGCATTTTTATAACATTAATTATTGTAAAAAAAAAATTATATATGTAAGAGAATAACTCTAAAGATATTTCTTATTTGATGTTAGAAATTTGGTGATTTACAGCATGACATATATATGGCAATATGATTATTTGCAGTATGACAGATGGCCATTCACAGTTCAAAAGTCTATTATTGATAACTCTTGTTAAAATCATTTATTTTTGTGGCTATATAAGCATGCACTAACCTTAATTATTTATAGCTTCAATCTTAAGTTGTATAAGCAAAATGGCATCCTCATCGCATCTGGGTAATAGCCTTGATGAGAACTTCCAAGCAGCGATTAGTGTTCAGGAGCTCATAAAAAAGCCTATCCTCTCTGTCCCACAAAACTATGTTCAGTCTGATCAACAATCCTTCGATTCTGCTTCCTTTCCAATATCATTACCCATTATTGACCTGAAACTGTTGCTTTCTACTGATTCAGAACTTGAAAAACTCCACTCTACATGCAAGGAATGGGGCATCTTCCAGGTTATTAATTTTTTGTTTTGTTGTTCATGTCTTATATATGTGATATTAACAACAGAAAGTGCAGATAGAGTCAACATCTAATTGTTTTGAGATTTATGTATGGTTTAAATGAACAGTTGGTGAACCATGAAATTAGTTCTTTGCTGATGGAAAATCTCAAAAATGATATTGAAGAATTCTACAAACTTCCTTTGGAAGAGAAAATGAAATACACGATAAGACCAGATGGTGATGTTGAAGGCTATGGAACTGCCTCCAGATTAAGAGGAAAACTTGATTGGGGTGATAGATTCTATCTTATAACAAACCCTATTCATAGAAGAAAGCCTCACCTTCTTCCAGAGCTCCCTTCATCTCTCAGGTATGTTTTTCCTTTTCTAATTTTTATTTTTGGTTTATTTTTTTCGTGTTTCAGTTTTACCTATAATAACCTGCTGCAAATTCATCTCTCAGGATAGCAGTTTGAATAGTAATACCAGTCTAATTAAGTTACACCCAAAGAGTATTTAAATATTTTCTTGCTATTGCAGAAATAACTTGGAAAGTTACATACTGGAACTACAAAAGCTTTCCAGGAAGCTTTTTGGGTATTTAGCAGAAGCTTTAAAGATAGACGAAAAGGAAATGGAGGATATGTTTGATGATGGAATGCAATCAATAAGGATGACATACTATCCTCCATGTCCACAACCAGAGCTCGTTGTAGGCATAACTCCTCATTCAGACGCAACTGGGCTGACAATACTTAACCAAGTCAATGGAGTGGATGGTCTTCACATTAAAAAAGATGGGAAATGGAGTCCTGTGACCTTCTTTCCAAATTCACTTGTAGTGAACGTAGGAGACATTCTTGAGGTTGGTTGGTTATATTTCACTCTCTCATTTTAATTGCTTTCTCACTTCTCTGACAGATATATCAATATAAATAACAAAAACACACGTGATTTATTGAATCTAGTCTTGCATTAATTTTTCTAGTCGGAAACGCTAGAAGTTTACTTTTTGTTGGCTAAGTTTCATTTTTCAAAAATAGTAAAGATATATATGAGGGTGTACCTATAATCCAGGACAAGACACATGGATTTTCTTTTCTTTTTTTTAAATAATGTTTTAAAGTTATTGAACATTGACTTAATTATTTGACATTGGACTTGCTTTTAATCTCTTCTTTTTCAGATTTTAAGCAATGGGAGGTACAATAGCATTGAGCACAAGGTAGTAGTAAATTCAGAAAAAGAAAGGATTTCTATAGCATTTTTTGTGAACCCAAAAGTTGAGGCAGAGGTTGGACCTGTAATGAGTCTCATTAACCCAGATAATCCGCCAATCTTCAAAAGAGTTGGGATGGAACAATATTTCAAAGAATTCTTTTCTCGTAAGCTCAATGGAAAATCATTCCTCGAGCATATGAAGATTAATCTTGCTCATCCTGCAAATTAATTACCATCCTCTATGTTTTATATATATTTCCTCTTCAAAAAATTACTATAACATCTTAGTCTTCTCCTCTGTACAATCTGCAGATGGATATAGTCTTTTACAAAAGAAATAACAAAAATAGTTCAATAATATAGTGGTCTGTGTAATATGTTTGATGTACTATATAATATATTCCTTTTTAGAATTAAAACAAAGCTTCTTATTGAAAATATGTTCTACTTAATTAATATCTCTCATCTGATCCATGAAATTATATATATATATACTCTTTCAAAAAATTACTTATAACATCTTAGTTCTTCTCCTCTGTACAATCTGCCCAGATGGATATGTCTTTTACAAAAGAAAATAACAAAATAGTTCAATAATATTAGTGCGCTCTGTGCTAATATGTTTGATATGCTAACTAATATAATATATTCCTTTTAGAATTAAACAAAGCTTCTTATTGAAAATATGTTCTAAACTTATTAATATTCTCTTCATCTGATCCATGAAATTATATATTATATATATATATATAGTTCGATCCTAGTAAGTAAGGATTCAGAAAGATATGTGTTTTGACTAATAAATTTGGCCTTGACTAGTTTTATTTATATACACACATGTTCTGTGACATTATAATTAATTAATTAATTAATTAGCTGGTCATAAGAATGGTAGAAATTATTATTTTATTGGCTAATGGAAAGTATAAAAGCGTTGGGTATAAAACCATATAAATATACATATTACAAAAGAATGTGCAAGTTTTATTATCTCAATCACAAAAAGCTTAAGCTAGCAAAAATTATTCAGCTACAAGAATAAAAAATTGAAATTCCTAATTAATAAAAGAGTGATTTATTTCAAAAGTAATTACATTGAATTAGTCAAGTAACATATAAAAAATTTATTTATAAACATTTAATCAACATGATATTAGATAACTTAATATTTAATTAGATGTTTTATCATTGGAGGAAAAAGAAATATATAATGTGAATTAGACCATTTACTTACGAGAATAAATAAATTAGGTGATTGAATCGATGAAAGTAAATTGTATTTTCATACGAATTTTATGTGTAAGGTTAGAAATGGAATTTGAAACCAGTTAGAAGGATTTTATCTTTTTCCTGTTAATTTCCACTTCAAAAACTTTTTTTTTTTTTTTTTTTTTTACGGATCAAGCTGACCATTTGGGGCAAAATGTTTTTTTTCATGTTAACCATTTATTTTATTTATATTGCTCCTTAAAAAATTTTTGAAACATGCCAAAGATATAACACAATAAGAAATTTCAAATGTTAATTAACTAAAGATAGTGCAAAAAATAATTTTCTATTCAAATTTTAAATATAAATAATAGTAATAACAATAATAACAACGGCTGTTAAATACTTTTATCTGAGAATAGAGAAATGGGCCACAACTCGATCAAAATACAGGGCCCAGATATTCGGGCTTTCGGAAAATTTCTGCCCATCTATGTGTTGGTTGTCGCTTGTCGGTTTTACCCGATCCGGTCTATTTCTAACCCATGTATTCTGGATCCGTCTCTCTCTCTATAGTAACCTAACCCCTTCTCTGCAGATGAACGTAGAAAACTGATATTCTGCAAAGAGGAAAAGGAAATCAAGAAGAAGAGAAGTTTGATGCAAACAATGGTGGTGGAAGAGGCACAGAAGTCGTCGACAACAACCACTGGAGAAACACCTATACCAAACCCTATCCCTAAGGCAGAAGACGACGTTAACAATGATGAGCCGGAAGAAGGAGAGATCGTGGGAGACGAGGATTCTTCGGTTGAGAAATCCACAGCTGTAACTTACCAGCCGCACCCTCTCGAACACCAGTGGACGTTCTGGTTCGATAACCCTTCTTCCAAGTCTAAGCAAGCCACCTGGGGAAGTTCTATGCGTTCTGTCTATACTTTTGCTACTGTCGAGGAGTTCTGGAGGTGAAGGATCTTGTTCCTCTTCTTTCTTGATTGCTTTCACATCTTTTTGATCTCTTTAATTTTGTTCGGATTGGTTTATAGGTCTACTTTTTGTTTTGGTTATGTAATCGACGGTAAAAGTGATGTACAGGGAGGGAAATTGAGATTCCACGAATTTGATTAAGGAAATCTACTGAATTTGCTTTCTCGTTGAGCATCTCTTTTCTCTGTTTTAGGACATGATCCTTGAGGGAGATTAAGGAAATTCAAAGAATGAGTAGAAGAATTCTATAATTTGGTTTATACTGAAATTGGATTTTTTTTTTTTTTTTTTGGCTTGCAATTTTTCCTTTATCTTTGGAAATTGAATGACCAATGGGAGAAGTTTTTCCGACATTTAGTCGAGGTCTAGTTTTTATATTATGCTATACTTTTTATTCTTGATTTTCTTGAATAATCAGTGAGATTGCTTCATATGAAATACTTGTCTTCTAATCTGTTTTTCTTTTCTACTCCCTTCCCCTCTACTTGTCATAGAATATGTAGTGTGCACGAAAGTAGATTTTTGAGCTGCTTTAGGGGAGCATAATTAGATGTTTCCTTTCGTTGCCATTGGATTAACCACAAATGATCCCTTCTTTTTTTTTAAAAAAAAAAAAAAAAATGAAGTGGGTTAAATATAGGTTTGTTATTGTTCAGAGGAATCAAAAACTTGTGTGAAGCATTTTTTTTTTTAAAAAAAAAAAAAAAACATAAAATGTGAAGTGGGTTAATTAGGTTTGTTATTGTTCAGAGGAATCAAAAACTGGTGAAGCATTATTCAATATGATGGATATTAAGTGATATTAGAAATTGAGCGGTGGGTTATTAGAAGGGAAGAGAGAAAAAAAAGGGGGGGGTGGGGGGGGAGGTTAATTTTGGTTTGTGAAAGTGTCTGTTGTTGATTTGGCTGAGCGCGTTGGCTATTGGCTTTTACTTCAATTTCTTGTGTTGCTTGTAGCCAATTTTATAGGATAACCCGAAGTAGAAATTTAGGAAGCTGGATAAATTTCTTAACCATATGATCAGAAGCATTCTTTTGATGAGTAATGTGTATGCTTGTCCCTGTGCACAGCAAGATTTATTTTACATGAGCTTGTGTTGATGGCTATGAGTCTCAAAATGAATTACTCTTCTGAATTGGATTTTGGATGAAGATAAATTCACGTTCTTGAGCACTAGAATCTAAGAAATCATTAATGTGTGCTTGGTTTTTTAATATCCACGAATTCAGCTGCTTGCTCAAACTATATGATGTGTCACCTCCTGTTGTCTTTCTCTGATATGTATATAGTTGTGATGAGCTCAAGCATGAAATTTTTCCTGAATTTCAGTGTTTACAATAATATTCATCATCCAAGCAAGCTGGCTGTAGGGGCTGACTTTCATTGCTTCAAATATAAAATTGAGCCAAAATGGGAGGATCCTGTTTGTGCTAATGGGGGGAAGTGGACCGTAACCTTTGGTAGAGGGAAATCAGATACCTCTTGGTTGTATACAGTATGTTCCTATACTATTACAAGCTATTAATTAAACGCTGACTGCAGTATAATATGATAGTGCCTCTTATTTCTTTATTTGCTTCTTTTAGTTGCTGGCTATGATTGGAGAGCAGTTTGACCACGGAGATGATATCTGTGGAGCAGTTGTCAGTGTCAGAGCTAGGCAGGATAAAATAGCTCTTTGGACAAAGAATGCTTCAAATGAAGCTTCTCAGGTAATTAGTTGTTGCGAAAATGATTTTTTTCTTTTTTTCAAATCTTTGTAGTTAAGTTCTTCATGTAATTTTTTTGCCTTGTTTGTTGTCTGCCTGTATCTGAAATTCAATAGAGGAAACTATCTTGTATGTTCTTCTTATTGGGTGGCATGTACAGCTTTGGATCCTATTTCTTGAAAACAAATAGATGAGCATGACACAGAGTATTAGGTTGTTGAATGAACCAGACATGCTTGAATAGCTATATCACGCTCAAATATTATTGTGAAAAAGTATGTTTTTCTTACCCTATTGATAGCATGTTCTAATTAGCTAGGAACTGATTTACAAATTGTGTTAATTGGAATATCTCATGACTTGTTTGACAGTGGAGGGTATGTCTGCTACCTTATCCCAAAACATTGAAGAGTGAAATAAAATATATGATCATTCTCACCTGTTATCAGCAAATGCTCAGACGTTATATATTTCTTGACCTCAACTATATATTTTGCAGTTGAGCATTGGAAAACAATGGAAGGAGTTGCTGGACTATAATGACACCATCGGATTTATATTCCATGTAAAGAGATTTTTTTTTTTTCTTTTTTTGTTGCTTTTTTTCTTATCATTCATTCTCTTTTATTAGCCCTAGGTGAAGAACTAAAATTTGTGTTCCATTTTTTTTCTCAGGAGGATGCAAAGAAGCATGACAGAGCTGCCAAGAATCGCTACACGACATAAGATGCACAAGAGCCTCTTCTGCTGGCTATGCTGCCCGAATACCCTAGGGATCTAGATCTCACAATTGCTTAAGCGTAGAACATCTTATGAACACCACATACCTTTTTCGTTGTTCTATTTGGATATGTAAATACTATTTCCATTTTAATTCGAAGCTTTTAAATTTTGGGGTCATGTCTCTATCCCGATATAAAAGCTGACTGGTACAATTGAATCACTAAGCTCAGAATGTGGCATCGCTAAATTTTGATTTTCCATCACTGAATGCACTCGCATAGAGAGAGATGACCAAATATGATTATACTCGTAAAAGATTTTTTATTAATGAATTGTCAAGGCATTATCACTTCTGTACATTTCAAACTTTAATCAAATCATTCATTTCACGTCAAGACAATGCCAAACATTTAGATTTACGCTGACAAAAATTAATCATAGCACAGAACAGAGGTAAACCAGTCGACTATATTATACCGACCCTTTATAGACTTGCATTGACTACAGGGTTTTCACCCATATCTCTACAAAAATACATCCATTTACAAATATAATGTCTCTTCGCCTAACTGCCAAAAGCTATTAACAGACAGAAAGAAGAAAAGAAAAATAGCTCATCATGTTGGGTTAAATATTTCATGGAAATATTTCGCCTTCCTCTTCATCCCTATTTAATATCTCATCCTCTTCACCAGCATCATCCTTAATGAACAGACCCAGTTTTTCCAATGGGCTACGAGGGTCTCCAGCCACGTTTCCAGCTCTTCTGCTATCAACATGAAATTTGTAGAATAAGGTACCCCCACTAAGCATCTCAAGTTCTTTTAAAACGTCAAGGTTCTGCACTATCTCAGCAGTTTTTTCCATCTGGATCCAGGCAAAAAAGAATCTCATGAGAATACTATTATGAACAAAGCCATTAAACAAAATGAAACCTCAATATTAAATTTGTCAAAAGCAATTGCCCAAAGGTAAACCTTCTGCAATGCAACTCGAGCAGCTTCCCTTTCTTTCTCACGTTGCCTTTTCAACTCAGCTTCTTCCCTCTTTCGTGAAGCATCTGCAGCAGCTCTAATTTTGGCTTCAATCAAAGCCTTATCTGTATAATTAAAAAACTTAAATTAGCAGGGAGATAGATGCTAACATCTAGAAGAATTCCATAGGATCATGCATATACATGACCATAATTTCAAGTTCCAGAACGTTTCTTCCATCAGTTCATATAAAACTTGGCCTCCTAATATGGCTGATCCAAAGAAAGAATTCCCAAATAACATGAGGGAGAGGATCTCTTGTTTTCTCTCTTCTATTATGGTGGGAGGAAGAATAAGGTTCGACAAGGTTGTTTTGGTTGGCGGATATGGTGGGAGGAAGAATAAGGTTCGACAAGGTTGTTTTGGTTGGCGGATATGGTGGGAGGAAGAATAAGGTTCGACAAGGTTGTTTTGGTTGGCGGATATGGTGGGAGGAAGAATAAGGTTCGACAAGGTTGTTTTGGTTGGCGGATATGGTGGGAGGAAGAATAAGGTTCGACAAGGTTGTTTTGGTTGGCGGATATGGTGGGAGGAAGAATAAGGTTCGACAAGGTTGTTTTGGTTGGCGGATATGGTGGGAGGAAGAATAAGGTTCGACAAGGTTGTTTTGGTTGGCGGATATGGTGGGAGGAAGAATAAGGTTCGACAAGGTTGTTTTGGTTGGCGGATATGGTGGGAGGAAGAATAAGGTTCGACAAGGTTGTTTTGGTTGGCGGATATGGTGGGAGGAAGAATAAGGTTCGACAAGGTTGTTTTGGTTGGCGGAGGGGGTGGGGTTCGAGGGGAAGGGAGGATGCAAGGTTGGGAAATAGATAAAAAGGTACTCTTGATGCCTCAATATACCATCCTATCTTATTTTCTAATCAGACCGAGTTTCTTAAATTACCTTCCTGCTGCCTCTTCTCCAATCTTTCCTTTTCCTGCTGCAACTTCAATGGATTAGCCTTATCACCCTGTTCATAAGAATTATCATCAGCCATGATGCCAACATTACTTCTGGCTTACTTTAAGAATAACTTACAATTTCCTAATAAAGGAGAAAGGAAGGGTGGAGGAAGGACAGGGTTTACTTGATCCAGGAGTGTCTTATGCTGCGCTTTCAAGATTGTGGCTGCAAATCGATGCTTTAGCATTGCAGCTCGAAGGGCCTTTGTCGGAGACAATTGTACATCTAAAATAGGTTGTCTCCATCCTAAACCAAACAAGGAAGGAGAGAAAAATTAATGAAGCTGAAACAACAAATGTAAAAGCTAAAGTAAACAATTAAGGCTTAAGTCAGCTTTATTATTATTAAGATAGGCCAACCTTCTGCAGAAGTTGCATCTGTTGCACTAGTCGTAAGCTGAGAACTGGGGCATATATTTTCATCATCCAAAGCACTTACAGCCCCTACACATAGATTCAAACAGAAACCCATTAGATCACCCACCAATACTAGCAGTAGAATATCAGAAAATTACAGAGTATAAGACTCTCTCACCATCAGAATCTGGATCTGACTTGCTTATCTGTGAAGTTGACATGTGCTTCCCCTGACAACCCTATATTTGAACTCAGTTTAAATCACACATGGCAGTTCACACAGACATTATAAATCACAACAATGGACATGATGAAATTACCGATACTGATGGCTCTGTGCTGCATGCATGGTTATCTCTGCCTGATGACCTCTCAGATGATATATCTACACCAAGGAGTCATTATAAGTAAGGTTGTCAATTAAAATACTTAGAACACTGACACTGAGTAAAAATACGAATAAAAAACCTGAGGAAGCATGGGTGGAGTCGCTACGAAGGCTACACTGGCAGGTAATACTCCCACATGTGCCACATCCACTAACAACAGGGCTCAATGATTGCTTGACATTGGCAGAGCCACAAGCACGTCGACCACCACTATTAGTGCCTATAAGACACATTGCTAATTAGCTCCAATAAAGAGCCATAAAGCAGAAATTTCACTCTGCCACTTCATACCTTTGTTAGAATCTCGTTCAATCACCTTGCGAACACAACTCTCCCCTGGCTTAGAAAGTTTTACCTTCAAAATCAAAAACAAATTTCAATAACATACAAGAACATCAGAAATGCCAGATAGTACATAAAGACGATGTGCATACAATAACATATTTATAAATGGGATGGCAAAGATACAGCAATCATGACATAATAACATCAATCAAATATGAATCAAAACGACACAACTCATCAGAAACCTGCAAGGAACAACTTACTTCTTTTCTAGCATGTGATAAATTATTTGTTGCCTTTGATGATTTTTCCCTTTTAGCTAAAACAGCATTGTGAAGAGGGGCTGTTCCAGGACAATTCTTTCTTATATCACTGACTTCCTCTGGCTTTCCAGTCAAAACTTTTCCACTGCTGGGATTTGAAATTTCATGATTCCATTTCGCCTGGAGAGATTTCCACCTGGTCTCAAAAATCTTATTCAGTTTCTGCGCCATTTTGTGGACATAATTTGATGGAGGATTATATAGGATGGCATTAGAGAAAGTCAATCTGACATCAGCCGCAAACTCGTTGGTTCCAGAATACATAGTCTTCTCAAGCTTGGATTTTACTGTCCCTAAATCCATGGGTTTTGATATAATTGAAAAATAGTCAGGAATATTCAGTGCCACTGGATCCACTGGATCCTTGAAAACCCAACCACACGGATTATTTATGAGTGATTTTACAAGTGAAGAACACTGCTGTGTCACACTGCGATCCATCTTCTGCCTCTTCTGTGGTTCAGCCTCCATGATCAATGGCGGGCCACGTTTATTAGACCCTGACCCCGTAGGTTTCTGCTTCATATTCCGTGTCTCATCAGACCAATGATGATAATTCTCAGCCGCATGACGTGCCGACACACATGCCTTTATCCCAGGAGCAGATTCTGATATTTGGGAAGAAAACTTAATCTTCAACTTCTTTGCTGTAACAGTCTGAGCAGCAATCATTGTGAACTGCAAGAACACAAGATATGTACCACCTAAATTTCCAGGTTCTACCTCCTCAATGCAACGACACTGAACCAATCAGTGCCCTATAAAAAGAAAATCAAAATGCATGAGCAGCAACAAAATCCATTGGAAACCTGTAATAGTTTTTCAGTAAATAAGTATTTAAACTAAACGTACTACAGATAATCAAATATAACAGGAAAATTAAATAAGAAACATGAGCAGGTATATATAACATATTCAATTTTCCAAGGACAGTGACCAGTGAGTTAAGCAGCAAAAACCATGAAAGGAAGATGGCTTCCAATTTAATAGATGCAAGACCCACGAAGAGCGCCCATAAGATGAAGATAATAACAGACTATATCAATTTGCATCAAGAGGCTCGAGTTAGTTAAATACAAAAAAAAATTTAAAAAACAAAAAAAAATATGGAGAATACAAATCAAATCAAACCAAAAGGTGGAAATAAAAAAAAAAAAAAAACACGAGAGCGCCCATAAGATGAAGATAATAAACAGGGACTATATCAAATTGCATCAAGAGCTCGACGTTAGTTAAATACAAAAAAAAATTTTTAAAAATAAACAAAAAAAAAATATGGAGAATACCAAATTCAAATTCAAACCAAAGGTGAAAATAAAAAAAAAAAAAAAAAAAACAATGATTTAAATTGCAAAAAATACAAAAAAAAAATATTGGATTACAGAAAATCATGCAAATTTAGAATTAATAACTCCTAAACCTTAGCCGGAAATCGAAAGTTCAAGAACCTCCCCCCCCCCCCAAAAAAAAGAACAAGTTCAAATCCGAGCTCCACCCCCCAAAAAAAAGAAAAGTCAAAATCCGAGCTTTCACGCAATCCGAATTCTGAACACAAAAAGAAGGGGAAGAAGAAAAATTTTCCCCGACAAGAATACAAATCACTATACAAAGATATTCCGACTAATACTAATCAAATATTCCTGATAAAAATTTGAAGACCAGGGGATAAAGGAAAACAGTAGATTTGCTAGTTGCTCCCCACGAATCAACCAAGAAAAGCAAGACATGGAGTAACATAAACAACTACATAATAAGGAATCGGGGCTATGAATACAACTTACCAAGATCAAAGAAGAGGCCGTCGAACAATGGATCCGCTTCGATTCGGAGAAACGGGAGAAACAGAGATAACTAATACGCACCGCTAGTAGATCGCTGTTATGCAAAACTAACAGGTTGAAAGAAAGAGTTGAGTAGAGTAAAGAAGGGTTTATAGTGGAGACAGAGAGTGAGCTCCCGCTAGGGTTTTTGGCTCTCTCTCTCGCTCTCTACTCTATCCCTAACTCGCTCATTGACGCGAGGAAGACCTTGGGTTTATCATTGGAATATCCGTAAGTAATTACCTCGTTCTGATAAAAGGACCTTTATGCCCTCTGTGTCGGTTTGTGTTTTGTTTTTTCCTTTACAAATATCTAATGTGTTGTTCTATTAAGGTAAATTATTGTTTAATCCTTATGGTTTAGTGAAACTTATAAATCATAATTTTTATTCTCAAAAAATAATTAAATAATTTTTGGATTTTAATAAACCATTTTTTTTAATTTTTTGCTATAAATTATCAATTTGATTTTTAATACAAAATTTAAAATTTCTTTTTCATACATCTACAAAATCAAAACCCTAAATTTTATTTATTTTATATTGAATATAATGGGGAAAAATTCATAAATAAATCTGATTAGAAATAATAAGTCAATTTTATATTTATATTAAATTATTAAATAATTTTTATTAATAAAATTTAGTTTATTTTCCTGAAATCATGTACAACATGATAAAGGGACTCTTAATTAATTTCTATCAACAAGTTCTATTTTATAAATTTTATCAAACTATTAAAACTAATAGTAATTCATCTTTTCTTTATTTTTTGATTCAATAAAAAATGTAAAATTTCATGAGCCAGATAAACTATATTGAGTGGTTTAACCACTAATATTTTATGAATTTTCCAAGTCAGCGTAAATTTAATGATCATTTAAAAAAAAAAAAAAAAAAAAAAAAAAAAAAAAAAAAACGTAAATTTAATGATCATTAAAAAAAAAAAAAAAAAAAAAAAAAAAAAAAAAAAAAAAAAAAACATAACTATGGATAAATTATGAATGAGTAGAATATTGGTGACAACATTTTTTCTTTTTTTTTTGGGGTGTGTAATCGTGAAAATAAAGATTGAGCTAGCTAATTAATTAAAAAAAAAAAAAAAAAAAAAAAAAAAAAAAAAAAAACATAACTATGATAATTATGAATGAAGTAGAATATTGGTGACACATTTCTTTTTTTGGGTGTGTAATCGTGAAATAAAGATTGAAGCTAGCTAATTATTATAACTATAGTAACTATAAATGAGGAGTGACAAAATTATGTAGATGAATACAAAGATAATGATTTGATCAAATAGGAAAATAAAAAGGAAAATAATTATAATTAATACTTCTCTTAACGATAATTAATTCTTAACAATTTTGGGCGTGTGGCTGCACTGTTTTTGGAAGTAACAATTAATTCTTAACAACCTTGTCAAGTCTCTGAAATTTGGATTAGATTTACAATAGTTTATTCATTTAAAAATTTTAAATCTTAAAAGAAAAAAGCAGCAGTTTGAAACAATAACCATTAACATAAATCAGAATTATAAATGCAACTTTGAACTCCTCTCAAATTATACATTTTTAAAACTAATTTTCTAATTTGGAAACCATAACATATTCAATATGAATATTAATGCTACAGACCCTCTCTCTGTGTGAGATATCCCACTAAAAAAATTATAAAAAGAAAAAAAAATTACAAACATAAACCTCTCAGTATTCCTAAATATATGGGATAAACCCAAGGCAAAACCAAAATCCTAGCAGCTCTGCATTCCCTTGAATAATTTTGAGGCACAAAATGCAACCTAAAAATGCTACCTAAGTCAGAAATCACTAGCACATGAATGAGGTAAATGCTCATCGTCGGCCTCTTCTGCCCTTCCCCCTATTCCCTCTTCCGCGACCTCTAAACCCTGATCTGCTGGACTTTAGCCCTAATGACGGGACTCCCCTCCTCTTTTCATTCCTTGGTTCTTTGTCCTCATCCTCCTTGTACTTCGCCGAGCTTCTAGTAATGAACGAAATCTCTCGTGATCCTCCTGGTCCCAACTTCACATTATTTGGTAGTCCAGAAATCTGCCGGTCATCTCCAAGAGCTGCCACCCTCTCTCCAAGAGGACGAGACTCTTCCCCTGCAAGTGATACACTGTTCCAGAATGCTTCTGCATGCCTCTCATCCTTCACTTCGTATAATCTACACATTTGAGTGAACTATGTAAATTAGTAACCTGAAAATAGCCACATACAATTGCAAGTTCGACCACGTGCATATATTTGTTTCCCCAGAGGAACAATCCGGAGGACCAATTTGAAGCTTCCGACTGATATCTGAATATTGATTGCAGATGCATAACTACACTTAAAACAGGCTATTACAGAAACGTTACCTTGGAACTCGTGATTTCTCCTTTATTTTTTTCTTGTCATTGCCAGGCTCATCATCTTCTGATGACTGCGATGAGGCATCGGCATCACTCAAATTCTCATCTTCACTAATAGGTTCAAAATGCTCCTCTACCAATGATGGTTGCTTCTTCAAAGCCATTGGATGTAAAGCCAAATACTCTCGTGACTCTTCATCAATCTCGAAATCCTAAAAGAAGAATAAGATGAGCTAACATTTAGTATATAATTGACCACATATAGTAGTCAGAAAAATAAGAAAGCAATCACCCAATCAAAATTTGAAAGCACAAGCCACAAGCAACCAGAAAGAAACAAGTGCAGAACAAAAAAAAAAAAAAAGCTGATTTCTTTCATCCAGGCAAAAATCTATGCCATGGTTGCATAGATTGCAATTTTTTCCCATGCAATAACCAAGCCCAATATGAGATTGAAAAGCATAAATGATATTTTTTTATATGATTATAGCAACTATATCTATAACTTCCTCAAAATCTTTGAATCAAAATGTTATTGGAAACAATGTTCCATTCAGAAATTTTTTATGCTACAACTGCTTCTTTTAAGCTAGGGAAGCATTCAACAATCATTTTGATGAGTATCATCTGGTGAACAAAGAACAATAGATGAGAAGAAAATCCCGATGAATTCAAAGTAGAACTACCAAATTATCAGATAAGATACCTTATTTTCAAACATTTTTGAAAATCTCTCATCTTTAAATATCTCAGCGCCAAGTCCTTTCTTTTTCTTGGATGCTCTTTTGGTCTCAGTTTCATCAGTTTCTTTCTTTTCATTCTCAGCTTCTTCATTTTCAAGGATACTAGCTGCCAGATTACGGTTGACCTTTGGTAATCTTCTCCTGTCCAGCTGCAGGAAGAAAAAGTAGTAAGAATATACATTCTACACAAGCAGAAGTGACCTCCATGTCATTCCCATTCGAGACCAGTCCAAGACCTTAAAGAACAATTTATGTATGGCGCTTCTGAAGCAATAACAAACACGTAGTATGAAATACACATAATATCAGCAGCATATAATACATATGTTCATATACACATACAAACTGTTTTGAATAGCCAGTTCCAGTCTTTATCCTTCAAGGACTAATATAATGTTTTCTCTGGAAATCAATTCAGATTCACAAAATCATATCCGCTATCTTGATAACAATTACAATTTCCATGCCAACAAGATATCAAATGATATTTACTACATATAGTGCAAGAAACCAGAACTCACCTTTCACAAGGAAGGTAAGATTTTCTAATAACACACTTTACATTTAAGTCCAGTAAACTATCCAACTCATGTTAAATATAACATGTTGGATATCTTAAAAGGAGATGAGAAGGAGGGGAAATCAATTTTATCATGTCAAAGATTGATAAACCATAATCATGTTTTAAAAAAAAAAAAAAAAAAAAAAAAAAAAATATCTTAAAAGGAGATGAGAAGAGGGGAAATCAATTTTATCATGTTCAAGATTGATTCAACCATTAAATCATGTTTTTTAAAAAAAAAAAAAAAAAAAAAAAAAAAAAAAAAGAGGGAAAAATGCTCTTCATAAGCAAAAGACAATATGAAAAGTAGAGATATAAAATAAAGAAACGTCGCATGTTAGAGATGGAACGCTAACCGTAATTCTCTTCGTCCGCGAATTCCACAGCTTTTTCCAAAAAAAAAAAAAAAAAAAAAAAAAAAAAGAGGGAAAATGCTCTCATAAGCAAAAGACAATATGAAAAGTAGGAGATGATAATAAAGAAACTCGCTTTAGGATGGAACGCTAACCGTAATTCTTCGTCCGAATTCAGCTTCCAGTTTCTCTCGTTTCTGCTGCTCCATATAAGTTTCATACGCAAAAGGATCTGCCCATGCTTTTGCCTGAATAAAAATCCATATGAATTAATATCATAAAGCAGAGAGAGGAAAAACATTGTTTATTGCCATCAATATCCATAAGGGCACTTGAATAGAACCTAAAATTACTTTGAAAGACACGAATTATAAAGTTTCAGATCACAAGATAAACTTGAATTCATGATCAACTCAGAAAAGCTGTAAACTACAAAAAATAGATTCAGTAAACATACACTCAAGCTTTTACTCCTGAAGTAGCTGGGAAAATAGCAGACATGCCTAAAGACAAATAACCTAAAGCAAATTGATTTCACAGAAAATCCAGCTGAGACAAAGAAAATACTATCAACAGCATTTTCAGATAAATATAGCAGCAAAGAAAAGCTGCCATCAATTATTTATTATATTTTGCAAACAGGTCAGAATACTTTATCCCAATTTAATCTGTCAGAAATATTTATTTGCATTACTGCTAAGATCTTGATTGATAAGAGCATTGAAACACAACCTCACCAAAATGTTGCTCCAGCATTTTCTTTTCTCACAAACAAAAGCTTCCTCACTTAGGAAAAGAAGAAGCGTAAGAAAGATGGCTAGCTACTTGCATCTTTCACTAGCATTTTTGAGTTTTGTCAAATAGCAGGTAGCATACAACATAAAAAGCAAAAACTTGTTTTGAATCCAACCTTCTTATACAACCGGTAATCAATGAAGAACCCGTGCATGTAGGCCCTTAGAAGATTGGTGCCAATTAAATTTGTTAAATTCAATTTTTCAAGATCTTCTTTTGTCAAAAATTTGTAATCATCATATATGCTCATTTCTGGTTTCTCCTCCAGTTGCTCCTGCAAAAATGAACCCAAATGACATCATCGTCCTGACGAAAAGATGCTAAACAAATCTAAAAGGAGAAAGCCAATGATATGTCAAAACAAACCGTTGTATTTTCAAGATCAGCACACCACTTAGGAGCAGGTCCCAAGGAAGGAATATAGTAAGATGGTATCTGGCTGCACTCCAAAGCCAGCAACATCAAACCACTGTTTTTGAACACACATATATCATTTATGCTTCCAGCTGTAGGTTCAATGCTTGTCATACCATCCCCCTGAGAATGAACAGCTTTTTTTAGAAAAAAAAAAAACCAAGGATATATTTTCACATGATGATTAATATTCCAAATTTACCTGATCAAAAAGGACTTAGTAAGTGTACACAGGCACATACAATTGCATAAATTGGCAAACTTTTTTTCTTTTAAATCTCGGAAGGCAACGAAAAAGCGACCCCCTCAACCGCCCAAAAGGGAAAAAAATAATAATTTTAACAACCACAACAACTTACAGCAGTAAAATGGAAATTAAAAGTTGTAATATAACTAACTCTATAATAACTTCATCCTAAAATGTAGTAAGATCAATAGCCTTGGGACATGCAGTCGGTCCATTTGATGCATGTTACTGAGACCTGTTCTCAGCAATCAAACACCAGATTGATGTTGAAGAATTAAAGGTGAGTGGTGGTTAGGGGTCAAATTTTTGCTCAAACTGTTTGGACATGTGAAAATTCACAAAACTTCAACTCAGTTGAATTATGTTTTGCCAATTCTCATGTTTGGAAAGGATGTATACACAATTATTTTAAGCTTTAAAAAAATAAAAAATAAAAAACTCTTCTTAAAAGAAGTGAAGTCATACCAAAAGCAGCTTAATTTTGCAAAAATTTAATTCATTTAATGAGGCCTGCTTTAAAGAGATTCAACTGAACCTACAAATAGACTCTACAAAAGGAAATTGTGGACAGACATGAGTGATAAATATGATAATGGCACAAGAAGATTGATTGATGATATGTTTATCCTCTCTTTGGTGGCTTAGTTATCTAAGAAAAATCCGAACCTTTTCCTAAAATCATAACAAACAAAAATGCATCAAATCAAAGAGATTCTGCAACTCATTAATCAAAAGGATGAAGGGGCTAAAGAAAAAGGATATTCCTTACCGTCTCAGGGTCCCATATTCTAACTATATGATTATCTGTGGTAATTAGCTTATCTCGTTCGCAATTGAGAGTTCGATGCCACTTAATGTCCAATATTGGGCTGCCATACCTATGTAACAATAACAGTGCTTCCAAGGCTCATATATCAAAAGAAAAGAAAAAATCATATCGTCATAATTGAAGTGCAGAAATATAATAACTAGTAAGAACGAATAGACTCACATATGATCCTTAACACGTATAGGATGTGAGGATCGCAGATCATAGAGCAACACCTGCATACCGGACAATATTAAAACTAACTAAACTGAAGCATTAAAGGGTCTAATAACCCCAAAGCACTAAATCTACAAAATCAACTTAAAAAAAATGGAAATGCAAAACCTTGCCACAAACAGAGAAAATAAGGGTAACAACGATAAGATTAAAAGAAAACAAAGTTTTTACCCTCCTCGAAATTAGGGTATAATGAATTTCACCTCACAGGAAGAGAACGAAGGGGACTAACTAATTACATTTTCCTGCTCTTTTCTCTCCTAAAAAAAAGGGAAAGAGATTTGGTAGCAAACAAAATGGGAAGATTCCCCTCTAATATCCTTCCTTCAACTCCATTAAATTCCTAGCTATACATAAATGTAAAACATTTGGAATTTTCTATCACAATTGCTCTCCAGACTGAGCATCCGTGCGTCCTTACTTTAGCATTCAATGCCAACCCTTCTATCACTTGAAAAGGAATTCTAAACTAGTTGATAACCTGATGGCTGCATGCAGATGGGTTTTACTGGGTATACCGCCTCACTCATATTTTATATTAGATGTATTATCTCAGCCAATAAAGCCAAATAATATAGGTGATCAAAGTGAGATTGTATTGACATTAATATAATGAAATCATACCTTCCCGGTGCTACTTCCAACAGCCATCAGGAAACCCCCATCCTCATCAAACTCCAATGCAGTGATCTCCTGCAAATCAAGACAATAGTAAGAAAGCATGTTCAGAGAAATAAGCGCAGACATTATATTATCCGTAATTACTTGCATACAATGCTAAAATACTAGGTTCCCTTGCAATTTCATCTTTCAAACATGATAGCCAGAATAAATTTCTATGAAAAAAGTCCAATCATGTGCAGGTCTGTCCACATATGGTGCCCACTACCCATAATGAACAAAAAAAAGACCCGCTTCTGATCTAGAACTTCCAAATAAGTAGTTGGGGACAAGCCTTCAAAAGCATATCAAGACAAAAACTATGAACACCCAACCAGTGGTTTGGACTCTCAAGTCTGCAGCACTTAGGGTGCCAAATCAAAGAAAAGCATTTTCATTACATTTTCAACAAGAATCAAATTCAAACAACACAGTTTCCATAACATGGATTATGATGCAGGAAACTTACGTGGTCGGTATCACCAGCAGGTGCAACAGCATTAATTCTACCAACAGAAGATCTCATCCTCATATCAAAACATTCGACAGCACCATCCTCACCACCACAAGCAACCAGCCCATGAAGCTTGCTGAAATTATTAGATATGAACCATCTCAATTTTGCTTAATGATATGTCAACAACAAGAGATATTAAGCATGAAAGTATAGTAGGATTCATCAACAACCTACGACAAACTATATTTAGAGCCGGTGATTGCGTGTTCAGTGAGGACATAAATCGTCCCTGCAAAAGTGGAAGTAAATAATTTCAGTAATTCCAGTATATGCTATAACATTTTATAAGGATCTTAGACACCCCCTAAACAAAGTTAGGTGCATTTTATTAAAAAATAGAACATATTATATTTAGACAAGAAAAATTTATAATTTATAACAAAGCACAAACTAGCCAATGTTTGCTTAACAGAAACTTAAAAAAAAAAAAAAAAAAAAAAAAACTTAGACACCCCCTTAAACAAAGTTAGGTGCATTTTATTTAAAAAAATAGAAACATATTATATTTAGACAAGAAAAATTTATAATTTATAACAAAGCAACAAAAACTAGCCAATGTTTGCCTTAACCAGAAACTTAAAAAAAAAAAAAAAAAAAAAAAAAAAAAAAAAAAAAAGGCCAGAACAACCAAATACTCAAAGTTTGTATGTGTAATTGCATTTTTTTTTCCACAAAGGCTGAAGTATTTCAGAAAAAAGAAGTTTCTGCAGCAAATGCAATAAAGCTGGAATATGCAACAATCTTTTACATTGTAAAGCAATCTTTTTATTATAAATAGATTTTATATATATATATTACCAACAAAAACATCAAATGCAATAAAGACCATCACCACTTACTAAACAATTATGAAAACATTAACAAAGTTATATACCTGTTCCAAATTAATCCGATATAAATCTGGAGATGAAGCAGCACAAAGCAAGTCACAAGACCAGCAATCATATGCAATATCTCTTCCCATCCTGCGTAATATAGATGCATTATTGAGCTTTTTCCACTCAACATATTTGAAAAGAAGAATTTCATAGAGGGATAAAAAGAGAATGGGCAAAAGGGAGACGAAGAGTTAAAAAACAATACATAACTTATGTCGGTCAACATGCAAAAAATCCAACAGGAGAATGTCAAGATCAAGGAAGCGAATTAGCGACGAGAAAATGCAAGGTTCATAATTGCAATTCATTCCAAAACAATGGTCATAAACCATAGAACGGAAGAAAATTCTTGTCAGGAGAGATTACAAGCAAGGAAAGCAGGAAGCAATTGATAAATACCAAATGACTGTACCTTTAATTTTAGGCATAGATGACTTATAAAGAGAAACAAGAAAAAGATAGTCAACATATTAGGAAAGTTTTTACTGCATAATGAAGTGAATCAACCTGCATTTCAAGATGCCTGAATAGTACATAAATCTCGGGGAAAATGTATTATAGTAATAAACCACAGTGAAATTATAGCATAAAACACATTGCATGATAAAACATGAGCAGGAAGATAAGTAAATCATAGCTAAAAAAAAAACAACCTTGGTATCCGCAAGCTGTAATGTTTTCCATATTTTGCATGTAGGCAAATGGAACGATCAGCACATAAAAATGCAAGCTTTGAATAGTCATCATCCAATATCTGCATGAAAAGACAAAAATCACCGGGTTCACAAATATAAAAATAAAACAGAAAAGCACTTCTTTTTACTCACTCTATATTTTCCCCTTATTTTCCTTTTTGATATAATGTAAAATAATTTCAAAATTTTTTTCTGACCTATATTTTGTTGCATTGCTATTAATTTAATCAGAACGGATATTAAATTGCGTGGATGCGTATTTATTTATGCTAATTACAAAATCTTTTTCTGACTTGTATTTTTTCTCCTCTTCTCTCATAATCCCCTTGACTTGCAAAACCATGATTTAAATTGCGTGGATGCAAATTTATTTATTTTCTGTCCAAATTAATGGCAAAGTTATTACAAGAAGAGGAAGGCTCCTGCTACAGTCCTAGTGAAGGGTAAGCCAAGTGCCAACCACATTATGAAATTTAATAGTGAATGAAGAAAGGCTTGTTGACTCGCACTTAATCAAAGCAAAGTTTAATGAAGAGTTCTTGACAATTAAAAAAAATATCAGTTGAGATTCCTAAATTCAGATGATCCATAGGCCAGGATACATTTCACGGTTATGCTAATTACAAGTATTTGTACCTTGTCGTAATTCAATTAACATGCATAGAGCCTCAAAAATTAAATTCATTTACTGCATTATAGTATCTAGGAATTTATAGCATGCCTGAAAATCAAGTATCTCAGAATCCAAGTGTCTTTCGAACTTCATTGATAATTCTCTTAGTTCGTATACCTTGACTTGAGGTGGGTATATTCCTGCATTTCACGAAACATGTAATTCACTGAGAATGAAGGACCAATCTAGACATGCACTCATTACCTAATCCTTTTTCAGAATTTTAAATAAATAAATGAAAACTATAAACTAAACTCTGAAGCACCTGATGCAATAACATACTCTCCATCAGGAGTTACTTTGATTTTGGTAGTTGCAGTTTGAAACGTCAAGTCCTGAATCAACTCCACTCTTTGCTGATAATCTAAGAACAAGCAAATAGACAACAACAACATCCAAATAGATATAATAAACTAGCTGGTTATATTATCTACACTATCTAGGGGGTTTGAAGCTAGGATTTAGCAGAAATTTTTGGAAAATAAACAAAAACTTTTAATCAAAAACAGAAATCAAGGGCGTACTTATGTCTTTGCGTAGAGCTCGTTGCTTCTTGGGATCAAGCCAGGAGGCTATAGAGCGCTGCTGCGATGTAATAGAGTACATCTTCACTCCGTTGACGGAGGTCGCCTTCATGGGTCCTCCAACCGTCGTCATTTTTTTTTTTTCTTTTTTGGTTGAGACTTCTTTCTTTCGACTCTAAATAAACAGAACTTATATATCAGTTGTTCTGATTTGGGTTGAGCATTTAGAGCTAGGTTAAGATTTGATTACTTCTTTGGTGCTTTTTTCTTGGATATCAAATTTTCGATGTTCGTTTCTGCTGTGTTTTGTTCTTGCCACTTCCCTATCACAGACGGTGGAGGGAGGCAGGGCGAACTTTAGGTATTGTCAGTAATTTCCTCCTAAAGACGAACCTAAATCGGTATGGTAAACACGTCAGCACGCCATGTCACAGCATGGTCCCTCTCATGTTGCTGACATGGCATGTACCGACCCAGCATACCAATTTTGTAAAATCGGTTATCCACAATCAATGGAGGTTTTTTTTTTTTTCTAGACCCGATTAATTGAAGTAATACTCCGGGCAATACAATAGGGGAATAACACTCGTTAAATTAATAAAAATACTTATAATAGAGAGAAATTAAATTCGAAACATCTCACTCTTCATATAAATGATTAATCAGACCACAGTGATTGAAGGTAAATATTTACCATAATAAACTACTACAATTAACATATTTTTATTTTTTTATAAATTTTCAAAATTGTCTATTCAGAAGCTTTCCAAAATTCTTTTTCTTTTGGTCTTTTTTACTGTACAAATGATATCACAAATTCATAAATCTAATTTCATTCATGTAGATGTATAAATTTTTTTTATTGTTATTAGTAGAAATATTCATAAATAATTTCCCCAGTTATTGATTACAATTTTACAAGCTCACTTAATCAATAATTATGAACATTATTAATATTAATTTATTATGTTCATATTAAAAAATTGTGTTCTAGCTGAACAGATTACTAGGCCCAACTAAAACTAATTTCAGCCCATCTTTAAGACATACACTGCGAGCTTCTTGTTAAATCATCTAAATTCTAAAAATTTTAGAAAATCAAGATGTAATTTTATGGAAATGGTCCTTGTAATCAATCAGAATAGGGCCCACGAAAAAAACCTGGACAAACCCATATTAAGAAATAACAATTACCAGAACATCATCCAACGTCCAATATAAACAAAATGGAATGGATTTCTTAAACCTTGATGGAAAATATTGGAAAAGTTTGCATTCAGAGTCAAAAATTGCCATTCCCGATAGGAAATTAAAGAAGTGAAAAGGATTGTATAGTAGTCTAAATAAGAACGATAATATGTCAAAATATCTGGACTACCGGACCAAAGACAAACTTCATAAAAACAAACCATTCAATAAGAAAGAAAATGCAAAATTCATCATAAAATTCCTCTGTAATTATAACTTCTCTCCACTAAAACACTAGAAGATTAGGACATTCTTTGTGCAGCCTCCTTCGCTAAGACTCTCTCCTTAGCCTTGGTCTTGGCTTGAGATTTCGAGCCCATAATACCACCACCCCACCTCTTGCGGTGCTCATCGAACTTGTCATTAAAGTTGGCCTATATTTAATTGAAGAGAAGTGAGACTTGTGATACAAAAACAAGTGCAAAGAAATATAATAATCCTGTCACTGAAATGTTTGGCCTAATATGAAACAAGCAAGAAGAAAAAACTTGCCCCTCAGTGTCTAACAACAAAACAAAATTGCTTAAATGCTGAAGGCAAATCTTTAATTTGTACAGATATTTAAGTATCAATTCAAAAAATCATGAGAAATACCCCTAGTGCATGATATCATATATGATAGTGCTTTTATAGCCTAGTGTTACCAGACATATGATGCTGTTCATTACCTTAACTGCCTCCAAAATCTTGCTAAATTCCAGCTTATCTTCATTCTTCACTGATGTAAGGCATAAAGCTGCAGCTGTTTTCTTGTGCACAATCTGTTTTTTTATCATGAAAAGTTCAGAAGAACAAAAATGGTCAGTTTTTTAACTGAAACTAGTTAAAGAGGATCATTTAACGCAACAAATAAGTGCACAAAGCTCACCGCTCCAAGTCGTGACTTGCCCTTCACAATTGCATAAGGGACCTCCATTTTGCGGCACAGGGCAGGCAACCAAACAACAAGCTCGATTGGATCAACATCATGTGCAATAACCACCAATTGGGCCTTGTTCTACAAGTATAGGATAGAATTTGTTCAGGAAATACTATATGATATGTGATGAATCAACATTACCACGTGCATGCAACTTCTGGTCATTTGATACAATAGAGCAATTTGAGAGTAAGTTACAACAGTGCAAAGGCAAAATCAATGACTATAGCCAGACAAGTATTTATCAAGTACATGCGAGATATGAGAAATAAACAGAAAGAAAGGCTGAAAATAAGCAATCCAAAATCTATTTCTCCAATATTTTCTTGAAGCATTATCTTACCAAGAGAATTCAAGATAATTCCCCAGATAAGCCAACCAAATTGCCAAAAAATGCATTATCCCTCATTTACCTACTCAGCAAGGAGCAGGAACACAATAGATATCAAAATGCATACCTGCTCAATGAGATAAGTGACATGGTTAAGCCCGTATTTGACTACAATGGGTTTCTTTGATTCCACAGTTTTCCCTTCAGCTTCAGCTTGTGCTCTTTGGAGAAGTCTTTCCTTCTTAGCGGCCTTGTCCTCAGGCCTGTATTTGAGCAACAACTTGAAGAGTTGTGTAGCTGAAACATAATTTGACAAGAACGAAAGGACAATAAAAAAATGATATCAGACAGTATCATCTGCAGCAAGCAGGATATGGTTATCATGATAAACCCATGGAAACGCCACAATATGGACAATATTCATGCATATTTCAGCAACCTTGATGTGCATAATTAACGATGGTCCCAAAATAAGAGTTTCTAGCACAGTAATAAAAATCCCACCTAAGTTCTTGTCGAGAGTCTTTGTGAACTGATTAACAGCAGGGGGAACCTTCAACCGTTGCTTCAGAATCCTCCTTTGCCTCTGAATTCGAACAACATGAGGCCACTTGACAAATCTAGTCAAGTCCTTCTTTGGTGGCAGCGCACCACCAATTCCAAACTGTTTTGGTCTCTTCTCAAACAAAGGGTTGACAACCTTTTCCTACAATGACAAAAGGAATGCACTAAATTACTACTACTTGCAAGGAAAAACAATATAAACATATAAAAAATTGAATGGAAAATGAAGTTTCATAAAGATAAACAATCACAGTAACTGGGCAAAACTAGCAGTTTTTTATTTCGTCAAACTTGAAAAAAAATAAAAACTGAAGTATGTCTGACTACATGCTTATGTGGGAGAGAGAGTACTTACAGGTTTCTTCTTTGATGCCACAGGGGCCTTCACAACTCTTTTAGGACCCTGTAAAATGTATAAGACAAGGAAATGAAACAGAGCAGTAGGGCAAAAGATTAAGAATGAACACAATATGGGCAAATGACAAAGCAATCACGGACACATAGATTCGAGCTAAGGTTTTTCGTCCTGAACCTTTTAGGACCCAATAATAAAACAGGTTTTGATCCTCTGCGGTCTTCATTGCATTATATTCATTTACATTACGATTTATTTCATGATCAATTTCATCCTGAAATTTATGAAGTATGTATGTAGAAAGCCCAGTAAGCATCATTTATGCCACGAAATCTCCAATCAAAAATCTAATTCAGATGGAAAATGTAAAAAAAAAAAAAAAAATGACAATCAAATACAGCAGTTTAAGAGTTTGTATATACTAGACCATGGCAAATCCAGTTCTAATAAATCTAGATTGTCTCGCAACGAAAATAAAACTTTACACATGGAGGCAGAAATAAAAGATCAGTAAACTTCAAATAAGCACAGAGGAAACGAGAAGAGAGCTGTACCATTTGGTCTGGTGAGTGTAGATCCAAACCTAGCTTCGGGTGGAGGCGGATGATAAACGAGAAGACGGGAAGTGAAGCTTTGAGGGTTTTAATGTGCAGGCCAAACCCTAATTTTTTTAACTTTTCTGTATAGTCCCTTATTTTTTTGATTATTCGCTTATCGCCTCTATCTTGTTTTATTTTCCTTTGTTCACCCAACAACTTCTGCTTTTAGTTCTACTTTCAGATAATTAAAAAAAAAAAAAACATTTGGTTAATTGATTTTAAGAAGAACATAATTTCATTAAAATATAATGAAGTTCATATCGATTCAATTAGCGAGATTGTTATTCATTTACATACAATTTTTTTAAATTTTTTTATTTATTTTTTATTATTTTAGTTGATAATCGTGACTTTTTCTTTCTCCGGTGAAATTCTTTGAAATTAACCATTTCAATTCATCAAACAATTTTTTATCATAAAAAATTAAGTAAATTTAAATTTATGATTAATTCTATGCAATGATGTTACATTATCATACGTAGAAATTAATTTGTTAAAATAGTTTGAGTAAAGTTCTTATTAATGGGAATATCAACATGATATCCGGTGAGATAAAACAATCTCAAATATTAAAATTATATAATGTACCGAAAATAATATATTCACTGTAAAGAGCTGATCAGGTACGATCTTATTAATCTTTCTACCTTTTGTAAAGTAAAAAATATAAGGAGTGAGAGGTCTTGAGTTTAAATTTTCAAGTCTCGAGTTCGAATTTTTTTCACCACAAAAATTATCACAAATCTGATGAATTATTCGAAGGTGAGAGTCACCCCTGCTGTGTGGCCAATAATGTTATTCCGGTCCATTAGGCCTCTCGTGTATCAAAAAAAAAAAAATATCTTCACTTTAAATGTCATAATAATATATATAACGTAAGTCTCAATATTATATAATCTTTAATGTACCGAAAATAATTATATTCGACTGTGACACTGATCGAGGTACGATCAATTATTAATCTTTCTACCTTGTTGATAAGATAAAATATAAGGGTGAATCTGATGAGTGCCGTGTTTCAACTCTCCGTTCGGGAATTTTTTGAACCAACAAAGAGGATTATCATCAAATCTGCATGAATTTCGAGTTAAGAGTCACCCCAATAGATGTGCGCTCCTAATTAATGTTATTGCCCAGCTCTCTCGGCGCTCTTCCGTTTGTAACTCAAAAAAAAAAGTGTGTGACTTCTCAAATGTCATAATAATATATATATAATTATCAATATTAAACCTATCGCTGCACTGTACACGAACCGAGGAGGCCGGTTCTTCGGATGTTAGGATATTGAGCCGAAATAAATAAACTTTATACTGATTTTTTAATAGTTACATAGGTTTTTTTTTCCAGACGAATGGAATCGCAGCATTACTAAAGTAACACAAATTTAAAACCAATGTTAGGTTTTGCATTAGAAGTCCTTTTATCATTAAAAACTTTTTCACAAATCTTTCGAAATGTTATTTACAAGGGAAAGGATTATTCTTCTTTTTATGTTGTGTCCAATGCTATTTCAGCGTCCATTAACTTTTCTCATATTGTCAATGGGAAGGGCCCAGACTGGACTGAAATAATACGCATTATATATATTAAATTTATATGATTTTTTAATAGTACAAGGGTTTTTTTTTTCCAGACGAATGAATCGCAGCATTACTAAAGTAAACAAATTAAACCAATTAGGTTTTGCATTAAAGTCCTTGTTATCATAAAAATTTTCACAAATTTTACGAATGTTATTTAAAGAGGAAGGATTATCTTCTTTTATGTTGTGTCCAATGCTATTCAGCTCCATTTTTTTATTTCAATGGAAGGGCCAGTGGACTGAAATAATAGCTAAACAACAGGACAACCATTCCCTTGGCTCGCTGGACTCATACTTGAAACCTCTCGTTTCTCACATAAATGAGAAGAGAAAACACACCATAAATCATAAATGAAATTCATTTATCACTCCATTTTCTGCATAATATCACTATACTTTGTTTAGTGATTCACAATTTTTAACAAATCACCAACTTTAGCTAGAACAATCTTCAAACACTTTCATAGAGAATAAGCATGTGGTAAATTATAAATTCCAAAATACCGAGTACAGAGCAATCTTTTTGGAAAAGCAATCCACAGATTGCATTTGCAAGCAATAATTCAATTTTATACATTGTGGTGAAAGGCACAGTAACACCATAAAATGATGGAACAGCATTTATGGTGTTTGAATCAACAATCTTGTAATGTCATTATAAAAAACAATGAGCTATGGCTTATAATGCAATAATAAATTAAATGCATCTATGAATGACAAGAAAATTTTGTTGTTTGCCATCAACTTATTTTTCTTCTTTGTTCCAAGTATGCATCAATTTGCTACGAAAGGATCATTTAGAATCAACTTATGATTTAACAACTACTCTTCTTCAATGGCCAGGCTTACAGCAAATGTTTGTTGGGAGTTTGTAAATGTCACAATCGTGATCGTTCAATCATTAACAAACGCCTACAAAATCAACACTATAATAATTATACATCCATCTGTTTAACATATATATATATATTTTTCATTTCTCCATATGATGAAAACATTTTAGCTTGATTCTTGATTGCAACTATGTGAAGGTGAAAACTAGTTGTGTGTCCGTGCATGCAGAAGTATGTGACTTTAGTCTTTAGGTAAGGTACCAAGTATGAATCCTTATAGGAAAAATTTAAAGGAAAAAACAAGTAGTAACCAACTTTACCATTAATGTCTGATAGGCAAGAATTCAGGCATAGGAAGATAACAAGGGTTCTCTGGAGCCTTCACCATATTTGCAACTATAATAAGAGTATAATACCAATTGCAATATCCCCAGACATGTTCCAATTCCATTTGGTACCTATATATATATATATAAGCAAGGGAAAGAAAAGCAAAACCCAAGTTCTATTAGTGGTGAATTAATCATTTCATTGCAATTTTAGTATAAGGTGACAGATTAAAAGGATTCAATATAAAACTCGAATTTTTGCATGACAGACATGATACTTACATAAATGAAAGGATCAAACTTCAACATTCCATAAGCGAAGAAAGAGAGACTCATCAAGAAAGTTGCAAGGGAGAGAGAGAATGGCATGTATTCAACACTGTTCGTTTTGATCACCAAATTCTGGTATAGAAATGATATTCAATCATAAGCAATGATGAAATAAAAAATGTAAATTAGAAAAGTTTGTGAATGTTTTAGATGAACTTACAATTACAAAAAGTGGGGAGGCAAACATGGAAATTAGCGAAAAAACACTCAAGTATCCGACAAACATCTGTCGAGCATGAGATTGAAAAAAATTCATGCTCACAAAAACTATAATAATAAATACTGCACAGACTACAACCAGTAGTCCTGTCATCTTTAGCTGCAAAAAGTATTCAAAGAACAAAACAAGTGTTTGTCGGTAAACAAGCAAAAGAATCTGCAGAAAATTTGAATAGGTGAAAAAATTTAGAGGGAAACTGTTACCTTTCTGCCTTTATCAGCATAAAAGATGAAGATACTAAGGTAGATCAATTGAAAAACTGCCCCAATTGAATTAACTGTTGCAACCAATATAATACCAGGTGATACAACGGGCATGCCATACCAGAGGCAAATCAAGCAGTTCAAAAGGGAATATATATAAGGTAATCCTGAAAATTGTTCTGTTGATTGGCTTCTAATAATTCTCCTAAATGTTGGTCTGAAAAAAACACAAATAAATAAAGGGCAAAAATTTAGTTTTTCACAATAAGCAATTCTCATTATATATATATTAATCTCAGACAAGAAATGGTTATAACAACTTACATGGGTGATACAAATAACACAAAAGCCAATATGTTCCCTGTAATTGAATAGCAGATAACTCATATTAGAAGAAATATCCTTATAATGGTTTTTAGTCGAATTGGTAGTGTGGTTTTAGCATTACAATTACCACAGAGAGTGAAGGTTGAACATTTATTGTTTAAGCAACTGAATTATGAAAATTTTAAACAGTAAATAACTAACAATTTCTCACACACAACACTGCAGAACAATCCTTGAGCGTGATAGAAAGAACTATCAACACCAACAGGAAGATGGAAATAATGAAAAGCCTAGGCAAATTGAGAAATAAACCCAAATGAAGAATTTGTGTTTTGTTCTCATATATTTATGTCATAAATTAACAAAGTTGAAACGGAAGAAGCGGCATTATGAGTCAATTCAACATGAAAGAAACATTACCTGCAATTCCAGCTGCATCACTCCAATCTGAGAAAGCTGAAGATAACCCAGATGGTATCATCTCATCTGTCAAATTATTGAACCCTCAAAGAACAAAACCCAACTCTCTCTCTCTCTATGTATTTGGGTCTCTGTACATAATAAAAAGGAAATACCCAAGAGGCCAAGAAGAGTCTTATTTATATTTTTTAAGAAAACAAAAGAAGCGTACAAATATATCAAAAACAGTATTGTCAAAGAAAGATTATCAAGAAAGAAGCTAACAGTTTTCTGCCTTACGAACAAGCTTTTTAATTTATTATTATCTACCAATACTAGAAAACAAGAAGATGATTAAGAGCCTCATATTTTATCAAACAAATAAATATCATCAAGTGGTCCGAGCTGCATCTGGCTCTCTGGTCCAGAAAAAATTCAAGTGGGTCTTAGTACTACTGTTTGGAAAAGACCCATTTTGCATGTCTAGTAGCTGAGGTTTTTCTTGTCTCTTTGTTCATAATTTCATGTACCTCTTGATTTTGTGGTGATGGAACTTGGAAGCATCAATGCAAGTCAATCCTCCTTCTAGTCCCAGGACATTGTCGTTAGCTAATAGCAGGTGTTGTCCGTAGATTTTTTTCCTCTTTTCTTTTTTAATTAATGTGGTAAAATGCGTTTTATATCTAATAATAATATCAACAACATATTAATTAAAGTGGTTAGCATTAACAATCTCAATAATCGTAAACGTGAGAATATAAATCTAGAAAATGCATTTTAATAATAAATTTTTTTTAGTGGATATTTTAAGATTTCGGTATGAAAAAATTTACCTGCCCCAACTAATTTGGAGATTAAAAAATTAATTATTGTTATTATTATTTTTTAAGACAAAATTTTGAATGTTTTCCACGTTTGTTTTATTTTATTTTGATTATTGTTATTATAATTATTTTCTCTTTTTAATTTTTAACCAAAGAAGATAAGCAAGAACATGCGTTGCTGACTCATCATTCATGAATAATGGCAAGAATTAGAAATAAGACCAATTTTGGCATTGAGATTTTTCTTTGGTTAAAAATCACTTTCTTTTGACATTTTCCTTTGTCTATCCTATTTGGGCACTTTCAACTTTTCTAGATGTATCAATTAAAAAAACGCAACATATCAATTCATTAAATTCAAAACTATAAAATCTTGCAATAAAATGGAAATATTGTTTTCTTCCCTTGTTTAAAATTACTATTTTAGTCTCTATGATTTGATAAAATTAACTTTAATCATTGTATTTTTAAAAAAGACGTTACTTAGTAATCATTGACAAATTAGTCAATCTATCAAAACTTTACATTTTTTACGGTTAAATGCTTATAAAGAATATTAACATATCCTATATCCTATTTTTAATAGTAAAACTAAAAATTAATTTTTAATAACATGATTTTATTCATATTACCACTCTTTACGTAACCCTGTGAGTTACTTTATGTGATATTTGATTTATTTGAAACTAGAATTGTCATTATTTTTGTAATTGCGAAATTCTAACAGTTATTTTTTAAAGTAATTTTATATCTCGGTATACTTAAATAGTAAAAATATTATAATTTTTTTGCAAAATTATTTAACATATTTTATTCACATAATATTTTAATTATATATGAAAAATTAATGATAAATTTAATTCATTAGTAAATAATACCTTAAAATATATAATAGACTAATAATATAATTCTAGTATCACAACGATTACGTTTCTCTTTGGTCCCATTCTGCCTGTAATTAGTAATTTATTAATTACTACTAAAAAAGAGTTCCCGCCATGTTTAGGCGCGTCCTATTTCACTTCCCTCCTTCGAATCGAATCAAATGAACAACATAAGACTAGGGCACTGATCTGGTCTGTGCTGCCTGCTGGAGTTCATCAGACGACAAAGAATGGGAATACATGGGCTTTTGCCTCTTTTGAAGTCGATAATGGTACCTATTCACATCAAGGACTTAGAGAGCTGTTGTGTTGCTGTTGATACCTACTCTTGGCTCCATAAAGGGGCTTTGTCTTGCAGTACGCAGCTCTGCAAAGGGTTACCCACCTCCAGGTCTCTCTCTCCATGACACTATACTAGAAAATTTTCAATATTTAATCAGTTTTAGTCAATGGGTATTATTTTTCTATGAAGATTTTGATTCATTTTTATCGTCATCTGCGCTCATTTTGCCTAATCATGCTGAAAATTATTAAAATTTAATCAAATCAGGGTAATGGGTATTCTTAATTTCATAGATTGGTAATGCTGATGCGGATAGATAGTAAGCTTTATATATAGTATAACATTGTATGAGAGAAAATGTTGATGATTTATTTTGTAGTGGCTTCAGTGCACTTCTATGACCTACATTGGGGTTTGCAAATGTCTAAGCTGTAAGCCTGTAACTATGTTAATGCTTTTTACTATTAAAGTGGGATAATGGGTATTTGCCACTCTTAAATTGTGGCAATATGTTAAAACTTGGCACAGGTAAGACATTGTGTTCGGTAGAAAATTGACTAGTTCCATTGGAAATAAATGGTCAAAGTATCATGGCTACTGAATTTGGCGTTTTTTTTTTTTTTTTTTTTTTTTATCATGGCTCTGATTTGGGCGTTTTTTTTTTTTTTTTTTTTTTTTTTTTTTTTTTTTTTTTTTTGGCCTGGGGAATCAGTCTGCTGCATCAGATATAGTAATTCAGCCATTCTATGTTCCATAATGTTTCCTAAATAAAAGTTGACAACAAGAATAATGAATGTAAGATCTAAATGTCTTCAGCCAAGAAAAAAAAAAAAAAAAAGATTCATGTTGTGGATTTGTGGTCAGTAGTGATACTGAATTGGAATAGAAGGTCGAGGGAAGTGTGCTTTTCAAATCTATTAAATTTGTGAATGTACATTCTCATGTGCCATTTGCACTCTTGTCTGATCTTTTAGGCACCTCGATTATTGTATGCATAGAGTAAATCTGTTGCGGCATTATGGTGTTAAACCCATTCTTGTATTTGATGGTGGTCTTCTGCCAATGAAACTTGAACAAGAGAACAAGCGTGCCAGGTATGCTAGATGTCTTTCAATATGTCAATTTTGCTTTTGAATTATTGATGTACCAGTTTACATGCTATATTAAACATGGTGTCAACACAATGACAAAAAAAATTTTATTAGGATGTCATTCCATCAGCTTTTAGTTGACTGCCAAAATATTAATTTTTTTATCAATTTACTCTTTTTTGAGTGGTTGGTGTTGGTCAAGTATTTCTGCAGTTTTCAATCAAATGCTATATATCTCCCAAATATTCTTTTCAACAATTGCCACTTTTTAGTCTAGGTTGGTTATTTTGTAGTTATATCTGAAGGTAACATTGCTTTTAATGTGTTCGTGGTACATTGTTGTATGGAGTTGATATACCTCTAGCTTTCATTATCATCTTTACTTTGTGATGAGCTGTAGGCCAAAAGCTTCTGCGTCCTGCTTTTTTTATTTGTTTTATTGCCGTGTATCTTAATAAACTTCCCTCACTAAAAATGTCTGATCGGCCTACCTCAAGTGAAAGAAGTGCTGAAGCCATACTGTTTGGCAGTCTCAACATGATATATGACCAATTAGATAGTTATATTGAATGCGTGGGTCCAGAATGCAAGGTCATGAAACTTCTGCTAATTAAGAGTACCCTATAAAATGCAGAACAAGGAAGGAGAATCTCGCACGTGCTAGTGAACATGAGTCAAATGGAAATTCTGCTGCTGCGTATGAGTGCTACCAGAAGGCAGTTGATATTACACCTTCAATTGCTCATGAACTAATCCAGGTAGGAATCAGTATCATGGTAGATTGATTCTTGATCTTATCTGTGTGAAAATTTGTAGCTCTTGGAACTAGACAATATTACCTCCTGTATTGTTGTGGTTGCATGGGGAAGATCTTAAAGCGGGAGAACGTTTCTTATATTGTGGCTCCCTATGAGGCTGATGCCCAGATGACCTTCTTGGCAGTAAGCAAACAAGTTGATGCAGTTATCACTGAGGACTCTGATCTTATTCCATTTGGTTGTCCCAGAGTGAGTTGTCTAGCAGTTGATCATCATTTATTTCTCATCACCATTGCGGTTAAAGTTTGATTTTTCCCCCTCTCATCCTTCTTTTCCCTAATCCAGATCATCTTCAAAATGGATAAGTATGGGCAAGGTGTTGAGTTCCAGTATTCCAGACTTAGGCAGAACAAGGAGCTAAGTTTTGTAGGATTCACCAAAGAAATGCTTCTTCAGATGTGCATTTTGAGTGGTTGTGACTACTTGCAGTCATTGCCGGGAATGGGGCTTAAAAGGGCTCATGCACTGATTACTAAGTTTAAAAGTTATGACAAGGTAAGTGTCACTGTGAATGCACTTGAAGAAAAACATATGGGCTTAATTGGAAGTGGAAATTTATGAAAATTTTTCTTCTTGTTTTGTAAGGTTTGCAAAATAGTTTATGGTATGTTGCTAACAACGATCTGTTCCTTAGGTACTCAAGCACCTGAGATATAGTACAGTGTCTGTTCCGCCTCTTTATGAAGAGTCTTTCCAGAAAGCAATATTGACCTTCCAGCATCAAAGGGTTTACGATCCTGCAGCTGAAAATATTGTGCATTTGTCTGATATATCCGACAATCTTAGCAATGATTTGGATTTTTTGGGCCCATATCCTTTAGTGTTTGTCTCATTGGCAGTATTATTTGCTGAAATATATTCCATTTTGTTGAAGTGCTCTATGTTGTCCTTGACCTGAAACACATTGATGCCACAACATATAGCTAAAGGAATTGCGAAAGGTGACTTGGATCCATTTAACCAAATGCCATTCAAGGTACCTTCTTGGCTTCTTTATGTTCTTTATCTTTTTGTTTAAATTTGGAAGTGATGTATTTATTCAGGTCAATGATCAAGCTGTTAAACCAATGTCAGTTATGATATGTTTATAGATCCTGTATATCTATGAAGGTGATGCATAATTATTAAGCAAATGAACATCCTAAATTAAGGAACACTTTCCTTAAAAGTCTGTCCCACACTAATGTTGTTTCTTCATGAATTTATATTTTGCCATACTGACAGGGAGAAAGTCCTAGTTCTGAAGTGGTGATTAACAGAATGTCCAAATTAAAAAATTTAAAACATGAAAGTGGAAGGAAGAAGCTAGATTTGCCTGTGCAGAACAATCTTCTGACCAAGTACTTCTGTATCCATTCCAATGCTGCACAGGAATGCTCATTGATTATTTAAAAATGAAGTTATTGATCTCATAATTTTCCCAATAGTTTGTGTTATTGCCTTCCTTATAGCTTCTTTTTTGGTTTTGTGCTGCTTCTTTCTTTCCAATTTTCCTTAATGCCCACAAGGTTTTGCATCTCTTGATGCAAAAAGAGAATTCAGGGCTCCTCGAACATCACCTGTAATTCCAAGTCCATCAGATAAATCCTCTGTCAGTCCCAAGGAATATTGCAGTGCAGAGTATGCATCTATCAAAATGCACTGCTCTTCAGCATCCCCAAGTGACTCTGAACATTTGGGAAGCACTCCACTTGATGACTCTGTAAGTAATTATGCTGGGAGTTGTGATGACTTTCAGTGGATATTACTTGGTTGAAGTTTTCTTCTTGTCATTTTAACGGTAAACTTCCTCTTTTAGGTGGAAAGTGGTTCTTCCAGTGGAGTTCTTGGATCTTTAGGTTCTCTGACTCCCGGTGAGTATATAGCACCTTTAAATCAGTTTGAAAATTCAATTGCTAGTTATGTCAGCATAAATTACTTGCCTCATTATACATTCACAACCCAAAAGGTATGGCTGATGAGAATGGAGGTTCAGAACAAACTATGCTCCAACAATTCAAGCATTCTATTGATAAACCTTGTCAAGCATTATTAAAGGAGTGTGATTGTAAGAATGGTCCAATGCCAGCTGTAGTTCAAGAAGAAAAAACAGAGAACAAAAAGGTCATTGTAAGGAGTTCTTATTTTAAGCACTCAATGGGCAAGAATGACGAAGACAATAAACAAGAAAAAGTCTTTGGCACAGATGATATTGCTGGTGATCCTCGCAATAATAATCTTCTGGGAAGTTCTTACAAGACGAGAACAGCAGATGGAAAGGTCATTGTAAGGAGCTCTTATTTTCCTTGCAAGTCAGTAATCAAGAATAGTAACGAGAATGAACAAGAAAGGCTTGTAATAAACGGTGATGCAGCAATTGGTAGTAGAGTGAGTGAGGATATCATTCTTGAAAGTGCTTCTTCTGAGGAAAATGGCATTGCCATGAAAAGGAAGACCTCACCTAATGACTCTACCCAAAATGTAAGTGCTCTGCTTCTCTCCTTTTTTTTTTTTTTTTTTTTTTTTTTTTTTTTTTTTTTTTTTTTTTTTTTTTTTTTTTTTTTTTTGTAATTTGGCACAAATCTTTCTAATATTTGAGCCTTACTTCTAATTCTTTTAAATGCTTCAGGGGAATATGATGCCCAAGCAAAAGCGTGCAGATGCATTTCATTCTGAGAATGGTATGTCATATTTACAACTGCCATAGCTTAACTTCATCTTGGGCCTTTTTATTTTTCTTGTACTCTCGGTTCTTTTTTCATTAAACTGAAAGTTCATTGCTTTTCAACTTATAAACCATTCCTGTGCCTCTAATTCCTGAATTTTTTTATTTATATAGATCCCATTGTTATCAATTTTTTTTATTTATTTTATAATATCCACTATCTCCACATAAAAGAACTAACTGATCGATTTACATATAAAGAATTTCATTTCATTTATATTATGGACTCTCGAATTTTCCTCATGTGATGACATACAGGCTGTGTTCTATTGGTGGCTTGTTCATTTTAGAAGCCACAAAAGATGAACCTCTATGAACTTTGTCCACCATTGTTACTTTACCCAAAAGAGTTTGTAATTTCTACCGATGAAAAAAAAGAAAGCATCTAATCTGAATTTCTTTTCCTTTAGGTTGCCGTGCTCCTACTCTTGATGAAACATCTATAGAGACAAAGATCGAAGAAGGAAAGTTTGGATCTAATATTTCACATTTAACTCAGTACTCTGACATAGCAGAGAAATCAATGGAGAGATTTGTTTCAGTCATATCATCATTTAGATACTCCTCCACTGGCTCTCGTGCTAGTGGTCTTCGTGCGCCTCTGAAAGATATTCAAAACACTCGTATTAGCAGGAGTACGAGTACCAGTAGGTAATATATTCAGCCCTGATCCCAAATTACATGTCCAAAATATATATATATATATATATATATATATATTATATATATATATATATATAATAAAGAGAGAGAGAGAGAGAGGAGAGCAGAGAGAGAGAGAGAGGGGTAAACAATAAACTGTATTCTGCATTGAATTTTTAGGTCAAATTTGAGAGAGAGAGAGAGAGAGAGAGGGGTAATACAATAACTGTATCTGCATTGAATTTTAGGTCAAATGCTGGTGTCGATTTCAGCCATTTTGCTTATGCACCAGCACGCAAGAAAACTGGTATGCCATTACGCAGATAGTGAATACGAAAATATATATATCGGTGAAGGGTCACAAGACATTTCAATTGCAGGAGCTATAGATTCTATATTTCTCTGTAGAATGTAAGGAAAGCTGTTCAATTTTGTATTTCCATTTTCATGTTGTATATGCATTCCTGTTATCTTGCTAATACTGATATTTATATCTTATATAGGATCAAATTGACTTAGAGACATTTTGGATTTCTCGAGGCATTTATTTACCATCTGCGAGTAAAATTGTGCTTCTCATACCTTTTTTTGTTTTTTTTAAGATGTTGCATTCAGATTCTTTGTACTTTGATTCTCATTAATGTAAGCTCTTTTGTCTGTAAAATGTCCAATTGAATCTGATCATGCATTCAAGCAAAACAACAAGTTTTGATGATAAAACTATTTATGCCTAAACTAGATGTTATGTCGTTCAAGGAAACTGAGTTTGTTCTTCCCTCAAAAACGACTGGTCCTCTTTCTAGGCGGAAGGAAATGAGGATTTAAATTTTTAATGATAAAAAACTACATACGCCATGTCGTTTGCTATCGCTCAACAGATTCTGATTTGTTTAGGGCCCGCCCATTAAGAGAAGCCCGCTAAGAGATTTATCTGCCACTTGCCTATACTATTTAACTTTGATTGATATTGTGGATAATTTATTATTTATTATTTATTACTTGAAGACGTTTTTCTTTGAAATGAATTAATTTTTCTTTTAGTCAAAAATATTTTTCATTATATATATAAAGATTTAAAGAAATGGACAAAAATATACATTGTTGTCAAGATGTGTATGATTCACAGATTTAGTCAATAAATTCTCATTTCCTTCAAGAATTTCTAGTGTACCAAACAAGAAATATTCCGATCACTAATACTTAATGGAATTATCAATTAAATATCAAATATGAGCAATCAAGATAAGATGAATCTTTTCCCAAGATAAGATGGAATTATCAATTAAAAAGTAATGTTCAATCATATGATTAAAGGATAAGTTTTGAAAGTATGCATGTCAAAATGAAGGTCCTAACCCTAATGTGGGATAACATTTATATACATATAGTAATTCCCAAGAGTGCACTCCAATAGCCTCGTGGCTCAATTCTTACTAACACGTATCTTCTTCCTTGCTTTAAATGATAACAACTGAACAACATTAACCTATTAATTAGTATAATGGAATACGTCAATTAAAATATTTAGAAACTTTTTTGTAGTTTAGTTATTAACTTTTTTCGATGAAATAAAACAATAATTCTGAAAATTATGATTCAAAGTGTTATATTTGTTTTTTTGTGCAAGGGACGATAACCATAAATCGATTTGTGTGGGGTCTTAATTTTTGCCACGTAGGATTATGCAATATCCATTAGCCTTTCATAGATATTCGACACTTGTAAATTTTGTTTAGACTATAAAAAGAGATAAGTTACAACGCAATGCCACGTTCACGGTCAATGGCCATGCATTTTAGTAGTAAATTTTGTAAGAAATGAATTTACAACATTTTTTTTTTGAAAAAAAAAAATAATAAGTTCATAGGTGAAAACATTAATATTCTACTTAAAAGTGTTTAATTTAAACAATAATTAGTATAATATTTGAAATAATAATTTTTATATCTTTTAATTATCTAATAAATATTTTCTAATTTTAGAAATTTGAATATTCAACAGAATAATTTTGAAAGCTGAAATATCTAATTCAACAATTTTATAAATTGAAGTGTTCAATAACTCAAATTAAAAATTATGATTGATAGATAAATTTATGATTAAAGCCGTTTTATACGATAATTTTACATTATATCCGAGGATGAAGAATTGTTTTAAATAAACCATTTTATAATGTTTTTTTCAATTATTTTCAACTGGATTTTCATTAATTAATTAATTAATGTTTCTATTATGGAAGTTATGGGCCTATAGGCTTAGGGCATGAAAGCTCTGTCTTCCCTTTTAAAGCAAAACGACAATCCAAAAAATTAATAAATAATTAAATTGAATTACCATAAAAATATTTGTAGAATTCAATTATTTTTATAATTTTTTAAAAATTTTTGGATACGAGTTAGTCCACGTCAGAGGCTAATGAGCTGACAATGTCCGATCTTTTCTTAACAAGTCAATTATAATACAACACGTGTCACACTCTAGCAGCAATTTTATGCGGCTTGTGCACGTGGCCTCGTTGTCAAGGGATTTTGTTTCTATTCGGATCCATTAAGGTGATTATTATTAATGTTATATTATAAGTTCGGTATAAAATAACATTTTTATATATCTTATTGATTAAAATAATCAATTGCGTGATTTATTTTTATTTTTTTAAAAAATTTAATCCAAAACAGCAAGCACACGTGGAATAGACTGAGACATTCCATTTTTTTATTGCTATTTTTTAAATTAATGTGTAAACTATATAGCTTGCAATTTCCACGAGGCATATGTATTATACATATACATTTTTTTACATAACGATAAGGGATGTGGTCTCATTTTAGATCTCAGACAAAATCTTTAAAGGTAATATTTAAAAGTTATTTTATATTATTAAAATAATTAACAGTTAATATAACAATTTATGACTACTATAATAGTTAAAAATTACTAAAATAAATGTGAAAATATTAATTATTTTAATAATTTAAATAATAAAAATACTCTCTGAATTTTAAATTGAGATTACAAAGATTTTGTTTTATTTCATCAGCTAAATTTAAAATTTATGAAATTAATATTTAAATTTCAGGGCTCGAATTCCATGTATAAAAATTTTAATATTTCAAGCAATAAATACAGCTAACTGAAATTTGGATCTGAGATTGAATTTAAAATGTTTCTGTTCTGCTTAACAACAAGATTGGAAAGCACAGTAATGAATTCCATAAATTCATTTTCTGTTTCTTTTTCTTTTAAAAGCAAATGACAAGTACATGTAAAAGCAGAAGCCAGAAAGCACATGGAAGTGACAAGTTCTTCTCCTTTAAGCCTAAACCTCTGTTAGGCTGTATCTTAAAAAAAAAAAAAAAAAAAAAAAAAACTAAACCTCTGTTTAGGGCTGTTATCTTAAAAAAAAAAAAAAAAAAAAAAAAAAAAAAAAACACTTTGAATCACCATTTTGATAATTAAAAATAATTACACGATTATTCAAAAAGAAAAAAAAAAAAGTGGACTTTCAAATAAGCAAATGATTTACATTTACAAGTTAATATAAATTCAAGATGTAAGCTTATACGCGTCTTGGAAATTAATAATTAAATAAAAACCATCTTTATAAGCAAAGAATTGTCAAATTGAAAACTCCTAATCTTGATTATATGTAAAATTATTTATAAATTAAACCTAGTTGGATCCCTAAATTCCGGTGTCACCTAATAGTTAGAGACCCAAGAAAAATCCCTAACCAATCAATCTGTTGTTTTGACTGTTAATTAATTATTCGTATCAAGAAACAAACTCTATGCTTCAACTTTCCATTTGGCATTTAAATATTAATTAAAAATTTAAGTTTGGCTTCTGTTAACAAAATTCAATTGTGTTAATCCTATTTCAACCAACATAATATGATTAAAGCACATGCTTGTTTCCTTATAAGAAGAACCTAAAAAGTCAATCATCTCATATATATATATATATATATATCAAACAAAAAATTGAACTTTTTTATAAAAGAAAGTCCAATGTACTAGAAGAAATCGAACTAAAGACCTTTCACTTTCTATGCGAGAAGACTAATAAAATTAATTGATAATACTTTTAACCTACTATTAATATACTATTTTAATATCTAATCCTTATCTTAATTTTTACCAATTTGAAAGTCAGAATAGTAAGATATTAAGAGAGAACATTCAATAGGAAAAAGATTAAAAAAAAAAAAAAAAGGTTAAAAAAAAGGAAAAGTATTGAACATATGTTGTTGAAAGGTTTAGAAATATAAAAAAAAAAAAAAAAAGGAAAAGTATTTGAACATATGTTGGTTGGAAGGTTTAGAAATATATATACAAATTTGAATATGTAAGAATTTACTATTATTGAAAAGCAAAATTAAATTCAAACTGAGACTCATTAAATATATATACTTATATTATTTTTAAGAATAAATGAATATGTTAGCCTAGTTCTTAATTTTTTTTTTCATTATCAAACATGAACTCGATTAATTAAATTAATAAGTCATTAATTAATCGTAATATATTTATCAAGATTTCAAATCTAAATTCTAAAATCTTTATTATCGAAAATATTTTATTTGAATATATACGAACATTAAAACAAACGTACAACCCAAAAAATATGTAATTTTCAATCTTTCTAAATACAAAAATATATTTAAAATGAATTTAGATTTTAAATCTAAAATTATCCAAACGTATACATATATGTTTCGCCTTTATTTTTACAGATATAAGTAATGGAAGAAACCATTATTTCTGACCTATAGTTCAAACCATCGATCTCACCCATCTTTCTGTGTCTCTGAAAATCAAGAAACCAGTTGTTCATGTCCAAAGAGAAGACAAATTTCCAGCACATTGTTGCAAGAAGACTCTTTTATGTCGTATGCATCAGATATTAATCCACATCTACCAAGCTATAAGCTCCTGCATTAATTCATAAATCACAAACAACTAATTTCCAAAGAATGAGTTTAAGAACTCATTAATTATGTCTTTATAGTTAATAAAAATTAAAACCCAATGAACAATTCTCCATTTTCATTTGTTTTTGTTACAATGAATGCTATAATTAACTAATCAACAATCTCACCAAACTTTAAAAAAAAAAAAAAATGAAATCTAGAGAAAGGAAAATCAAATTCTTTCCTTTTTTCCCCCAATTCTCTTCTTGATTCTTAATTTGATTTACAGTACCTCATTATGACTATCATGTTTCTAAAAACCCAGTCAATCTAAGAACTGAATTCCTAACTCGACTCAAATCCCTTCCCTTCAATGTCCTTCCATTTCCAGTACAAACAGAGAAAGCCATTTTCCCTTCAATTCTCCTCCCAAGTATAACATGCGGCGGAATCAATTCGTCCCCATCATATTCCTCGTCAAAATCACCAGCATCAGAAAACCGAAACACATTGCTGGGAATATTCACCGGAACGGAGCTGGATTTCTGCTGGTTCTTTTTCTTTCCTCTCCTATTACTATTATTACAAATCACGCGCGAGTTGTCGTGATCTAAATCTTTGCAACGGAAGAAGTAGCTGTCGTCGTGGTCGTGGTCGGAGAAAATGACGTCGGATTCTTGGAATTCCTCGGCGGCCATAGAAATGAGAAAATGGAAGGCAGAGGAGACAGAGGATGGAACAGTAGTAATAATAAGGAAAGAAAAGAGAAATGGAGGGGGTGAATTTATAGGGGAAAGAGAAGAATCTAAAAATCGTAGTGAGTACACTTTCGATTGTTTGTGTTGATAGATGGCGTCACTCTATAGGAGTTGAGTGCGGTCCCAGCTTTCTCTCTCTACAAGTTATTGTCTTTCTCTCTCTAGAAGGGCATCTGTGTTTTTATTTTTTATTTTTTATTTATTTTTTTATATGGTTTTTGTGACTTGTGTGTGTAAATAATAATTATCCGTCGGCTGACTAAAAACCATCTCTCTTTTGCTTGGGCCTTATGGCTTTTACTCTTAATTAATTGGGTTTTTGCAAATACTTTAATCATTTTTACTCTTTTTAGGAAAAAAAAATACAATTTTTTTTAACCATCCACTATATAGCTGACTAATCTGGATTCGTGATGGACAAACCTAAAAAAAAGGTAAAATGCTTCCTCATGAATATTTTAAAAGACTTTATATCTAAGTTCGAACTTAAAACTTTCTGGTTGAAAGAGAAATTATACTTGCAATTCCATTTCACATATCGAAATTTAAGATTTTTTTTAAATTTTTTGATATTATATAAATAATTTTAGATTTTATATAATTTTATCTCCAAAATCGGAGTATCAAAATCTAAATTTGCCATTATTAGGAGATTTTATTTAATTATGAATTGAAACGTGGAAACACATATAATTGCGGAATATATTATATATATTACTAATTGATATATTGGGGGAAGTTAAAAAAAAATAAAAAGAAATCATATTAAGGTATAGTTTAATGGTAACTATATAAACGAACTAATAATATATTTAGGTTTTGATTCCCTCCCATACTTAAAAAAAAAAAAAAAAAAAATCCCTCCCATACTGTAAAAAAAAAAAATAAAAAAAAAAAAAAAAAAAGAAAGGAAGGATGGTATTATTTTGATTGTCCATTGAAGATAAAAACCATTGTATTTATCCTATGTGTATTGGAATTTGGCAGTAGAAAATGAATATAAGCTCAAAGAAAAATTAGTTACGTTACACTTGTGAATCCATAGTGTTCCATAAAATTAATTATTTCAAACTGTTGGATGGTTTTCAATTAAAAAATGCATTACTTTTTGAAAGACAATGATTGAATAGTTAATTTCACTAAATTCAAAAGACTATATAGTAATTCTCCTTTCGTTCCATTTTATTTTATAGTTTGAACTTAAGAATTAATATCTAATTAATAAAATGAAGCGAAAATTCTACTTATCTAATGTGAAGATAAAAGGAAGTAATTAATTAGTTTGTATCTCGTCATTGCTAATTTGATTTAGACTTGAGAAATTCGCTTCAAACATCTAGCATAGACTGGGATCATCCTTGACCTATTGTATATGGTGCTAATATTATGAAGGGAATGGGTAATAATGTCATCATACCGTGTCTATATATATATATATATATATATATTAGTGTGCTTTAAAAATTTCATGAGATAAAATTTAATTTTGCTACGAGTGAAATAATTTAATAATAATTTTAAATTAAATTGGTTGCTTTAGTAACTCAATTGGGAGACTAGTAATCCATTTCAACACTATTTTTTACATTATTACACTATCCAATGAACTAATTTTAGTTCGAATAATTAAACAAAAGAAATTACAATTTTACTAAAGAAAAGGAAAAAGGTAGAGCTTTTGAAGTTGAGCCAAGCCGAGGAGTCGGTAATTGAGCTGAGCCGTTTTGTTTGCAGTAGCAACGAAGCCATTGAAAGCTGTAATATACTCCAATGATTGGGGGGTTGAGGTTAAAATGCGTGGGTGTAAAGCCACAAAATGATCGACCACCAGCTACGGCGGCCGGATCCGGCGGCTCATGCTCCGGGTCAGAGCGTGATGAAAGGGACCCACTTATAGATATATATGATAAAAATTACTCCCGAGGGAGGTGGAGAGGAGGCCCACCTAATCCAATCCGAAACATAGAATGATTTCGAATACGACCAACACGTGTTAGATGACGTCAGATATTGCCACGTAGGCCACAGGAAGTCTGAATTATTCTGGATTTAGGTGCCACGCAGCAACTGTAGTTTTCGTGCAAGTCATTATATTACAGTGGCATTTTTTTTTTTTTTTCTTTTGTTTTTGTTTTTTCCTATGGGGGTTTGTTAATTATTTGGTGAGCGTGAAGATACGTCTCTAATCTTTACATTGGAATGTTGATATTTGAGAAGCCAACAAAATTTCAATATTATTGTAAGATAAAATTAAAACAAATTTTCATGGATAAGGATGACTTTTTATTATTCAATGGGCTGAAATTTAATTTTAAAAAATTTCAACCATGAAAACTTGTGAGATTTCTATTTTCGAAATAATGGGAAATTTTAATCAAATATGATAATTTTGAAAAATTAAGCTAAGCTATATGTTTCTCGCACGTATAAATGAGTTACGTCTTACGTCGCTTGTGATCTGAAGGTTACATTTAGCGCTATTAAAACAGTCTTTTTATACAAGGGAAATTGAGTATATATATATATTTTTTTTGTTAAAATATTTGAAATGATTACAAAAACTTGTTATTACATTCTTTTCGTTTTTCAATAAATTTTCTTTTTCTCTTCAAATTTCACTTGGATAAAATTTGGGGATGAGAAAGAATATGATGTGGATGGGATTTAGTTTAAAAGAAAGACGTAAGGTTGGAAAGGGTTTGGTATGTTGTGTGGATAATTTTCTAAAAGAAGGGACCTATCAGGCCTGTCAAAATAGACGAAACCAGAGAAAAAGATTTGTTTAACCAAAATCGTATGAAGCTTTTTTGATTCAGATGGGTACTTGACGTACCTGTTCTCTTTTTCAAGATAATGACTTCACTCAAACATTCATAAACTTACTTTTTCCCAATTTTTTCTTTGTTGAAATTTTATTTTTTATTATACGAATCGTGATAAATTGATAATGATTTCAATCTAATCTAAAACCAACGTGGTTGAACAGTTTTTATTATTGCTTGGTCAATTTTCTTTTTTTTTAAAAAAAAATTCTAAATTCATATATAGTTGAGGAATTCGAACTATAATTTCAATTTTCTGATTTATTGGGATGATTTTAATCTTTGTTATTTAACTTTTTCTTCTTTTTTTTTAAAAAAAAAAATTAAAGTTTTGGTGTTTAGCTGGATATATATTGGAATGACAACCAATTATTAAATGGGGTTAAATGCATAATTATATTTTATAAAAAATAAAAAAAATTGTGGCACCTTACAATGAAAATTAAATTGAAATGTTCAAAAAAAATTTATAAATTGAAGTGTTTAAGATATGTAATTTTATAAGTTGAATATATATAAATATTAACATAGAATAAAATGATTGGTTTATTTCCATATTCAGAGCAATAATGTACTTTTATATGATCTAATTAGGCGAGTTAAGCTGAACCCTGAAAATTTCAAAAGTATGCAGACCGGAAAGGGAAAATTAAGCCCACAATTGAAATCTAAAATCAAATTAAATTAAATTATAAGATTAGCTTGATATATAGATGAGAACCCTGAAAATTTCAAAAGTATGCAGACCGGAAAGGGAAAATTAAGCCCACAATTGAAATCTAAAATCAAATTAAATTAAATTATAAGATTAGCTTGATATATAGATGAGAACCCTGAAAATTTCAAAAGTATGCAGACCGGAAAGGGAAAATTAAGCCCACAATTGAAATCTAAAATCAAATTAAATTAAATTATAAGATTAGCTTGATATATAGATGAGAACCCTGAAAATTTCAAAAGTATGCAGACCGGAAAGGGAAAATTAAGCCCACAATTGAAATCTAAAATCAAATTAAATTAAATTATAAGATTAGCTTGATATATAGATGAGAACCCTGAAAATTTCAAAAGTATGCAGACCGGAAAGGGAAAATTAAGCCCACAATTGAAATCTAAAATCAAATTAAATTAAATTATAAGATTAGCTTGATATATAGATGAGAACCCTGAAAATTTCAAAAGTATGCAGACCGGAAAGGGAAAATTAAGCCCACAATTGAAATCTAAAATCAAATTAAATTAAATTATAAGATTAGCTTGATATATAGATGAGAACCCTGAAAATTTCAAAAGTATGCAGACCGGAAAGGGAAAATTAAGCCCACAATTGAAATCTAAAATCAAATTAAATTAAATTATAAGATTAGCTTGATATATAGATGAGAACCCTGAAAATTTCAAAAGTATGCAGACCGGAAAGGGAAAATTAAGCCCACAATTGAAATCTAAAATCAAATTAAATTAAATTATAAGATTAGCTTGATATATAGATGAGAAAAGTATGCAGACCGGAAAGGGAAAATTAAGCCCACAATTGAAATCTAAAATCAAATTAAATTAAATTATAAGATTAGCTTGATATATAGATGAGAACCCTGAAAATTTCAAAAGTATGCAGACCGGAAAGGGAAAATTAAGCCCACAATTGAAATCTAAAATCAAATTAAATTAAATTATAAGATTAGCTTGATATATAGATGAGAACCCTGAAAATTTCAAAAGTATGCAGACCGGAAAGGGAAAATTAAGCCCACAATTGAAATCTAAAATCAAATTAAATTAAATTATAAGATTAGCTTGATATATAGATGAGAACCCTGAAAATTTCAAAAGTATGCAGACCGGAAAGGGAAAATTAAGCCCACAATTGAAATCTAAAATCAAATTAAATTAAATTATAAGATTAGCTTGATATATAGATGAGCTTATGCATCGGATATATATAATTCGTTAATTTTTATTCAACCAAAATCCCTCAATCTATGAACAAAAACAATAAAATCATCAGAATTCAATGAGACAATCTTAATAATTATCATTCTATATGCTCCTATATTAACACTAGAACAAAATAAAAATAAACAAATCTATCCTACAGACACTGCAATGGGGCTTCTAACATAATGGTAATTATCTGTCCAAGTATACCAGCCAAAGGCATAATCATCTTTGTAAATCTTCTTGGCCATGCCAAAATTTCTTGCTCTAACTGTTATGTTGAAGCTTTTCTTCTGGTCAATGCGATCGAAGTACAAAACACTTGGTGAGGCTTCAATGGAGAATCCGAAAGGTGGTTTGGCAGTGAAGAAATAGATGCTATTCTCATCACCAACATTCGTTACACTTCTCTTAATAATTACAGCAGTTTCTTTAATTTTGGAAACTGCTATTGATGGATAATTGAGATTATAGGTTGGTTCTGGTTTTTTTGGACACCCAAATCTTTTTTTGTGCGTTCCATCATGATCATACCCGCAAAGGTATTGAACATAGTCTTTAAATGATGCATCGTATACTAGACCAGGGTCTGCTGCTTTTGCGGGCCGGAAGTGACCTGACCCTAATTGAAATGGATCGGCAATTTTTCCAAATGAATCAGTTATTGGATTACCTTCGTTGTTCTTCGTCCAGGCTATGCATTCAACAGAAAAAAGAAAGTGTTACTCAAGTACAAAACTGTACATTCAGGTAAAGATATGCACAGGATTTTTAATACCTGTGGTCATTATGGCAGATCTTATAGCAGCAGAGCTCCAAGTAGGGTGTATGGCTTTGAGAAGTGCAGCTGTAGCAGCAACATGAGGAGTAGCCATGGAAGTTCCTGATTCAATATTATACTCAACAATTCGATGATCACTTGACAGTTTTGTAGGAGATGACCCTCCACTCCATGCTGCTAATATATTTACTCCTGGTGCGGTGATGTCAGGCTAAAAATCAAGAAAGAGAAACAGGTTTTTATTACTCGTATTACGGATTTTGAAAGAATTGAAAGAGAATGAATGTACCTTGAGAATATTAGGATCAACTGTATTTGGACCTCTGCTAGTGAATGAAGCCATAGAAGGTGCTGGAGTATGACGTAATAGTGTATGAGCCTTTTCGATGATAGCGGTTGGATTCTTGGTAGACCTAATGTACTTGAGAACTTTAAGAGCATCATTATAACCAAGTGCAGTTGCAGGAAGAACATGAGCATCTGCTGGAATATCATTGCCATAGGCTTTACTATTTCCTAAGATAAAACCAGCACCTCCCGCCCTTCTCACTTCCATGCCTTTCTCAATTCTTGTTCCAGCACCTCTTATGCACAAAACAATCTTCCCTTTCACCTTTTTCGGGGAGAGAGAATTGGGAAGACACTGGCTACATCATAATATTAAATAAATTACGTTTAGTTATTGGTACTTCAAAAATATTAATAAAACAAGCATTGCAGAGTACATATTTTTACAGGGAGGCCTTTTCGAGTAACCTTCAGGTTATAAGTGAAGTAACTTACTATTCTGTGATGACCCGGAGAACCATACCTCAAAAGCTAGTCGTTGAGTTTAGAGAGCCCAAATTCATACAAACCCCACATTGAAATTTCATACGTCTAATGTGGGATCCAAGACAAGGCCCCTACCTTGTTTTGTAACTAGCATCCTAACATATTCCAAAAAGGCCACCGACCACTGAAATATAAATAAATTTTTTTTAGGAAAAAAAGAAAGGTTTACTTGGTTTGATTTCGGAGGACTCCATGAGCAGCAACATCTCCAGCATATACTAATGGGTGTGCTTTGTCCAACTTGCCTGGAGTGACAGTTTGCCCCTGCACTCAAAAATAAAACAACATATAAATGAACCAAAAACAAAAAATGGGCCAATGCATTTTTTCAATTCAGGCCCAGTCCACAAACAGGCCCAACTAAGATATTTAATTAATTGGAATTCTTACCATAATTTTAATGCCATTTCCAAGCACAAGAGGACCAAGAAAAGCACGATCCAGAGTGCTAGCACCAACTGTAATAATCCAAGGAGCTGGGTTTGACAAAGTACTAGGAGCAGGACCTGAATTACCAGCAGCACAAGCCATCACAATATTCTTTTTAATAGCCCTAAACGCACCAATGGCAAGGCCATCTTGGTCGTAAGTTATGGGCTCAGTGGTGCCAATAGAAACGCTCAGTACATGGACTCCATCGGCTATGGCGTCGTCTATCGCTGCTAGCATATCTTCTTCAAAACATGTGTTACCATTTGCTTTTTCTTGATTAGGAATTGCCCAGCATGCTTTATATATGGCCAGGTGGGCTAATGGTGCTCCGCCGGAAGCTGTTCCAGCAGCAAAGCCACCGTAAGCTGAAGCATTATGGACTACACGACCAGCAACTGTGGAGGCTGTGTGAGTGCCGTGGCCATCCACGTCACGAGGTGACCGGAAATCCTCCGTGGCATTTAGTCTACCATAGTAGGTTTCAAAACCCTTAACATAGTATCTAGCTCCAATTATTTTCCTGCACAAATGTTCATGATTAGTAAATAACAACTTCTATAAAGGAGTCAAATCTCATTAAATTTGCGATTTCTACTCTTAAATGGGTTTCTCTGCCTTAAAAAAAAGAAGTAATTGTTGCATAATTATGCGAATATTAAATAATTATTACGAGTTAATTAGTAATTATGAGGAATTCTTTTAAGTTGCCATCTAAAGAACTTTATTTGAATATATGTGATACAGTGATAGTCTAGTTATTATTATTAATTAGTAAAAGAGAAAAAGAGAAACAACATAATTTGACTGTGAAGCCCTAGAGGAATGGTGGGGTTAACTATCAGAACAGACAGAAGGATACTGAAGGTCAAAAGCTAAAAAAAATAGAGTAGGGAAAACGAGAAGGATAAGAAGAGAAGACTTCACAAGATGGCAATGGAAAGAAGACAAAAAAAAAAAAAAAAAAAAAATTAGTACCAGCTATATGAGCGAAATTAATTTTAAACGTTGCCAACTCAAAAACTTTTATTTGCAGCATATTATGTTGGATGACAGTGACCCACCGCTCTCACGCTCTCATCTCACTATCTCAATCTACTCCACACACCACCGCACGACACACAGCACGCCACACACACCATCACCCACTCCTTGCCCTCGTGAAGCCCTAGACAGCCCGACTCCCCACCATCCCTTATTTGTGGGGTTTAACTATCAATGAACATGACAGTAAGGATACTGAAGTCATAGAACGACTAAAAACAATAGAGTAGTTGGAAATTTAAGACTGAGAAGGAATGAAGAGAGATAACTTCACAGACGGATCATATCCAAGATGGCAATGGAGAAAGAAGACAAAAAAAAAAAAAAAAAAAAAAAAGAAAAAAAACAGAAAAGACAGGCGCGAGATATTTTGCTTTCTTTGTTGATTGGAAATGGACAGTATACTGCTAGTAAGATCAATCTATCACTAATCTAATGTATATTCTAGGGCAGAGTAACGCGTCACTTTAGGTCCAGCTGTCAATGGCGATGGCTTCTTGGTGTTCAAAAAAAAAAAAAAAAAAAAAGGACCCAAGGCAATTTTAACCGCTAAGTAACAGTAAATTTACAGAAAAGGTGCTTTTTCTACATAAATTAAAAATACGTTATGATATATGCCTTATATATCTTTTCTTTTTTCCTTTTGCATGGGACATTAAATATTTTCATGTAGGTATGAACAGATTCCACATTAACTTTTAGGAAAAATGATAATTAGAAAAAAAAAAAAAAAAAAAAAAGGAACCCAAGGCAATTTTACTAAGTAACAGTAATTTACAGAAAAGGTGCCTTTTCTACATAAATTAAATATTATGATATATGCTTATATATTTTCTTTTTTCCTTTTGCATGGAATTAATTTTCATGGTAGGTATGAAAGATTCCATAACTTTAGGAAAAATAAATTAGGGTTTCTGTCAAATGATGTTATAAGTGCAAGTGGTGAATATCCTACCAGTTGAAAATGATATCATCTACTTTAGACTATACTAAAGTGCCCATCATTCAAACCCAAGACCATGTTTTATTGGATAAACTACCATCTAATGGTCCCCAAAGTTTCCATCGAATCACTTGAGTTTCATTTTAGTAGGGCTCCCTCCATTAGCTTTTTCAATAGCCAATCATATAATATATCTTCAATTTTTTTAGTACAATCAGAGGTCTAATCCACTCGAACTTGCGATTCCGACAAAATGCTTTTTAGAAATTAAGAAATGAAATTTGTGTTTTTAATCTTATCGAAATTAATGTGTATATACATAGAACACTTTTGAAATGTCATAATTTTTAACACTATTTTTCTATGTATGTGCAAAAATAGAAATGAAATCCATGTATTCATAATCAGGAATTTAATTTTTCTGAAAATATAAAATTGTTAATGGAATACTCACTTGTTACAATGGGATGAGTTAAAGCCAGGTCCAGTTTGGCAGATTCCTTTCCATAATTTTGGAATTGTTCCCATACCTTCATCACTAAAACTCTTTGATTCTGGCCACACACCTGATGATCAACCAGTATAAGAAATTCTAAAAATTAACTCTCATCACATGCAATTAGATTTCTCTCTCTCAACTTATCAATCACTTATCTTGTATTTATGTATATTATAGATTGAATAATTTATTTTTATATCCTAATTATATTATATAAATAGGGTCTAATACAATGTCAGTGTGACATAGTAACTGATACTGCTAAAGACATAAAATAATAACTAAAACACAAAATAAGACAAATAATTACTAACAAAACTACAAAAGAAGAAAATAGAGTAATCACATGAAGAGTATTTTTCTTTTACCACTGTCCAAGACTCCGACAATCACTCCTTTGCCATATCCAGCCTTTAATGGCAATTCCCTTTCTGTTTTGAAATGATGATTCCATTTGGGTTCTTCTCCTTCATCCAACCCTACAAATTCCCATGACCTTGTAGTTTGCAGTGAGTATTTTGTTGGGTTGCTTGCATATACTGATACTACTCCGTCCATTTCTGCAATAACCGAAGAACTATTTTATGGAGAAGAGAATATATAAAACAAATTTAAATAAGAAAAAGAAGAAAAATAGATTGCAATTAATTACCATACTCCATCCATTTCTGCAATAACCGGAGAACTATTTTATGGAGAAGAGAATATATAAAACAATTTAAATAAGAAAAAGAAGAAAAATAGATTGCAATTAATTACCAGACAACTTGGAGGCTTCCTCAGGAGTTAGCAATGCTGCTAAGCCATTGATGCCATGCTTGTAGCTGTAGAGAAGGGAGTTTCTTGCTTCTTCTTCAGTTTCTTTAATTGAGGATAAAGATGATACATGGGTTTCTTCTATTTCATGCAATGTTTTATATCCATTGTGTTGTTCCCCAAAGTGAACTATATAAACCTGTGAATTTTTAATCAATTATGATGTTTACTATTATTGTATAAAAGGGAATCATCAAAAACATGAAAATGGAAAATAAAAAACTTACCTTTCTATCTGCACATGAAGCCCAGAGAGGAAGAAGAAGAAGAAGAAGAAAGAAAGGAGAAATTTGATTGTTCATGGTAGGTCGGTTAGGGATGGCGTTTGAACAGTAGAACTCTATTTGAGATAATGGGCTATATATATATATATATGGTAAGTCCGTTGAATCACTGTCGTAGGAACAGAAGAAGAGTCACGTTGCTAATCAATCAATTTTGTCCAATATGTTATAAATTAGTTAAATTTCCACCTTTTCTTGCTAATTTTTGCTGAAAATCTCTGTTGGAAAAAAAAAAAAAAAATCAGATATGGTGTCACTAGAGATTTGATTTCTTTTTTTTGAAAAATTTTCAAATTAAGTATACAAAGTTAGATTTCCTTTTATGTTTAAATGATAGCTATCTGCAAGTTAGCTGCTAAAAATTTTGGACTAAAGATGTTTGGTAACTTATTTAATCCGTAACGAGAAAAAGAATATTCTCTCCCTCCATTATCGACATAATAACAAAGGAAAATAAATCTTCCTTTTATATTCAGTCTATCAATAATCGTATCTGATCAAGAAAGGAAATCAAAACCAAAAAATCTCTTCATTTTCTTAATTTTTTTTCATTTTAATATTTTAAGTTATATTAAGTAGGTTCAATCATAATGGTGGTTAAGGACCAGAAAATCAACAGGTAAGTATGCACCAAAATCAACGAATCAAACATCTATTTCTAAACGTGGATTTTTGAAGCTTTTTTTACTCTATTTTTTGAAACAGAATCTTGATTTAGGTTTAAGCTTGCCCATATTTTATGTCGTAAAAGAATTAATGACTTCCTGCATGAGAGTGACTATTGAATTAAAAATCATCTTTGCGTTTCCTTTGCTCTTTCACTTTGTACCTAAAAAAAGGAAACGGATATGTTGGGCACCTCGCCTTATTTTTCGAGGTTGCGTTTCTTTTGAATTTTTCTTTTTCAATTTCAAAATTTGACTTATTGACTTCCTTCTATTAGCGTTATATAAATGAGAGTTGTATATTAGAATTTTTTCTATCATAAAAGTTTTTTTATCTAGTCTTTTATATATGATACTTCACCTATTGCTTCTCTATGAATTAAAAAAAAAACAAAAAAAAAAAAAAACTTCCTTGGAAAATAAATATATAAAATATTGTTCTCAAGTGTGATGGCATGACTCAGTCAAAATCATTTAATTAATGAACCTTTTATATGATTTTCGCAATTTTTAATAAGAGACTATATATAAATTTTTATTTATTTTAAATTATAATCATATTTCTCTTCCTAAACCGACATTAATCTTTACATTTTTCTGTTATATACTTTTTAATGTACATATATAATATTACCGTTACTATTAATCAGATCTCAAAATAGATTTATCTCGAAAAAAAAATACTTAAAAAAAATAACTAAAATATGAAAAAGTTAAACAAAAATGAGTAGTCCATTTTAAGAAGCACCCGTGACCCCTTGAGTGAGAACAAAAGGCATTAATGAGGAGCTACTAATACAGACATGGTCTTCAGGGTCCAGCTTTTTTAAGATGCATTCATATTTGAAAAAACGACTTATAGTTTACTAACAAAAGCTGAAAGAAGAAAGCTTCCTGTGAGTGATCGTTGGTTTCTTATTGAGGAAGAAAGAGAAGGGGTGAGGAATCGTTGTAAACCCTTTATTAGATAAATTTGAAGGAATGATCAAACAGCAGGTAACTGTGATTAACTGAATGTTAAGGAATCTGCTAGCTCTTTTAATAGTATGACAACATCATCTGAAGTTCCAAGGAGATACCGAGCATTTGATCGCTTGCGCGAAACAGCACAAGAGAAGTAGTTCTCCGCTTTAAGATCGAGTACAGAAGAGCCCTCATGCATTTTGATTCTATCATGTTGAATGGGCCGCCAAGCAGGAGTTCCCACCTTATTCCTTTCCAAGGTTGACATGGACCTTTGCTTATTAAGGTGAGCTTTGGAACGACTTCTACTGCAAGGGACCTTTGGCAAATGTGAAGTTACAGGGTCCAGCGACCTGCATCGGGCCTTAGCAGGTGGTTCATTTGGAAGCTCTGGCTCAAAAAATGTATAGATATCTTCATCCTGAAGCATTGAACCCAAATTCCAAACTATTACTTTCACTATGTAACAACAAAGTTCCTTAAAGATGACAAGTGCACAGATCAATTTGCCACTGTATTATATGATCCATTAAAACGTAAATGAATTATTGAAATTAAGCAATATGTAAATGCCGTGACTAAATATGCCAGAACTTCAGAAATGGGGAGATTTTCAAATTTCCATTAAACCTGCCATGTTACTGAGTAGTAGTTAACTCTGTTAATTCATGGAGCACCAACTCTAGGTTCCTCTTCCAAATCATTCAATTGGATTTTCCAGGATGTAGTTAGTCCATGCAGGCAGCCTAAAGAACTGGAATAAGCCTCCTATAACAGATTTACTTAACTTGCAGAGCTAGGTTAAGCTAAGAATTGAACACCAGGGCCCTACATCAGCATGAAAAATGCTCTTCTTTTTTTTTTTTTTTTTTTTTTTTTTTTTTTTTTTTTTTTTTTTTTTTTTTTTTTTTTTTTTTTGTTGTGATAGTCAGAAGGCGTAGCCTCAATATTGGTTAAAGAAAAGAAATTACCTTAGTCAAAAAGTGACCAACGCAGAGGACTTTTTTTTTTTTTTTTTTTTTTTTTTTTTTTTTTTTGTGATATCAGAAGGCTAGCCTCATATTGGGTGTAAAGAAAAGAAATACCTTAGTCAAAAAGTGACCAACGCAGAGGACATAGTCTATGGGTGTCTTCATGCCTCGGTTATGAACTATTTCTCCTAAAATACGGTCTATTGCTGCACCCTACAATAAATGGAAATATAAGGTGAGAAAAAGAAGTGTGATATTCCAGTCAATCACATGGGAGGCATGTGGCTCTGATGGCTAACCTTTGTAACACCAACTGCCCGAACCTCAACAGAGCGGCCACCTTGAACAACATCAACTGCTGCATTCGATATTGGGCCTGTCCAAAGATGCTGCAACATATCCCTTGCTTGAATCCTTCCAAACTCAACATCTGAAATTGCCATATAAGTTGTGTATTAAAGAAAATAAAGCAAATGAATGGCAGCTAATCATCCTATATATTTTTGCCAAGATAATAGAAAAATGCATGTGTTGAGCACGTCTACATACATATACATGTTCATCAATTTACAAGCAAGTATGTAGAAATAAACACACTTTACTATATTTATATGCTTCGTAAGATTTTTCACCTGAAGACTTATATCCAAATTGAGTACCTGCATATTTGTAATTCCATACAAGAGAAGTTTCACGAAGATCAAAATGTGATCGAGGTGTTCTTTCTGTAAAATACTCGAAAACATGCTGAAATCATGAATAAGCATAAGAATTTTAGGGTCTAGAGGACCTCAAAGAGGAGACTAACTTTTCAAGTGATAATATGTAAACCTTTACGCTGTCGACCCAATCCATATTGAGATTTTCGGGCATTGTTGTCATCCACTCTCCAGTTGTAAGACGTAAAAACATCCCATGTTCTGCTGCCAACCACATATCGTATTCTCCAAAGTTCTGCATAACAAGTTGTTAGCCCAAAAGCATAAAATGCAGGGACAACGAAGATAGCTGGAGAAAGGAGACTACTTCATCGAGAATGTTTCTATCACTTCCACTGAGGACAACAACAGTTGTCTTTTGATCCTCACAAAGTTTCTTCAAAGGTTCCTTTAATTCTGGGTGCAGATTGGGTTCCATTTCTTTAAGCTGATCACCCCTTCTATCTAGGCTGTCCACTGGTTCAGTTAAAGTTGAACTAAATCCCTGTAATGTAATGCACAGTGATGAAGGTCACAACAATATAGACAATCAAAATGTCAGAATGAATAATAGTTGAAAATTAACAGACTGCATAAGATAAATACATTAACAAGTGAATCCAAGCAACTTCATCTAGCATTCTGTTCTATTTTAGTAAAGATATGCTGCCAGTGAAATGAACAACTCAATCCACAAAATTGTGAGCATTATAAAACCTCTTCAAAAAATCAGGCAGGGATTTGTTAGAGCAATAGCAATGTTTCATTGTAAAATTATTTCCATAAAAGTTCACCAATAACTGCAAGCAGTCTTTCTCAACTAAAATTTAAGGATGTAGAAATAATAATCATAATTCATAAAATGTAAAAGGAAACAGATAATAAGCAGGAAAAAGAAGATTGATGAAAATGATTGTCTACCCTTCATACATAAGTTACACCTTCTTGGTGCCCTTCATTGATTTTCTTTGGTCATCAAAAAGAAAAGAAAAAGAAAAGGAACCTTAAAAACAGTAAGACACCAATCGACACAATAAAACAAGATTAAATATGATGGTATTCAACGATGGAGCTAGAGGAATTGTGTCCCCAGATTCTTTTTCAAAAAATTGAATAAAATCTATGTTTCTGAAACCTACTTAGTAAGGTCAGAGAATCAGAGGACGTTAACTTTCAAGATAAAGCAACAATCAAACAGAAAGAAAATCATACAGCATGTGTAAAACAATCCAAGATCTTCATCTTCTAACAAGTTTCTTTGGAACTGCGGCCACCTCAAGCCAATCTTCAAATACAAACATGTCAAAAAAGGTGTATGGAATTGTCATTGGTAGTTCGATATACACAAACGAAGGTGACAGGATGCTTGCTTGAAGTAACAGGGAGACGTATACTTATGCAAACAACCATCAGTTTCACACAGCTAAACACATTTCATTCACCACAACTCTTTTTAACATTAGCTCAAAGGATAGCATGAAACAAAACTGGAGTTCAGAAACTCAAGTAAGGAGATCAAATAATTAATCTATGATGGATAATTTACATTTTGATGTTTTAAAAGAGAAAATAACATTACCAGAATAAGCAAACGGTTATTGGATTGCGAATATCTTTCGACTGCAACTTTAATAGGAAGCAGAGGCAGAACTTGTCTTGTCCTTAATTGAGCTTCAACAATGGTGTCATTGAGTTCACTACAAAAGGCGAACTTCGAGAATTAGAAGAAACAGGATTTTGCAATGTTGCTATGTTTCAAAAAGTTCTGGTAATTCTAACGCACAAGAAAACAAATGGAAACTACTGTAACTATATGAATCCTGATTTTCCACACGTAGTGTTCCAAAATTTATTGATGATACAAAATTTGAAGTCAATTGGAACCACATAAGCATTAACATGTAAGAACCCTGTAAGACAAAACAAGTGCTTGTATTTATTCATTACATGGCATTTCCAACTTTGTTCTTCCTCATATATAAGAGAATTGAAACAGCTTAAGATGAAGATATTGAAGACAATGAATGGCATCTCACACTTCCCTTGCAAAAGACGAAATAGAAAATAAAGGAATTGAAAGGAAAGAAGTAAAAATAAACTTTTAGTTTCAGTAAGGAAGAGAATTTGTTGCACATTCTAAATGAAGTGTATGTTATTTATTTGTGTTTTTTGTGTAATTCTGTGGGCATAATGAGTCATAAAGCAACATTGTTAGCAATTTCAGCATATGCAAGCTCTGAGAATGAATATTTATGCTTGGATTTCACCTCCATGATACAGTCAGCAAAGGATATTTCACTTTTATTTGGTTTCAGACTCAGAAATTGAGATGTAACTCTAGGCGACCGAAAAATTTTAAAGCAGTGACATAAGGTGAACACCTCATGAAGGTTGCAGCCCACTCTTGTGATGTGTGCGTTGTCACATGCCTGAAGTTATGGTTGTGCCTTTTTTCTCGTTCATCTGCTGGCATATTCAAAGCATAACCAATTGAAGCAGCAACTTCTGTGATATTCCATGGATTCACCAAAAGGGCACCAGCACCAAGAGACTGTGCAGCACCTGCAAACTAGAAATTAAAGAATGATTGGTGTAAATTTCATAAAGTATTTTTCTCATTAACAATATTTGTCTCAATAAAGTGTACATGAAAAACGTAAACTAACTTTTTTTTTCCTTTTTTTAAAAACTAACTTTTTAATAGGAACCCCTCAAAAGAGGTTATTTCTACAAACTACCCGCCTAGGCTAATAGGTTTGGAGAAAGATGGCTTTGTAAGCCCACTCTGCTGGAATCATGGGGCTGATGAACCACATGTTCACCTTGTTTTACAATACCTCAACTTGAATAATTTTCTAATAATATAATTACTAGAAATACTTTGGTTTATATTTTTAACATTTCAAACACAAAATATTCCATAAAAAAAATACTTTCACAGACTAACAAGATGCCATTGCCTAGTTTATTTGTAATAGAGATTTCAGATCATCAACAGGTTATTTTGCCAAATTGCAACAATGTCAAGATGCAGCAACAAGCAGCAGTCCAATAGGGAGCACTACAAGCCATTGATTTTCAAGTTATACATTAATCCTCGGAACAAAGCAAACTCATTGAAGGATACAGACATGATACATCATTGATCCTAGAAATGTCACTCCATTCGGTCGAATTGCGCCCAGTCCTATTGGCCAACTTCTAGTAAAGAATGAGCAAAGTGTATTGCTATATGAGTTAAGTTCAGATAGAAGCAGTTTTAGACTGACTATAGTTGGCAAGAAGTAGCAAAATATGGAGCATATAGATCTCTGCAGGATAGTTAGCCATTATATTCTGGAAACTCTGGCTTTTTCAGTTACAAAATGAAACAGGAAAGCTTTAATTACCTCACTTAGAATGAGGACCCCTTTCTTGGAAGCTTGACAGGCAACAAACTCGTAACTGACAAGATTCATTCCATCTCTTAAAGATGTAACGAGTGCAACATCTGGATTATAAAATTTTTGAAACAAAAATGGAAGTCATGAACGTGCAAGGTTGAAAAGAAATAAAAATTATTCATATAGCCAATCCTAACTATTTTGATATTGAGACTCGATTAAGTTGAGTATCAATCCAATGGCTTCCCACAACCATGTAGACATGATCCGTTTAGCACTTCTCACTGATGGTCAAATTGAATTAAAACTACAATATGTGATCCCAAACATGAATTTTTGGAAATATAAGTATGCAAAATGCTGTTCATCCTACTTAATATATCAGTTTTGGAGAAGAAACACATGTTGGGTCCATCCATTGAGGTAGTACTTTTTCAGAATTTAACAATATGCTATGTTTGTCCAGGTAAACTATTTAAACTATTTTGACAAGTATATTCTCCTTCAATTGAACTCATCCCAGCCCTGGCCCCAATCCAGAGAAAACAGAGCTATAAATAAAGGAATAATAAGCGAAACATTGGTCATAAGGAATGAAAGCACAGAATAGCTAGACTATCTCATTGAAAATTTTACATGTACCAAATGGTTCCCTACTTATTTCCTTCTACAAATTTTAGCTGTTGATCCATTGTGCTCCAGCAGTGCGATACTAATTATTTACTTTAGATTGAGAACACCGAAAACAAAATTTTCATTCAATATGGGACAGAATTATAGAACTGTGAACTTCATATAAGTGAGTACCAGTAACAGCGTATAGTGCACATAATGCATGAAAGTCAAGAGATCGATCCTGTAACAACAAGCGAGTGCATTAGATTTCTTTACATATTAAGTCAAGAAATAAATACATCATAAAATATCAAGTGCAGAATAGTTAATTGGATTGTAATTCATGCCCAACATTTTAACTTCATGCAGGTCTTGCATAATTTCAACTTCTAGAGCTAATGAAAGTATTGGCCCTCTATTCATAATAAAATTCCTAGTGATTAATAAAATAGATACCCAATGCTAAAAAGAAACAAAAATCTATCAAAGAAGCAGAGGACATATCAGAAGGTTTAGTGAACTGTACAAATCAAAGTTAATGAGATAAATACAAACCAAATGGTGTATTGGAACAGCAGTTAGAGTCCCAAATCTTCCATTAATGCGCCCAACAATCTCATGAACCTGGCTTGTGAGTTTTTGATCTGTAAACAATAAGCAAATAGTAGAAATATGGATTTGGATCCAGATATACAAATTAGAGAATAAAAATAAAAGAAGAATCAACAAATAACCAAGAAAGGAACAATCCTTAACAGTGATATCCTAACTCATGAAGTGGCCATAGCAAGGTTGAAGAAAAATAGTTTTTGTTAAAAATCCACAACTAAATCAATCTGATATTCTTTCTAAAAAAAAGAGGAGTGCTCAGAGTAATTCAATTTCAATCCTAGATTTACCCCTGTCCTTCCATTTCTAAAAATCCACAATTTCACCCATAGGAAATCCCTCTCATATACACCAATCACACTGCTGCAAATGGAAATCTCTAGGACTGTCTTTCATTTTAATCTATTCATATGGGAGAAAACAGGCAATTTTCTGAATAAAAAAAAAGTATAAATAGTGGTGCATATTTGGCATACATTCAGGAACATCTGTCCTTGTTGGAACAGCTATTTGCAGTAAAACGACTTTGTCTCTCCATTCTGGATTTTCCTCAAGGAACTCTTCAAATGCCAAAATCTTCTGGGGAATTCCTTTGATCGTATCAAGACGATCAACACCTAATATTACCTGCCCACAGTGGAACAGTAACTAAAGGTATTATTGATAAGCCTACCAATGAAGATTATGCAAATAATAACTAGGAGAAATTGATTTGAGTTTATAAAGAGTACAACTGACTAGTTCATGCTGGAGTGGCCAATAACTTGCATTATGTTGTCATGTTCAAATAGGGAAGAAAACACATGAAAAGCAGAAACAACAGAACAATATAACAGCTAGCAACAATTGCTAGAGCCTAGAAGTTCAGGAGTAGAAACATCCTCATATTCATCAAAGAGAAAAAGAGGCAAAAGAACTTTTTCCATGTGAACGTTAAATAACAACAGCAAGGCCTGACTAAAAGGAAAGAAATATATTAGATGGTAGTTAGAAAATGTGATCAAAACTCAATTCTCAAACCTAACTCACAATTCTAGGTAGCTAGCAGTGCAAGATAAGAATGAATAAAACAAAAGTGATCTAAATCCTAGTTCTTATAAGTTATACCTTTAAAAAGAATGCCAGCACAATTTTTTATGCTCATCAGTCAAAATCAAAGAGAACTAGCAGATAACCTACTCTCAAATGAAACAAGAAGGCTAACCTTTCTTCCGGCAAATCTTTCCTTCAGTTCTTCCATGTGGTCTTGTACCTGAGGGAGCTCAAGGGCTCGAATGAACCGCTCAGAATCTATCCCAATAGGAAACTGTAATTTCAATCTCCCAAAAAGAAAATGTTTGCATCATGAGGAAGAATCAGGGTGTTGGAATCTCACAAGTACTTTATATCCATTCACCATTAAATAATAAAGCAGAGCATGTTTGCAGGTGCATAGATAAAGCGAAAAAATGGTATCAGCTAATATACCGCAGCCACACGAGTCAGCTTTCCCTGATCTTCTACTCCTTCAGGTGTGCCCTCAAGTCCAAGGATACGAGTACAAGCACTTACAAAATGCCTTGCATAATCATATGTGTGGAAACTGGAAGTCAAAGAAAATCCAACTGTTAGAAATTAGTTATCTGTAAAAATAGCTCCACTGATGAAACAAATTTTGGTCATCAGGATCCTTATGGACCTGATCATATCATGCCACAACTGGAATCATATGGTCCGTTCATAAGCATGCCAAAAGAGGATTGACAAGAAAACCAACTCTTAACACATTAGGCCTCCTATTAACATGCGGCATTAAACAAGGAGCATCAAAGGTTGCCAACTGAAGCATATGAATGCGATAAGCAGTGTGTAAGCACCTAATGTTGTACTGATGCTTATGTTCTAGAACGACTTATTCCCAGTGACTTCAAATTCAGATGAATCTTATATAGGCATATAAAATATCATCCAAATATATGAAGCATACGAGGGCATATAAAAATTTCCTGCCACAGCATGTAACTCAAAATCCTAAGCTGCAATATAAATAACTTACCCAACTAAATCAGCAGCAAGAACAGATCCCAATAACTCTGAACGAGATGGCAGCATCCTATGTATTTCCGAGGAAGGAAAGGGCGTGTGAAGAAACCAACCAACTTTCATTCTGCTGTTATATTTTTTCAGATATTTTGGAAGAAACATTAGGTGGTAATCATGGCACCAAACGATGTCTCCCTCCTCATAATGTTCATTTACAACATCAGCAAACATTTGGTTTGCCTTCTTATATGCATTGAACTGAGACTGAAAACTACGGGTGGTTGCAAGGCGGTCTTCTTGTGGAAGTGCGAGATAATGGAAAAGTGGCCACAGAATGTTGTTGCAGTAACCATTATAGTACTGATGAACAATATCTTCGTCAAGAAAAACTGGGATGCACCTCTGCAGTTGAATAGAAGAAATCAGGAAGATAGGCACTGTGCACATATATGTTGACAGGAAGATAGTGGGCTTCGAAACTAGTAGAGTGTTATCAATATAGTCATTCATAATGATGCAACATATAAATATAGGTCCTATAGGAACTTTAAGATTCGTATGAAGATTTTCAAACCTTTTCAGCCAAAGCTGCAGTTAGTGCTTTTTGTCCAATTTTATCAGGTACATTTACACCAGCCCAACCAATCCATCTGGCATCAAACTCCTTCACACCTTTGAGAAAATAAGAAGGCATCAGATCCCATTCACATCAGCAATAGAAATTCAAATACATGTACTAAAACAAATAATGGACAGACATAAAGGTAAACAAGCATTGTAATCCGCAACAAATAATAAACAAGATACATTGCAAAATAACAATATAATCTAGCAGGAATTAAAAGGTTGATGAAGAAAGAACTTCAGAAATCACTCACCCACCAGTGCACTGACTAGCCCTCCTACACTCATCTCAAGTTGCCATGAATCCTCATCCCGTCTAACTGCAGAGACAGGCAGCCTGTTGGCAACCACCAATAAACGTTGTTTAGGAGGTCGTTCACATCCATCAACCCCTTCTAACAATGGCTCCTCATTCTGTGGACCACAATTTTCAGCCTCATTTGATAACGAATCATTTGCAATGATATCTGCTTCTCTAAGGCCATCACTAAAATCCTCATTCAGACTGAAAAACCTGTTGAATTTCCGAAGCTCTCTATCAAGCAATAGCCTTTCCAATCTAGTTTTGGGTGTGGAAGGCTTGCAGTTATACTTGTTTCCTGGCATATGCTTGTTTTGGAACAAAGCCTACAGTGTACAAATGGTAATCATGTTAATGCATTATATCTAGACATTGATATGGTGATGTGGAGTCTCACTCAACAACTACTTAGATAACAAATGTTCACCATGGTGAAGATAGAAATACAATTAAGGCATTTACGTTATTGCATAGGTTTCAACCGGCATGGGCATACAGCAAATTATCTTTCAAATACAGTTCTCACTTTCAAAAACTCAAATTGAGAGAATCAGCACTGAAGAGTGAGGACTTCAGTATTTGCCTCTTTCATTGTCTTAATAGAAGGGAGCTTCAAATAATCTTTGCTACCACCATTCCAAAACATCAAAATTTTCTATGGATACATTCCAGGCATTTTCTAGAGATAATAAGTAAACATAAAGGGAGAAAGCAATTAAAATATATAAAGCAGTTAAAGAAGAACGCGAGCATTACTGGTCATTAGACTGTATATAAAGAGAATTCAGAGGCAACAGACTTTGACCCGAGCTTGAAAATGGATATGAAAATATATATAACTCTTGTATCTATGTAGCAAATAAATTAAGAATATATAGATATAAATATATATATAGAGAGAGAGAGAGAGGGACAGAGACACACAGAGAGAGAGAGAGAATTCCCGTAAACCTACCAGAAAAAGATTATGATCAGTTTGTACACACTGAGCCAAACGCCAACACAATCCCGGACCTCACCAACAAATTCTGCAACAACCCATTTATAGATTATGATGCCACACAATACTCGAAGCCAAAAGCAAAAGAAACAACAAACTCAAAGTAAAATCAGTGAGTGGACCAACACAATATAATGCAGATAACATGAAAAACCCATTTCCATTAGATGAAAACAAAAACCACCCAATATCAAAATAAATAAATAAATTTTTAAAAAAATCCCATTTGGGTGAAGTTACAAAATTATTGTGAAAAATGCAGATCTCCTCAGATGATTTAACATTGAAGGAGAAATTGAGGTGAGTAACTAGTATCGTGCTTCTGCAGAAGAGACGTGCAAAAGGGCCACATGGAGACGGGAGAGCAAGTTGGCGAAGCAATATTTTAGGGGCTGTGGTGGGTGACAGATTAGAGAAAAATCTACACACGCACACACATATTTATGGAGGGTGATGTTGATCATATGTATATAAAATATATATCCAAATATCAAGAGGAAGGATTCAAAAGATTGCGACGATATTGATATGCAACAAGGAGGCAATGGCCATGCAGCTCTCTCCAAATTCAAATAACTTTGCTACTTATATAGCGAACGGGGAAATATAATACGGCAATTCAGACTGTTACAGACCCCACCATTGAACTAGATTTTGGAGCCCTTTTCTGCCTATGGGGACTTCTTCTATGGTACTGTTGAAAAATTAATAATGATAAATAAATAAAATATATTGGACTATTTTAAGCCTCACCAGTTCTGGAGATCGATTTGCCTAAATTCAGTTTACAATATATCAAATCATTAAAAAATATAATTTTTTCAAAAACAAATGTTTTTCTAATCATTCACTTTGAAAAAACAAAAAAAAAAAAAAAAAAAAAAAAAAATGGGGGGACTTTCTTCTTATGTTACTGTTTGAAAAATTAATAATGATTAAATAAAATAAAAATATATTTGGGGGGACTATTTTAAAGGCCTCACCAGTTCTGGAGATCGAATTTGGCCTAAATTCAAGTTTTACCAAGTATATCAAATCATTAAAAAAATATAATTTTTTCAAAAACAAATTGTTTTTCTAATTCATTCACTTTGAAAAAAAACAAAAAAAAAAAAAAAAAAAAAAAAAAAAGATAACAATTTTTAGAAAATCTCTATATTGATTAAAAAAAAAAAAAAAAAAAAAAAAAAGATAACAATTTTTAGAAAATCTCTATATTGATTAGTTTAGTTTATAAGTAGATCCATATATCCGGTTTAAGCAAATTTTATTGCATTATAGAAGAGCATGAGTTGCTGACAAGTATAGATTCTGATATTTAATTAGTACTTCGTCTGAAAAAATTGAATTTTTGACCGTTTTTCTATATACACGAGAAGTAATTATCATTCTCAAATGGTAGGGAAATTAAATTCATATAAAAAAATAAGAGATTTTAAATTTTATAATAACACTAATTTTTATATTGTTAATATTCATTGTATATACTCGTAAATTAAATGTTTTATATATTTTTTTACTATTAATTTTTTTGTCAATGTAATTTCTAATTGCCTCCAAATATTTGTTATTTATTATCACAATGAAATTTTAGTCTTAAATTCTTGATGGAGTTAAAATATAGTTAAAATATTAATTTATTGTCATCATAATACCTCATGATAATACATACATAAGTTCTAGCTAAAATATCATTTATTATCAAATCTAATTGAGTCCTTCTTTCAAAAAAAAAAAAAAAATTGTGTTCAAATTTAATAAGTCATTTTAAATATCATATAATATTATTAAATCACAATCCATCTCAAAAAAAAAAAAAAAAAATCAAAAAAAAATTATCCTTAAAAAAAAAAAAAAAAATCAAAATTATCCTTCCAAATTTTTTTTTTTTTGGGTTTTTCCTTGAAATCTTTGTTTTTGTTAAAAAAAAAGTCTCTAAAATATCCACCTTTATTATTATATTAAAACTGTTTTTAAATTATGATTATGATGTTTGATCCAATATATATGCAAAGGGCACCATTATTTGATTTTTTTAAAAAGTCAAATAATTAGAATCTAACTAAAATTTAAAATTCATTTGTACTAAATTTTTTTTACTTGTATTTACTAATTGAATTCAATAATTAATAACCTTATAATAAGTTTGTGATATTAATGAAAAAGCTCTTTAATTTTTTAAAAATAATTAATAACTTCAAATAAATTTTTGGTTTAAATTAAGTGCTTTTTGTTCTCTATTCATATTCACTTTATAAATTTATATTAATTAATTTTTTAAATAATATTATTAATTTCACTAATTATTAATTAAAAAATGAAAATTTTTATATCTAGAATAATATTAATGAAAGTTTCAAAAAAATATTAATGATATATATAATTATTTACCTAAGATTTCATGACACGTAAGCAAATAGATATAGATGTAGTATTAATATGTATTATAATTCAATAATTCCTAATTTCAAAGATATATTTTGCAGTCGATTGTTCATCTATCCTCTATCCTTCCAATTATTGCAACACCATTATAACCTTATCTCTGGTTACCGATATGAATTTTAGGACCGTGACATAAACTTGAATTTCATGCCAAAAAAAAAAAGAAAAAAAAGTTGAATTTAAGGAAAACAAGATGATGGGCCTAGCCCTTGATTTTTGGAACTCAAATTAAAAGTCCATTTTTCCAGTTTACTAATTATTAAAATTTTTTTGTTTGGTTTGAATTTTTATTTTGGCTCAATTCTTCATTTAAAATTAATATATTTTTTTAAATATTAGTTATTTTTAGCAAAATAGATCGATAAATAATAAATTTTTAATAAAAAATATTAAAAATTGATAGAAGGATATATTACAGTATAACAGAATTATAATAAGAATAAAACTATATATTTTTAGAAATACAAAGGTAATGTTATATATTATGATAAAACATAAAAATAAAATCAGCATTTTCCCTTTATGTAATTTCTACATTTTGTGGGCTTTTCCACGTGCGAAAAAGAAATCCCAATATATAGGGAGTGTAGGACCCATCGTCAACTAGTATACAAAAATAATAAATTGATACGGTGGGCGCACTCGTACGAGTGTACTATACTTGTACAAATCCAATCAACATGCATTTCATCTTGTTTTTTTTTTTTTTTTTTTTTTTTTTTTTTTTTTTTTTTTTTCTCATCGAATTTTATTCTCCACCCACAAGATGATAAACAAATCTCACTAATGAAATGAAAATACAGAAATAGAAATAAAAAATATTTTCGTCACATATTTTTTTATCTTTTTATTTGGTATAAATGAATTTTACCTATAGACTATAGTTTGGTGTAATCAAAAGTATAAGACTGATGGGTCGGGTCGGCCTAAGGTGAAATTCGTCCCTTAACCCAGATATGGGCTTTACCACATTGCAATAAGACCCACTTTGGATATGGGCCATCAACGTGACCCATCCTAAACACTGCTCCCAAATCCTCCAAAACAGAAAAACCCTCACCAGTCTCCCCCGAAAATAAATTCCATTGTTCGAAATCCGATCAGATCATGTCAATGTCAGTGCCTCGCACTAATCCGCCATTCTCTCTTCCTTTCTTCCTCCTATTCCTCATCCTCAGCACCACCTGCACCGCCTCATCCTCCTTTTTCCGCTCCTACTCCCAATACAAAACAGTCGTCTCCCTCTCCCACTCTCTACTCACACGCGTATCTAACCTGCGAGCCGCGCGCGGTGACATCGACGGCGCAAATCGCGCGAAGCTAATAGCTCAGAAGCTGGAGAAAGCGTCAGGATTAGGGTTCTGGGGGTTGGCGTGGTCGGTAGGGTGGGATTACGCGAAAAACTACGCTTGGAGGGATTTGGATTACAGAGAGTTGTACGGCGTCGTTTCAGACTTGAACGAGTTGGCTGGGTTATTAAGCGAGTTTGCTCGGGCAGAATCAGATGTTGAGAGAGCGTCTTGGATTGCACGAAGTTACAGTAATATCTTCAGTGTTGCCAAGTCGGTGTTGCAGAGGTTCCTCAGAGTGTTCCGTGAATCGGGAGCTTTAAAGGAAGCGGCGGAGACGGTCCGTAGAGAGGTGGTGGATGGTGGATTGTTAAGGGACTGCCTTGAATTGGGAAGCGATGATCTAAAAGGATTGGTTCAAATTATCAAGGATCTGGCTTCGCAATTTTTTTCCACTTCCGATTACAATAGTGAACTTTGAACTGTAGGTTGTAAAATACCGTCGATGACACGTGGATACGGTGGTAATTGTGTAATTTATGATGTTATTAATTGTAATTTTTGGAAAAAAAAAAGAGTATTTTGAGGTTGATCATGTAATAAATGGATGATACGGTGTGCGATGAAATGTGATCTGTACTTGCTGTTACTCTAAGAACTCCGATATTATCACTTGCACATTAATATCACTGATGATTAAAAAACATTTTTAAAAAACAAAAATGCAAGAGTCTCTCCCATCATCGTTTATGGACTTTTTTTCCCTTTACAATATGTTAATTGGCTACCTAGGCGTGAAACGAGATAACAAAGGTTGATTCTACTTCATTTAGAGGTTTTGATTTCGAACATTTTCTCTATTTTTATTAATCTATTTAGTGCGAATATAAATTAATCAGATTAATAAGTTTCGAACATCGATTAAAAGAAAAAAAAAGTTTAGGTGACTTTAAAACTGGAATTTAAATTTTCAATATTTACAAATTAATGTTTGGGTAATTTAATGATTAAAAAATTTACTCTTAAGTTATTTTAAATATATTATGCAATAAAGATTCATGAGTTTTAAAATATCAAATAAAAGTAAACTTTTCTTTGAAAAATTGCACACCATATCCCTTTCAAACATTAATATAACGTTTGCACACCAAAACTAATATAACGTTTGTACACCAAAACATAGGGTAATCGTAATTACATATATGATCAGGCTATATATCTAGAATTTAAATTCCTGATTCTCCAATACTCAAAAAAACACTAATAAAATTTTTTTTTCTTTTATTGGTTTTCAAGGCTCAAAGTTTTAAACCTAAAATTCGTTTGGACTACATTAAATTTTCATTGATCTAACTATGCTACTACCTCCATTTTACAATATTTGTCATATTTATGAAAATAATTTATTTCAAAATACTTATCAGATTTATGGTTTCAAGGAGTAATAAATATATATATATTTTTTATATTTATCCTTTGTATATAATTTATAATTATTACTTTAATTTAATAGTTTTCTTAGATATCAATATTAAATTAACGGTAATATAATAAATTTATTTAATAATTTATTATAATTTATACAAATTTAATAATTTTTATAATTTATTTAATAATTTATTATAATTTATACAAATTTAATAATTTTATTAATAGACGTGAAATTTTAAATGTGATAAGTATTATGAAATAAAAATAATAATTAATATAGCATTTTAAAGTATATAGCTATTAATTAAGTTCCATTAATTTTTCAAAATTAAAAAGCCTTTCTTGCGTCTACCTATTATATATAAGTTTATACTCTGTTACATTGGTTAAAGATACAGATATAGGATAAGATATTTGACTATAGGCCATATTGAGCAACCGATTTTGACTGAGAAGCTAGTAAAATAATTAATTTCTTCGAAGATTTAACTCTCTAAATTCAATTTATTGCTAAATGTCAACTTGCATGGGAGTCGAACAGGTCTCTGCAAACTACAAAGTCGTTTCATTTTGGTTTGCAAATTGCAATAACCTTAATTTAAACAAAATCAGAAATATCACAACAATCCATTCTATATTCAACAAAAAAATTAAAAATCTAGGATCTTATCACTATAATTCTTTCTCGAGTCTCCGTTTTGAGATATTTTTTCTTCGTTGCTCCATAACTCAATCAGTTTTGGTTTCCTTGAAAATGTAGGTTTCATAAACACAACCTGGATTATTGACTTGGACATATGATAATGATATGGACAAGCAGTGAATGGATCCCAGTAGTAACCCATATGGCTACCGACTCATAAGTCAAGGAGGAGTTGTTAGAACTACGTATGATTTACTAAACTCTACAGAAAGCCTTAATTGCAGCAAGCTAGCTAGCTATGATCCAATAACACCCATGTTACTCCAACCCTTATCACATTAAATTTCTAGACCTACTGCCATTAATGGTACCGCCAGTGTCAATTTCTTCTGTGTAACATGGCTATCTACTGTTGGATCATTCTCTCCAATCATTTTCAACCGTTGATAATGTCAATTGACTAGATCTCAGCTCACATGATGGACTGGATGTGTGTAAATTCTATGTGAAAAAAGTGCATGCATGGCTTTCTCTTTTAAGAAAATAAACTTGCAGGCAGGCTGTAGCTTGTTTGATTTCCAATTTCGATTTTGTGAATGGCAATTTAATAGGAAGAGGTATTTATATCAAACCCACCAAACAAGAAATAGTTTCTTGAAATTCAGACTTAAAATAATGAAGTTAAACGTATGTCAACATTTTCCATAGCTGTATCCTTTGAAGAAGAAATTGAAAAAGAAGGTGAATGAGTAAACCTAATTAGCCACGAGAATTACGTTTCCCTAAAAATAATGGATGGATATAAAACATGATAAGGTCATACTCATAATCATGGAGTAATAAAAATGCATGGACTTGTGATCAACTGGTGATGATCATTTAATTAATGATCAAGTACACACCAACTTCACTTTAAGATCCAAATTAAAGCTCCTTTACATGTCCTCATCATCATATTTATTACTTGGATAATTTGTCCACTTGGATCATATGCCATGTTGCATAATAGAAATGTACAGTTGAATCTCAAGTTAATTATGGTTTTTTTTTTATTTCTTGGTTGATTGAGGTTAATTTAATTTCTAGTCTCATTTCTTATTTAATATATATATATATATATACAGAGAGAGAGAGAGAGATTTCATATGATATTATTGTTTGTAATATAGATGATTAATCAAGTCATCCATATTAATTACTCTCTTTGTCCGTTTTTCAGGTTTTTGCATGATAATTAAGAAAGTAATTAAAATTATTTAAATTATAACAAAATAATACTTCTTAATTTGATTAAATTATATTTATCTCATGTAATTATTCAAATCTCAATAATTTTTGTCTATGAGTTTGTAACTAAAATTAAGTTAGAGAAAAAGAAAAGTGTTGACAACTTGAAATAGGTTTTAAAAATTGTATTCAAAAGTTATTATATTTAGTAGAGACAATGACCCATATGGAAAAAACTAATTCATACTTTTACTCTTCTTGAATTCATAAATAATTTGAAACGAAATAATTTTTTTAAAATAAAATGTCAAAGTGAACAAAAAGAGTAATCACGAGTTGTGACAACTAATCGACATAAATCGAAATTTATTATTTTTTTACTGTAATTTCATTTCAACAATTCTTGAAAAATCTAGATACATCAATAGATTCTATGCAAACGTTTCTGTGCAAATTAAGCTAAAGAAATGTAGAGTGTAATTAGCCATGTATGGCAGAGATATATTCACTATTATCACATCATGTACGCGTGAAATAAATGCACCAACCTAACTCCTCAACTGTAAAAGCAAATGAAGGCACAATCGCGAGTACAAGCAGTCATCTTCTTTGTTCCTCTATCTATATATACTTGGGTATATATCTAGAATTTAAACTACTTATACACATATAATTACTAGCTCTAGATACTTACCATCGTTCTTGCTTACTCTATCCTAGCTTAATTGTCTGGTTTCTTCATATATTTAGGGTTACAGATATATATATATATAGTTGGAGATGGAGGGTACTCTGATAAGCAAGAAATGGTGGTGGGTTGTGTGTGTAGTGTTAATGGTTTCTTTGCATGGGAATGGGGTTAAAGCAGCTCCACAGGCTCCTTGCTACTTTATATTTGGGGATTCATTAGTAGATAATGGGAACAATAATCAGCTTACGTCTTTGGCTAGGGCTAATTATTTGCCTTATGGTATTGATTTCCCTCGTGGACCTACTGGAAGATTTTCCAATGGTAAAACTACTGTCGACGTTATCGGTGAGTAAATGCCTCTGTGTATATATATATAGTTTGTATTTTTATTATAACAATGTACCGCTGGCAAAGGGTAGCCTTTCTCTTTACTTATTGGTGAGAGGACTCGAATTCGAGATTCTCATTCCTTACACTAATGAAAAGACTAATCAGACTATATCTGGTTGGCTATTTTTCATAATTTTAAAAGATTAATCATTTAAATTCTTTTGTTAACAGCTGAATCATTGGGCTTCAATGGTTACATTTCTCCCTATTCAACCGCACGTGGTCAAGATATACTCAGAGGAGTAAATTATGCATCGGCCGCTGCTGGAATCAGAGAGGAAACTGGACAGCAACTTGTAATTATTAGTTAACTAAAATTTAACATTATAATTAATTAATTCTTTTCCCTTTTATTGATTATCGCATTAACTTAACACTAATTAATTTACTAATCCTGATGAATTTTCCATTGAAGGGGCAACGCATTAGCTTCAGTGGTCAAGTAAAGAACTACCAAAATACAGTGTCTCAAATAGTGAACTTGCTTGGTGACGAAAATACAACGGCAAATTATTTAAGCAAATGCATATTCTCTATTGGATTAGGCAGCAATGATTATCTCAACAACTATTTTATGCCCCAATTTTACTCTTCCAGCCGCCAATATACGCCGGAGCAGTACGCTAATGTTCTTATCCAGCAGTATACTCAGCAGCTCAGGGTCAGCAATTTTTTTTTTTTTCAATTCTGTGATATTTGAATTGTCTTAGAGATTGTTGTTTTGACCAAAAGCTGTGCGTTTTGGAATGGTGCAGATTTTGTACGACAATGGAGGCAGGAAATTTGTGTTGATTGGATTGGGTCAAATAGGGTGCAGCCCAAGTGAATTGGCCCAAAATAGTCCAGATGGTAGAACATGTGTTCAAAGAATCAACTCAGCCAACCAAATTTTCAATAACAAGCTCAGATCTCTTGTTTCTCAATTCAACAGCAATACTCCTGATGCAAGATTTATCTATGTCAATGTGTATGGGATGTTCCAAGATATAACAAGCAACCCTGCAAGATACGGTAAATTTCTTCCTATTATCGAATAGGAGATCGAAATTACTTACTCTAAGACACACAGACACCTTAAAAAGTTCAATGTACCCATATCGTGCTAATTAATCTATTAACCCATTTGACATACCTTGCATATGAAATAGTTTGTTTAGACAATTTTTCTTCCTTCATTTTCAGAAAGAATGACATTTGAATGTTAAATTTTCAGGTTTTACAGTTACAAATGCTGGGTGCTGTGGTGTGGGAAGGAACAATGGTCAAATTACATGCCTGCCATTCCAAACTCCATGTCAAAATAGGAATCAATATTTATTTTGGGATGCATTCCACCCAACTGAGGCAGCAAATATTATAATTGGGAGAAGATCTTACAGTGCTCAATCTTCGTCGGACGCTTACCCATTTGATATTCGCCGGCTAGCGCAGCTCTGAAGTCATGGAAATGGTGATTAATTATGGATAATGGTGATTAATTATGGATTCCGACTTATATAATACAATATTTTTCTGTATGTGTTATATGTGTGCTTCAAAGTGCACATATTGAGTATTGTCAAGCTATTGGCTTTGTTCAGGAGATTTTGAGTTCAATTAAGATCATCAGTGAGAATTGTATTAAGCAAGCACTGCAAGCAATAAAAATTAAATTTTGGTGAAAAATAAAATATTTTGGTTAACAACTTTCCATTAAATCATTGACAAATTTTAGTACAGAATAAAATAAGTAATGTTTTTATATTTGATATTGTTGGGATTATAACTGATCCGAGTGGAGCCCGTGGAAAAATGCCGGTGGTTGGAATAAAATAAGATTATCGGCAATAAAAGTTAATAGCGCCGATAAAGATTTAAATTACTATTACCACATTTATCTCCAATAATTACGTATCGGATATTGACGACCGAATCCACCAGAAATAATAATCACGATAAAAATTAAATAGTTACCGTAAATGCCAGATGAAAAATAGGGACACCGAGATTTACGTGGTTCACCATTCAACTGTTATGGGCTACGTCCATGGGACAAAATTTCAAATAATTTTTTCACTATTAAAAATAATAGTTACAAAAGAGATTATAAAAATAGTGGCACTCGAAGTGTTTCTCAAAAAAAAAAAAAAAAACAAATAATTTTTCACTATAAAATAATAGTTACAAAAGAGATTATAAAAATAAGTGGCACTCGAAGTTGTTTCTCAAAAAAAAAAAAAAAAAAAAAAAAACACTTTAAAAATTATAATTCTCATTATTTTCTCTCTTTTTCAATTTCAGTAACTCTTTCCTAAAATTCTATAAACTTAATTGTATATTTTTCTTCTCTTTTTGTTTGTGTGTTTTGATGAAGCAAACTTCTCCTCTATTCATAGAAGAAGTTTGTGGATGGGCATACCACTTAAGTGCCACTTTCACTTAATGGGCACTCCACCACTTGGTGGTAAATGTGTATGTCCCACTTAAGTGAATAATATAGATAATAGAGAAAAAAAATGATAAAATTCCACCAATCTTACAAATCCAGAAGAAAATTTCCAAAATCACTTTACGCATGCTTCAAAAAAATTATTTTTTGCCATAATCAACATCGACATCTGTCCATGTACTGCAGCCTACTTAAATTTCGAACTTCTCTCCTGTCAACCCATTAAATGTGAAAAATACAGGTAAAATTTGCTTTTCCAATTATATTAACTAATATATTTTAATTTGTAAATATATATATATATATAACTGTTGTGCGGTGCCCACTCAAGTGGGACCCACAATAAATTTGAAAGGAAAATCAAGGAAGTCAAAAATGGAAAGCAACGGAGTTGTAAAAATGAGAAAGCAACGGAGTTGTACACGCAGGATTCCTACGCATAGTCAAAAATGGAAGGCAATCGGAGTTGCTACACGGCAGGAAGTTGTACACTGGCATTCCTAGCGCGTTAAACCCTGGCCTTTAAATAGACAGCGAGTGGGCGACGACACAACAACACACACGAAAAGAAAGACAAAAAAATGATTAGAGAGAGCGAGTGTATACCGTTTTGATGACGTTTTCCTACAAACGACTGGGAGAGAAAAAAAGTGAGGATTAATTTGGGGTGTTCTTTGGGAAACACTTTGCTGTGCCCACTATTTTCTGTATACTGCTCTTTTGTACCTACATTGTTTAATAGATGGAAGAATGATTCGGAGTTTAGTCCCGGGACGTTAGCCCTAAAGGAGTTGAGGGTGAAACCACGTAATTTCTTTGTGTTGTCCCAAGTTATATTAAATTCCGCATGCCGGTTAATTATTTTCTCTTAATTGGTAAAAAAGGCCAACCACTATTTTATATTACTCTCTTTGTAAGCCTACTATTTTTAATAGTGGAAGAATTATTCGGTTTTTTGTCCCGTGGACGTAGCCCTAACAGTTAAAGGGTAAACCACGTAAATATATGTGTCATATTTCTATTTTTCCGTGGATATATTTTGAAAATAAATATACCACGCGACGAGAAAATTACGCCGAGTCCATTGGTGCAGTCCGTTTGGAAAGAAGTTGCAGAATCGATTTAGTGATGAATAGTAAAATAGTAACTCAAAGTCGATGGTGAACAGTACTATTGGCGTTGCTGAGTCCGTTTCAAGTAAGCCCAGCACTATTCACGTATACAGTTACTATTCACGAATACAGGTACTGTTTACGTATACTACTATTCGAGTATTACTGTTACTTTTTATGCTGGGTCACTATTCACGGTGCTATACTACTGGTTCATGTATACGGTTTATGTCTGTATGATATTCTGCACAAGTCAAAGACAAGTAAAAATGATCACGTCTACATGCGGAATTACCCTATCATGGAGAAAATGAGAGATCTCCTTATGGTAATCAAAATGCATTTGCTTGGTTTAGTGAAACCTAAACCGGAAGAGAACGACTGATGAAAAATGGGTTTTCTTGACATGCGTTCCAAATCCTCATGTTGTAACGATTGATGTATTGAAGGTTTCTGTAGCACCTTCAGAATGGTCAGTGGAGGCTCACAAAAAGGTCTCATTTGTAGAGTAAAGGCCGAAATGCTACTGTACGTATCCATGCAAAACTCTCCAAGACCCTTTGAGTATGTAGCGGAGAATGATAGTACAGTTGACTTGATGGCATAAACGGACTACGCACATGAGTAAGAACACGAACTCTTGGCCAAGAAAGGAATGTGACTACCTGGATTGCTGGTAAGTTCACCAGATAAGTGTGCCTGATGGATATGGCATGAAAGCTTAAACAGGGTACTTTCAAATGTAGCTTTCAATATTACCCCTCCTTCTAGAATGAAGAATGTATTAGATCTGATTCATTCAGATTTGTGTGGACCATTGACGATGTCATATGGTGGAAATTGGTATTTTGTGATATTTATCGATGACCATTCTAGGAAGACTTGGGTATACACATTGAAGCCTTCTAAACCTGGTTGAGAGATAGACAAGCAAGAAGTTAAAGCGTATCAGGACAGATAATGGTGGAGAATATACTAGGCCATTTGATGCTTTCTGCAAAGAGTATGACATTCGACATAAAACAACACCTTCCAAGACGCCGCAACTGAACAGTTTGGCTGAGAGGATGAACAGAACTTTGATGGAGAGAGTTAGATGTTTACTCTCACATGCAAAGTTGTCTAAAAGATTTTGCGGGGCGTGTGAAGCTTACTTCACAACGATTTGCCGTCACTCTGGTTCCCTCTACAGAGTAGTACTCCAGACGAGAGTTATGGTTAGGAAGAGGATGGTTTCCTTATGATCATGCAGGTGTGTTTGATTGCAAAAGCCTTCGACAGCATGTTGTCCCGAAGGGGATGAACGGGCGAAGCTTGATGTCTAAGACTAGACAGTGTTGTATTCATTGGCATATGCCAAAGACCAATGTGACTATTAGGTTTCATGAACCCATCCAGAAGACGATTAGATGAAATCGTGATGGCTGCTATCTTGTGGAAAATCAGGACTATTGACGATATTGAGAGCAGAGATGTGAGTACCCAATATAGATCTGATGAAGCACATCCCAAGTATGACATACAGAGCAGCTACCTCCAACTTAGAACGCAGACAGAATTTGGAGCTGAAAGAAACTGCTCACAGAACAAGTGCTAGAGTTAGGAAATCAGAGAGTTCCTAAATGAACCAAATGAACGATTTGGTGTTCATATTCACCTACCAGCAACTGGAAGGTTCTCAAACCATTAAAGAGAATCTACGATAGAGTCTGACACACCATCTACAATAGATATCCAGTCAAGAGTACTGTACTGCACGACTGACGGGGGAAACCTGAAAGCTTTGAAGAACTATAGAAAAATGAACACAAAGAGGAACTGGATTGAAGCCAGCAGATGAAATGAAGTCCTTGCATTGATACTGAAACATTTGAGCGTCGTGTGGAAGGTTCTGGCCTAAAGCCAGAAAGCGCTTTGAAGACCAAGTGGGTGTTCAGTTCAAGCCAGCGATAAGATCACACAGGCTCCCACCACAAAATTCAAAAGCTACGAACTTGGTTGTCTGAAAATGACATCCATGCGGACAGGTGCTCGGGAATGGCCACCAGTTTTGGAAACTGGAGAAATCGACGCAATCATGGATGGAAAAAGGACTACTGTGTGTGTGTGTGGAGATTTGTAGAAGAAGAAATATACATGGAGCTGCCAGAGGGATTTCGGAGAAAAAGAGGATTGTGTTTGCAAAGTGAAGAAAAGTCGTTATGGCTTGAAGCAGGCACTGAAGACAGGGTACAAGAAGTATTGAGTCTGTTTGGGGGAGGGGGAGCATGGCTACAGAAAGACTACTTCAGATCACTGTGTTTCTATGAAGAAATTCTCTGATGATGACTACATTGTTTTTGCTCTATATTGTTGATATGTCGATTGTTGGTCAGAATTCTAGCTTGAAGAAATAGCTATGTAAGTCTTTTACTTTGAAAGACTTAGGACCAGCAAAGCAAATTCTTGGCATGAAGATTGAAGAGCCAAGAAATTATGGTTCACAGGAGAAGTACACTGAGAAAGTACTTCAAAGGTTTAGAATGGAAAACGTTAAAGCGGTTAGTTGTCCTCTTACTGATCACTTTAAATTGAGTTCTAAACAGTGCCCTTCTACGGATGGATAGAAGGAAGAAAATGGAAAAGATTTCATATGCTTCAGCAGTTGGAAGCTTGATGTATGCCATGGTTTGTACACGAGCCGATGCTCGTGACAGTCAAAGCATCAATTCACCTTGGAAGATAACTTCCTCCTTCCAATTCTAGATCAGCCTAGATCAGGATTGTTGGAGATGAATGCTGTTACAGCTTGTAGGAAGATCATACTAAGACATGTGGATCATCATTGTTGACGAAGATTCTTTCAAAGGAGGAAGTTCGAATCTGTCGGTTTAGCTGGACTAGTGACGATCGATGGTAAAGTCCCACTTGAGTGTGCAGGCGGAGATTTGTTGGCGGGTGCCCACTCACCAGTGGCGACCGGAGCAATTAAAAATTTGAAGAGGAAATCAAGAAGTCAAAATATGGAAAGCCAACGGGAGTTGTACACGGCATTCCTACGCATAACGTCAAAAATGGAAGGCAATGAGTTGTACACGCAGTAGTTGTACATGGGCATTCCTGCACGCGTTAAGCCCTGACCTATAGAATAGAGCGCGATCAGAACATCCAAAACCACACCAAAAGAAAGAAAACTAAAATAGAGAGAGCGAAGTGTTAAGCGTTTTAGGACTGGAGTTTCTGAAACCGGAGGTAGAGAAAAAATAGTGAGCGGATTACTGATTTGGGTGTTTGGGGAAACACTTTGTGGCCACTATTTTCTGTATTACTCTGCTTTGTAGTGTGTGTCTTTTAATAGTGGCAGAATGATTCGGAAGTTTTCCCGCCTACGTAGCTAAAGATTGAGGTTGAACCACGTAATTTCTGTGTGTCCTAAGTTTATTTATTCCGCGCCGTAAAGTTATTTTCTCTTAAATTGGTTTAAAAGGGCCCAATCGAGGTGATATCAGAGCCGAGATGGTTCCGGCAGTCCAGGCGAGTCAGTTAGCTAGGTACCGGATCCTGGGATATAATTTTGAAGGAATGAATATACCGTACGAGAAGCAGAAAATTACGACGAGCCATTGGTGTTGTACCGCTCCCGGAAAAGACGTTGCAGGAATCGACTTCAGTAGATGAATAGTACGTAATAGTTAACTCGCGAGTTGATGGTGAATAGTACCATTGGCGTTACTATTGCTGAAAAGCCCTCATGTTAAGCCCTTTTACGTATAGTACTATATCACCAAAATACAGTACTATTCACCGTAAGTACTATTTTCGTGCACAGTTACTATTCGAGGAGACTGTTTACTTATATCCATGTCACTATTGACGTATTAACTACTGTTCACGTATACGTTTATGTTGGTTGATATTATTCAGCTAAGTAAGTCTTTTCGCCATGAAAGACTCAGGGGTACCAGGCAAAGCAAATTCATTGGCGATCGAAGATTGAACGCAGGCCAAGAAATTATGGTTTTCACAGGGAGAAGTACCGCTTGAACAGATCGAACAGGTTTAGAAGGGAGCAATGCTGAAAGCGGTTAGTGTCCTCTTTACTAACTCTACTTAAATTAAGTTCTAAACATTGCCTTTGCTACGCAATGGAGAGAGGAAGAATAACTTGAAAAACTCTGTAGGTTGTGCCTCTGTGTCGAAAAGTTACTTCCCGACCAAAGGAGTTCGTGCGGCCGCTGGTCCGCAAGTCTGTAGCGGCGGGTACAAGAGGTTGGGCAGATCTAATAGATCTTACTAGCTGCAGGGGAGCGTGTCGTGGCACAGTCAAAGCTCACATTCACCTTGGAAAGAATTTCCTCCTTCCATTCTATCACTAGATCAAGGGATGTGTTGAGACGAAAGCTGTTACAGCTTGAGAAGATCCATACAGGAGGAACGATGGTATCAGTATCGTTGACGAAGAGTTCTTTCAAAGAAAAGTTGAATTACTGTCCGGATAGCGGCAGGGACTTTGATGGAGAATATGGCTTAATGCTTCCCACTTAAGGTGCTGCAGGGGGAGAATTGTTGTGGTGTGCCCAACTTAAATGGAACCACACTTGTTGAAAAGTAAGAAAAAAAATACGGAGCAGCCAGACTTCAACAGCTTAGATGGTTTTTGAATTCGGCATGCACGGATCGTGGCGGTGCAACTTGAAAGAAGTGTACACGGCATATCCTACGCGTTACCTGCCTATAAAATAAGGCAAGGCAGGAACGCACACACACAACAGAAAGAGAAAAGTGTAGCGAGAGAGTTATGGCGTTTTAGATGGGTATCCTAAGCCGCAGGGGAGAGAAAAAATGAGTGAGCTTATTTGGGCTGTTATTTGAGGAAAAAGCACTTGTGTGCCACTATCTTGTATACTCTCTTTGGTGTACCTACTATGTGTTTAATAGTGAACAAAAAATGATTACGGAGTTATGTCCCGTGGGACAGTAGCCCTTAAACATGGCAGGGTGAACCACGGTAAATATACTGCCTGTGTCACAAGTTTATTATTCCCTTGCGTTAATTTTCTCTTAATCGGTTGAAAAGAGGCCCCCAACGAGTGCGGTATCAGAGCTGAATTCCATAAAACAAGTGTATCAGACTGATGCCTAACAACTTGAGTAGTATCAGAGATATATGGCTAATCGTTCCCACTTAGGGGCAGGGGGAGAATGTTGTGGTGTGCCACTTTAAATGCGAACCCACATGTGTGACAAGTAAGAAAAAAAACAATAGGCGGCAGCCAGTTCAACAGTGATGGTTTTGAAGTCTGCTGCAACGATGGCGTGCAAACTTGGAAAGAAGTTGTTACACGGCATTCCTACGCGTAACTCTGCCTTATAGAATAGAGGCCAGAGCCAGAAACGCCACAACGACACAAAAAATTTCCTCACTAATTTTATCTCACACCAATTCTTAGGAAGACCTCCATCCTAAAAAACTAGAAAACTCTCTCGCCTTCACCTTTTTTTCTCTTCTTTCTTCTGTGATATAATTGTGTTGCCGATTAAAACCGCAGGAATTCCCTCTCCTATAAATAGGAGAGATTTAGTTGTGCAGTGCCCACTCAAGTGGACCCACAATAAATTTTGAAAAGACAAAAAAAAAAATAAACACACGTATTTTTTTTTTCTTTTTCGAAAGTTGCAGCCAACCGGTTATTCAAAAGGTGGCATGCCATTTGACAATCTGGATCTTCCAGCTGGTAACAGCTTTCATCTCCTAACACATTCCCTGATCCTAGTGATTAGAAGGAAGGAAAGATTCTTTCCAAGGTGAATTGAAGCTTTGACTGGTCACGACCCACGCTCCCCCTGCAGGCGTATAATCTATTAAGATCTGCCGCCACCATCTGTTGTACGCCCGCCTACAACTTTCGCGGGACACGCCGCCCGAATCCTTTTGTCGGAAGACTTTCGACCACAAGGCACAACCCTACAGATCTTTTCAATTTCTTTCCTTCTCTCCATTCGTAGAAAGGGACACTGTTTAGAACTTAATTTAAAGTGATATTAAGAGGGACAACTAACCGCTTTAGCATTACTCCATTCGTAAACCTTCTGAGAGTACTGTCTCCAACGATACTTCTCCTGTGCAACCATAATTTCTTGGCTCTTCAATCTTTCATGCCAAGAATTTGCTTTGGCTGGTTTCCGAATCGTCTTTCATTGGCAAAAGACCTGCTTACTTAGTCTGAATATCACAACCAACATAAACGTATTACGAGCTGTGACAGTTTAGTAGACGTCAATAGTGACCATGAATGTAACATCTACTGTCGAAAATAGTAACGTGTGCACAGAAATATACTATACGCTGAATAGTACGGACTTTGTGAATAGTACTAGTCAACGTAAAAGGGGCTTAACAGTGACGGGTCAGCAATAGTAACGCCCAATAGTTAACTATTCACCATCAAACCGCGAGTAGTTTTACTATCTGTTACTAGTTTCCATTCCACTAAGCGATTCATGCAAAACGTGCTTTCCGAGCCACAAACACCAATGGAGCTCGTCGTAATTTTCTCTTCTTCGTGGTTATTCATTTTTCAAACAATATATCCACGGATCCCGAACGGGTACCGCTATCTGGACCGGCGGACCTGCCGAAACCTTCGGCTCTTATACCACTCGTTGCGGCCCTTTTAATACACATTAAGACGAACAATAATTACTGCACTCGGCAGCCGGAATAATAACTTCGGACACACAGAAATTTACGGTGGTTCACCGCGTCAACTCTTATTCAGGGCTACGTCCACCGGAACAACTCCGCAATGCATTCTTCCACTACTTAAACCATAAGTAGGTACAAAGAGAGTAATACAAAAATAGCTGGCCACACAAAGTGTTTCCCAAAAGACACCCCAAAATAATCCTCCACTAATTTTTCTCTCCCTCGTTTTAGAAACTCATCCTTAAAAACAGTTTACACACTCGCTCCTCTACCATTTTTTCTTTCGTTGTCTGGTGTGTTCTTGATGTTCCGGCCCTCTGCCTCTATTTATAGGCAGGTTTAGACCGCCGTAGGACATGCACTGTAGCAAATCCTGCCGGTGGACAACATCCATTGCCTTCCATTTTATTGGACTCATGCGTAGGAATGCCGTGACCTACAACCCGTTGCTTTCCATTTTTGACTTCCTTGATTTTCCTTTCAAATTTATTAAGTTCCCACTTGAGAGGTGGGCATCGCACAACAGTACCTAATACTTCTATATATATAACAAATCAACTTTTCTTATGGCATGAAGAGGAGATTTAAAAACCCAAAAAAACAAAAAAAAAAAAAAAAGCACCCTTAAAAAAAAAAAAAAAAAAAAAAGCACCCTTTGTCCCAAAAACAAAAAAGTTTAATTTTTTGTTTAATTTTGATTATCGTTACGTTAGGATTTTTATTATCGTTAGGTTAATATATATAATATATATACTTTTATTGCTAATTTAAGCATTAGAATGGGTCAAGCCTAACCTTTTTTAATCTTTTTCTGGATCAAGCTGGAGACGTCTCCATCAATATCAACTCTTATCCTAAACAAATAGAATAATAATTGAGATTGACGATCGGTGATCGCTAAATGCTAACTTGGAGAGCACCAAAATCCAGCTAAAAAGCAGAATGAAATTTCCTAGTACAAAGTAAAAAGAGCGATATGGGCGTTGGATATTTTTGAAAAATTCAGCAGCATTATTAATTTACAGATTTTAATTTAGCATTATCTTGTAAATCCGATGTTATTACAGCTAATTTACTAATGTTTCCACGTAATTTGGCACCTAATACTCTATTTTTGGACATCATAGTTTCAGTTCTAGGACTATATAAGCATGTCTCAGTCTCCTAGTTCATTGCCCCTAGCCTTCTCCCTGGCCCCTTTTCTTCAATCTTTTTAATCCTCTCTCTTTTCTTAATTATAGAGGATTCTGCAGATTCTTGATTCTTGATCTTTTCTTTTAAAATGGCGCAGCAACAACAATTCTTATGGCTTTTGGGCTTTGCAATATTATTTGTTTCATACCTACAAAATTACGTTGTAGCAGAAACAGTGCCTTGTTATTTCATTTTTGGAGACTCATTTGCAGTTAATGGCAATGATGATAATAATCCTGATACTTATAAAGCCAATTACTTGCCATATGGTGTTGATTTTCCTGGTGGCCCTAATGGAAGGTTCAGTGATGGCAGAACTATGGTTGATATTATTGGTATGCTCTCTATTTTATATTCAAGCGTTTTGTGTTATTTAAGTCACGGCATGTCAAGGAAAAATATTTGTCGAAAATGTTAAATAAGTTTCATTAAATTATACTTTAGAATGACTGATTGCACTTTTTTTTGGTCATGTGTCACAGCTCAAAACCTTGGATTTAGAACAGAAATTCCACCTTTCATACGTGTTGGTAATGGCTCAGAGGTTCTCCAAGGTGCAAATTATGCATCTAGTGGAGCAATTCTGCAAGCAGAAATTGCAGGAAGCAAGGTACACTTTAATATTATCACTATTGTTAAAATAATCCAACTTGAATTCATTTATTAACTAAATTTGTTTTACTAATTCATCAGGTCACTGCTATTAGCATGAGCCAACAAGTGAAAAACCATCAGAAAATAGTCCGACGCATAAGGAATATCTTAGGTGACAAAAACAAGACTCATGATTACCTGAAGAGTTGCTTATATTCCGTTGGTGTTGGCAGCAACGATTATCTGTTAGACTATTACGTTCCTAACCCAAATGGTTCGGAGCCAAGACGCATCAAGCCATCTGAGGCCTACGCAGAGAACCTCGTTGATGGATACTTGTTCAATCGCTTGAATGTTAGTATTAGTATTTTTATATACAATAATATCTTGGTTAGTTGTACAAATCTTGATTAGTATTTTTCCGTTTTGAATTGGTTGCGTTTAGGCGTTGTACAAAGTTGGTGCAAGGAAAATTGCAGTGTTCGGATTAGGGCCATTGGGGTGCAGCCCTTCAGCTGTGACTATGTTCGGAACAAAGGAGAAATGTGTATCAGCCGTTGACAAAGATGTGCGTATCTTCAACAGCAGGATTCCTGCAATTATTGACAGGTTTAACAAAAACTTCAAGGATGCAAAATTCACCTACATCAATATTTATAACATCACAATGGCTACTGTTTTGCCAGGTATTTTATCTATAAATTTGAACGATAAAGTTATTCTACTTGTGACCCGATGAGTTTAAGCCATAAAAATAGCCCTTTAATTATCGGAGAATGTCTAATTTTCAGGTTTCAAGGTGAATCAAAGTCCCTGCTGTAAAGTAGACTACAATGGAATGTGTTTTCCAAGCAAGAGAGGATGCGACAATCCCATGGACTACTTTTATTGGGATGGGTACCGTCCAACTGAGGAAGCAAATGTGTTTATGGCAAATATAGCATACTCTGCTCGAGTTCCATCTGAAGCTTACCCTTTTAACATAGCACAATTGGTTGCCAAGGCCAAAAAGAACTAATTAAGAAGCTCCAAACTCTAAACAAAAGTATATACTTTGTGTTATTTTTATGGGTTCTTTTTAGTATTATTTTTTGTTGTTGTTGCTATACATTATTGTTCATTGATTCATTTATGTAAGAATCTGTAATATGCTAATGAATGAAATGGCCAGAGGATTATAACTAACTATTATTACAGTTAATTTCTACTTTTTCTCCCTTGTTTTTGTTTCTACATCAATTACAAGAACAACTGAATCAATAATTAAAAAGACTTGAGTGTTTTCCCCTCCCACAGGCAACCACAGGAAACTTTTCCTTATCACTTTGAAAATTTTCCCCAAATGGATTATAGAATTTACAGTTCAAAAAACTTGGAAATTACAATTTGGGATTTGTTTAGAGATGAAAATGCCCCACAGCATATTTTTACATTGTTATTATTCATTATATATATATATTAACATTTAAGAAAAGTTAAATTTAAATAATAATAGCTCTGGCAATTATTATCAACATAAGTATGAGGAAAGGACAAAATTTTATCAAACATAAAAATTTTTCTGACTTTAACAATAATAATTCTGGCAATATCATCGTCTTTTATTTTAAGATAAAAAATAATGAGTTAGATATTAATTTAAATTAGGGTGTAATTGCAACTAAATTGATAAAGGTCGATTTAGAGTGAAATTACAATTACTTGAAAACTTTAGGGTAAAATTGAATGTTAGGCATTTTTTAGATATTTATATTAAAGAAATGAAAGTAAAAAAAAAAAAAAAAAACTATATTTTAGTAAAATTGGAGCAAAATCGTGATCGGATGAGGCCCACAGACTAAACCCATTGTAATTCTATTTGAGACCCAGAGGATTGGGTTGGGCTCAAATGTCTAAACCCAAGCTCCAAGCAAAAGTCCGAGGAGTCTGGACTTGGTATGTATTTATTTGTTTATTTATTTTTAATCTTATAATATTTCAGAGGTGTGAAATTTTAAATTTAAATATTAATAAATTTATACTAATAATTAAGATTTCGTGATAGAAATATGTTCATGAATTAAATAATAATAAATAATGTTTAAGATTTTTTTTCATTCGGTTCTCGTTTGCAGTAAATACAATGACAAAGGCCCAAACCAAACATACGTTGACGTGACTTTGTTTCTCATGCAGTAATTTTTTGCGCAGTGAAGAAGAGAAATTCACAAGGTAATACGTATTTAAAAGGTATTCTGGAAATGGTACAAAGTCATGCCTATCAACAGTGCAGTGGCCCTATATGTACATATGAGAATTGAAATAACTTGAATTGAGAGTAAGCAATATTGGTAAAGTTTAATTTTTGAACTAAAAAAAGTGTTTCGGTTCGATTGAATTTTTATCAATAAAATCAAAATATTTCAATTTAATTGCTTATATATTTCCAAGTTTCAATTATTATGAAATCACCTTCACTTTGATTGAACTGAATGCCGACTTCTATGGGAGCAACATCCTGTCACTCTCCATGAAAAAAAAGTAGCATTTTGTTGAATTAAAACCACAACATATTCGAACTTTGCTATTTTTGTATGATAACATCTATTTTGGGGCATCACAGTTTCACAGTATATATATGAGCATCATCTTGGCCTTATTTCATATCCCTTGTATTTGATTTTAAAAGATGGCATTGCAAAAACAATTATTCCTATTCGCGTCTGCTCTATTACTTGTTTCAAACCTGCAAAATTATGGTGTAGCACAGGAAGTGCCTTGCTATTTCATTTTCGGAGACTCATTTGCAGTTAATGGCAACGATAAAAATCTTAACACTTTGAAAGCCGATTACTTGCCGTACGGTGTTGATTTTCCCGGAGGCCCTAGTGGAAGGTTCAGTGATGGCAGAACCATGGTTGATATTATTGGTATGCTTCCCTAATTCCCCCTCTCTGATAATTAATTTAATCTGCATGTTTTTAATTAAGCATGAGCTGGATTGAACATTTCTTTTTTTTGTTATGTATCACAGCTCATAACATTGGGTTTAAAGAAGATATTCCTTCTTTCCTAACTGTTGCTAATAACTCTGAAGAAATTCTCAAAGGTGCGAATTATGCATCTGGTGCAGCAATTCTACAAGCAGAAATTTCAGGAACAAAGGTTTACTTCAATATTATTATTATTACTACAAATAAACCAACTTGAATTCTTCTAATAGTTAATTTTTTCTGCTAATTCATCAGGTAACTGTTGTTAGCTTGACCAAGCAAGAAGAAGAGCACCAGAAAACAGTCAAACTCATAACGGAGAAATTAGGTGATAAAAATAAGGCTGAAGAACACTTGAAGAGTTGCTTGTATACTGTTGGTGTTGGCAGCAATGATTATTTGATAGACTATTACGTTGCTGGCAATAATGGCTCCGAGCCGAAGGGAAAGAAGCCATCTGAGGCATTTGCAGAGAACCTGGTCGATGGATACCTGTTCGATCACTTGAATGTTAGTAATAGAATTTATGTCTATTAATATTTCTGTCAAAGTTGATTATTAAAATTTCATTTTTCTGATAATTGTTTATGTTCAGGCTTTGTACAAAGCCAGTGCAAGAAAAGTTGCAGTGTTTGGATTAGGGCCATTGGGGTGTTGCCCATCTGAAGTGGCAAAGTATCCAATAAATCAAAAGTGCATATCAGTTATCGACACAGATATGACCATTTTCAACAGCAGAATTCCTACAATTATTGAAAGGCTGAACAAAGAGTTTCAGGATGCACAATTCACCTATATTGACATGTTTAAATTAACAGAAAGTGCTTTCGCAGGTATCTGTTTCTAAATCTGTCTCAATTGTTAATAAAAATCGATTTTATTAACTGGGGAATGTCTATTTTTTATCAGGTTTTAAGGTGGTTGACAAGCCATGCTGTGAAGTGAACGACAAGGGAATGTGTGTTCCTAACAAAAAAAACTGCGAGAATCCTAAGGACCACTTTTTCTGGGATGGGTACCGTCCAACCGAGAATGCAAATCTTGTTCTAGCAAATCTAGCATATAATGCTTCTGTTCCAGCTCAAGCTAAGCCTTTTAACATTGAACAATTGGTTTCAAAGACCGCAAAGAAGAATGAAGCTCCTGCTGCTAAAGCTCCTGCTGCTGAAACTCCTTCTGCTGAAACTCCAAAATAAAGTAGATAAAATTTGTCATTCCCAGACATTTTTCTCTAATTTTTGTTTTCTGTTAATGAATGAAATGGTAGACCTATACAATTAATTTAGAATTTGTAATTTTTCTCCCATGAAATTCAAAATTTTTGTTTCTTATTTTACTCATTCTTTTATTGATACACGTATTTCTACGCTCGGCTCAAATTTTTGCCCTTGTGACAGATAAAACAACAGAAGAATTTTTTTTATCATTTTTAAAATTTCCCGAAATAGAATAGAAATTACAATTCAATTTGGCATTGGGTTAAAGATTAAAAAATGCCTCATAATATCTACAATGTCGCTTAGGTTGGTAACTAAGAACAAATTTCTTTGCTTTCTTGTGAGGTTGTTGTTCCACTTTATCTCAGTTCAGGTATAATTTCATTTTTCTTGTAAAGGATATTTGTCGTTTCTTTGACAACTTAGTAGTTTCCAACGACGAGTCGTGTGAACCACATACAGGATACAACCCGCTTTATCAATTCAGCTAATGGATTGATCAGCTTTACAAACGATATGTCGCTTATCACAATAAACAATCTATTATTGTGAAGTGCCATGAAAAATTTGAGTTATATTTGATTATTACTTGATTTCTCAATAGATTAATTTCAGTTAAAGTATCTAATTTTTCTTAATAAGGATTAATTTTCATATATGAACTAAATTTCGGTTTTATTTAACTATTTCTTAATTTTTGCATAAATTAATTACATCAAATACATCTATATTTTTCTTAATAAGGTTTTAATTTCCATGTATAAACTGAATTTTTGCTTAACGAAAATTTAATTTCCTTTATTTTGCATCCACGAGAATTTGTTAATTTAGAGATTTCAATTTTAATATAAATTTTCAAATAAACAATGAGAAACTATGGAAAAACATAATTTACAACTTTAATTTTAATACTAAAAAATTTTATTTTTTCAAAGATATAATGACATTGAATATTTAGTATAATACAATATTTTTTAAAGGAGTATTATTAACTTATTTCCTTACTAATTTCATTCTATTCGAAGAAAGAGATATTAAAAAAAATTATAAATTGAATAATTAATATAGAATGTAAAAATACTCTAAACTCACATTTCATTACAAAAGCACCCTATTCAACTATAGGGGTGCGATCAATTTTTAAGTTTCGTCTTAGAATATACTTGTGAAAAAGTTAAAATATAATACATTATAACAAACTGTAATGTTTGTGATATTTTTGTCCTTTAGGCCTCGTCAAATAATGGGTAAAAAATTGTTACCAAGGATCTGATTTCAGATATTGATAAATAATTTTTTTATGTGAAAATTATGATTTTTACTTTTAAAAATTAATTAAATGGTCTAGATTCATAATATTATAAAATATATTTATAATATTTTTTATACTCTTTCTCTATTTTAATTTTTTTTTTACAAATTTCCTTTAAATACCTATAGATTTTTTCAGATGGATGCCTCCTAAAATTAGTATTAAACCCTTCTCATAATTGCATTGATCGCGAAAAAATTTTTTTGGATCCATTAATGCTTTTACGTACCAAAAAATTTCATTGTTTTTATTTATTATTAACTATTTTTATCATATAATATTTTAGAAAAAACATTAAATAATAAATTCAATATCATAAAAAATAAATAAAACTTTGTATATTTATATAGAGCAAATGAAAAGTATAAATATTTTATTCTCAATCCAATTTGTTTGGTCTATTGAATTGCATATATATAAAAAAGAAGTAAAATAATTATTTTATATGGAACATTTTTTTTTTGAAATGATTTTATATGGAAAAATTATTTATGTTTTTAGTTTTTTTTTTGAAAGGTATTTATGTTTTTAGTTCAAATTTAGATATGAAACAACTTTTATAAAATAAAAATCCATAATCTTAATTATTCTTTTAAATTTATAAAACACATATTTTATGAAACAAAAAGAATATAAATTAGAATAAGTATTAATTATATTCTAGTAACATAAGCCTTACGTTAAATTTATCATCGATCTCTACCAGAGAGGTTGTTAAATGTTATATGCAGTAGAAGAAGCCATAATGGCATGCAACAAATTTCCTTTTGACCTTGTTCTGGTATAAAAATTATTAAACCAAACAATCCTATAATTAGGTTATTTTACTGATAAAACCACCAGTTAAGGATAGCCAAGAGAAACCAAATTCCAGTGCCTACTCTAAAGGCCAAACTTCTACTTCATACCCAGCTAGCTACTTCTCTGACATTTCTCTTTTTGTTTTTAATTTTTCACTCTCTTGAAGATGATACCTGAAATAAAAGAATGGAGGGTTGTGATCTTTCTTTTGGTGCTCTCATGCAAGCTAGAATGGATTGTCGATGGACAACCACAACCACAAGTGCCATGTTTTTTCATTTTTGGCGACTCTTTATCAGATAGTGGCAATAATAACGACCTTGAGACTGCTGCTAGAGCAAATTACAAACCCTATGGGATTGATTACCCCGATGGGCCTACCGGAAGATTTACTAATGGCAAAACCATTATGGATGTTGTAGGTATAAATATCTACTTCTTCTTGTTTCTTCTTCTTACTTTATATTATTTGATTCGAACTTTAATAAACACAATGCTAATAGGTAATTTTATATAATGGCAGCTGAACACCTTGGATTTGATCATCACATTCCACCTTTTAGAACTGCTTCGGGTGATATCATTCTTAAAGGTGTGAATTATGCATCAGGATCAGCAGGGATTTTCGAGGAAACTGGAACTCATTTGGTAACAATTGATGTGTATATATATACATTATATATATTTAATGAGACAGAGAGGCAGAATTAAAATGGAAAACTTTCTTGCAGGGTGCGAATGTGCACTTGACCCAGCAAATAAAAAATCACGAGACAACGATCACTAAGATGGTTGAAATATTAGGGAACGAAGAGGCAGCTTCAAACCAATTAAAACAGTGCTTATTTTCAGTTGGAATGGGAAATAATGATTTTATAAACAACTATTTCTTGCCTCATATATATCCAACAAGCCAACACTACGACCTTCAAGAATATGCAAAAGCTCTTAGTGCCGAATATAATACCCAATTAAAGGTTATTTTCACATTTTCTTTCCCCATTATTATTGATTCTTAGGTTCCTTTTTTTTTTCTTTCCCCGTTTGTGTGATACACGTGTGTGTGTGTGTCTGTGTGTAGGCCTTGTACGGTTTGGGAGCAAGAAAATTTATGTTGTCAGGATTGGGAAAAATAGGGTGCACCCCATATGGAATCATTACATTCGGAGCCGGCAAAGTTTGTGCAGAAGAAATGAACGAAGGGAGTCGTCTTTTCAACTTGGAGGTTGTAGATCTGGTGGATAAACTCAATAAAGAACTTCCTGATGCCAAATTCATATTTCTAAATAATACTTCCATTGGAAATGGCGATCCTTTTAAAATTGGTACACAGTTGAATATATTTTATGATCCAGTGCACAAAGCATCCCGATTCCCGAATATATAATTTCTTTTTTCTTTTTTCTTTTTTTTTAAACAGGTTTCACGAATTTCGCAGCAGGGTGTTGTAAAGTAAGAGAAGATGGTCAGTGCAATCCAAACGAAGAACCTTGTATTAATAGAAAAGAATTTGTATTTTGGGATCATTTCCATCCAACTGAAGTCACAAACATATTGACTGCTTCAAGAACTTACACAGCTTTTGACCCAACTGATTGTTATCCAACTGATGTTCGTCAACTAGCTCTGCTGCAACTTTCAAGTGCAAAGGTTTAGAAACAAAAAAGAAAATTCTATTTAAATAAATTGTTTAGGAAAACATCCAAATATTTAACTTTTGTAATTCTAGAAATTTTGTGATCAAAGTTTCATCAATTATTTATTTCTGGCACATTTTTAGTTTTAGAGTGCAATTACTAATATGATAAATATGAATCATTTGTAAGGAAATGTATTCCCTAAGTCGTATTCAAAATCTTTAAGTTACTACTCTTAACATAAAAAATAAGAAAAATATCAAAAATTTATTGTTCACACGATCGAACCAACCAAAATATAAAATTTTAAATTTCATTTTATCTTGTTTTTCCAAATCAGAAATATTAATGTTTCAATAAAAGAAATTATTTTGCATTATTTTAGTTTATAAATAGGCTATAGACTTTTTTTTTTTTTTTTTTTTTAAATTTTCATTTTATTCTTGTTTTTCCAATCAGAAATATTTAATGTTTTCAATAAAAGAAATTATTTTTGCATTATTTTTAGTTTATAAATAGGGCTATAGACTTTTTTTTTTTTTTTTGCAAAAGATATTTTATTTTATTATTTTATTTATATCTCAAATATTGAGTCCTATAGCCTCTAAAAGTACAATTCCTTTAATCAAAGGAGGCAAAGAATTAAAAGAGGTAAAAGAAAGAGAAGTATAGTGAAGTCTATGATGAGTAGCCAAAAGATGTGCAGCTTGATTTCCTTCACGACATATGTGATGAATGGAAGAAGAGTGAAGATGCAACAAATCAGCAACACGCTGCAAGACCGAAAGACCTGCTCTAATCCACTGTGTCCGATTAACATGTGTAACTAGTTCCAGACAATCCATTTCCACCTGGATGGGATAAAAACCTTTATCAATACTCCAAGAAAGCCCCCAAATCAAAGCTTTAAGCTTGGCATCATAAGCTGTCCTGGCATCAATCGGGCATCCAATCGGGAAAACAAGCGTGGCAGCAAACAAATACCATGCGTGTTTCGGAGGATAGCACCCCGGGATGCGAAAATTGTTGGAAAGATGCAATTCAATATTCAGTTTATAGCAATCTTGCCTAGGCCGAATCCAAGTAATTAATATTGGTTTTAATTTTTGTTTGCCAAAAGAAGCCGAAATGGAAGTGGTAATCATATTTTGCCGGCCTAGGCGTTGCTGCAAATTGTTCTTTATCAGAATTGACAATTGCTCCAGTTTAATAGCAATCCTACTGATATCTCTGTTTAAAAGGAGGGTCTGGAAAGCAAGCAGGAGGTCTGGAAAGCAAGCTTCATTACCCTAAGTACACTTACAATACATTTTCCAAAGTCCATACAATTACCTGTGGTACCAAGCGCCTAAGCTTACCCATAGCCGAATCGGGTCTGTCACAAAGCACCAAAAAATCAACGCTTGCCGCAGAGAATTTTGTAACTCAAGATTATCTAGGAAAAAAGAGCTGAAGTAATTCCAAAGTTTAGCAATGATGGGGCAGAAATAAAAAAGGTGGTCAGCAGTTGTCTCCGACTTGAAACAAAATGGGCACCGAGATGGACCATAAATCCCAAATAATTGGAGACATCGCGGCAAAGGTAAAGCTCCCCTGAGGAGTTTCCATGTAAAAATGGAAAGCTTAAGCAGGAAAGATGAGTCCCAAATAGCATTGCTTGAAAGGCAAGAAGCTTTGCTCTCTCTAACACAATTGTAGGCTGAAGCAAGAGTAAATTGGCCAGTCTTTTCTCCTCGCCACACCATATTATTATCTGCAAAATCAACAAGTGAGCAAGCAAGAGAGTGAACTTGACAAATCCATTTCCAAGTGCAAGAGATAAGTTGATAGTGCATATCTCCCTGCCTATGATATTTTTGGAGCATATAGATAGCCCACAAAGAATTCCTCTGCATATAAGTCCACCAGATTTTGAGTGAATAGGCTTGCTGTAAAGAGTTAAGAGATCTTAACCCCAGCCCTCCTTCTTTAGTCGGAAAACACACATCATGATAACTGACCCAGTGATATTTTGAATGATCCACATCACTACCCCAGAAAAAAGTAGCCATTTTGCGATCCAATAAGCTCAATATTTTTTTGGGCAACGCCATGGCCCCCATTATGTGCAAAGGAATAATGGAATTTAGAACATGCTTGAGTAATAATAAACGGCCACCCGGAGAGAGGATCTTTTTTATCCAACCTGTAAGCTTTGATTCGACCTGTTAAGCTGTTGATTCGGATTTTCTGCAAAAGGCCACTGCAATACTGAGCTCTATTTAATACCTGATAGGATTGTGCACCAAGATATGTAAAAGGGGAAAGGGTTTCCTTTTAATGCTCAAAGCATTTTGAATACGGAGGAAACCTTATCCTGAGAGACATTCTTAGACAATAGAAAGAGCTTTTGTCGAATTGATTCAATTGCCAGAAGCTTGCCTGATATTGAAATCAAAAATTCTTTGAAATTTGAAATGCTTCTGTCATCCCCTTTAAGAAAAATCAACAAGTCATCTGCAAAAGAAAAGATGGAAACTATAGTTGCAATGGTCTCGCCATTATAAGGTGTGAAATTTGTTCCCGCAGCCATTAAATGATTGAGACCCCGGTAAAAGTTTCAGAAGCTAAAATTGAACAGATATTGGTGACAATGAGAAGCTAAAATGAACAGATACGGTGACAATGGATCTCCCTGTTTAACTCCTCTAGTCGGTTGAAAGAAACCATAAGGAACTCCATTAACTAGCATAGAAAGCCGGGTAGAGGCAAGATTGCTCATAATAATATTAATCACATGAGCAGAGAAACCAAATCTTACCAGAACTGCTTCTAAAAACTTCCAATCCACCCTGTCAAAGGCTTTGGCCATATCCAACTTGATGGCTAGATTATGTCCCCTCGATGCTCTGTCAATCTCATGAACCATCTCATTAGCAAGCATTATCTGAGCATGAATTGAGCGACCCCTTATGAAACCTGCTTGCTCTCTAGAAATCAAAGAGTCTAGCAAAGGAGAGACCTGATTTACCAAGATGCGAGTACATACTTTGCTGATAAAATTTGTAAGGCATATAGGTCTATACTGATTAAAGGAAGAAGGATTTTCCACTTTCGGAATAAGAATAATCTGCACTGCCAAAGGCTTTCGGAATTGGCAAACCCAAGAAAAACTCCTTCACTGCACTACACACATCCCACTGTATTATCTCCCAACACTCTCTGTAGAATCTGCCATCAAAAACATCAGGTCCAGGAGCACTATTCGGATCAAGCTGCCAAATAGCCTGTTTAATCTCATCATCAGTTGGAGATTTTTCAAGGTTTTTGTTATTCTCCTCAGTAATTCTCCTCAGTAACCAAGGATGGTAAGTAGTCCAGAAGAGGTGATCAAATCTTGCTAGTATTCACATGCACTTGAAGGAGAGAAGAAAAAAAAAGTGACAGCTTTCGCACCCAAATCAGGCTGATTAGAATCCATGTTCCTTCCTCGTCTTGATTAGAGGAAATACGATGAATTCTCCTAGCCCATCTTTCACATAAATTTATAGAAAAATTTTGTATGTTGAATCACCCATCAGCGAGCCATTTTAAATATGAGCTTTTTTGCTTCCAGAAGGGGTCTCCTCAAAATTTAAGCTTTCTTAATCAAGTCACACTGTTTCTCCTGCCAGACTTTCCTGTTGTGCGATGAAGGGGTTGTATCAAAAGTAGCTTCAGCTAATTCCACTTCCTTTTCAGCTTCTTGAACTGCATCAAAAATATTGCCAAAAGTATTTTTGTTCCATTCTCTAATTGCCTTTTTCAAAGCAATTAACTTAAGGCAAAGTCCACGCATACCCCCCCATAGAAATTCAAATTCCAGGTGGTACGAACCATAGGAAGGAAAGTAGGATCCCCCCCCCCCATAGAAATTCAAATTCCAAGTGGTACGAACCATTGGAAGGAAAGTAGAATGAGAGAGCCACATATGTTGGAATTTAAAAGCCTTTGGAAAATTGATATCAGCCTTATTACATATAAGCAGAAGAGGAGAATGATCCGAAGTAGCTCTACTCAAATGTCTGATACTCAGATCATCAAAACAGTCTAAAAAAGCAATATTCACCAAAAATCGATCTAGCCTCTCCCACACTCTACCATTACTACGAACACCATTCCAGGTGAATTTGGAACCATGAAATGGAATATCAATAAGGCCACAATCATTAGAAGTATCAACAAAGTCTTGCATGCTAAGCAAATTAGGAGTCGAGTTATCTCTATAATCTGCCAAAGATTTAATTGCGTTGAAGTCACCCCCAACCACCCTTGGACCAACAGTATCACGGCTCAATTTGAGAAGTCTAGACCAAAGAGTGCTCCTTTGAGCACGTGAGTGATACCCATACACTACAGACAGATTAATGGTAATCGAAAGAGAATGAATAAAAGCAGAATAGCTCAATATTTGAATATCATCAACAAAATTTGAAAGCTGCAGAGAACTATCTTTCCATAATATCCATATCTTGTTATTCCCATTTGAATAAACATTGTCAAATCCAAGTTTAGAAGCATAAAAATAACTTTTACCTGCATCGACCATGGGTTTAATCACAAAAAGCAGAAAAATGTGATGAGTGCGGCAGAGCCGAAGCAAGCGATTAGAAGAAGATGGAAGACCTCTAAGATTCCAGCTCAGTATATTCATTGGGTCGGATGCAATCAGAGGAAGCTTGAGTTTTCTTTTGACGCCGTGTAGGCTGGAGAAGCTCAATAGCTGTTTTAACTTTACGGTTGCATTGTTTCTTCATCACTTTAATAAATCCCAAACCAGAAGATGATTCAAAATTACCATTTACATTACCAGCTGAAAGTTTTTCAGCAATCATTGAACCTGCCTTTCTGAGATCATCAACGTTATTTTTTGAGATCATCAACGTTAGCAGTAAGTTCTGAATCACTGCGATCCCCTTCTGACAAATATCCCAAAGAAGAACATTTATTATTAACTTCACCAATGTCATCATCAGACGGGCAAGATACCTTTTCAGCACCATGAGTCGAAACTAAAGGAGCACTGTCCAACAAGACACTGTCTGTTGGCAAAATTTGAATAGCAGAATTGTTCTGCGACGAAGAGGGGGCAGACGTAGTGGACACCTTCTGATCATCTGAACTAATTTTAGGAGGAGGAGGGTCTGCTGAGGACACAACTATAGCATCAATGGAATTCTGATTTTGAAACTCTGTCGAAGGAGGCTGTTTCTTGGGGACCCAAACTTGAGCTTGAGATGGTTCAATAACATTCTTAACAGGCTCAATAAATTGATTTGGCACATTACTGGTAGAAGCCATCCTACAGGTGGAACTGTCATTAAAGGAAAAGGGTGATTCGAATTGAAGAAAATATAAAATATTTTGGTATGAATTTTTTTTTTTTTTTTTTTATTTTCCCAATCCAAATACGTCGAGGCAAATCGCAGAGATATCTAACTCCAACACATACCCTTGCATCGAAGGCCGAAACTTAATGAGCAGTGGAGGCATCTACCTTCAAAAGTCTGCCAATTAATTCAACAATTAGATGCCAATTAATTCAACAATAGAATATAAAGCCTCTTTGTCAAAAAAATGAATGGGGAGCCCTGGAAGAGAAACCCAGATAGGAGCAATAGAACTATCGACATCTAGTCGAAAAGAGGCAGAACATTTGGAGACATGCATAGAGAATCCATTAAAAAACCAAGTCTGACGAAGCCAACAACGGAGAAAATCCTCCTCAAGAAAAAAGTTAATCAGAATATGATTCGAATCAATTAAACCCAATGTAAAATCTCCTTTAAACCAATAAGATCAAAAGCCTTCTTCAAAGCCTGCATAGAAGGTCTTCCAAACAGAAAAGCTCCAATCAAAGCATATTGGTATGGGAGAGATAGTTTCTGAATATCATCCTCAGTGAAATTAACAGCAGGAAAAGCCTTAAATTTGCTAGGAGTTTTAGATCTAGGAGTTTTAGATGATAACCTCTTATTTTTGTCGATGGAAGCAAAAGATCTAAGATCCTCAATTGTTTTCGGACTGAAAGATTGGCCAGTGAGTGCAAATGCAAAACTCCGGCCAGCCACCCCCTGTGGGGTCGCCTCCGGTGGTGAGCTTGAAAGGGGGGCTATGATTGGAAGAAGATGGGCCACCAAACAAAAATATTGTTGCTGGAGTGTGCTTTCAGTGATGAAACCAAAGCATCTGCCTTAGTGATAATAACGCACTGCCAGAAATCAAGCGCGCATACACACACACAACACTGCCAGAAATTTTATTATATTTTTTTTTTTTTTTTATTTTTTTTTTTCTTTTTATTTTTCCGGGAGGACAGAGGTGATGTCATCGCCGGAGAGACAACCGGACAGTGGCGGAGCTGCAGACCGGCGGCGCTTTAGAAGGCTTGTCGAACTGACTGTGGATCTGATCTACAGAGGCGGCGCTTTAGAGGCTTGTCGAACTGACTGTGGATCTGATCTACAGATGCTTAGCAGAGAGAGCTTGTGGTTCAGATACAATCTTATTGCGAAATTTCATCGAACACATTCAGGGCAATATGAACCAACCAGGAAAATTATTGAGCTGAAATTACAGATCGGCGAAGAAGAAACCAACCAGAGAGCCTTTTCCAGCGAAAGATTACCTGAAATTCTGGCAGCTGCATTGAAACCCACTGAGATCATGAACACCCACACAGATATAGTCATGCAGACGGAGAGAGATATAGACTTACTCCAGGTAAATCAATTCCTTACAGTGGTCTCGAGTCTAAACATATTTTATTTTGTAAATTATTAATATTTACACAGATATGTTAAATCATTTTCTGCTTGCAAGGGCACAAAATTATAAATTTTAGCATCTGAACTGAATCCAATTATAGCATTTGAAATCCCCCGCAAAGAGAAGTACCACATGTGGTTGGAGTGATTTTGTTTGCATGATAGTTAAAATTGTTTTTGTTTTAAATTTTATTTTGACTATTATTGAAAAAAAAATTGAAACACTATTAAATTATTTTAAAATTTTTACATTTAAACGTACGAATAAATTTTAATGATTTCAATAAAATAACTTTTAATAAAAATTTGAAAAGAAATTAAAAAAACCTTTAAATAAAAAAATAACTTTTGATGAAAATTTCAAAAGAAATTTGACCTAAAAACTATCAATTTTAAGAAATTTGACCTAAAAACTAACTAATTTTAATTTTGACCTAAAAACAAAATTTGTTTTGCACTAGCTTGAGGATGGTGGTGATTTGATTGAGCACCTACTTCGACTCGTCGCATGTGATATCTGATACATCTTTCTCTCTCTCTCTCTAATTTAAACTTTTGGACATCATTAATATACCCTACTGCACATTTAAATTTGTCCCCAGAAAAAAAATTCATTCTCCACCTAACAGTTTCTTATAATTAAATTTCTAACACGTACACGTTATTATAATTTCTTTTTTTTTTTTTTTTTATGGATTTTGAAGTTAGATTTCTCTTTTAACATATAGATATGAATTTAAAATTTTGATATCTTGTTAGATGATATTAAGGTATAAGTGATGTTCCCTTGAAAAAAAAAATCAAAATCTTAATTTGTCACGAAAAAATGAAAAATTCTGAAAAGAAATACTACAAAGGTAAAACACTTTGAAATCTAAAATAATCACCGTTGAAATAACTTTATTTGAAAAGATTAATTTATAAATTCAGTTATAAATCAAATTAATAAAAATAAATAAATTTTTTTTGTTGAAATAAAAATATTTCTAATCATTCACTTAAAACAAATGTAACTCGTTAATTCTAAGATCAATGGCGTTGGATTTTTTTCTCTCCACGAGTTAAAAGCTTACTCTAATTCTCGAAACAAGAATCCAACCAACCAACAGGAAATGGCCATTGCTTTGTATTCTGAATGTTAAACGGGGTTTTTTTCCTTTTTTTTTTTTTTTTTTTTCTTTTTTTTTTTTTTTTTTTTTGAACAGAAGCTCTGCTTTACTTTCAAACCATCTACCTTGTCCTCTCTGCACTGTTTTTTTTTTTTTTTTTTTTTGAACAGAAGCCTGCTTTACTTTCAAAGCCATCTACCTGTCCTCTCTGCACTGCGTAAGAATTGGCCTACTACCTACTGCTATACGATTAACTGGCCTGCATATTCACATAATTTCCATTTTTTTTTTATCAATTATGAAATAAGATGACAATAATTCCAGTAAATTAGGATTATTTTAGTAATTTCAATGAAATATATGTAATTATAGATGGAATTCGGGTTAGATTATGTAATCTCCGAATTTAATCTGTCAAAAAAAATTAATATTCATAAATACCTGCTCTACAATTAATTGAATCGAATTCAATCTCACTTTATGGGAAGAGAGAATGTTTCAATTTTGAATTCTCTCCATATTGTTTTCACCAATTTAGTAAATTAAAGGAAAAATTACTTCATGTTGTATAGTTTGCAGTGTAGCCTTAATCCTCATAAAAATGAATATACAAATTCAATCTCTAAAAGTAACTGTGCTCTTATTTGAAATAATTGAAGATATTTTAGATTCATTTATATATCATCTAGATATCAATCGTTTCAATTATTTCCTTTTAGAAAAAGCAAACATACACGTACCTGCAATCCAAGCGATACTATCTGCTAGCTATACCCATCAATTACTATAAATACACACACACTCACACACATATACAAACACCTCTCTAAAGCTCATCAGTCAAACTGTCAAAGCATCTTCTTGAGATATTTAAATAAACCCTTTTCTATTTGGGAAATGCAATTTGTGGATGCTAAATCATGGTGGATGGCAGTAGTAGGTTTGTTGATGGTGGTTTCATGCTGGCAAGAACCTGTAGGTGCAGATGGATCTCAACAGGTGCCTTGCTTCTTCATCTTCGGAGATTCTTTGGCCGATAATGGCAATAATAATTTGCTTCATACTCTTTCTAAAGTCGATTATTCCCCTTATGGAATTGATTTTCCATTTGGCCCTACTGGAAGGTTCACTAATGGTCGTACTACAGTTGATGTTATTGGTAATCTCTCATCTAAACTCTACTTAATTAGCATATAATTTTTACTAATTTAAAGTATTTAACTTTTGCATGCATATTTTACTTGCTAATTAGGCATTTTGGTATTACTATACAGCTGAACTTTTGGGATTTGAGAATTATATTCCACCATTTGCGACCGCTGATGGCTTAGAGATACTTTTTGGAGTAAATTATGCTTCTGGCTCTGCAGGAATTCTTAATGAAACTGCACGGCAGTTGGTAAAGCATTATTATTACTATCTCTTCCTTGCAAAATATAAGTTTTTTTATGTTTATTTTGTTTCAAAATATAGATTATTTTGAATATTTTAAAAAAATAATGAATGATATTTTTTCAACGTTACTCTTATTTATATTTAATACAATAAGAGTAATTTATAAGTATATATACTTATCGCTTTTATTACATGTTTCACGTATTTATTTTATTAGTTGTGTGGGTGTAGGGACAACGTATACCCCTTGGTACGCAGCTAGAACATCATGCAATAACTGTGTCGCGTTTGGTGAAGATTTTTGGAAGTGAACGGTCAACTGATTGGTATTTGAGTCAATGCTTGTATTCTGTTGGAATGGGTAACAATGATTATATTAATAACTACTTTTTGCCTCAATATTACAATACAAGCCAAGAATATACTCTCCAACAGTTTACTACTCTTCTTATTCAACAATATAAACAACAACTCAAGGTTAGTAAATCTGTTTGCATACTTAAATTAGCCGAGCTATTCTTGAACTTCTCGAGGCTTTACTGAAAAAAATTAATTAAATTAGTAAATTCGAGCTCAACAGAGTTTGGCTTATCTCGTTTACAATCCCAATTATATTATTATAACTTTTTTTATATATATATTGTTGATAGACTCTTTATAACTATGGAGCTCGAAAAATTGCATTATTTGGGTTGGGGGAAATAGGATGCACTCCAAATGCAATTAGTACATATGGAACAAACGGCTCTTATTGTGTGGAAATCATGGAAGAAGCATCTCAGTTTTTCAATAGCAAATTGAAGTCGGTTGTTGAAGAACTCAATTCTAATCTTACAGGTGCCAAATTCACGTACATAAACTACTATTCAATTGGTGCAGATTCATCATCAGTACTTGGTACGTCATCTTTGCCATTTTAGTTTCTTTAATTAGTACATTACCACATAATTAATTTTTGCGAGTGGGTTAATTTGCAGATTTTGAGAATTCAAGTTCTGGGTGTTGTCCAGTTGCAAGCGATGGGCAATGTATCCCAAATGGAATTCCATGCAAGAATAGGAAAAAATATGCGTTTTGGGATTCTTTTCATCCAACTGAGGCTGTCAATAAATACATTGCAGAAAGATCTTATATTGCATTGAACTCATCTGATGCCTATCCATTTGATATTCATGATCTAGTCATGCTTAATCTAGCAGAAGTTGCGGCTACCTAGCGAACCAAAATTAATAATTACTATCCTCATCAATAAAAATTCCTGTGGATTATTATCAGTATTTACTTTTTAATTTGGATTAATTTCGTTTATTACTCTATTGTTAATCATTTAATCACATTTCTCATTTATAAATTAGGGGTGTAAAAGAGCTGAACTGGCTAGCGAACTGTTCGAGTTAGACTCTGAAAAAAATTAAAAAAAATTTAACTCAAACTCAAGTCAAGCTAAATTCTATCGAGCCGAGTTTTTAACTTAACATGTTTTAGCTAATTTCAGTTCATTTATACCCCCAACTTGTAATTACATAATTGTGACATGGAAGTGGAAAATGGGCTTGGACCAGACTAATTAGTTAGATCTAAACTAGAAGCGCGGGTCAAGATATGAAAATGACCTTATTTCCGAATATAACAATTATGAACGTGTTTCTGCTCCAAATTGTGGCCGCCAGGGTAATAATACAGTAGAAGTTGAAGAATATTATTTAATTTTATGAAAACAATATGATACTATTAATATATAATTAAATAATTAATTTAGAATATTCCTTGTGTTGGAAAACAGAAAAAGAAAATTAACCTTGAAAGGAAAGTTTCTATTCAGCATCAAGAATCCCTACAATCAAAGGATTGCAATTAATTGTAATTAGACTAATTAGGAAAAGTTTTTTTTTGTATAAAAACACAATGATAGAAATAAGAGATACAGAATTCTTTTATCAAACGGACACCTCGGCCTCCAGTCCAGATAGGTTTTTAAATTAATTAACATTTTTTATATAATAATACGTGGATCAGATAATGTATTGGGCTCCTTAATTTTTATAGTAGAATTTTCACCTTGCTTATCGAAAACTAAAATTTTATTAGAAAAGAATGGACCTTTTCCCTCTTCGGTCACCAGAAAAAAAACAACTGACAACTGTGCTTGTTTGGTCCACTTGAGATTTTGGAGATAGTTGCTTAATTTCCTTTAATTAAAAAAAGTTAATCGTTTTTGTCGTGCCAAATTATTAAATTTGATTTGTTCAATTACTGACGGTCCATCTGGTAAGCATTACAATTTTTGAATTATAGCTCGCTTTTGAAAAAATGTTAAAAAATGGGGACAACGTGTACAAGATGTGTATAGTAATTTTTTTAAAGTCCATAATGGATATCATATTCAAGATAATGAGACAGTTGTGTGTTCGGTAATAACTTTTTAAATAATTTTTAGAATTTTGAGTAGTTAAACATTAATTTTATATAGTATTTATGAATATTGCATTTAAACTAGTATTTAAAGAATTAAAGTAACCTTTTATAAAAAGTTTAACCTATACTATTTAACTTTTAGCGTTCTATGAAAAACAACATGTCTACTAATTATTCAAACAGATAATTAAATGATACTAAAACAGCTAACAACTCTTAAAAAAAAAAAAAAAAAAAAAAAAAAAAAGCTAATTTTACCAAGCCCATATATAAATATCAATTAATAATTCAACAATTTTTTTTAATTATTTAATCAATGCATGTATTTATTGTTGGATAAAAAAAGAACACGCTATCATTTAAAAAAAAAAAAAAAAAAAAGCTAATTTTACCAAGCCCATAATATAAAAATCAAATAATAATTCACAATTTTTTTAATTATTTAATCAATGCATTATTTTATTTGTTGATAAAAAAAAGAACACGCTATCATACGTAATAAAGACAAAGTAAGAAGAATTATTTACAGAATTATGAGATATCATCTTACATTCGCATTGCCCCACCATCCCTTCTTCTTTTTATTATTTTATGATATATTATTCTCTTCTCCATATTTTATTTCACCTACAATGCCATCAATGTTTTTAATATGATACTTCCTGTTAGCTTCATTGCCTGGACTTGTTATATATATATCTAACCCCCATTTCATTTCTGCACAGGCAACAGCCATTTCTGTTAGCTCATTCTTCTTCTTCTTCTTCTTCTTCTTCTTCTTCTTATTATTTCTTAACATTCTGCAAGCAAGTTACGGTTTTCAATTTAATATTTGTTTTCTTGATGGCTTGTCGGAGAAAATTGCATCTGCTGGTTGTTTTTCTGTTTATGGTTGCAAGCTTGACAGAATATTGTGTTCATGGAGAACCAAAAGTGCCTTGTTATTTCATTTTTGGAGACTCTTTGGTAGATAGTGGCAATAATAATAATCTTGACACTGTAGCTAAAGTTGATTATCCGCCGTACGGGATTGACTTTCCAGACGGTCCAACCGGAAGGTTTACCAATGGCCGGACCGCAGCTGACGTGATTGGTAAAGTCTTACAACTCTTTTTTTATAATATGAAAATTTTATAACAAGTTGATGACAATATTATGGTTAATTAGAGTTCAAATCTATACAACTTTTTAAAAGTGTCAACTAATTTATCGAATAATTTCTAATTACAGGTGAACTCATGGGCTTTGAGAATTTCATTCCATCTTTTTTAAGTGCTAACGGTTCAGAAATACTCAAAGGTGTAAATTATGCATCAGGTTCAGCCGGAATTCGAAGTGAAACCGGCAAAAAATTGGTAATTTTTTTTTACTCTGTATTATGAACTTGAGAGAATCATACCTCAAAAAGCTAGTCATTAACACTGAAAAATCAAAATTCATATAAATCGCAGGGCGTGAATATTGACTTGACCACACAGCTACAAAACCACCAAGTTACCATCTCAAAAATAGTGGAAATCCTGGGAAGCCAAGAATCAGCAATCGAGCACCTAAATAAGTGCTTCTACTCATTTGTAATCGGTAGTAATGATTACATAAATAACTATTTCTTGCCCCAATTTTACAATACAAGCACCGAATATACTCCTGCTGAATATGCACAAGTTCTTATGCAAGACTATTCTCAACATATTCTGGTCAGTCTTTTACTATTTTTTCCTTTGTATTTTCATTCTAAATCTTAATTAACGTGTATAATCAATGTTTAAGCTTAATTCTTTGTTTAGAGTATATATAATTCTGGAGCAAGAAAGGTGGCCTTGACCGGAATAGGTCCAATAGGGTGCACGCCAGGGGCCACGGCTTCCCACGACACAGATGGATCCTTATGTGTTGACTCGATGAATCAGGCAGCTAATCTTTTTAACGACAACCTTCAATCACTTGTAGATCAACTAAACGACAATCTAACTGATGCAAAATTTATCTACTTGAATACCTATGGAGTTTTGTCAGAATACCCTTCTTCTCCTGGTAAAATTGTTACTACTTGGTTTATATTGTCAAATTTGGTAGAATTTGCAAGTAATTTTTAAAATTTCCTTGGGATTAATTTCTGTTCTTGTCTTGTCAGGTTTTGAGCTTAAAATAAGTGGATGTTGTGAAGTAAATGAGTATGGCCAATGCGTTCCTTATGGGATTCCATGCGAGCATAGAAATTTGCACTTGTTCTTTGATTCATTTCACCCTACAGAGATTGCAAACAAGATTGGTGCTGGAATATCTTATCTATCTTTGAAGAAAATCTTATAATCTTTACTATAGGGTCGATCTTTTTAAATTTTGTAATTTCAAATTGTTAATTCAATAATTAAAAATGTATGATTTAATTTAATTGTCGTCGTATAATAATAATAAAAAAAAATTTCTCTCTATTTAGTTATATTTGTTTGATAGATAGTAAATGAGTATTTTGTGTATTGAACCTGGCTAGTATTGTTGGACTTGGACATATTAAAGATAATTTTACAGATTAGATTTATTATGTCTCATTCTTGCCAGATTAGAAAACCATGTCATGATAAACATATAATTAAATACTGCATTATTTTATTTGCTGACCAAAAAGTTGCTGTCGTTGAACTTTATTTTTTGCTAGAACATGACATAATAGAGTAAAATATGAACTAAACTAAACTAAAAGTACATCACATCTCCATCTAACATCCAAGACTAAAATAAATTAGCATATTAAAAGAAGAAGATATATCACAGAAGAGAAAAGAAATAATAGAGTAGATGAAGCTAGTGATGATGGCATAGTAGTTTTAAACATCCATAAAAGAAATCCTTCTCTTACAACAATACTTAAATGTCTTAAGTTGGATTACACATTTCTAGCACATGGTGGATAGCACATTTCTAGCGCAGCCAGTTCTCAGGCAAACTTGATTTCTGCAAGAAATTTTTGGTATATATAGATATATACTTGCAGCTTTCAGAAGGTGAAATACCTGAGGTTGATCTACAGAGACTAATAGAGGGCAAGAAGTTGATGCTCACTCTCAAAGCTTATTAACTATCAAAAAACGAAAAATTACATGTAAGTATATTTGTAAAATGAATGTCAATTATTAATTAGTATTGTATAATGTTCATATATATAAAGAGAAGATTCTTACACTAACTGGAGGGCCATTTGATCTTGTTGTGGATAATGATTGGTGGGTTGTAATGCATTGACTTGAAAATAGTTTCGATTGTCAAATGGCTGAGACTGAATTATCTCATAGTTACCTCCTCCTGGCATCAGATTCATGTTCTGTTGCTTCCTTTCATTCTCAGCAATCTGCACCATTTGCAGGGTCATATACATGGTTTTTGATCCAGAAAAACAAGCATTAACCATGGGAAATAGAGAGATAGAGGCAAACCTTCGCTCGGAGAAGCTGGTTATTATTGTGCAAATCAATTTCCTGCAAGAATATATTTGCACTTTTATTTTTAAAGAAATTTATATATGCGGACAAAATATTTTAAGGGAATAAACCTTGAAGAAAGAATATGCATTATGCATATCGTTCTCTTAATTTGTGTTGTTTAAGAAAAAACAAAAGGAAAAGAGAAGGAAATATGGAAAACTTATGATGTTAGCTTCTTCCTCAAATTTTCATTTAGAAACCAAAACAAGTTCCTAAATCAAAGAATTGCAAAATATAGTACATGGCCATACGTCAAAGTAATAGATAAAAAACTATAGTATCCACTATCAAGATTATGTTTATAATCTCAACAACCATCATAAAAATTTGGGTTATACCAAGAATTATCCAATGAAGAAGTAATAGGAATTTGAGAATGAAAGGAAATACCCTTTTTTGCATGTACTCGATCTCTGCAAACAACAGCTCATTCTGGTAGAATTTTTCCAAGGAAAAGATTTTCAGAGGGAAAGCATAAAGGAAACATGTTAGTAGCAGTATAAATTAATTAAGAAATCATTTCTTGAAATCAAATGCATATATAGTAGTATCAATAGTGCAAAAGATTAATAGAGATGCCTTTTTGGACCGAATTCTACTAATTCCTTTCTCTAGCCTGCTCTCCAAGCCCCTAAGGTCCTTGGGATTAATGCCTCCGAGAGATTCACCCAGCATGTTCCTGAAAATACATACATATATATCATTTTCAAAGAACATTCTCTGAGGGAATTATTTAGCAATAAAAGCTTGGAATCTCCATCAAGAATGAATCCAGCTAGAAGGAGTTAGGGTTTTTACAATACAAAAAGAGCTATTGATTAAAATTAAAAGAATTGAAGCTTACCTGATTGATTTCTGCAAGCCGCTAATTTGATCACGCAGCTTGGCAGCTTGTTGCTGATAGAACTGAAAAAATAATCCAAAATCAATGGCCTTGTTTGATTTATGTATTTCATTTATAATTAAATAAAAATTCAGAAAATCATATGAGCATATAACTGCTTGAAAAACTTTTGTATGAATCATCTCTACTTTTTTTTCTTGAATCATCTGCAGATTATTTTATATGCAGTAAAATTTCCAATGAACTGAAACCTAAAATAGTACACTAAATAGAGCAAAGATACCATTTTACTCTGAAGCTTCAGTAAAGAAATATGATGCTGGGTGTAGAAAAATTTCAATCTCACAATTCTCATTGTTATGATACAATTAAAATAAGAAAAAAGATAACAATATAACCTCATTATCATAAAAAATTATTTGATTTGAGGCTAATCCTAAAAGTCTACTAATACATATAAACGATGCTTTCCATAATCAGTACTGATAAATTGTACCTGGGCATTAGCTTCAGAAACAGATCCAGTATTTGATGAATCTGCACATGCTTTCTTGTACCTCTCAATTGTAGATTTAACACTGCAGATCATAATAATATGAAATTTGTTAAAAATGGTTTAAACAAGTTATTTTGTGGGGAAATCTCTTTTGACATGACAGGCAAAGTTAACAAACAGATGACAAGAAAGTAATGAATCCATGGGAAACACTACTAAATGAGAGCCCAAAAATGCTTATAACAGAGAAAAAAAAGGTAGTCCTAGATTGCAAAAATAGGTAGAGGTTGCACTATAGAGTAAATGACAAAAAAAAAAAAAAAAAAAGCTTATAAACAGAAGCAAAAAAAGGTAGTCCTAGATTGCAAAAATAGGTAGAAGGGTTTGCACTATAAGAGTAAATGACAAAAAAAAAAAAAAAAGGAAATGTGAAAAAAAAAAAAAAAAAAAAAGGAAATGTGCACTAATAAACCAAGAACTTTCAACTGCGAACTCTTCAGAAGGACATTTGCATGTTCCTTTAATGTGAGTAAACTTCTTTAATCTGAAACTCAGAGTAACTAAGCATGAAATGTAATGTCTTCTTCTCTCTATTTAAGGCTAATATCATAATGGTTATGAAGGAAACAACAATAAGCTACAGTATTAGCATAAGAGATATAATGTCAAAAGAACATTAGCACAAGAGAAAAAAAAAATGATCTACATGAATGCCCTTCTGAGACTATATTAAAAAATTATGCAAAATTAAGGGAAAATTTTTATTTATTTTACGTTAGAAAATAAAGTTATTTTCCAATTTTGAAATTTTATTTATTTTATATCTTTAAATAGTAATAATTTTAAATAAAACAAAAGGGTTTGTTGAATTTGTAAAATTTGCTAAATTTGAAAGAAGAAATACAAAAGGTAACAAATCATTGCTGGAATTCAAAGAGAGAGATTGAAATCTTCAATACAAATAAATTGTACTACTAATTTAGATTTAGTCCACTCAAACATCTCTCTCAAATCTTGAAAAATAATTACTATGTTGTATTACACAACAAGACATGTAAAATGGAAAAAGAAAAGCGCTTTTAAATTTACTTTTCTTTTTATTTTGTTCACAATATCTTTTTTATTTTTTAATATTTCTACGTAAATATATTAAATTAAATATATGCTAGTAATTATTCAATTTATTTAACATTAAAATATTTAATATTTAATATTAATATACTAATTGAAAATCTATATCACTATCACCTATTGACCATTTATATCTGGATCAGTATAAAAAAGACTTAGAAAGATGAGAAAATAACTCATTTTAAAAATTATTTCTGAAAAAGATCTCTTTCCTCAAATAAAAAGTGAAAATGTTCTAATCACATTTGTTGAGATAAATAACCATTTAGTAGTGAGTTTTGAAAAAAGAAGAAAGAGAAAAAAGAAAGAAATATTTTTTTTCAAGGAAAAAAGAAAGAAATATTAAACAATATTATCATTTTTAAAAATATTTTTTGAAAGGATTTTATTTGGATCCTTTTTATATATAATTTGACTTACACCTTAAATAACAAAATGAAAACACAAAGAACACTTAGCATGCAGTTTTTTTTATTAAAATTTTGAATATATTTTCAAGAATTTCTATTTTTTAGAAATTGGAAATAATTTAATTAGAGAGATTGAGATTCAAATATGTCTTCCAGCACAAAATATTAATGAAATTAGTAAGAGTCAGTAGACAAAAAGACTATTGTGAAATTCCTTGGAAAACATTACTAATGTAATTCCTTTTTTATTTAAACAAGACTATTGTGAAATTACTTTTTTTTTTCTCAGCAAAAACGATCATCTGAGCCGATCAAGTATAATTTGATTGGTCTTTCTACTTCTTTTAGAAAATGTAGTGAGTAAGAGATCTCGAGTTTGAGTTCTCTCTAGAAAGTTATCATCAATTTAGTGAATGAATTTAGTAAATGTTATTCAAAGAGAAAGGCTACCCCTGCTGTATAGCCACATAATGTTATTCCGGTCTATTGGACTTCCATATATAAAAAAAATAATAATAATCATTTGAAAAATTATGCCTATAATATAAGAATAAAAATTTTTTTTTTTCAAGAAACAAAAGAAAGGATATATTTGGTTAATCAACGGAGAGATTATTAGAATGAAATGTAAGTAGATAAGTTAGTAGCTATTAGGCTAAATCATATCCCTATTAATATAACCCACATGGCAATGTCATAATTACACCTAAAGTTAGCCGCTTTTAAGCTGAGATTAGCCAACAAAATAGTCATTTTAACAGTCCAATCAACCAACTCCATCAGTTAACTCATCCTAATACGAAACCCTAAACCTAAACCCACAGTTTCTTGAACCGGACTCCTCACTCAACACTCTTAATGGCAAATATAGATCTCCTCATCAAACTCTTATGGCAATTATATATATTATATATATATAACAGTAATGATGTAATATGTCTATGTCCTATCACTGTAGATGTATAAGACCCGCTTTTCTTGTTTTGCTGATACCTTAACTTCGTCGAGCTACTGATTGGCTGCCTGCGCCAAGCTGGCACTGTGTCCTATAACATGATTGGCTAAACCCTCTCCACGGTCAAAAACTATTCCACGTGTCACAAACCCATTAATTGTTGGATAATACCCTAAACCACGCTCTATTAACCGCCTCGATTCGGTGAAAAAACCTGAGCAAAAATTCTGTTTCATTTCCAAGTATCTTTAATGTAAAAAAAAAAAAATCAATCTTTAATTGAAAAAAAAAAATTTCTTTCTGAAACTGGAACTCTGAGTGCATCAGAGCTGACCAATGGCAGCAGCTATAGTTGTACACTTCCCATTGCATGAAAGAAGCCAGAATGGGCAGAACTCTCCCATTGGCTACAAGTTTCCGTATCACTTCACCTTCTTCTTCCCTCTCACTCTCTTCTCTTCTTCAAAACAAGTTGCATAAATATATCTATGCAAGATCTTGCACAAATGCATAGCACAAACATACACTATAATATCCGTTGCCATCATCATGACTTAAATTGATCAATTCTTATTGGCCCATCTAAATTTAACCAAGAGAGTGAGAATTTAGGATTTTTTTTTTTTTTTCATTTTTGAACCATTTGAAGATAAAAATTTAGGGTTCAGTATTATCAGGAATCATGACAAACAAAACCCTTGCTTTTGTCAGTATTCAAAGAACTGAAATATCTCGTGTGACGTGACCAAAGATTCTGTTTCTTGAACCAAAACTCTACAGGAGCAGTAGCAACAACTACTACAACTACGGATTGATTAATAAGAACCCTAACCAGTCAACAAAGTTGAATCATAAAAGTGGTGAAAATCCAATCTGAAATTTAAATGACTTCTGATTTCTAGTTTGATTTAAGGAATAATTATCCATTAAAGCCTGGAAATGGATAGTCTTGTTTAGAAGTTTAATTACAAGCCCTAATTTGGGATGTGTTTGACTATGAAGAGGGTTAGCTTTTCCCACGTGGGTGTAAACTCAAGAATTGGGGAAATTTCGTGTGGATTAGGGTAAAACCCTAATTTGGGAGTGACTTGTTTGAAAAGGGATGTTTATGATGTTTTCAAAAGAATCCTAATTAGGGGATTCTTTTTTTTTGAAACCCTAACACCTTCTTGTTTGTTGGTTTTGCTGACAATTTTCTTTCATTAACTTTAACACTGTACTTTTACTTTCTTGATGTGCAGCTGACGTGCTATTAAGGAAGTGTCAAGAGATAGGAAGGTTTTAAGAAGACAGCTTTTGCCATAGGCCTTCTTTCTTGAGCCTTATAGATGACACATACATATACATATACATACACATACACATATATGTATGTAAAGAAATTGGAAGAGAGAGAGAGAGCAAGAGGAATAATGAGAGGGGGTAAAGAGAAAGGAAACAGAAAATTTAACAACAATGGAGGAGAGAAGAGGCTGATCTCACAAAGACTGCTTACATTCCAAAACCTATTCTTGTTTCTACTACCATTACTATACTTTTATAATAATACTTCTATTTCTATCTATTGCACCGGATCTATGTCTCTACCGAACCAAGAACACAAAATAAAGTTTATATCATAAAAAGGAAATATATATTATATCAAAGCAAAAAGAAACATAAAGCTCATAGAATGAAAGAAAACAAAATAGAAGAAAGAAAGACAAGTGAATCTTAGTGAGAAACTCAATCAAGACTGCAACAAACAAAAAATGATTGTAATCTTTTTATTTTGAAATCCACCCAAAGATCTAGTTCTAAAGCCAAAATAAAAATCTGGACATCATTTAATTAATTTAACCTTTCAAAAAAAAAAAAAAAAAATATTTACTTTTTTAAAATAATAATACTCTTCTATTTCTCCTATCTATTGCAACCGGATCTAGTCTCTTACCAGAAACCAAGAACACAAAAATTAAAAGTTTATGATCCTATAAAAGGAAAATATATATTAATATCAAGCAAAAAAAGAAACCAATAAAGCTTCCCATAGAATGAAAAGAAAAAACAAAATAGAAAGAAAAGAAAGACAAGTTGAATCTTATGAGAAAACTTTCAATCAAGAATCTGCAACAAACAAAAAATTGATTGTAAATCTTTTTTATTTTTTGAAATCCAACCCAAAGATCTAGTTCTAAAAGCCCAAAAATAAAAATCTTATGGAACACATTTTTAAAATTTAATTTAACCTTTTCAAAAAAAAAAAAAAAAAAAGATATCATTGAATAAGACAATAAACTTTTTGGAAAAAAAAAAATAAACAAGAAAAACACCCAAGAACAAATAACCCTTTTTTGAAAGAAATTAATTAAAGATCAAGAAAGGTTTTTATTTCCGAGTTGTAATATGTTAATATTTATATACCTAATTATTTAGCAATACTCAATAGAGGCGACCGCGGCCCCTAGAGAATACGAATGGAGCAACCTCAAGCAATCAACAATAAAACAGATAATTCATAAAGGGCCTTTTTTTTTCTGGAGCAACCATTTTCTTTTCTTTTTTTTTAAAAAAAAAAAAAAAAAAGATATCATTGAAAAGACAATAACTTTTGGAAAATAAAAATACAAGAAAAACACCAAGAACAAATACCCTTTTGAGAAATTAATTAAGATCAAGAAAGGTTTATCGAGTTGTATATGTATATTTATATACCTATTATTAGCATACTCATAGAGGCGACCGCGGCTAGAGAATACGATGAGAGCAACCTCAGCATCACATAAAACAGATAATTCATAGGCTTTCTTGAGCAAACCATTTCTTCTTTTGCAGAAAGTGACTTGGCGATTTGTGGTGTTTTCGATCCGCTTGATCTCGATCTTTCCCCTACCCATTCTCCTCTGCGGTGAAGTCTCCCGGGAATCGCTGGGGTATGCCATGGCAGCTGTTTCTAGCTGATCCAAAAACAAAAAGAATGGCACAATATAATAAAGTAATCCAAGAAAAATTAAAGTAAAATTAATGAAACAACAAAAAGTTATATAAAATTTATAAGGAAATATGTAGCTCATGTACTAATTCTTTTGATCACTTGGAAATTGAAAATAAAGCACAAAAGAAATCCTAAATTGAAATTCTTTTGGATTTTTAATGATTATTTGCTTCTCATCATTTCTGGGTTTTGTCCAATCTTGAGTTTTCTTGAAGAAGAAAGTAAAAAAAAAATATAGAAAAATAAAGAAGGAAATGTTTGAGAGTGAATGATTTGAGAATCCAAAGTAAACAAATTTCTTGTAGCTTCTTAGGCATGAAATAGAAAGAAAAAGGGCATTTAAATGGTAGTTGAATCCCTGAGTTTAGAAATGTGAAAAAGATATTGAAAAAAACAAGAGAAAAACCAAAAGAAGTGAAGCAAAGCAAAGAAATTAAGAGATTTATGTCTCCATGTTTTGATAAACTAACCTTGGTAAGGAAATAAACAAAGTGAAGAGGAAAGGAGAAGTAGAGATGCTAATTGAGGAGAGAAACAAAGGCCTTTTTGGGTTGTGGGTTTCTCAGTTCTTTGTTTCTACAAATCTGAGTAGGAGAGATGCAGAAAATGGAAGCAAGATGAAGCTACAAGGTGAGCATTTATAAAGGAAAAAAAGACCCTTCATCCATTATTATCTACAACAATACTCCTCTATCTAGCTACTCTACTATATTCTATTGTACAATTTTTTTTTTTAAATTAAAAAAAATTTTTTTTTTGAGTGGTGTATAATATATTGAAGAAGAAGCAAAAGGGAGAAGGCTAAAGTTGGGAGTCAGTCATAAGATTCAGACTCCAATAACCATCCATTATTTTTCCACTCTCTTTTTTATATGGGAGAGAGAGAGAGATAGAGGAAAGGGACTCCACAAAAGCAAATAGTATTGGGGAAAATTTTCCAATATCATATGCATACAAATGAAATTAATTAGTTTTTTCTAATTCATTTTACGAATATCTTTTGTATTTAAATTAATTATACTTAGCCTTTGATTAACTAAGAAGGTAAGTGTCTAATCCAGCTATTAGAATCTAAATTATATTGTCATTGTTTGGCAAATTAGATAGACCTTTCTTTGATGTGTTGTTTTATATATATTGAAAATTCCAAGATTAAGGAATTATTTCAAATGAATAAAAAATATGGCAATCAAAGATTTAGCATGTATCCTTTGCTATGAAATATACAAAAATTTACATTCAAAAATTTTTGAGTAGTGTATGTATTAAAAATTAAAACTTCTAGGATCTAAATAATTGTACCACCCATCTATGATTGATTTGACTATAAGATATTTTTTGCTTTTAAATATGACGATAATGTAATATTGCCAATTAATTAATATAAATTGTTTTTAAATTCATCTTCTCAAATAAAAAAAAAGTGAAGCATTTACATTGGCATATAGAAGATTCTTATATGAGAAAAAAAAAATCCAAAAAACAAAATATTAAACTTTTGCTTCAGTAATTAAGCATCTAGTATGATTATTATTGCATGTGAAATCTATATATGATGTTCTAATCAAATTCTTTTTACTTAGTACATATGGAATAGGTTTGGGCATACGAGGAACACCTCTTGTATCGGATTTAGACCTTAGATATATTAAGTTTTTGCAATATATAATTATTTAATAGAATAAAATATCTTTTTTTCTTTTACATTAATAGAATAAAATATCTTATTGCTGATAAAAAAAAATTAGGCATTTAGTATGAATTACAAACTTATAACTTAATATCATAGTTATAAAGAAACCCACTGCTTGTATGCTTGTATCCACAAAAATATTGATTTAGAGGTCACCCATTATTTCCAACCCTTCAACTATTCTTTATGTTATTCAATTTCAGCCCAACGTATACTCATTTTCCCATATCATATACTAATTATATTTATATTTTATATATTATACAAAGCTAAATATTTTAAATACACGACCCCACTCATATACTTCAGTCCCATCTCTCTTCTTCCCACTTAATTTCATATAGAGATATACCTTTTTAAATGATTCAATTTATATCTATTTCCATATATAGGTTTATGAGTGTAAAAGCTATAGCATGTGAAATATCTATCCCTCCATCTCTCTAAATGCCAATCCCTCTTTTCTTATCATATCTAATTTTTTTCGTCTCTTTTTCTTTCATATGCTTCTATGCATTTGCTTTATTATTATTATTATTATTATTATTATTTTTCTTTTGGTTTTCAATATCTATATATATATATATATACATGCACACGCCTGGCCTTAAAATTTATTTTAAAATACAACGAACCCCACTCATATACTTTCATCCCCAATCCCTCTCTTCTTCCCACCTTAAAAAATTTTTTCAATAATAGAGAATATACCTTTTTTAAATGATCAAATTTTATATCTATTTCCATATATTAGGTTTATGAGTGTAAAAGAGGCTAATAGCCAATGTGAAATATCTATCCCCCTCCATCTCCCCTCTAAATATGCCGAATAACCTCTTTTTTCCATCCCTTTAATCAATATTCTATTTTTTTTTTTTTTTCGGTCCTCTCTTTTTATCCTTTTTCAATATTGCTTTTTTTTCTATGCAATTTTGCTTTTTATTATTAATTATTTAATTAATTTAAATTAAACTTATTTTTTCTTTCTTTTGGTTTTTCCAAATATCTAAAAATATATCATATATATTATAACATGCCAAACGCCTGTTCCATTTCATTTTTTTTTTGCGCCAAATTCACATTTCCTAATCAACTTGAACTATACATGCCCCTTATAATAAATGTTTTAAAATGAAATGTTCTCTTTCAATTCCAACATGGAATATATAATTTTTATTATTATTATTATTATTATTTTTCTTTTGGTTTTCAATATCTATATATATATATATATACATGCACACGCCTGTTCATTTTGCCAAATCACATTTCTAATCACTGAACTATACATGGCTATATATGTTTATGATGTTCTTCATTCAACATGGGATATATATTTTATTTGATTGGACTAAGAAACACAAGAAGGGTACTACATACACCCTACCTAGTTCCACCTATATATACGTTTAGTGTTGATTGTAGAGGACATGTCAATTGTCCATGCCCACTTTGGTATGACTAGTCATTTTTTAGGCATGACAAATGTATATTTTTTGTGTGTATAGACATTGGAGAGGATGATCCATGTTCTCTTGCTAGTAGCTATGCCCTATTTACTTATTGGGTCAAACTATTCATCAATTTTATTGTTTGGTTCAATTCTTTGATGTGTATGTGAAGAAATATTGATAGCGTTTTAGAAATTAATCTAACCTTAGCAATGTAAGTTATGTGAAGCCTCTTTAATTATCAATTGACATTGCAACCACACAATCTTTCATACATCAAGTGCAATTCATCATATATAGTTTGACCACTTGATTGTTTTAATTAAGAGACAAGTGTAGACTAGAATTTGGAATTTATATAACTTTTTAACATCTAATAAGTCTATCTCTCTAAATTTTAAATTATAATTTGATTAAAAATAAATTATTTATTGGGGAAAAAAGAAAAAAAAAATACTAGAATTACATGAAACATGATTTAAGGTAAGAGATTCCACAAATATTATAAAGAAGCAAAGAACTTATACTCTAAGGAGCTTTTTTTTTGAAAACATAATTACTTAAAAAGAAGAGATCCATCCAAATAAGTCGTTCAATCCATACAAATATTACATTCTCTATTATGATTAGAAAGATATACATTTTTTTTATCAGTAATATATATTTATTTTATTTCCTGATAAAAAAAATATATTAAAAATTTTAAATCCGAACCATCAAATTCTTTAAATATACTCAATTTAACTCATAAATATTAAGTAAAAAAACTTAGAAAACTTCAACTTACATAAAATTGATCTCTGTTTGAGATAAGAAAATTAAAAAAAAAAATCTACTGCCATTGAAAATATACATGATTCCCAAGTTAGTATAATTTTCCACCATACTTACGTCATCAATTCAATATGTTACCCCAAGCAACACGGGGGTTCTTTCACCGTATGACAAGTTATGGAGGATCAACCCAACAGTACGTCATTTTTAAGTACCTGGATGTATTTGTTTTGTATTTGTACCAAATCTATACTATTTTTTTTCTTTTTCTTATTTTAAGGTAAATAGTAACTTTGTCTAATTTTTAATTGTATTTACTTGGACTCCAACTATGTTGATTTAAATCATTTTCTATGTCGTGGTGACGAAACCTTTCCATTTTCATAGAGCATGGTGAATATTCAATAAGAAAAACTCATTTTCATTTTTTAAATATTACCATTTTATGTATTTTGGATTTTATCATAGTAAGGGTCATTTTTCTGTTACATAATTAAAGAACTGAGTTACATAATCAACAAGTGTAATTTTCTTTGGACCGTATAGTGTAAAGTTTTTTTTTCCCTCCTAGTAAAATACGTTTCTGAAGATCGAACTTTTGTTCTCACTCTTATAAGAGTTGAGGTCGTTTACTATCCCAACCATCATCTTCTTAAAATACTAAAAATGTAATATTTGACTCATCATTTAAACATTTTTAACACCATTAATTTAATTCTATTGAACACTAAATGCTATAGTTAATAGTTTCAATATTTCAAAATTTAAAGGAATCAATGAACGCAATTGTTCTTCAGTAATTTGTCCTACAATCAATAAATGCAATCATTTTTTATCTTTACTCTTCTAATCGACTTATACAATTATACATATAAAGAGTAGTAGCTCAAATGATAATACATGCTTGAATCCAATAGAGACCTGATATCTAGATCAGGTACATTTATATATTATAAATTTGAATAAGGATAGCCACGAATGCCGAATAAAATTATTGATCTTAAACCTAAAGGCGTAGAGATATTGGGAATCAATAATTAAAACATAAAATGGAAAACTTGATGGTATAAAATAAAACAATTTTCATATTTTCTTTCTTCCACTACACTTAGTTGCATAGACCTTTTTGAAACCACTAAGTACGCCTTCTATTCATGGCTTCAGTCTAACCTAAAGCTTACTTCTAAAATGGAGAGCCCCTGTAATTGATATATTTAGGTCAAAGTTTTTTCATGGTTCACACAACCACAAAATCTTCTCCATATCAATTACAAGGACCACAAATGAGAGCAACATCTATTTATATTCTCAATAAATTATTTTTAATTTCATTTTATTTACAAATTATGATTTTTTTTGCTTAATAAATATAAAATTTATTTACAAATTTTACCAATTTAAATCATATCATAGTTATAATCTTATTATTTGCGAATTTCGAGTACTAATTCATAGCAAAATTTGCCAAAATTATTCATAAAACAAAAGAATCCTTCCCCTAACAAATTAGAAAAACAAACTTTCACCAAAACGAGGAAGCATCTTCTTCAAAATAGGTATTATGACAGTAATTTGGTGGAATTAATGATTATTAATTCAAAATTGAGTTAATTAAGACTGCCTCCTAACAATTTCACTAATGTTTCAACCTTGTAATGAGGCTTCATTTGGTTGTATTTCACAAGAATAAACTCAACTTGTTCAAAGTTCTAAACAACAGCTTCTTCATGTTTAGCTAAATGAGGAAAATTAGGTTCTTTGATTCAATACTTAAGAGTTATTTAATCATCAAATTATTTTGAAGTTACTATGTACCAATTGAAGGTAGTAAAACACAAGTTTTCTGGTGATTGGTTTCCGAGAAAATCCCAAGAAAAGTACATATGATATTCTCTCTATAAAACAAAGGGGACCACAGTAGTATGTATAATATGTACAAAGCCAACATGATCATTTTCTCATCGGACCCTCAAATGATGCTGAAAGGTGCTAGCCTTCAATGCAAGACCTAATCCATTAAATGTCATTATATACACTACAAGCTCTCAATCTAACCTTCTTTCCTTCACTTTAGTATTTTTACCTCTTTGTCTCAACCAACTCCACTTCTATTATTCACTTCCAAATTATCCCTTTAGCTTTCTTTTTCCTATTCAATTTGTTTCTTTCTTTTTCTTTTTAGTATTAAAAAAAAGAAAGATTATTACGTTTTGTCTTAATTAAAGATTTCTATCGATACCTAATTTGAAAATTTCTAACCTCAAGTTCAAGATTTTGAATCGTTTATTTCTTAATTTAATGTTCAACCACGTATTAATAATTTAGAAGTTGATATATACAATAATAGGAACATGAGAATTTGCAAGAACCCCACAAGATTTAGTTCATGCTTGCTACATAAAACCTACAAGAAATTATTATATTTATAGCAAGCCAAGATCGAATTCTAAAAAAATCAATGTTTTGCAGTCCATTTTGGACTTCGTCTCCAATGGCCTATATATATATATAGCTAGCACATAAAGAGAAAAATTATATAATGACTTAAATACGAACTATGGGAAAACGTAAAAGAAAAATAATAATAAAGAGTGAAAAATTTAAAGACTCTCCAATTTCTTTATTGCCACAATTTAAACTTAATTTTTGTCAATGTTTCAGAGTCTAAATTATTTTTGCCAGTACTGCATCATTTTGTTTCTTCCTTTCGATTAGGTACTTTGTTTGTCATATAGCTTAAAAGTTATTTCCTTATTATTGACAAACCATGAACAGAAAGTACGTAGCTGCTCTTCTAATTAAAACACATATTATATTACTTCCTTAATAAGTTTACTGCCTATAAGAATTTTTTTTATTTTTTTTATTTTTATTTTTTTTTGTAAAAATGAGAGAGTTTCATGAAGCTTTGTGGTAGAGTTGCTTTGCTTTTTTAGTTAGACATAAACCCAACTTACCGTTAACTGCTTTAATCAAAAGCAACACATTAATTTAAGTTTAACAACTTTTCCAAGTTCTTCAGGAATTCAGCCAAAGAAATTATAATTGGATTTTCCTTTTGTCTTACTGCTCAAAATGGATGAGTTAAATAAGTATACATGAAAGCAAATTTAATTTCTATTTTATCCTCTATGACGACCTCTAGTAAATTCTAATTACTTTCATATCTATTGTTTTCTTTGTTTCAATATATGTTACTGCTCTCTTAATCTAAAATTTAGATTAATACGTGCATATATTTTGGTCACTAAACATTATTATCTTTTTTTTTCACTATACGGCGATCACTTTAGTAATTTTTATAATTCAATCACTAGTCGATGATTCATTAATATTTAGGCGAATAAAAGCCAGTTGGTATATAGCGATGGATTTTCCATCCATTCGGTAATTCTTAATTTCTTTATTATAGTGTAAAAGTGAGGCAATTAAGGATTCAAATCTCGCTATTGGGATTAAATCATATATAACACGCAATTACTAATTTTCAAAACAATCCATTTGTCACATCTTTCAAGTGAATTAGTAAAAAATAGGCATAATACATGTAATCGTACATTATCTATTTATAAAGTCAAAATTAAGATTGCCTAACCTTGGATATTCTATTTTAGTTCAAAAGTTCCCTTCATTGTAAAATGATCAGTGAATTCAGGTTCCGTAAGAGCTACACAATTGAATGGAAAATTGTGGCTGAGAGTGACCTTATGCAAGTTGTAAGATATATAGATTTAAAGATCATAGTTTCCAGTTGAAGATGGAGAAGAAATTTGAATTCTCAGTTCGATATATATATATATATATATATATACACAAAGTAACAAGGCAGCAAACTTGCCTTGCTCATTGGAAACTTTCCAAATCAGGGAATTTTCTTTTTATTTATTTTAATCTGCCGATGAAGTGATTTACATATAAAAATTATGTTTCTCTCTTTACATGGATGGATGGACCTAAGTTCATCTTTTTCTTTCTTTCTTGTGGTTTTTTATTTGCTATTTTGTTTATCAAGATTTGGTGTTATATATCTATGGCAGTAGCTATAGGGGGATTGGAAAAGACTCCACTGAAAAAGAATGTCGTGTGGTTGCTGTTATAAGTAACTGAAGTGAAGTCAGTTGCATGCAATGACTGATAATTATAAATATTGCAGTAGATTATCTTTTCTCTTGCTGCTTGAGAATGCATGGAAGCTTATGTTGTCAATTAATTCTCTTTCTTTCAAATGGAGTTGTTACAAAGTGTACGAGAGGAAGAAGCCTAGAGGAATTGAATAGTATTGTCATAGATTTACCTCAAAATGTAATAGTGTATGGTGGGGCCCTCGACTTAATTTAACTTTTTACCTTAACAAGCTATTGACTGGCCCAAACAATGAATCGTTGCCCCATTTTTCTTTTCTTATAGATTATTTTTTTGATATTACATTTTATTAATCACAGATATCTTCAGCTTATTGAGTTAAATTTTGCTAGCTCTCAACGGTTTCTTATTTCATGTTCTGAAGGTATTTGAGAGTCTTCTGAGTTCTCCTTTACTATACACTAATTGGACCCACAAAAGGAGTTTTGCTTTTAATTATTATTATTATTATTATTATTTTATATTTTTCAGGACCACATGAAACATATTAATCATGGCTATTTAGAGAAGTTTTTCTTTTTTTTTTTTTTTTTCTTGAAGAAGCCTAGGAGGAAAATTTGGAATAGTATGTCATAGATTTACCTCAAAATGTAAATAGTGTATGGTGGGGCCCTCGGACTTAATTTAAACTTTTATTACCTTAACAAGCTATTGGACTGGCCCAAACAATGAATCGGTTGCCCCATTTTTTTTTCTTATAATTATTTTTTTTTGATATTACATTTATTTAATCACAGATTATCTTTCAGCTTATTACGTTAAAATTTTGCTAGCTCTTCAACGTGTTTCTTTATTTCATGTTCTGCAAGGTATTTGAGAGTTCTTACATATAATAATCACTAATAATAAACTAAATAACAAAATCCTGGCCACAACAAAAAAGGGAAGCTTTAATAGACTAATAACTACATATAAATAACAAAACAATAAAATATTAAATTATTAATTATTATTTCCTATAATTATTAAACAGGAACCAACATGACCATACGATATATACTCATCAACTGAAGCCCAATATAAGAAAGTATCAATTCTTAAATTCCGTTCTTATCTTAATATTCTACAGAAATTCCGAATTCGTCCTGTTGCAAACAAAGCTGAGAGTAGCCATTGAACCCAATATGAGTACGCCCACAATAGTCTCCACAAGTTTCAGACTGTCCACCAAACTATACCCATCCGTATTAAAATAAAATAGTAAAGCAAAAAATAAATCACTATATAACTTATCAATAATAATCGAACTACATCTATAACATCTCACTCAATGTTATATAATTATTTATAATCCTCATTCGCCTCCTTAATTATAATATTAAGCCTAATTTTTTTTTTTTTTTTTTTCCGAGTCGATTGCTGTTGCAAAGAGTTGATTGAATGTCCAGTTTCAGCTTCCACTTCCCATCTATAATTTAAGCAAATAAATCCTTTTTTTTTATAAATAATATCAATTGAATAATGTTATATAGATTATTTATTTTCATTCTGCTCTATTTATTGCTAAGTCATAATTAATATCAAAAAAGTAATAAATCTATTTCATGTCTATCTCTTTTCTATTCAACACCATCACACTTACGAGAGCACATGATGCCAGTGATAGTTATATTATATTATAAATTTTAGAAAGATTTATCCTAAAATGATATCAGGGATGATCAACTCTATCGTACTTAACGGGTATTTTACCCAATGTAACTCCATTTTGAACGTTTCAAATACTTGGTGAACAATTTCAGTTTAAGTTTCAGAGTATTTTACTGCCATGTGATCCAAATTAAAATTCGGTTCTAATTTCAAAAGGTTGCTGTCACCCTAACGTTAAGAGGCTTTTCTGTCGCCATAATGCTGTGGTCCATCATGTCCTTTTTAAACATGAAATAATGGTGATAGAAAATAAGAGAATCGTCACTTTCCATCAAACCCATGGCCAACCAAAGACTTGTCATTTTTGCCTTTTTCCATTTAGTATAGAAAACACAGATTTATGCTGTAGGTCTTTTTCTTCCTTTTCTTTCTTTCTTTCTTTCTTTTTAATGGTAGAACTATCGAGGGATTGTTATCATACGCAAAATGGACATTAACCACCCCACCACTACTGTTAATATACACATTGCACATACAGCATGATTGTCAAGCTCAACCCACAAATTCCATGGGAGAGCAACACTTGGAAGAAATCAAATCCAATGACCGGCAAATTACAACAAAAGAAAGCTGTGCTCCAAATTATAGAAGAATCCTTTTACATAATTTCTGCAGCCTGGTAATCTAATTGGTGGAGCGGGAAGAACGACTCCGGCCACTTAGACTAAGATCTTTCTTCAACATGGCCTCCAGATTCTGAAAGCACTTTAATGGTCTAACCTGTAAAGGTTACAATGTTGAAAGAGAACGAATCAATTAGAAGGACACAACTAATCTTAATTAGAAACAGAATGCATCGTTTGAGTAATCCATCAATCATCAAATAAGTACACTATGCTATCGAAGAAAAGGATGTTTGGATGATGAGAATGGCCATGTGTTGATTCCATCAAGGCATCACAAAATATAGATAGTGTCAGTGGAAACAAAAGGTTCTGTTCTTTATATGAGCAAAATTCCGAAGGTAGGTAGAGAGAGAGATAGAGAGACCTTCCAGCGCCTCTTATGACCAATACTGTTGTGAATGGACTCCAGTCTTGTTATTATTTGCCTGAAAGTTGGACGCTTAGCTGGAATCTCATCCCAACACTCCTGAATCAACCTGTGAACAAGAGAAAAATTGAAATCAATGTCAGATTTGAGAGATCAACCAACATTCAATTAACTTCAGAAACTGCTAAAGCCATAAAAATCTCTGAGAAAAGACCAAATCTGAGCACGAGGGAGAAAGCAATATTTCAAATTTTAGTTTTTTAGCACTAACCTAAGATCAAGACAAACTTCTGAAATGACATTGCAGTCAGATTTCTTATTTTCCGTATTCAGCCATTCTAAAGGGTTAAAAGCAGATAACTAATCCATCATAAAGAACACTATCAACTTGGTGATCAATTTTTTTTTTTTTATTTAATCATTATCGAACAAAAAGTTAGAATAAACACAAGATAGTCAGAGGACATACTCTTTAAGTCCATGTGAATAGTGCTTTGTTGGAGCTCTAAAAGGTGGACGCTCTTTTGCGCAATATGAATTTGGAACTTCTTGTTCTTGCTTTGCAGAAAATGGTGGGCAGCCTTCAATCATCTAAAATTAAAAAACGTTGCAAATATCACTTGACAGTCACGGGAGGAAAAACCCAAGCTCCTATAAAATAAATCAGGTTCCATGTGTCGACAAAAACTTGGTAATGAAATAAGAATCGTTTTTACCTCCTGCAAAATTAAAGCAAAGGAAAAGACATCCACTTTGGTGTCATATTCTTCATTTTTGAAAACTTCTGGGGCCACATACCGGCCTGTTAACGAATAACAAGAAGCAAAAGAATTTCATTGCAAATTTTATTACTTAGTTTATCAGTTACAGAAATAAGGATCAGTTAGTGGTAAAAGACAATCATGTCTTCAATTTCCAATTGAAATGAGGATTGTAATGATAAGCAGCACTCACAAGAAGTGTCTTTACAAGTTAGAGGCTTGTCTTCTTTAACAGTAATCAACTTACTAACTCCAAAATCTGCAACTTTTAGATGTCCAGAATCATCCCGCAATATATTTCTGTTACCTCGCTCATAAGCAACATAAAAATGTGCTGACAATTTCAGAAAATTGAGAAATCCAATGAATTTTTACTGAAACTTAATCTTAGTCTCAGTATAAAAGAGCACAAATAAGATAAAGAAAGATCCTAATTGGACAGCAAGACTTACGAAGGCTCAAGATCACGGTGAATTATTGGAGGTTTGTTCTCATGTAAATAATTCAGCCCCCTGCAAAAATCCAGAAATATTAATTTGTCTTTCAGGCTAGCTTGAGACTACAGCAATCAATACAAGATAAAACGTGATCAGGTTCTTGAACTGAATCGTGTATAGTCATAATGAGATTTTTTTTTCTCTTGCATGTCATTTGCAAAAAGTGTCATCTACAATGTTAGATTTTCAAGTAAACCTTCATGTCCATCAACTGAATCATGAATAATGGCATAGTTGATGATGATTTCCCTTATGTTGCAGGTTGAATTTTTGCAATAAATCTCAACCACCACATAAGATCCAAACAGTAACTTTAAATTTGGGTATCGCCATATGTTTCCCTCAACATTTAGATGAAAGCCAGACAGAACCTGGAGCCTAATGCTTCTCACAAGATCAATGCACTAAGAAACATTCCTATGAAATCCATTCAAGGTCCAAGTCTCAAAAGGAAAAGGATAGGGAAAAAAGACAATTATACTGTATCCCATCAAAGTAGTATCTTAATAAATTTGACAGCCTAATGCTGCATACCTAGAAATAGAAGACCCAATTCTTAAACAACAATAACAATAAAACTGACCTTGCAATATCAAGTGCAAATCTCACAGCTGTTGATGGTTTTAATGCTCCTCTTCTCTTCAAGAAAGCACAAAGGTCTCCCTATAACATTAATTAAAAACAAAGGTTTTTTAATGCTAAAATAACTAAACAAGCTTCAAACAACTTCAAACATTATTCTTATCCACACAAATCCCATCACTGCAAATAGCATGAAGAATAATGCAAAAAGCTACAGTTCCACCACTGTGACAGCAGAAATTAATCCAGTCATTTACCAAGAGAAGGAACACATAATGACGACAATTTTTCAAGCAGAATTAGACCTATATCCTTCGCAACAAAGAAAATAAGGTAAGAAATATTCTATCAGACAGGACGAAGATATATTTGTTTAAAAGACATTTTCATTATGTTTAAGGACTCGTATTTATCCAGGTTAAAAAGACAACAAAACTACTTAACTAATAGGAAAGAATTTCAGGAGATAAGATGCATCATCATCAACTAATAGAAGTAAGAACAGAATAATAAAAGATGGAAGAAGTATTAACCAACCAATAAAACAGGAAATTATATGCTAACTGTTGACTACTGGCAACATCATAGGAAAAAAAAAAAATCAGCAACAATGAATTATAAAAAACCTTGGGAAGATATTCGGTCACAATCATCATAGGACTACTTTGAGTAACAGCACCCAGAAATTGGACCACATTTGGATGTCGTATCTTCTGAAGCAATGCAAGCTCATCTCTGAATGCTCTACTATAAAAGGTTTACCATATCAACTAAGAACATGGAAGAGCAAAAAAAATAGTAATAATGAGCAAAAAGAGTGTTGTGTGAGTAACTCACACTTTATCCTCATCAGAAATTACATCCTCCCCAAGCTTTTTAACAGCAACTTGAATTCCACGCCATGATGCTATACGAAAGGTTCCCTGCGTACAATTTTTATGCATTTCAATCGAAAATTAAACAATGCTGGCCAACATGGCAAGAAAAGGTGAAGTAGAACATTCCTCAAAGATTATCAATTAAAGGAAAGAAACTTAGGGAGGGAACAAACAGTAAAATGGAATCAAACAAATGAAAACAACTGCTTGTTAAAATGAGAATTTATTCTTTTTTTTGGGTTAGGGTATTTTTTAGGGTAGTTTGGGGGGTTCATAGTGGGGACAGTAGCATGGTACTAGATATTAGAAAAGAACACAAAACAGGACAAATAACAAAACTAATTAAAGGCTTGTATTTATGGAACAACGCAATGAAGCTTGAACATTTTACTACTTAAACATCCCTTTCACTACCAATTTAAGTTCACTTGACAAACAGAGCATTCTGTTCGAACATAGTAAGGTACTAATGTACCCAAAAAAAGTGAAAACAGAAAACAAGTAAACAAGCGATATATATTATCTCCAGTTAGTTGCAGCAAGGTGCTTTAACAGGTCAATTGTTTATCGGATTGGCAAATCTACTTACAAATCTTGTTATTTGCAATATCTTTCATTATCTTAGTGATTCATCATCAATTTTACTCTTGTCCAACTGGGAGTCTTACCTTAAAGAAATTAGATAAGCTTAGGTATCAAAGGCACAAGGAAGATAACAAAATTTTAGGGCAAGCATTAACATTATACCATTACACACTTTTTAAAAGACAGGCATCAAATACTTAGAAGATGAAAGTAAGAAGCAGAAAATGACAGCTCTAAGAGATCTGTGAGCAATGTAATTAAAATACAAATAACTATCAAAAGATAGACTATTACCTTTGTTATTTCTACACTGTTAGTAAAATCAAGCTCGGCAGCATTAATTTCATACTCTGGGACTTCCCGAGCATGATTGACGTGCATAGGAGCCATCTGAACAACTCAACCAAGGAATGCCATGAACACATATAGACAAAAATGTACATTAAGTACTGAAGATATCATGTTAACCAACCAGAACTCAAGGCATACCAGAGGCTTTGCACCACGCTGCTCCAAAAGCTTGATCACGTCATTGTTTTTATAGTGGATAGCATCTGCAAGAGGCTGTTTGAGAAAATCTTAGGCCAAAAATTGATTTTTTTTTTTTCCTACAATTCAATGCAATTAAACAGATAGGACTAAATATCTAAAAACAGAGTTGACATTGAATTCTTTTCAGAACTATTTCCAAACATAATAATAATAATAAGATTCTTATTTTCCGAGAAATATTAAAGCACAAGTACCAAAACATAGACAAGGTTATTTATACAGCATGATCAAGATAAAAACTCCATACACAAACAATTCAAAAATCTAACACTGCGATAATTTAGAGTGGAAAGAGAAAGCTTACCGTGCTCCCCCATCGATCTTTGGGGTCAATCTCGGCACCGTTATCGAGCAACAGAGTGGCGACGTCAGGAAAGCCTTGGCAAGCAGCAATATGAAGCGCAGTCCGGTCGTCGATATCGCGAAAATTTACATCAATACCTGAATCTAAGAGCTCGCGAATCCCATCCAAATTGCACTCATTGACCGAGTACATTAGTCGCACACCTGGATCGATATCCACTAACTCTTCCTTTTCCGCATCCAAACCCTCTCCGTGGCGTTCTGGTGCTAAAGACGATTGCTTCCCTAGGGTGAATCTTACTGAGCTCTTCCCTTCCATTTCAAATTAAAATCCACCAAAAGAAAAATCTCAAGAATTTGAATTCTGATCTCTTGGTTTCTCAGCCAACTAATATAGAGCTTCAATCCAAAAAACCTGGACCCCTTTTGGTCTGTTTTTTCAAATTTTTGGTGCTCTTGAAATGTACAATGAGCAAGAAAGAATTTTTATCTGTAAACCTTTCACTCAATCAAGAATCAAGAATAAGAAGCTAAACCCAAAGCTTAAACTCTGAAGTCTAAACAGTGAACAGAGGGAAATGTATTTGACGACCCAAACCCTGAAATTGAGAAAGCTGGAGAAGAGACAGTTGGGGAAAGACTTGGTTTTTCACTTGAAAGTTCTAAGACTGTAGTTCAAAACTTAAGAACTGAAAAGGCTGAATTCAGAATCCACAAACCCTCAAGTTTTGGATCTAAATAAGGAATTTATACGCAAAGGACGAAGAAAGAGAGGGAATCAAAAGGAAAATTCCAGGGAAGTGCTTTCTCCGTGTGTGCCAACTCTTAAGTTTCTCAGTGGCTATTGGGTAATGGACAGAGCAGACGTTGAAAATTTTTGGTGGCGGAACGTGCAATCACGCGTCCAATAAGGCACGTGAGGACAGCCATTGGGATTTAGTATTAGATAAAAGCGGGTAGGCGCAAAGTAAGCGGCAATTGACTAACGTGCGCAGGACGTTAGCCGGCGCTACCTGTGGGGTTTTTGTAAAGCGACGGCGATTTACGTTTAAAACGGGCTGTGATTCAGATAAACAGTGTAGATCTTGCAGGATAGGCGGTCAAATGTTGTTAAATGGGGTCCACTTTCCGCAAGTGGAAATTAGATAGAATTTCAAACGGAAAAAAGACGCCGATTTTTAGTTTGCGTGACATTGTTTTTGCCCGACGAGGGAAGATAAAAGACGAAAAAAGAAATGGTTGGAGCATGTATAACATGTGACAGGTTGTTGATAAAGATAACGTCCATTGCTATTTTAATGATGTTTGTTAATTTTATTATAATGTCCATTTTCGTATTTTCAAAACAATATTTTGTTTTCTTAAGAGAAGTTTATTAAAAATAGAAATAATTTCAGCTTTACATTTTTTTTTTTTTTTAAGAATTGAAGTCATTTTTTTAATACATATGAGAGAATCTTACTTGTGAAGACCTCGAAATTTTAACAAGGTTTCATTTAGATAAGCTTCAAATCAGTGTTTTCTGGGATAAAAAAAAAAAAAAAAAATCAAAACGGGCTGTAGATTATCAGATTAAATACAGTTGTTTAAGAATCTTGCACATGGATAGCGGCTCAAATTAGTTGTTTAAAATGGGGTCCGACTTTCCGGCGAGTGGAAAATTAGATAGTGAATTTTCAACAGGAAAAAAGGACGCCGCGATTTATTATTTTGTTCGTGGACATTTGGTTTTTGCCCCGACGAGGGAAGATAAATAGACGAAAAAAAGAAAATGGAGGTCATGATATAACATGTGACAGTGTGGTTGTTGATGAATAGATAACGTCCATTGCTATTAATTGAATTGTTTTATTATTATAATGTCCCATTTTCGTATTTCAAAAACAATATTTTTTGTTTTCTTAAGAGAAGTTTATTTAAAATATGAAGTAAATAATTTTCAGCTTTATATTTTTTTTTTTTTTTAAGAAATTTGAAGTCATTTTTTTAATTACATATGAGAGAATCTTACGGATAAGAACCTCTGAAATTCTCAACAATGGATTTTTCAGTTTAGATAAGCTTCAAATCAGTGTTTTCTGGGTGATAAAAAAAAAAAAAAAAAAACCATTCACAAGAAATATCTGCTATATAAAGACGAATTAATATACTTTAGAGGAGAGTGTTCTTGCTCCTTTTGATCATATAAATATAGTCCTCTACATTCCATTTGAAGAATATTGATTTTTCTTAGGGCCAATAGGTGAATGATTCAATTTACGAAACATTAGTATGATTTTTACTTACTAAATTTGATATAAAAATTTATATTAACCAACAAAAAAATTTAAAAAAAAAAAAAAAAAATCCATTCACAAGAATATCTGCTATATAAAGATGAATTTATATACTTGAGGAGAGTTGTTTCTTGCCTTGACAATAATATATCCTCCATCCATTGAGAATATTTTTCTTAGGGCCAATAGGGAATGATTCAATGTACGAAACATTAGATGATTTACTTACTAAATTGATAAAAAAATATTATTAACAAAAAAAATTTAAATTTCACGTGATTAAGAAAACCGATCCAACCACATTTATCAACAATGATTAATTATTATTATATATATATTCAGTAAAAAAACTTGCACGTATTCATTTATTTTTAATATAATTTTTTTTAGTTATTTAAAAAAAAAACGTTATAGTTAAAACCATATTAAGCTAGATCCTCTTAAAATAGAATAGGCCCACGTAACCTCCCAGCTCGCATTAACAATCAATGTAAAGCACGCGCTAAGTCATTAGGGTTTATTCACAATTCATTTCCCTTAAAATTAACACAAAACACAAGTATTTTCTATGATCAATAGAAAGAATCTTTGAAGAAAATTAGTGGAATATACCCTTTTACATTTGAACAAAAAAAGGCCAAGAATATTAGCAAGTACTGAGAAATAAGAAGCATGGACTCTGCATCATGACTGGTTCCATCAAGATTAAATATATCATGTTAGACTAGTAAACATAGGCCATTTCAAATCATGGAGATGAAGATAAGATCACGTGGGAAAATTAAACTTAAAGCACAGTCATATACGTTTGTGTTGTTTCACATATTAAACTCAAAGTCCTTTACCCTGATCCCTTACGAGGGTGGGCAACATTTATTAAACTTAGCAATTAAAACAATTATTCTATTCACATTCTCTACCACAGACCAAATGAAACCTTTTATATTGCCATGAGAAGTAACATTTGATTACAGAATTCCTTATTGCAGGCATAATTGCAATCCTGTGCGAGTGCGTTGGATTACTGGGATACTGAGCAAAGCTTCACATATAATGGTGGTATGATTGCATATGCAACCGCAGTATCGCACGAACAGAGATTAATCACACTTTTACATACAGTCAATTGCAATTAGAAGAGGACAGCACCTGGTAAGTTTTTATTGCAAATTGGAAGAATTAAGAGAGATGCAGAACTAGTTGGGGCTGAGGTTGCATTCTGCAATCTTCTCCCATGATTTCAAGGTTTGGTCCGCTGTGTCTGTTTTCCACAGGGCAAGACGGTTTATTTGGAAACTCAAGCCGTTGATGCTGTTGTCGAGAATATTAGCCTTTTCTTCAGCATTTTTCTTCTCATCATCTGTTAGATCTCCATATAAGAGACTAAGATGAGGCATGTAAGCTGCAATATTACACAACATATGCATTACTTTGAGTATAATAATGAAAGACAAAAATATGAATGCAGATGTGACAGTTTTCCTCGATCAGAATTCCTATCCTTTTTTATGAATTGAAAGAGCAACATTACAAATGTTACACTTCTCTAAACACTATATCCTCAGGTACTAATGGATTCTTGGCCATTAATGATTGAATACTACCGTACCATGATGAAATAGTATGCCTACATAACCTACCTCTCAGACCAAGGGAAGAAGGCTCTTCAAGACCTGAAGTTCGAGAGCCCTTTTTGATATTTTACCAATTAACCGATCTCTACACATTAGAGCATATCCTAAAGAGCTCCTCATTAAACTTGAATCAGGATCTTTTGGCTCAACTTTCTCCTAAACCCAATATAAATATATGACAGTACCCGTGCAGGTTTCAATTTCATGGCACATAAATGAAACGCTTAAGGCCTCATTTGATTCACGGAATAGGAAAAGAATAGAGTAGTTGTTCCATGGAAATAATTATTCCTAGCGAAGTTTAAATTTAAGTATTGGAATAACTATTCTACAAAACAGCAAAATCGTAACCTTAAGTTTGGTGAATTTCTAAATATATAATAGATGTTTTTTAGTTTTACGAAATACAAGTTTCATAGCAGACAAAGCATAGCTATTCAAGGAAATTCTTTTCCTTGCTATTACTTTCTGCAAACCAAACATGGCATTGGAGTAATCACATTCTTTACATTACAGCAACAATATCTCATCGTTGTCATGTAGAACAAACAGAAAAAAGGGTTCCCATTGAACATTTCAACAAATAACCTACAATTTCACCATTATAAGACTTCTGATATCCTATGGCCTTGAACCTTCTACTGTAAGATCCTTCTTCTGATACATTATAGCTCCTTACCCAATTAGTAAGTTCCAAAATCTTTGAAACTACCCAACTGACTCCAGAATTTCACAAGACACTAATGATTCATGATTCCTAACAACAATTACAAAGAGGCAACAGTGTTTATTACTTACGAGTAGACCTCTTGTACCCGAAATGTCCACTACTGCTTTCACTAGCTTCCACTACCTGAAACAACACGAAAAACACGCCAATTTTAACGTTTGGGCATTCAATTTTTCAATAAAACATTAAAACTGCGACATTTGACAAAATTAGGGATGACCTCTGGCGTGGGATGGAGGAGTAAATAAACACACTGATAAAAGAAAGTTCCGGTGACGACGCGATCAACGGTGGCAGTATAAGCTTTGACTCCATCAGAGGCAGATCGAAACTTGTCCAACGCATCCTGCTCCGTCAAACTAATAGCCCCAACTACTGTAACATGCGGTTCGAATTGTGGCCCGCCGAACTCCGATCTTAGACCGTCCATCAATTTCTTGATTCTCTCGGCCACGTCTTCCTGTGGAACCGCCCAAACCGAATAAACGTGCTTCTGGGCGACATCAGTAGCTGTTTCTGCTCCCTTAGGGATTTCCATGAGAATAGAGTAGAAGAAGAGAGAGACACCAAAGAGTCCAACAAAGGCCAAGAATTTAATGAGATTGAGAGACAAATACATGCGTGGGGCTGGAAAGGGGAATTTCTGGGGGAATCAATGACTCCATTGTTGTTATTGTTGTGGTGCAGATGATCAATCAAATCTTTTAATATTATTAAAGAAAAGAAGAAAAAGTAAGTGGGATTTTAAAAATGAATGCTTTTGATGTTGAGATTATGGGAGGAAGGTGGGTTTGAAGATTGAGGATCAACAGACAGAGCATCATTCGAGAAGATGGCACATGGCACATGCAAATGGTATATGCCGATTGCTCAAGTAGGAAAAAACACAGTAACTCTCGCAACTTGGCTCCTTTGCCTTCAGGGAAAAAACACACTTAAAAATATTTTTCCAGATATATTTTAATTTATAAGAACATAAGTATATTTTAAATTATAAACATAAATAATAAATAATCTCTAAATATAATCAAATTAGCACATATTCCTAAATTGAAAGTTAAATTGTTAACAGACATCATGAATTAAAAAATCATAATTACTATATAATTTAAGGATCAATTTTCCAATCATTTAACTGACTATGGTTTATAAACCAATTTTCAATTATTTAATTGAGGATAAAATAACCATTTCAAACAGGACGTGGATCCTCACGTGTTAATTCTAATTTAGAAACCAAAGAATGGTCTTTCCCTATGAATATTTTGATAATTGCTGATACCAGTACTGCCGGACAGAGGCGGGCCATGGTTGGTGGCCGGACCTGCTATTGTTAATGGCGGTTATTGATTTCATCAACAGTTCAACACCACAACAAAACAGAGTCATAATCGTTCAATAACATATTTACATAAATGTTTGAATCCAACTGCAATTTCAGAAAAGTCACTCTGCTCAAGAAATAACATTGCTCCATAACTCTGGCTTCCATAAAGTACAGTAGCATTCAGTAACGAATACATATTAATTAAACACGTATTTTACGTAATTAAGACCATTTTTAGAACATGTATATAGAGGATTCTACTTCCAAAAACACCAAAACCAAAAAACAAGCAACCACCTATACATCCTGATATCCACACTGACACTATCCATATTGGTTTTTTACTTTATAAACACAAAATCTGCATATATATGATCATGGAAAAGGTGCCCTCAATTTCATTTCAGTCCTTTCAATGTCAATGGCAAAACCTTTCCCATTCTGCTTCCAGTAATCTGCCTGAGGATTGATCCACTCTGGCTCTGCAATCTCAATCCTCGAGTTCTTTATAGCATCTGTCAATATATTATACTTGTAATCCCTTTTCTCAATCAGGGCTGGAGAAACCATGCCCAAGTTCACTGCCTGTGGTGACATCATCAATGCAGGCGCTCCTAATGGAAGCCTATCGCCTGCACAATAGTTTCAAATTCTTTAATGATGCCAAATCCTTTAAATTAAGAGTTAATTAGTTATTAATTACCTCTATCCACTTGCCATGTGCACCAAAACTTGCCATACGTTTTGGCTAAATTTTCCAGTTCCGGTTTCACCACCATTTCTGGAACTCTGGGATGATCCAACAGACCTGATTTGACCTAAACATGCAATCAATTTTGTCTGAAGACAGTTCATTTGATTTAATTTATTTAAAATTAGTTAATTAGTTAATTAATTTACCTCGTAAGCATGGGAATGCCAGAGCTTCTGTTCTTCAGGTGGCAAAGATTCAAATATCCGATCTGAAACTATGTATTCCACTCCTGCATGAAAAAAATGAAAGAAAAGATTCATATTTTCAAAATTTTAAGGAAAAAAACTAAGAAGAAGAAAATTGATTTGTTACCGATGAGACGGCCATTCTTGTCATCGGAATCGTATACAGCGCACTGAAGGAAATCCTGGTTGAGTCTGGTGACATAGTGGTGAATTTCGATCTGACGAGTCATGTCATGGCTATAACTAGCAAAGGTACAAACATGCTGGCTCATTTGTTTTATTGGTTTCAATGACTGCAACATCTGTGCTCCCTTGTCCAGCATGTGTTGTTCCGCGGACATCGGCTGTCCCGGGGGGTTTGGCTGATCTCCGCCTTTGACTGGCGTTGGAGCCGGTGATTGATCGCTGGAAGCCATGGTTTGAAGTTGAGGTGTACTGGATTGATGTGGTTTTTGATTTGAATATAAACGGAAAGAAAGGCGACGTGGCCGATTGTGGGCAGAGCACGTAGGCATGCAAGAGAAGGTGAGTTGGCTAAGAATGGTGAAGTTTTGATGACAAATGGGAAAGAGATAGAATTTTGGGACTTGGACGTGGAGCTACTTTTTAGCATGCCGCTGACACTACATCTTCATTATAAATTCACTTTTCCTTGTATACACGCGCGCGCGCGCGCACGTAGGTGTAATCCATTTTTGACCGTTCAATGTAAAGATTTTGACCTTATTAATAAATGTGATTCTTAAAAATCGAATTTATATATTTATTTGTGCAAAGGTTAAAATGGCTTTTAGCTTCCATTCATATTTTATTAATTATACATTGATATCTTTAAAAGACTTATATTTTTTTTTCTCTTCACTAAATCAAATATTATTTGAAATTTGCTTTGACCCAGTTTATATACTGCTGGCTACACAATGTAGAGTTGCTTTCCATTGACTCACGGTGAAAATATCTAATTAGCACCGATATATTTTTTTTACTAGATTAAGTTGGGGAAATTTAATTTTCTTTCTACATTGTCAATAAATTTGAAAGATATTATATAAACAAATAAAAGTTAAAAACCATAAAAATGAAATAAAATAAAATACTGTTTTTTTTCTCCTTTGGTTTAGGCCTTGCCATTATTCTTATTTGGACCAACAGAGTCCTGAGGCCTGTACTCGTACATCTTAGCAACAATCAAATAGTTACAGAAATTGATTAAGCTCAAAGCAGATAATAACCAGTAAAACAGATCCAAATGATTTCTATTAATATTATTGCCTGCTAACCACCCTCTGCTCTTAGTGACTCCTTCAGTTGCACTATTAACCATCTTAACCAAAATAGTGCTGACAAAATATCCAAGCGCCATGGAAATCCAAAGGAAGCAAGTAGAAATAGATTTAATCCCCTTTGGTGCCTGTGAGTAGAAAAATTCAAGAAGACCAACATATGTAAACATGTCTGCAATACCAAAAATGAAATACTGAATTGATAGCCAAAACACACTAATAGGCAACGGCTGCATTATAGGAATAGCATCTAACATGTTGTTATCTCTAGCCACTTTTTTTCTCTTTCCTTCCATTATTGCAGCTGCAGCCATGGATATAGAAGAAAGAATCAAACCAACACCTACACGTTGAAGGTGAGTTATTCCTGTAGGATGGCCTGTGATTTTACGAGCAAATGGCACGAATATGTGATCGTAGATTGGGACTAAGATGATCATGAAAACCATTGGGAGAATTGGTAATGAAGCTGGTGGAATGTTAAAAGATTTGGTTATCTTAGTATCCATGGATAGACCTTGTTGAATAGAGAATGTTTGGAGCTGAGCTAGACAGAGGGTCATTACAATGGTGCAGCAGAAGATTGGTACCATCCCAAGTAGGATTTTTGCATTTTCTACTTGGGTTACCCTGCAGAGTTTCCATGGATTAGGAGCTTGCTGTCTTGAATCTTGTCCTATAGATGTTTCTTGGATGGCTGCTTTGTCTAGGAACCTGAGCAGAGTATGTATTAAATTTGTTAGATCAATTCAGGGTACTTGAGCTGCTACTGAGAAAATACTATGTTACAGGTGTATTTGTAGGTCATAATCTTTGTTTTCAGGTGAATTTGATATGTCTAGTTATAAAAGTTCCAAAACAGCTAAACAATTATATTGGACCTGAAAGTATCTGTGTGAGTTTGAAATTCTGCTTCTAGAGCAGCTTCCTTGTCATGGTTAATCTCATAGAGCTCTGAAGTAGCTTCAGGAAGTTGAAGTTTTCGATTACGAATGGCTGCAATATAGACCTGCAAGAAACGCAAAAAAAATCTCATACAATGAAACATTCTTTCTTTCTAGAGAAATGATGATCAAGACTTAAAAGAGTAATCAATTTTTGCAAACCTGTATAATTTCAATGATAGCATTGGATTCTTGAATAACTTGTACACGATACATAGGCAACCCAGCAACAAAGACTATCATACCCAAGAGCATAGCAACAGCACTAAGTCCAAAACCCCGATCCCATCCTTTTTTATCTTGAACCCACACAAGTAGTGTTAAACTAATAGCACCACCAACACAAATTGCTAGCAATATATAGTTGAAGAAGCTAGACATCTGTCTCGCCTGTTTCGGGTCTTTCTCATCGAACTGATCAGCACCGTATGATGGTAAAGCAGCTTTGATCCCTGCACTACCAATTGCAAGCAAGTAGAGAGATACAAAGAGCAGCAAAGCATTGCTACCTCCAACTTTCTCACAGTGTGAATTTTGATCAAAGACATTACAAACAGGTGGTTTGAATTTCGGGTAGTGAGCTTGAACTGCTAGTAGTGCTAGTCCCTGCATGAGGACGTTTTCTTTTAAATAATACATTTTTTTATCTTAATGAAAATGATCAAGAAATAATTAAGTAAGTAAAATATGTTTACCAAGAATTCAAAGCTTCCAGAAATTATAACAGCTTTCCATCTACCAATATAAGTATCTGCAAGAAAAGCCACCAGTATAGAAAGCATATAGCTAGCTCCCATGAAGTTAGTTAGCTGATTAGCCGCATCTGCTATTTCAAAATGCATCACCCCATTGAAATACGTCACCAAGTTCACTGCAAGTGCAACAGTCGCCATCTGTTCGAAACCAATCGTGCCTGTGAACCAATTAAGTCATTAGTTGAATTCATACTTAATTAGTAATACTCATAATGGATAGAAGTTAGATACATGCCAAGAATGAGCAAATAAGTCTTGGTTCCTCCATGCTTATGCCTTGTTGCTTGTCTTCCCTTCCAGTCCACCTTTCCTTCAATAAGCTCAGGTTTCTCCTGCGAAAATAAATAAATAAAGGAAAAAAGAAGATAAAGTAATAAAAATTCGCATGAAATTGAGGTTGGAAACATATGGCTTCAAAGAACAAAGTACCATGGCTAGCTACAAGTGTGTTGTTCTGTTTGCTGTTGTTGGTACAACCTAAGCTAGTGCCATGTATTATATATTTAAAGGTTTTAATTTTGCATATATGGCATAAAAAGTGGTTTTTGACCACTTCTTGAATCCTACAGTCTCTACTTGGTAGTTGATTGATAGTGATTGGCATATATTCTTTTGATTATTGCCGATTCAAACTGAAGACACTGTTTTAAAGTTAAGTTGGGCTTCTGTTTGATCAGATGCAATCAAAAGAAATGCTATAAAACAAGCACAAAGAAATTCTTGCATGGTCCAAAAAACATACATATATATGTGTGTGTGTGAACCTGTCTTTATTCTCTCGGACAGCATATGTGCCTGTCGTTCAGTCATCATGTCAGCAACTAGTGTTCATGGATAAGAATCACTTTATATATAGATTAAAACGAGTCTGTTGATACGAAAGCCTTCTCTATGTAAAAAGATTCCAGAAGAAAAAATCCTTAGATCATTTTTAATGATGTGACTACTATCAGATGAATCTCATATTCCATGATAGGTGTTGGACTTAATGCAAGTCATTTTATAATGTTGCATCGATAACAAATCTAACGAATCCGAATAACATTACGAGATAGGCGTTGCTTCGACCATGGATATGACTTGAGCTTGGGCCTTCATTGTGGAGTGTTGGGCTTCACCATTAGGCTTGGAATGGGTGGTCTTCTTGTCAAGATGACCTCTCTTTTTTGTTTTCATCCCTTTTTGTTTTTTTTTTTAATGTGCGATGGTTGTCTCTTACCATCTTCAAATAGTGTTGCATATCAATTTTTATTATTAGTATGGAGATGTATATGTAGAGTTGGTAATTTAAAAAATTAATGTAAATCTCCTCAAAAGAGTGCCATAACATTATGTTGCCACAGGTCCAAAAGTGAATTTATATATTTAACTTTAAAAGAATATAAGATTGAAATAAAATAAAATAAACATACTATTATTTCTTTCTTTTTTTTTTCTTTCTGAGAACTATTATTTTCTTCTTTGGCTTAGGGCCTGCCATAATTATCATCTGGACCAACAGAGTTCCGAGGCCTGTACTTGTACCTCTTGGCAACAATCAAATAGTTACAGAAATTGATTAAGCTCAAAGACGATAATAACCAGTAAAACAGATTCAAATGATTTCTATTAATATTATTGCCTGCTAACCACCCTCTGCTCTTAGTGATTCCTTCAGTCGCACTATTAAGTATCTTAACCAAAATAGTACTGACAAAATATCCAAGTGCCATGGAACTCCAAAGGAAGCAAGTAGAAATTGATTTAATCCCCTTTGGTGCTTGTGAGTAGAAAAACTCAAGAAGACCAACATATGTAAACATGTCTGCAATACCAAAAATAAAAAACTGAATTGATAGCCAAAACACACTAATAGGCAATGGCTGTCTTGTAGGAATAGCATCTAACATGTTGTTATCTCTAGCCACTTTTTTTCTCTTTCCTTCCATTATTGCAGCTGCAGCCATGGATAAAGAAGAAAGAATCAAACCCACACCTATACGTTGAAGATGAGTTATGCCTGTAGGATGGCCTGTGATTTTGCGAGCAAATGGCACGACGATTTGATCGTAGATTGGGACTAAGATGATCATGAATAACAGTGGGAGAATTGGTAATGAAGCTGGTGGGATGTTAAAAGATTTGGTTATACTAGTATCCATGGTTAGACCTTGTTGAATAGAGAAGGTTTGGAGCTGAGCTAGACAAAGGGTCATTATAATGGTGCAACAGAATATTGGTAGCATCCCAAGTAAGATTTTTGCATTTTCGACATGGGTTACCCTGCAGAGTTTCCAGGGATTGGGAGCTTGCTGCCTCGCATCTTGTCTTGTAGGTGTTTCTTGGATGGCCGCTTTGTCTAGGAACCTGAACACCAATATATATTCACCACTGAGCTGCTACTGAGAAAAATACTATGTTAAAAATGTTGTTTGGGTCATAAATTTTGTTTTTAAGGTGAATTTGATATGGTCTATTTATGAAAGTTCCAAAACAAAAGTTTCGAACTGCCAACATCTAATAGAGTAACTTTTGGAGAAGTAGCTTTTAATTTTAATGCCAAACGGTGTAAGAATATATTCGACCTGAAAGTATCTGTGTGGGATTGAAATTCTCCTTCCTTGTCATGGTTAATTTCACAAAGCTCTGAAGGATCCTGAGGAAGTTGAAGTTTTCGATTACGAATAGCTGCAACATACACCTGCAAAAAATGCAAAAAATCTCATGCACTGGGACACTCTTGCTGGAGAAATGATGATCGAGACTTAAAAGAGTAAGCAATATTTGCAGACCCGTATAATTTCAATGAGAGCATTAGATCCTTGAACAACTTGCATACGATACATAGGCAATCCAGCAACAAAGATTATCATACCCAAGAACATGGCACCAGCACTAAGTCCAAAACCAAAATCCCATCCTTTTTTATCTTGCACCCACACAAGTAGCGTTAAACTAGTTGTACCACCAACACAAATTGCTAGCAATATATAGTTGAAGAAGCTTGACATCTGTCTCGCCTCTTTCGGGTCTTTATCGTCGAATTGATCAGCACCATATGATGGTAATGCAGCTTTGATCCCTGCACTACCAATAGCAAGCAAGTAGAGAGATACAAAGAGCAGCAACGCATTTCTACCTCCAACTTTCTCACAGTGTGAATTTTGATCGAAGACATTACAAACAGGTGGTTTGAACTTCGGGTAGTGAGCTTGAACTGCTAGTAGTGCTAGTCCCTGCATGAGAATTATATATATATATATATATATATGTATCGGGGTAGTGAGCTTGAACTGCTAAGTAGTGCTAAAGTCCCTGCATTGAGAATTATATATAATATATATATATATATTGTATGTATTATTATTTTTTATTTTAATGAAATGATCATTTAATTAATTTAAGTAAAGTATGTTTACCAGAAAACTCGACGCATCCTAAATTATAACAGCTTTTCCATCTACCAATACAAGTGGTCAGCAAGAAAAGCCCACCGAATAGAAGCCACATAGCAAGCACCAAGAAGTTAATATATATATATATATGTATGTATGTATATTTTTTATTTTAATGAAATGATCATTAATTAATTAAGTAAAGTATGTTTACCAGAAACTCGACGCATCCTGAAATTATAACAGCTTTCCATCTACCAATACAAGTGTCAGCAAGAAAAGCCACCAGAATAGAAAGCACATAGCAAGCACCCAAGAAGTTAGTTAGCTGATTAGCTGCATCTGCTATTTCAAAATGCATCACCCCATTGAAGTATGTCACCAAGTTCACTGCAAGTGCAACAATCGCAATCTGTTCGAAACCAAATGTGCCTGTGAACCAATTAAGTTCTTAATTTTCTGAAAGAAAGTTCAAATTTTCTGACAGCTTTAATCAATAATACTCATAATTAATAAAAGCTAGATACATGCCAAGAATGAGGAACGAAGTCTTGATTCCTCCATGCTTGTGCCTTGTTGCTTGTCTTCCCTTCCAATCCACCTTTCCTTCAATAAACTCAGGATTCTCCTGCAAAAAGAAAAAATAACAAAGTAATTAAAAATGCTGATGAACGTGAGGTTGGAAACATATGGCTTCACAAAACAAAGTACCATGGCTAGCATGAACTAGAACCTAAGCTAGAGCCATGTATTAATTATATATAAGAAGTGATTTTTGATGATCAAGAATACAGTCTCTACTCGATAGTTGATTGATAGTGACTGATTCATCTTATTGTTTTGGACGCTGCTAAATTGAGCATCTGTTCGATCAGATTAATGTCAAAGAAAAGCACGTATTTGTGATTATATTACTCCCGTCACTCTCTATCGATTCCATTAAAGAAATGCAATAAAACAGTAAGGCCCAAAATTATGAAAAGCTTGGTCCAAAAAAGTACATGTAATTTGAACCTGCCTATTTTGTTCTCTTATACAGATGATGAAGCATATACAGTGACAAGCCTCCTACTTTTGTTGACTAAAAGCAAAAAAAACAAAAAGCTTCACGCCCACTAGTTATCTTACTTATCTTTTCTTAGCAAGATTAGAGAAGAAATATGAATATACTTACTTATCTGGACTCAATTAATAACCCAACCATGGATCAAACTAATGAAAAATAACATTTATTGAAATGGATATATTTTTTATCATTCACCAAGAAACAAAAAGATAAAATAAAAATAATTTTTAAAAAATCTATGTTTTAATTAGTTTAATCCATAAATGAGTCTATAGACTGGGTTCAAGCAAGTATAATCCAATTGCTTACTCATAAAAATATCAAAGGTAGAGGTAACTGAATGATTGAGAGAGTCATAATAAGTCCCTTTTTCTTTATGCAAATGTCTCTTTCAAAGAAACTATTATGCATATGTAGCTTGCTTGCTTATAACTGTTGCCATCCTTGAGGTCCTTGTGAACTTTGTTGTTCGGATTGCAGAAAACTAACTCCAACGGCTATAAATTAACAGGACATTCTGTTCTTAAAAAATCATCTGCAGAATTGAAATCCAGCATTCAGGAGAAATAGTTCATGGGTCAAAATCACGAGTCTATTATTATTGGATAACAAAGCCTTCTCTTTCAATAAACAAATATGTAAAAGAAGAAAATCCAGAAGAAAAATTCCTGAGATATTTTTTATGATGTGACCATCAGCTAATGGGGGGGCTAAAAGCAACATAAATAAAGAACATAATGTACAGAAAAACAAAGGAACAGGGATACCTGTGCAAAGAATGCCTGACTATGCTTACATATGAAAAATGGTAATCCTAAAAGTATAGAAACAATCTATCAATAATTCAATAAGGAGTACTTCACACGCAAAACAATTCTTCCCTTGTCCACCCCAAGCTTGGCTCCTGTTACCAACCAATGGCCTGGAATATCTTGTGGTCCCTTCGACATTTCGCTCACATCCACTATTTTTGCCAATTTTCCGGCATGGCTTGAACTATCTTCCTTCTTATCACTGGAGGCTTTTTCATTTGACATTGATGATGATGCCCCGTTAGGCTGCTGTGAAGGACTGGAGGGGCTATGGTCCCATACAGACCGCCTGATTGTACAGCCTGGGACTTTGGAGAAGAGGAGTTTGAGGTGCAACACATTTTTGGCTCCAAAATCCCAAACGCCAAGCTGAGCACCAGTGACAATGTGAACACCAGAGAGGTCTCCGATGGAAGTATCAGTGTACTCTATTGGTGCAGTGCTTACATGAGAGAAGCTCTTCCACTTGATAGGCTCAAACCAACGGCTGTCTTGCTCTTCAGGACCTTTCCACTTGGGTGCTCCTATGGCTATATGTGCATCCCAATGTGGATGAAGAATTTTCGGAAGAGACACCAGATGTTGCAAATGAATGGAGAGCCTGTTTTGCTTGGTGCCTTCTAGGCTAAGTCTAAGACCAGTAACTGGCTTACGGCCAACTGTCACCTGCAATACCATACATGTTTTGAGTTGGATTTACAACCATATCGAAAGAGATGGAGGTTATCTATGTGTTAAAAAGGTCTAGCAAAAAAGAATCAGCATTAAGTTTTAAGGAGAATTTTCCACAAGTTACACATGCTTCACTGAAATTCAAATCCTGAAACAGTTCTTGAAGGTGTAAATCCATCATTGTACTTGTCAATTACTGGCATATTATATAACCGTAAAAGATCATAATTATCCATAACAACTCCTACAGTAGTTAAAGCTTCCATTCTTGGGCCGTTCACTTGGATTATCATCATTCAAGTAAGGAACTTAGATGTCTCTCACAAATACCTTCACAAGACATATGAGTTGCATATTGCAATTACTTTATTTTAAAAATTGATTTCCTGCGCAAGTTATTCACAATGGTATTGCAGCTATTCAAAAGTACCTGATCTGGGCTGATATAAAGCTTGGGACCCATCAAGCTGAACTGAAGAGATTGACAAACAGGCTCCTTTCTTTGAAGGCTCTTCTGTTCTGGAGCCCAAACGCGAACAATTTGAAAGTCCAAGAAATATTGCAGATCCTCTATAGGTGGTTTGTCTAGTGGAAAAAAAAAATTGATAATTGAACAATTAAAGAGGTATAAGATGTAAATTGTACATGATTCCTAAAAAGTTGTTCATAGTTATATTTGCAAATAATCCAATGTTTAATTAGATCTTCTCCAACTTTCCTCGCATATCAATTGCTTAAAGGATAGTAGCGCCTGACAACAGCAGCGGAAGCAGCCAAAGGCATGAAGCACTTGCATATGACTATGAAAAATAACTAAAGATCCCAAGAAAGTAAACAAATGTTTTTCTAACATGCTGGTCACTTGTTTGTAAGAAAAATGAAAATCTTATCTCCAGGAATCCTAGAGAAAAAAAGCATCATGATCCTTGAGTAGAACAGAATATTGCAAATTGAATAAAACTCAAATATACACAAATAGAGAGAATAGAATATTGATAAATAACTTACACTCCAAGTATAAATCAATCGCCCGGGCTAAATGCTTTATGCCAGGTACTCCTTCCAGCAGAGAGACAATTGGAGTAAATGTCATGTTAATGACATCTGGTGCGAACTGCACAGTCTCTGCCCACTTGGCATGACTCTGCTCAAGGTCATCACCTCCTCTCCTTCTAAAAATGACTGTTACATCCTACAACAATTAATTTAAATTTTACTGATTTCACACATTTCAGAGCAGAAAATAATATAGGTTTCTATTTGAGGAAACAGAAAGAGCATGAACAGCAAGAACAATTATGGAAACTACAAAAAGAAGGAAAATGGAATAAAACTGTATTCTATCAAGCAAAGATGAATTAAGAATAATGCATCAAGTATCAACCCAATGATGCAAACAGGGGGAAAAAGGAAAAGAGTATCTTAATTGAACAAAATTAAGTGAGCAATGCTATGATAATAACCTTGTCCTTGTATTTCAAGGGACCGGCACTTGACTGACTTTTTATGTCCTGAAACCTCTGATCTTCAATGTCTTTCACATAGCTCTCAATATCTGACACTAATAAAGACGAGGACTGATGCTGCCTGATATAAACAACATCTCTTCCACCAATTGTTGCAGATGTGACAATATGGGTACCATAGCTTTCAATGAAGCTGAAAGTTGAAAAAAACAAAGAAAAAGAAAAAGGTAGCTGCTAATCAGAAAGCTGATGACTCTTCAAGTTACTCCAGGAATCTTATCAGACAAGTTGAAGTTCCTTGGCAAGAATATGGAGGAAGGTCATAGGCACACCTCTTCACTAGACCAAGAACTCACAATTTAATGGGGCAACACAAACCCATGCAAACTTACCAGTTCATATTCATTCTATTTAATATCCGTTTATGGGAAGACAGCAAAATTTGGCACCTCCAAAGGAGGTGATATTCTCTTCAAATATTAATGATTTTGGTCACAGATTATACTATGGATTTTCATGATTTCTTATTCAAATAAAACAATATTAAAGAAGAGAATACAAAGAGGACTAAGTTACGATTAAGTATTATAGAATCTGGGATGCTACTATTTACCTTGCCAAGGACGCTGGATCCCAGGAGTAAGGAACAGCATGCTTGATTTCCTCACACAAAACTAAATTCACTTCGGCTAATCGAACCTTATACAGGGGAATGAAATGCCCAACCATTGCAAGGGATTTTGTCGCTGCTGCATCAACTTGCCAAGAACCAGTGAAATTGAACATGCTATTAAAGCTTCCGAGTGGAATATGTCCTGATAAACCTGATTTCTCATTGAATCTTTCTGCCATCTGAATTTTCAATCAATAAACTTTCATTTAACACCACAGTCACCATAATAAAAGATTGAGCCATAAGTAGCAGAAAGCCAGAAAACCTTGATGCAAATAAAATAAGCAAGCCATATAACAAACATGAAACAATGCAAACAAAAACATGCTTACTTGTCCGGAAAAGATGAGAAAAGTTTCTCTTACAGCTGAGTAAAGATGAGTTCAACTTTTCAAGCTAAATCGATCTCAAACTTGAAGCCTTTGCAAAATTATCAGATGCTTCCCTAACATGGGTCTCAAAACTCATCTACATAGCCTAGCTTAATGAGAATCATTGATAAATGATAATCATAAAGCAAGTCGAAGCACCAAGGGATAATCATAAACCAAGAACTCACTAAACATAAGCATTTGGAGCTGATCTATTTATGGAGAGAAAATATATGCAATTAACACTTTAAAGGAACCTGGAGCTGACCTAGTCTTCAATTTCCTTTCTTCACCAATAAATATCCCATTGTCCTTAATCCACTTAACCAAGGATGGTTGCACCAGGAAAGCCCATGCATAATCACCCCTTACTGATGCTCCATCAAGTGCTTTGCACCATATCCTTTTATTCTTCCAGCAGGAAATCTAATTCCTTCAGATAAGAATTATATAAAGGCAGGCCTAGAACTTAGGGCCTTTACTACTTCATGATATGGCTGAGAATTCATCAGAATTTCCACTGTGCAAGAGCAGCAACATTACACATATCAAGTACTAGAATCTTCTCCTTCAACAACCTAAATCAAGGATGCCATATCCTTATAAAAGTAGCTTCCTTGCTAAAATGAAAATTGAATTAATACTGCTCTAGAAGTTTAATTCATCAGTATGAGTCTAACATTATAATTTAGCATCTCTAATTTCTTGACACCCTTTGTGCAGGAAATGAAGGCACAGAGTGATAGCAATAAAGTGCCAGGCATAACAGATTGGAAGATGTTCCTTAAATGGGTGGCTGAATGGACAACCTGATCATAGTAACTAGAACCCTAGTTCACAAAAAGGAGCCTAAATGGGCTATCAAAACCATAGGTCAAGCAGGAGCTTTTTGAAGTAGAAAGGTGCCAAGTTACTAGTAAAGGTGTTAAATTATATTCAAGGCCTTTCAAAATGATAGCTCTAATACCAACGTTAAATTGCTATAACCCAGTATTAAGTTATTGATGTGCCCTCTTAATATTTCTTCAACAGTGGCTGTATAAAGCTAGGATCGTAAAAAATAAGCCAAGTCGCTCGTGGTTGCTCAAGACTTCTCTCAACTCAGAAAAAGCTCATTTGGTAAGCTTAAAAAGCCAAGCTCAACCTCGAGCTCAAGCCTATAAAGGTGCAAGTTTTTTTAACTATAAAGTGTAAACAAGCCAAGATCAAGTTCAAATAAACCTATAAGCTGAGCTCAAGATCAACAGGGCTTATCTTGGCTCGGTTCTTACCCTAATAAAGCTAATTAATATTGAAAATTACCATAGACATACATTCTCATTGTAAATCCAACATAATGCATTTTTAAAGTTTATGCCACAATCTGCTAGGGTTCTAGTTAGTAATTAGCTGGAACAGAGGAATTCAACATCATTTATTTCGGAGCGTGAAACAGTATCCCTAATTTGCCAAATGAAATTTGTTTTGCACGCATAAAACACAACAAAAGGAAACAAGCATTTCTGAAGACCAACCAAATTGCATATTCCTTAGGCAAGTCACACATTCACTTCTCAACTTCAGTAGCCCATGCAAGTACATTTTTGTTTATATTAATTCCCTTCTGTTTTTCCTCGGCCACATTGAAACTGCCCCTAAAACAACTAGAGCAGTATATTGCTGCAATTTTACAAATCCCACAATTAACAAAAGGAAAATCCATCAATGACTGGTATTGGCCTCCAAGGATATCCAAACAAAGTAAACAAAAAATTTAGGAATACAAATCCTCACAACCACACCTTATACCCCGGGGCATAAATTTAATAATGACAAACACCCAATGAAAGCCTATACACCATAAAAAAGAAACGCAAAAAATCATACCCAGATAATGATTTAAAAGGAAACATATTGAATAAAAAAAAATTACCTCATGGAAGGTGCAAACAGGAATTCTTTCAATATTCCTATGGCCTCTAGAGTAATCAATATCAACAGAAACATTGGGCACCAAAACCCCATCAGAGAAGACTAGATCCCTGGTATGCTCTTCATCAATATGCACCAACCTGGACCCAGGTGCTCCCTTGCAGTACAAAAGCCTTATATCAGATGTGACATCAAACCCACGACCCAAAGCTTGGATTGAGTTGGAAAGAGTAGTAGTCAAAGCATCGGAGCTCAAGTTCATCTTCCTCTTCTTTCTTTCTTTTCTTTTTTTTTTTTTTTCTCCCTTACATAAACGGAAAAATGATTCTGGTTGGTATTCTAGTATATCTTTTCTTTGATTTGTTTATAGAAAGAAAAGAAAAGATTTGTGCTTTCCTGATTTTTCTGTTTCTGTTTCTTTGATTTTTGGTTTTGGTTTAAATTTTAATGTGTTGTGCTGGTGGGACAGTTTGGAGTTTGGACATAGGAGTTGGTGAGCTTTGCTTTTGTTCTTGTTCTTGTTCTTGTTCTTGATTTTGTTGCTGATGGTATTCTTGTTCTCCTAGTTTGACTCTAATAATGTCTAAAAACGCGTTTCTTCTTGTGTATGTTGCGGGGTTTAATTGCATTCTTCATTTTCTGAAATTATCAACAATAAACATATTAATACATCTAAATATCAATTTGTTCTTACTATTATATATATATATATATATGAAATTAAAGAATATGTACATTGTTGGTGTAATGTAATGTCAGAAAGAAACTTAAGAAAGGATTCTAAGTTGACTGGTCTTCCTTAGATCCTTTTCTCACTACTTGTAAAGTATTAATATTTATTTCTTTATCTAGAAAAAGTTTTTCAATAATACCCTCTTTTTGGACAAGTACTTTGACTTTGCAATTTGCAGGATATTTTCTTCTGCCAAATGCCAATGGTAGAATTCCATTATGGTGGTGAATAAAATTTCCCTTTTTTTTTTTTTTTTTTTTTTTCCTTTTCTCACTTATTGTAAAGTATTAATATTTATTTCTTTATCTAGAAAAAGTTTTTCATAATACCCTCTTTTTGGACCAAAAGTAACTTTGACTTATGCAATTTGCAGGATATTTTCTTTCTTGCCAAATTGCCAATGTAGAATTCATTATGGTGGTGGAATAAAATTTCCCTTTTTTTTTTTTTTTTTTTTTTTTGCTTTTTTTTTTTTTTTTTTTTTGCCCTTTTTTGCGCTATTATGGCATGCCAACTCTTACTTATTAATGTGAACTCATCACAAGGATTACTCATCAATCAAATTTGACTTCTATGGTTATATTTCATTTCAATTAAAATAAATAGATTAGTATTTTTCAAATTGAATTATTAATAAAAATAATAATTTAAGATCAGATATCATTTATTTAAATACAATTAATAAAAATAAAATGAATAGGAGTTTAATATATAGAGGTAGATTTCATTTTAAGTAAATTTCATTTGCAATTAATGAAAATACAATCATGATAATATTATTAACAAAATTTAATAATAAATAATTATGATTATATTTAATAATAAATAATCATGAGTATGTTATTCTTTATTTTTTCTCGATATTTTTTTAATATATTCTATGCCAATATAAAGCCCCCTAAACTTGGGAAATATATATATATATATATACCTTGATTTAAAAAAAAAAAAAAAAAACTCCAATACCCAAAGGGAAAAAGGCAAAAATGAATTGTGGATATTATATTATAATGACAAAAAGAAAAAGAGATAAGAAAGACGGGATGGGTATAAATTTGTTTTGGGCTCATGGATCCCAATTTGAGTTGGGCCTAGTTTAAAGGGTCCATGGAGGGCCATTTATCTCTTTCTCACTTGGTTTGGGCTTCTTGCAAGTGGGGTTCTCACTCACAATCGCTTTCTTTGCCTGAAAAGGACCATGGTCCATGGGTATCATTTGGGTTCTCAACTTCTCATTCATGTCATTTGAATTTGACTCTTGCATCGAGTATGTTAATTAAAAAAAAAAAAAAAAAAAAAAAAAAAAAAAAAAAGAATGTAAAATTGCAGATTTCTTCCTCTTGTCCCCCAATTAAAAAAAAAAAAAAAAAAAAAGAATAAATTGCAGATTTCTTCCTCATGTCAATTATTATCAATTATTCTATTAAATAATAGAATTGAAAAACATTTGAAGTATTAATCTTACCATCGAGATTTACACATCCTTTGCAAATAATTTTGAATTTAAATATTTCGTAAAAAAAAATATTTTCTTTTCTTTTTTATCAAGCAGTAAGTGGTATAATATATTGGATTTTTGAAATAAAATTTATGAGCCTCTATAAAGTAGGATTTAAAAAAAAAAAAAATCAAAGATTGAAAATATTATTATGGTTAGCACCTATGAACAGAACCATGAAATAAAAAATAATATTTTGGATCGTGATTTGTGAAGCCCTATGAGAGAAAAGCCCATCAAAGCCCACTTTGAGTTCTTATCTATGAGAACATTGACTTTGAAGCGTGCTATAATCCAAAATCTTCCACAAATATGATAAATATTAAAGATTTTGGATGAATGATTTACCACTATAAAATGTGTTTTAGTGGAACACCTTCACCCTTTTCTTATTAATTCTGCTTAATCATCTATCCTAACTGGTTAAAACCACAATTTAATAAGGAAATGGAAGAATTTGGGTTAAATCCTAAAGCATAACATTCACTCCTCAAGCAATGGGCATTGACTAGCAATTCATGATGTATTAGTCATAATTTCTCTTTTGAATTATTAATGAAGCATTCGACTTACCATTAAGATTTGTCACCATTAAGGTTTGTCGCTGAATTATTGACGAGATGTTCAAATCATTAAGATAAGTCAGATATTGAGTTATTACAAATTAAATTTAAGATTTCTTGTTAATCATGGAAAAAATAATAACAATTAATTAAACATCAAAACGAAAAATAGCACATTTTAGTATGTTATCTTCATTTAATCCAATTTCAAAATTTCCTTTTTAGTTAGTTAGAATTAGCTAGGAAGTTGCCTTGGCAAGTCTAAACTCTAACATGCAAAACCATAGTTTAGCAAAATTTTAGACTAGTATTGTGGAGCACATAAGAAAGGCACATTATCTTAAAGTCTATAGTGGAATAGATAAAGGGTTGGTGATTTCCACTATAAATGCCCACTAATGATAATGTCATGTGTCTCACAAGTTAAATCAATTGGTCATTTATTAACTTATTTTTAGGGTTGAGCACAGCTTGCGAAAAAAGTCCAATTAATTAAATCGGTTTGATTTAATTTGGTGTTTTTTTTCTCAGTCAGTTTTATTTTTATTTTGATAGAAAATTTGATTTTTTTTATTTGGTTTGATTTTTATTAAACCAAAAAAATAAATTTAAATTTGCATCCTCAAAGTTTTAAAAAATTAGGGATTCCAGTTTAAAACCATAGGAAGGTTCAATTTGAAACGAAGATTCTTAAATTAATTTCAGTTTAATTTTTTACTGGGTCGAAAGATTTCAGTCCAAACTCCAGGTAGCCTGCTTAAATCATTAGACTAATTCCATCTGCCAACTAGTTTATGTAGCTAATTTTGATTTTTTTTTTAATACAAGAAAATTGTTTTCAACAAAATAATCATGGCTAGTTCCATCTTTGTGAAAATGATGCAGTGAAAAGTTTCTATTGATCACCATGAGAGCTAATTGTAGTAATTTGATTTGCGATTGACCGGAAAGTTAACGTCAACACACGCCAGACACTGCCCACATACCCAACTTGTTCATATTTAATTGAACCATACTATTTTTTATTCATTTGCAGTCATTTTTTTCACCTTTATAAGGATGAAACATGAGAATCGTAGGAACTAACAGTAGAGATCCTGGGAGATAGATAGAAAGTTATAGCGATGGGGATGTTACTTCTCTTTCTTTCCTTCTTGTTGCTTTGGTCACAGAATTCTGTTTTTACATATGGTCATGCAAATCTCACTTATTTGCACAAGGGCGACGGTAATAATCAATTTCTCAATTCCCTGTCCCAATTTTCCGTCCATAACTATTTTCTTGGGGCAGTTTGGTTTAACAAAAATGTGGCTCTATTACCATTTAATATATTTAGACTTTTGGATAATGACATTTATTTTAAGAAAAGACACATTTATTTTATGATGTAATGTAATGTGTTTGTTCTGTGATGGCGACAGTGGAAGCTCTCAATGCAATAGCCCGGGGTCTACGCATGTTAAATCAAGGTTTCTCCCGCACAAGCTGCTTCATGGAGCCGTCAAACCAGCGCTCTTCAGCTTCAATTAGTTGCACATGCAACCAAACTTTGTGTCACGTGACGAACATGTATTATCTCTTAAACCTCAGTATTACTACAAAATTAAGCATGCTAAAGTTTAATTAAGGAGAGAGAAAGGAAACAAACATAATTAATTAATTCTTGTAAGCCGCAGTACTTTTTCCGGTCTGCATTTGAAGGGTGTAATCCCACCTGAGATTGCCAATCTTCAATTCTTAGAAATACTGTAAGTATATTTGCACCACCCACCCATTTCTTCTTTATTTATAAGAATTAAATTGGATACATAACACAAACTATATTTCGTTATTCATATATGCAGAGACCTGAATAACAATCAACTTCATGGTAACATTCCTCGTTCGTTTAAAAACTTGTCTCGTCTTTCATACTTGTAAGTATAAATTTAATCGATATATATATATAATTTTACAAGTTGGAAAATTTTCAGTTGAATGATTTTGCAAGTTAAAATGTTTAATGTATGGAATTTTATAAATTAGGAGTATTTAATAGATTTTACTTAGCGGCTTGTTAATCATAAATAACTCATATAGTTGTTGTTTTTACTGTTGGAGACAGGTTTGTTCACCAAAACAACCTTGAAGGACCAATACCTCCTTTTCTTGGTGAAATGAAGTCTTTAGAGCGCATGTAATCCAAAAATAGTCATTTTTATTTTTATTTTTTACCATACTTTCAGTTCCTAATTTTGTTTATTTTTTCATATAGAGTTCTTTCAGATAATTGGTTCAATGGCTCAATCCCACAAGCACTTGCTTCTCTTCCTTCTCTTCAACTTCTGTAAGTACTGAACTACCCTTAATTTAATTAGTGTTTCATTATTCAAAATTACAAACAAGGACTTTGACCAATTTTTTCTGACGACCATTTTCCTCGTGTTTTTTCTAGGTATCTACAGAACAACTTATTATCTGGAGGAATTCCACCAGAACTTGGCAACCTTACCAGCCTTATCCAACTGTATTAGTTACCAGTTTATTGTTTATCTTTAAAAAAGTAATGAAATATATGTAAAATTTGGACATTTTTTGTATAGGGATTTGTCTGACAATCAGCTCTCTGGTGTCCTTCCCCAAGAACTGGGACGCCTTGTAAACCTTGAACGCTTGTAAGTCTTCTCCAACATGGTCATTCCTCATCAACTTCAGGGAAATGTCTCTTTTACCCCTGAAGAACCTTTCATATGTATAAAGATTTTTACAAATATATATATCAGAAAAAATGAAGTAAAAAGATTCTAATTTGAGCCAGCTCTTAACTCCGCATATACATAATTATTAACCGGGCATGAAAATACACGTGCAAAGCCAAAAAAGACTCAAAAGAACGTTAGTTAGGAAGTATTATACCCAAATAGACTCAAATCAACTGGTTAAGAAGTCAACTTGACATATGATTTTTGCACTTATTTACACGACATTGAATGAAATATTTGAATATATATTTCATCTATTAATTTGGACTAACTAGTTGGGATTTAACTAATTAACTGTGCTGTAGGTTGTTGATTAACAATAAGTTGAATGGTGAGTTACCTGAAAGTTTTGCAGCTCTAACGAACATGAACGATTTGTAAGTTATATTCATCTTATGTTGCTACTTAATTAGAAATTAACATTTCTCTAAATAGTACTACTTAGAAATTAACATTTCTTGATTGGTAGATCCATTATCGGAAACGACATATCTGGCAAAATACCTGAGTATATTGCTAATTGGAAGAATCTCAAGTTTCTGTAAGCATATCTCCATTATGACCAATTACAATTACATCTGAAAGCGAACAATGGAAATATCTAATTGCTATACATGCTAATTACAGGGGACTGATAGGAAATAATTTTGAAGGGCCGTTTCCTGATGCATTATCCTCCTTAAACCTTTCTGAGCTGTATGATTTTCTTATCTTATTATTATTATTTTTTTATAGTACGTCAATGAAATGTTATATTACAATTTTTAAATTCCAGTTAACATTCTGGGTTACGACATTGTGCGTCTGTTGGAATAGGTATGTTTCTGACTTGATTGGAAACAACGAAGGAAGAGGATTTCCATTCCCAAATATATCAGGAATGGCTTACTTAGTATGGCTGTAAGTGTTCGATATGTATTTTACTTAAAATAAAACACTTGACAGTTACAGTTACAACAATAGCTAACTGTTAGTATTGCCGAAGGGAGATAAAACTTTCATATCCAAATATGTTTTTGTTGCTTCAGGACGCTAAGGAACTGTTCAGTCATTGGTCCAATCCCTGATTATATTGGTCAAATGAAATCCCTATATTATATGTAAGACACATTCTAAAATGTTTAACATATTAGTGGTTCATATTGTAATTTTAGTTTTTAAACTTGAATTCTTACTTTTCTGAATAGGGACTTGAGTTTCAACAATTTGAGTGGTGAAATGCCAAACTTCTTTCACACTCATAAACCACAATACATGTAAGAAAGCTTACTATTCCTGTATATGCTCCTAACTATTCATTGACATTATAATGCCTAACCAGAAGTTATTTTTTTGAGTTATTATTGAAAAAATTAATATATCTTAAATATGTTTTTTCACGATTAGAGATTATTAAAAATAATAAAAAATAAATAAATTTGACACACGTTATTATATCTATCAAATTCCCGCGTTTCCCTTTCCCCTGGCCAAAAGTCCCCAAAATCCTAAAATGCGTGTGATTGTGTTGTCAGGTACCTTAGAGGAAATAAACTGAATGGATCAATCCCCAGATGGCTTGCTGGTTCTGCAAACTTAAATGCGTATGTTTATCTTTGTTTTTAAACATTATTTTTGGCAGATAATAATATAATTTGTGAGTTGTGGGATTATTTCTTGAGGTGCATTTCCTAATTTGACTCATAAGTTTGTGAATTTTATGGAACTTTTAAGTTTAGGCTAGGCATGTATGAAAAAGATTGATCTTTAATTAGCAAGTAATGAAATTCATAATTTCAGAAACTTTTTGAATTTTCAGGGTAAATTTTTGAACTTGGCTTATCATTTTGGTGCATATACTGCAGGGATATTTCAGAAAATAATTTTACCAGTGCTCCTTTACAACTGAAAGGCAAAGCTACCAATGTGTAAGAGAAAACTATCAATTGCACAACTGATCGATTTAAGTATCTTGTATTAGTTACATGGTAACATGTTCTAATCTAGCCCGTGTTTTTATCAGGAACTCTTTTGCATGCTGCGCTGATGCAGCAAATTTGTAAGCATTTTTCCGCTTTACTTCCTCGAACTGTATCTACATCAATCCTATGAAATGTTTGACTTCTGATCATTGTCATCGCTATTTTTTCTCTGTAGGAGCACAGCATGGCAGAGAAGGGACTATCATTGCCATACTGCTAAGTCACTGAGTGAGTATGTTATTAGTTATCTTCTGTCAGCGTTTGTTTTCACATGTTTACCCATGTTCTCCATTCATGTGAGATATTGAATTTTGACCTAATTTAAAAAGGATTGAAATTTATGAATGATCATCTTGATTTTCCATTAAAAAAACATGCATTGCAGATGATCACTTGTTTATAAACTGTGGTGGTGAGGGAGTGCTAACTAATGGAGTTTATTATCAAGCTGATACGCAACCTGATGGAGAATCGACATTCTTTCTGAGTGATGATAAAAGTTGGGGTTACAGTAGCATGGGAATTTTTCTTGTGACAAACCATGACCAGTACATTGTGGAAAAATCATGTGGAATTTACAGTGATGGTGCACCTTTGTATAAGACAGCTCGCATTGCCCCTATCTCCCTTAAGTACTATGGCTTTTGTATGAAAAATGGCAAATACAGAGTGAGGCTTCACTTTGCAGAAATTATGTATGGAGAAAATAAAGATCCTAGCAGCAAGGGGAACCGCTTCTTTGATGTGGCAATTCAGGTGAGTATATCATTCATCTTTTTGAGGAGCTAATAAAATAGAACTGCATTAATGGAACCAAAATATTTGACAGGACCAAAAGGTACTAGAAAATTTCAATATTAGAGAAGCTGCCATGGGTGTGAATAGAAGTGTAACTTTGGACTTCGTTGCCACAGTGAGGAACCATCGACTGGAGATCCACTTATATTGGACTGGCAAGGGCTCAATTCATATTCCAGTGGAGTATTACGGTCCTCTTATATGACTGCGCGCGAATTTAAAGAATGGTAGATTAGATTGAAACATTTTGCGTTCAATGTTCTGGGATAACAACTCACACGAAACTTCTTTATACCACTCATAGTGAGACACCCCTCACCCACATATATTAGCATGTTGGAAGTAGCTTACAGTCTTTGGGAGTTTCATAATTCTCCACAAGGCCGTGTACTAATTAGCATGCACCATTTAAGAATGTTCCTCCGTCCTGTCTTGGTCCTGTAACGTTAATTTCATACTGCCCATTGACGAGTGGTAGAAGATGGGTCATAAACGACGAAGAGAGGAAGGTTTTTTGGATATATATTTTTCTACAAATTAGGAAGGTTCATTAACTTAGAAAAAATAATTTTAAATATACCGAACTATTTTGGATTACATATGAGTATCTCCTGGTACTAAGGTAAAAAAGTACTTCATCAAGCAATTTTTGTCAGGAGGTTTAACTATGCACGTTATGATGAAAATATAGAGAGTCTAATTTTTTTAGAATAAATAAAACTCAAAGAGATGAATAAAATTTATAATGTATTTGACAACAATCGGATGTATAATAAGTAAACCATGGTCAGGATGTGGACATGTTTAGATTCTATCAAAATATGTTTGCGCACTGGGTGGGAAAACCTCGTTCTTGGTTTCCCCTTTTTTCCCCACAGCTGGCTCTAATATAGAGAAGCCTATTCAATAGAACTTTCCCACAAATAAAGTTTCTCGTGAGAGCACACGAGCTCAAGGATTGGACAATTTAATATCCCCAAGAGTCTTAGGTCTCCTGTGTTTGATTGTAGTTTTCGATAAGCAACTGCGATTGGTCCAATTTATCTCGCTTATGAGATTATTTATATCGATAGAGATAAAAATATTAATATATATGGAACCTCATGGCACTATTTCTTTTATTTGTCAGCTCACAACTGAGAATGGAAGTGCAGAATTCAACGCAGCTATGAGTCATTGTAGCCTGGGATGACCTAAATGCACCTCAATAAAAGCAACTAAAAGCATTTACACGCAACCTTTTCCTTATAAATGGAACATTAGGAGAGACATGCATTTATGCGCGCTTATATAATCGATAATGTTTACTGAGTGCGTTTACGTTCGTATTAGAAAATTCATTAAAGCCAATTGTCTTAATAGCTTTATTTTTTAATGTAATTTTGTCTGATCAAATAAAAACAAAGCATAGAAAAATAATCTAATAACCATAATGAAAAATATACTAGGGTCACAATATAGGATAAAATTATTTTTTATTAAGCTAAGATGGTAACAGGATAGGTTGATAGCGAAGGGAGGAAACAGAATCCCACACCAGTGAGGGTTTTAAATGATAAATTTTTCTATTGTGGTCCTGATGTATGTACGAAAAGAGAGGAACGATAAAAACCCCAAATCTCTCACATGCAACATATTCTTGAAATTAGTTAAAATGACTTATTTCACAGATGAACATATATAATCATATAGAGACGTTATACTAAAATAAGTTATTGAGGATTGACGCACAAAAAAAAGTAGAGGATATGGCACTTGAGACTGTAAAGTGACAAGTTTACATAGATGCATATTTCGTTATAAAGAGGTTTGGGTCAAAGCAGCTACCATAGCTTCTTTTCTGACTCAAAAATACACAGTTTTCCATAAGAAGGTCCGATTAATGTTATATCAAAGTGTCCAAGCCATCAACAAGCATGTGAACCGTACATACAAGAAGTAGTTAACAGAAAATAAAACATTGAAATTAATATTGAATTATTATCATATTAGCAATGGGATGCAGCTCTTATAACCCCTCCTAATATGTGATTAAACTTATTTATGCGTACATAGACTTATTCAGGCAGAGCTTAGACCTTTCTCCTTTAGAGAGAGCTCTGAATTTCATTTCACAAGAGTCTGAAGCCATTGTGCTCAGAAATAACATTTTTATGGAATCTTCGTGTTCCTTATCATTTTGTGGGATTACCTGCCAGGATTATTTCGAATAGAGAAAACTATTTAGTTTTGCTCACGTTGTGACACATGTATGGCCTTCTCACCATTTATAACACAAACACTTGAAAAAAGGCACGAGGAAGATAAAAAGGGCTAGCCAAATCACAACAGTGGTAAAATGAATTAGAAAGAGGAAATGAAAAGGAACATACGCATTACACAATATAGCATACAACAATTAGGATCCCTGTTATTATATAAGGTGAGTGCATAGAAAAAATGATGACGCATGTTATTTAAGAGTGTACAATGCAGACAAGAAACACTGGCTAAATGTTGTAAAGGTGACTAGATGCTAATGAAAGAACTCTCAACAACAGGGTAAAATTGAGTTATATTATGAGGATACAGCTAAAGAATCTCTTTTAAAGTGGAAAAAACTCGTTTTGCGAGAACAATGAACTCGTGCAGCTTAACTCATTAAGGATGCACAGTCGCACGGACACATATATAAAGTCGGACAAGAAAGTGTGATAATGCAGACAAAGTAATAGTTATATAAAAGGAATCACAACAGGTAAAATGAGATGAGAAAGCTAAAAAAATACCTTTGATAAAAGAGAAAAAATGATACGCATTAAGGATGCAGACAAGAACACTTGTAAGGAGATAAAAGGAATCACAACAGGTAAAATGAGATGAGAAAGCTAAAAAAATACCTTTGATAAAAGAGAAAAAATGATACGCATTAAGGATGCAGACAAGAACACTTGTAAGGAGATAAAAGGAATCACAACAGGTAAAATGAGAAGAGAAAGCTAAAAGAATCTCTTTAATGAAAGAGAAAAAAATGATACTCATTAAGGATGCACAGAAGGACACTTGTAAAGGCAGAAGGAAATGCAAGAATAAGCAATTTCATTCCTCCCTCAGAAGAATGAATCATTAAGTTCATATAATATAAAAGAGAATACAGTTATTGTCTTATATCTTCCCTTATTATGATAAGCTGGCAATCCTAGTTGTAGTTCTATATGTATCGTAGCATATTTATTTATTACATCATACTCACTCTATTCTTTTCCTAAATCCAGATAGACAGCATACTAACAATCATTATTTTCCTACAAAAAGGAACCTCCGTTGGTAAAGTTGTGTTCCAACCCTCAGGTACTGCAATTCTGCAGAGGGAAGTGAGAATATATTTATGAAATTTCAATGGTTTTGCATGTAATGAGGAAATGAACAAAGGTAATTATTTGGACAGTATGATGCAGACAACAAGAATCTCCGGCAAAACAAGATTAAGAGTTAAAGATATTTAGAATTATGATCTAGACTTAATATAGAGTTTATTTGGGATATGATAGAGTACTTTCTTGTCATTTTAAAGTCTTTTTTTTCACCTTTTTTGTTTGTCTTAATTTTACCAGTGCTCCTTTACAACTGAAAGGCAAAGCTACCAATGTGTAAGAGAAAACTATCAATTGCACAACTGATCGATTTAAGTATCTTGTATTAGTTACATGGTAACATGTTCTAATCTAGCCCGTGTTTTTATCAGGAACTCTTTTGCATGCTGCGCTGATGCAGCAAATTTGTAAGCATTTTTCCGCTTTACTTCCTCGAACTGTATCTACATCAATCCTATGAAATGTTTGACTTCTGATCATTGTCATCGCTATTTTTTCTCTGTAGGAGCACAGCATGGCAGAGAAGGGACTATCATTGCCATACTGCTAAGTCACTGAGTGAGTATGTTATTAGTTATCTTCTGTCAGCGTTTGTTTTCACATGTTTACCCATGTTCTCCATTCATGTGAGATATTGAATTTTGACCTAATTTAAAAAGGATTGAAATTTATGAATGATCATCTTGATTTTCCATTAAAAAAACATGCATTGCAGATGATCACTTGTTTATAAACTGTGGTGGTGAGGGAGTGCTAACTAATGGAGTTTATTATCAAGCTGATACGCAACCTGATGGAGAATCGACATTCTTTCTGAGTGATGATAAAAGTTGGGGTTACAGTAGCATGGGAATTTTTCTTGTGACAAACCATGACCAGTACATTGTGGAAAAATCATGTGGAATTTACAGTGATGGTGCACCTTTGTATAAGACAGCTCGCATTGCCCCTATCTCCCTTAAGTACTATGGCTTTTGTATGAAAAATGGCAAATACAGAGTGAGGCTTCACTTTGCAGAAATTATGTATGGAGAAAATAAAGATCCTAGCAGCAAGGGGAACCGCTTCTTTGATGTGGCAATTCAGGTGAGTATATCATTCATCTTTTTGAGGAGCTAATAAAATAGAACTGCATTAATGGAACCAAAATATTTGACAGGACCAAAAGGTACTAGAAAATTTCAATATTAGAGAAGCTGCCATGGGTGTGAATAGAAGTGTAACTTTGGACTTCGTTGCCACAGTGAGGAACCATCGACTGGAGATCCACTTATATTGGACTGGCAAGGGCTCAATTCATATTCCAGTGGAGTATTACGGTCCTCTTATATCTGCTATTTCAGTTTCTCCTGGTATAAAATTTGGTTCAATATATTTCTTTATGCTGCTAAGTATGGATTGATTTTGTTATCATTTCTTTTCTCTGACATCACATGTTAAACTCTGGTCTAGTTCCTAGAAAATCTAGCACAAAACCATCACCAATGAGCATTGCTGCGCTTGTAGGATCTGCATTACTTCTCCTACTATTGATTTCAATTCTGATTGTAAAACTAGGCTGTCTTGGCGGAAAAGAATTGAATAGCAAAGGTGAGAACATTCGACAAATGAAATTGGTTTGGCTTGTCATCGTGTCTGTGATCCTTTTCCCACCAGCCATGATATCTTTGCACTGATAATTTTTTCTGTTTGTTTGATGGATGACAATGTAACAAAGAATTGAAAGATCTCGAGTTTCTACCTGGAGGATCTTTCAACTTCCGTCAAATAAAAGCTGCCACCCAGAACTTTAATCCTGTGAACAAGATTGGTGAAGGAGGTTTTGGGTCTGTATATAAGGTCTGTCACTACATACGCTTTGAGGTCCTTGAGCTTTTCAAATTGCATGATGCTTTTACTGCTATCTATTATTTGTATGTAATCACCTGTGAATCACTTGTATTTATAACGAAACATATCAAATCAAGAACTTATAACCGCAAATTAATATCCTACCAATGCAAGTTTGACATTTTAGATCCTTGGGTGAGAATGCAATTATATACTTTAAAAAATGGCTTCACAAAATAAACTGCTTAAATTTGAATAGGTTACATTAAGCACTTTTTCTTTACCCTTGTTGGTATCTTTCCTTCATTTCAAACACAACAAATTTTTTTTTTTTTTTTTGAAAAATTTGACAAAGTTCAGGATTTTTAACCATGATCCATCAACACTAACATATGCCAAGCAAAAAGCGAAGTGATTAAAAATCATCCATCAGAATAATGGATTGAGACAACCAAGAAATAACAAGATGAATTGCATTTCATCCTAAAAGTTTGCTCATAATTACATAGTAGGAGTGAATTTTCTTAAATTTGCAGGCCTACCCTATTTAATTAAGCGAAAAGTTTGATCTTATTAGATAATAAGTTTAGGTTTGTTTTGTTTGCGTGTATTCACCTACACATCTCTAGATATTGATACAAAACATATATCTATCCTCCAAAATACCCAATTTTGACCAGCATAATATAGAAAATATAGTAAAAATTATCAAAATAATCACTGGACCCCCCATCCCGCCCACTCCCCAGCGCCCCCCCAATGAGAAGTCCCTTCAGGCGTACAGTATTTCAAAGGTCATTTTATAAGTACCATATATTTTGACATGCAAAAAGGAATCATATATGTCAATAACTGACATAATTCTTGTGAATAAACCAAAACATCATTGGGCATTCCAATTGTCGGGAAAAGTTATCTGATTTCTAATATGAGCACACAAGAAGACCTATAATGCAATATACCCTGAGTAAAAAAGATATACTTCAGAAGAAAGGGACATCATGGCTCACCTGTGCCTATGAATTCAAACATCAGAGTAGGAACTTCAGGTAAATTCTTCTCATTGGCAATATTTATAGCTCTTATTTGAACCTCATCCAGAAGTTCCACCCTTGATACCTAAAGCAACCAGAAAGGATATAAATAGAATGAATCCTTGAACAAAACTTGCATTTGAAGTCCTACTCCCACCTGTATGCCAGACAGCATAGTGGCAATGGCAACATCTGCTGCATCCTTAATAGTAGGAAAATTACACATTGCAACCTGCATTGTTTTTGTAATGAAGCAAAAAATACGTCAGATTTAAGAATTTACAGTCGACTAGTAATGCTGATTTCGAGAGCATAAATGTTCGACACAACACAAAAATAACCATCATTTAAGAAATGGCTTCGGTAAGATTCTAATGCTCTCTTAAACAGAACTTAATAATATTTTCCAGCAGATATTTGCAATTTTTCATGCCATGAAATGATTAAAGTTCACTAGATACGAGCATTAAGAACCATGAAAACTTTGAGCACTTACTAATAAGAAATAATGTTCCTTTGCTTGTTAATGGCTATCATAAAATGCATGGTTTAATAGTTCATCCAAAGTCAATCATTTTCTTATGTTTTATGAACTCTTCTGCTTATAAGACAAAAACTTAAAAAATAAAATAAAATATTTTAACAACATCCAAGTTCTATACGCACAAGTAACATATGCTCTGCCTCTACAGTCTAGACAGTTATGGACTAGAATCTTATATAATATACATAGAATAGCAAAAACATAACAAAGCAAATTATTACTAAGTTAGAATAATTTGATCATACATTCCCATTTATCCAAAGAAAGCAAACATATAAAATAGCAAATTGTTACTTATTTAAAAAGCTTTCAAGCGAAGAAAGGATCTGGATACCACAGAATGCTGCGGAATTTTCTGAAGTCTTAGAGTGACCTCTGTTATTATGCCAAGGGTTCCTTCACTTCCAATCACCAAGCGAGTCAAATCATACCTAATGCACACAATTTCAACAAGCCCAACAATCTACAAGTATAAGAGAAGAAACAAAATAGTTTCCGATAATTTTCTGGCATTCCTTTCTATGTTTATTTGATCAGGATCAATATTTCACATCATTATAGAGGTTACCTCGAAATTTCATTGGTACCTTTTTGGGAAAGGCCTAGTTACTTTTCACATATTCATTGAAACAAAAAAGAAAAGAGAACACACCCTGCAGCACTCTTTCGAGCACGAGAAGCTGTCTTGACAACATCTCCATTTGCAAGAACCACCTGGAGCAAAAATAGTGTTGAGAGTTGAATGTCATAAATAATGAACCAGACTTAGAAGGAGAATTAGCAAACCTTGAGATTAATGACATTATCTCGCATAGTTCCATACCTACAAGCTAAAAACAGAATTATTAAATCCAATAATTAATATGACCATTTAAACAGTTTCTATGATAGTTCACTTATTTTCTATTGTTGAGAGAATCGTGTAAAAATATCAATACCAAAAGATATGAAAAAGAAAAGAAAAAATAGAAAAAATAGAAAAAATAGAAAAAGAAAAAGATTCATGATCAAAGTAAAAATTAATTGCAACTCAAACAAAACATATGATCCTGACCATCTAAGGCACAGGATCCTAAATTGTCAAGAAGAAATGCATTATTTACTCAAATGAACTACTAGTGAATCTAGTCAAATCAAATGTTTGTTGGGCAAATTGTTTATTGCTGCACAATGTTGTTTA